AACAACGTGCTTAACATGACGTTCAAAAATTAACGAAAAGCTTCTCTTGAAAGTATTAAAACTTTCAACAAATCACTCGATTTACTATTGTTGAGAATATGTGAACAAGATCATAAGTCGAGAATAATGTGAGATTGGTCAGTTTCTCTTCATTTTGTCAGCTTCCTTTAAATGATGTTTCCGACAACTGAGAATAAAATTATTTTTTCAAGAACTTTACTTTATTACACTCTTCTTAAATTCTTCTAAAACAAAAAAAAATCATTTATTGATTGCCCTGCAACATGAAATTTATGTGACGATAAATTCTTAAATAAAATTTATTCAGGTTTAGTGACTTTTTCATTTAATGGAGTTTCCCCATTGAGGTCTGCTTGGAACCTTATTCGCATTGCTTCTTCAACAGTATTCGGTAATTTTCTATTGAGAGTTTCGGGGAGATAAAGATACAAAATACCGCCCACGAATGCCAAAAATCCAAACACCAAATACGGTAGCGGCTTGTAGTAAATTTCCAAAAATGGTGCGAATGGCGATGCCAATGATCCAACTCTCGACATTGTTGCAAAAAATCCAATACAACTTGATCTTATCACTGTTGGCATCATTTCACTTGAATGAATGTATGTGACTGAGAATGAACACGTGATCCCTAATTTTCCAATCAAAAACAAAGCAATTTGAAGCCACAAAACATCTGCATAGCCGCATAGAGCACAAGTGATGCCACATATGAACATTGCACCAGAGAAAGTGGGTACTCGGCCAAACTTTTCAATCGCTAAAAGACCGACATAGTAACCTGGAATCTCAACGAGACTAACAAGAACGAAGTTGAAATATTTGTTGCCGCTTAAACTCACAGAATTTAAAGATAAACCGAAATAAATCAATGCGTTGACTGCAAAGTTGTAAAGTAGAATCAAGATTCGCAACACCATTACGGGTGTAGTAAGCATTTCTCGAAGTGCAGGAAATATTTCACTTTTACTTTCATCAATTCTCTTGTTAGCTGATGAATTTTCTTCAGCAACTTCAAGTTCTCTAAAATTTTTCAAAGTTTCCTCTGAAATTTTTGTTCCATTAACTTCAGCTGCTTTCTCAATGATCTTAATCGCTCGCTTATTCTTATTTTTTGCTAACAACCATCGGACACTTTCAGGAATAATCCAATAATAAATAAATAAGATCATTGGTGGAATTGAGATCAGTAGTTGAAGAACAATATAGTTTGTGTAAAAATAGGCCATGACTCCGAGAAGTGCAACACCAATCGAGTAGAAATAATTGCAAATAATCCCAGCAACACCCCGCTTAGTTTTTCCAACCATTTCTAAGCCCATGATGAAAGCTAGCGGATAAATTCCCGAAAGGCCGACAGCATTAAGAAAGGCAAATGTTACAAACATCTCGTAACTAGTCGACAAAGCTTGTCCAATGCCCGTTAGAGACATAAAGAAAGTGGCGAGAATCAGCGTAATTTTACGACCGAGACTAAATGGAAGTAAATGAGAAAATTATTTCAAACGATAATCATCGAATTATTTTCCTTTGACCACTCACTGATCGCCAAATGCCATCCAAAGAGACCCAACAATGACACCAGCAAAATGTGCTGTTCCGACTAGCGCCAATTTCCATTTATTTTCTTCACAAACAATATTCCATGCTTCAGCAATCGTGTATGAACTTTTATCGAAAACCCATTGATTACATTTGATTGTTTCCTTGCTGAACATCAGCACTGAACAAGTTTCACCGAAATATTTCGATCCATTAACAATTGGTTTGAATCGATTGCAATGATCAATTTTGTATGTTCCGTCAAGTTGTATTTCACCAGGCAAAGCATGTGGTAACCAATTTGTGTCATAATGTGCGGTCTCTGCTGATTCGCATTCGGGTATCAAACAACTGGAAATAAATAATTCTTTTATGATTATGAACCTGGAGTGACTAAATGTGGTGGTTATAAACAGTTGAGCAAGAAATGAAATGATGAAAATTGTGCTATTACCGATAGTGCTGGTGACCAACTGTGAACACATAAGAGAGACTGTTGGCTGCTGCGAAAAACACTGGCAAACAAAGCAAATAATATTTGATCTTTTGATATCGACCAAAATCGCCAATCTCTTCTAAAATTTTATCAAAATCCATTAGAATTATTCACCGTGATCACTCTGGTCGCATCGCAAATTCAATTGAGACTGAAAGTCGTCATTGTGTCGACATAATAAAGAAGCGTAAAAGTGACATTTTTTTATCTTTCAGTAGTCTGTCGTATTTGAAAAATGGGATGTATTATCATACAGTTGAGCTTGATAGAGCTTAATTTATAGTTCAATTATTTGAAGCGACTTTTTTGTGATCTTTTTTTGTAGAAAGCACTCATGAACCTGACATTACTGATGAACAAAAAAAGTTTTTCCTTGTGTTTCCCGGTTGTTGATTTGGTGATTTATAAGTTTGATTAAATGTAAATATTAGTCATTGAAATTAATGGTGTGGATAATTGAGTTGGATGCGAATTAGAGTGTCAGCTATGCGAGTGAATTTAAAAACAAATGAAGATTTAATTATGGTAGCGACATTATCTGGATATGATTCTGTAAACAATGCGATCAAGAAAGTTTTTCATGAATGTGTGAAGAAACAAAATTGTGAATAAATAAAATGATTTGTGTCTGCCACCCAAATGGCTTTTGATCATTTAAAAAATATGTAATTGCTTCTGTTATGTTTTTTTTTTCTCCTTTTTTAACGAAATTACTTCACCAATTCAAACTCCACACGAATATTTTTACTGTTTGATCATCAACATTAACGAACACCACTCATCTTGTCAATAGAAATTTGTCCGATTAATTTTTCACGAATGATATTAGCATTTTAAATGTTAATTATCGAAACATTTTCATTCAAAAAGTTGTTTCTCGTCGTACAAATTTATTGCTATCAAAACGTCGATTTTTCTTCGTTAATTCAATCAAAGTGAAGGCAACGACGACTTGATTTTTTGAATTTATTTTCTTTCTTTCATTCGTCAGATGATGACATCCAGGAAGTAATCATTTGATGATTACGATTAAGACTAAAACTTCTCTCTTCAATCTTTCCATATCTCCATCAAAGTGACAAGGTCATTGCGTCAACGAGTGCAACATGAAAATGTTAAGTGAATCGATATCAGACAATCAATATTTCACAACATCCTTCTTTTTTCTTCACCACGACTTGATGCTAAACAGCATTAAAGGTCTTTTATGAAATCTGATACGGATCGAAAGTGATTGTATCGTGATATGTTCTTCGAGGCGAGCTGAATGTTAACATGTGTGAGATGAAAATGTGATGTGATGCGCCGCGGGTGATCAACCAACTCGAATTAATCTTCTCTGCGAATAAACATTTTCTGCAATCATAATTAACATCTCGCCCGAGCGATGAGCGACTGAAAGAGCCTAAAATGGCAATTTTTATAAATCCGATTAAAGCGATTTTGCGAATAAAAATTTCGTTTCCCTCAAAACTCATTTCCATATGAAAAGAGGAAAGAGAACGAGAAGCAATATCATTAATTCTGCGTTCGACATCATAAAGTTTTGAATGATATGAGCTTATGGTGTTTCCAAAGTTCGATTTTATTCTGAATTGGTCTAACAGGTTTTTTTTTCTTTAACTGTTTGCGAAACGACTGTGAGAACTTTTTGATTCAACTTGAGGAAACATTTTCATCTTTAGATGATCTTCAAGCATTTCAAAGATAAGGAATTAATGTATTTTGGTTGTTAGACTCGCTGGCGATGACCGAATAAGCAAAAAAAGCGTTCATTCCATCCATTATGAATGTTGAGTCTTAAATTGATTCAATGTGTTTTTTCACTGTTTTGATTTAACTAACAAAGACAAAAAAAGTGAATTGCACGACATATCTACATAATGAACTAAATTTTCAGTTGCCTTAATTTCATTTCACGGCCAAACATGTTGTTAATTTACTTGTTTCAATCAATATTTACATTGAAACAAGAGTAGTTTGGCTTTTGTAGTTAACGACTTTAAGGTAAATTAAAAGTCAAGGAATTCAATGTGTTTGGAAAGTGTTTTATGCACATCATTGACATGAAGCAAATAAAATAAAGACACACATTTCACGAACAAAAAAACTTTCATCCATGTGAATTCTTTCAGATTGTATTTAACTGTAAACATTAATGTCGCCACGATTTTCTAATTCTTCTTCTTTATTTCTTAAATCGTATCATGAATACCTTTAGTAAATATCTTTACGAGCATGTAGGATGATCAACAGCATATAAAAGTCTTAAACCATGATTCCAATGCGAACTAACAAAGATTTCCTGCCATCGTGAGATCAATTTCTTAAGAAACTGCTTTCAAATGTTGGCATAAACGTTTTTTCTATCCACTTGCATCATGCATGACTGAATATTTTCTTAACTGCTTCTTTTTTTGGATTCCAATTCTTTTATGTGAATTAATTCTGCTGCTTCAATTTTTTTTTTGTTTGCTAAAGGAAAGAATGTCGTGCTCCGTTAAATTTATTTACTTCCTTTACGACGAGATGCAATGCCAAAAAAGAAAAATAAATTTACTGCTTTCCTGCTCAATTGTTTCGATGAGTCAAGTGCATAGAGTGGTGGGTGAAACAACAAATATCTTCAATTGAAAGCAAGAAGAATTTCTTTTCATTTCTTTGTGTAAGCCTCTGGAAAATATTTCAAAACTTTTTCTCAGATAAAGTCGTTCATTCTTCTTTCAGAAATAATAATAAAAGAAAAAACTTACATTATTTAGAATTTCTTGTGAAATTGAAGAAAAAAGGTGACAAAAGTGCATTGAAATTGAAAGAAGGAGAGGAAAAAAATCTTCTTTGCTATTTTAATGTCGTTATTGCTTCATTCTTCTTGAAATAGAATAACGCTATGTTGGAATAAACAAATTTGTGGAATTTCTTTGCTTATTGTCTTTGTTCCATCTTTATATTTCTATAAGTAAGAAGTTACACGTTTCTTGTCTTGAGACACTAAGTTTCTTTTATAGCTGAAACCTGCATGAAAGCCATCAAGCTTATAAACATATTAACGTTAACTAGTGACTGGCTGACGCGAGTCAACAACAACAGAAAAGCCAATTATGCGATCATAAAATCATTTAAAACTTAATGTTTTGTGGACGTCAAGGACGAATATTAAATCGCGGCAACAAAGTAAAAGAATTTTTAATGGGATTTTAAAAAAAAATCTCATTCACAAACTAAATTGAAATTCACTCCGTTTATAGTCGAAATAGAATTTATTGTTGTTAGTTTGAAGCTGATACTTCCTTATGGTTAATCATAAATAGAGTTTGATTGTAAAACAATCACGGGACAGACTTAAGACTGCTGGCGAGATGATTAATGTTAAGTCATTCATTCTAATTTGGAGGGCGATGAAACTTACGCGGTGATTAGCTCATTCAAAAGAATTGTTCCATTCAGTTAGATATTTGAGAGGCAATCTAATGTTTTGTTAAGTTTTTAAATCTCTTAAAACTTAAATGAATTCTTTTTGTACATAGATATTTGAGATTAACACAATTTCTTTAAAGTTCAAGTTCGATAAGTTTATTTACTTTAATAATGAGCGAGTAATGAGGTCACACATCTTTCAATTCATTGTCTTGATTCAGTTGAATTTTTTTCCGTTTTTTAATTTCGTTTTGAATTCTTTTGCGTATGATGTCTAAATTATTTAAAGTTGTTGGTGATGGTTGATCTTCTGTGTTGATTTGTTTCATTTCTTCTAATGTTGTCAGATGGTTTGATTCCTTTGTTGAAGCTGTTTATACAATTTTAAATTATATTATTCTAGTCTCAAATTTCATATTGAAATTCACCTTCAAAACAGTCAAGAAAACAATTTATGTTGATCACGATCAGAATTAAAACAATTCCAATAAATTTCATTCGTTTCATAATTTACAGATTGAAGCTTCACATGCGACTGAATACATCAAGTTTTCAAACACAAACTTATATACAAACTGAGAAATTGCATGAATTTCATTTGCTGTAATAGATTGAAGTGCCTTCTTGATTATTAAATGCAACTTTATTCAAAATAAATTCATTTGATTCTTATTTACAGTGCACTATGGGTATGGTTAGGAACAAAAAGGGCAAAAAGTCAAAAAAAATTTAAATATACATTTTAGGTATATGGTGTCTTTGGGAAAGTTGTTCCTTAAGACATGCTGCACATTAAACTCTCATGTCTTTTTTCAGTACGATGACGCTAGAAGGGGCTACGATATTTTTTTCTTTTGTTATGCTGTTTAGAGTATCGGTCATTTCACATTAGATGTAGATAAAATTATTTCAAACAACTTTTTTATACATCACAACATCATGACATGTCCGCATATGAAGTTATTTTAAATTTAAATTTGGATTTTTAGACATTTTACATCACGTACATTTTCAAAAAGAATGCTTAGAAAATGAAAAATGTCAAATCTCCATACATTTTCACAAAACATGCCCTTACGTTTTGTGGAATAACTTTTTTTAGAAGGCCTAGTCGCAAAAACTGTTCGAGGATTCTAATGATGAATGATAAGCGGACATTTCTGTTTTTGCAGTTTTTCATTTGACGAATTGACCCGAACTTTTTTGAAGTTTGAAAATGTCAATTTTTAATGAAGAAAAAAAATGAAATTAAACTGAAAGAAAAATTTTCCCTCGAATTTTCTGGAAAAACTGAATACAAGAATTTGTTTATAATTTAATTGTGAATGAAACGTTGTATTCAGTTTTTTCATTTTTNAAAAATTAAAAGATATTTCAAGTTTATTAAAATGATAGTAAATTTTTATTTTATTTTTAATCATGACATGGTCAACTTTGACGGCATGTGGGGCAAATATGGAGATTGCCCAAAACAAAAAAATACAGCAAACATATTCTACACATAGTGTAGATAATTTCATAAAAAAGAAATTTTAAATTCGGCACAACTTAACTCTGCCGACTTAATGCACGTAATTTCCCCACTGCAGTGGGATGATATCATACAAAGTCTGTGCAATTTAAAATGATGCACGTGTATGGAATTTAATACTTAAATGATAAAAAATTAAACTTTATAATATTTTTGGTATTCAACAAATTATCAACACAATTAATTAACAAAAAAGTTCAAGAACTTGAAGTAAAAACGGATGTGAGTAATCTGATTTAATTCTTATTTAATTGAATAATTCTTTTCTTTTAGTTAACAAAATCTAAAATAATTTCAAAGCACATTCAACTCAGATTTCAATTATTCTGACTCTCTGCTAATGTCATCAGAACGTCTTCGATAATTTTTCTACCCCCGGATACATAATTCTTCATCTCATGCTGCTTTTGCTCGAAAGTCATTTCGACTTGAAGCAGTAAAAAGTTTTTTAAAAAGAAAAAGTCAATTTCTTTTAATATTTCCGGGCCGAGTAATTTCTTGGATATTTCAGGAAAATCTGATTTCATCATTTTAAATAAATGATTTGAGTTCCCAAGGTTTCTACTTAAGCATTCTGCTTCGGCCTCGCTGCTACTCAAATTGTAGTTGATTTTGTAGACACTTGGATCAATGATACCATTTCTAACAGCAAAGTAATTGGTACATGTCAACAGCTCTAAAACTTGTGGATCCTCAATGAAAGCTTTCAAGTCTAATTTGAAGTGATCGGACATGACACTCTCGAATGTGTGCCTCAAATATTTATCAAGATTTTTTGAGCAAATCTTTCTCATGAACACAAAAATTGTCATTGTTGGTTCGTAAATATTTTTTCCTGATGTTTTGCTTGGTATTTTGTCACTGATGTTAAGCTTTTTGTATCGATTTAACACACATTGCTTGTCAATAGCTTGTGGAACAAACGGAAACAACTGTTTTCTGTTTCTGAATTTAACGTTTCTTTCCAATCGCTTAAAATCATCTAAAGCGAAATTAATTTTTTCGATTAACGATTCATCCACTTTAACTTCATCATCTACGCTAATTAAAGTAGTTTCGTCAAATTTAGGAAAACAAATAATCGATGAAATGGAATTTAAGACGATTAAAGTTGACACAAATGTTTTCATCATTAAATATTTTTCTTACAGAACTTGTGACTTCTACAAAACTTACAAAACGACTAAAATCGACATCAAGATCGCAATGTTACGCAGGAAGCTTTCATCGTGAATAGTGCGATTTATTTGTAAGAAAGCAATTTAAAACACGCGTTACATACTTGCTTCGTCAATTGAATAAAATGATAGAATTTAGGTCAGAGTTTCAGGAGCATAGTTCAATGAACTTTAAATTGAGTGTTGCTGCGTGATTTGAATCTAGAAAATTCTCATAATTCTATTAAACTTTCCCTTAAACGCCTTCACAACATGAATGCTAATCACTACAATTTAATCTTCTTCTTTATGTTTTTTTTTTCGTTTTCAGTACAACATAATTCCATAAGCATAATCATGATTCATACTCATTCGATTATAAGTATATTTAATGAAGTTTACATACGAATCAATATTTATGTTCACAAAAGCATCAATGAAATCTTCAAGGAATATCCGATGAAAGTGAATTGACATTATGTGAAAATGATAAGTCGATTCAACGAGAAAACACATTTAAAAGAGAAAGCTTCCGCCTCGAACATCGCTTCATGTAAGAAATAGCGATTAAATATGACAACACGATAATGTAACTGAAGGTACAAATCACCAAATCATTTTTTCCCTTCCTTCTCTCGCATCTCGCAGCTTCTTCTCCACTATAAGCCATCAACTTTCCATTTCTTTATCTGCTGATATTGACCTCAACACATGACCTCATAAATCAATTTGATGTTGCTTTATGAGATGCGATGCAACTTTTTTGTCTTCTTAATATTTAACTCGCTGCAAAAAATCATTATGAATCACATAATGTTGAAGCTACTTAAATTATACGCTGCATTTTTTGGCGTAAAAACGTTTTTCGCTCATGTTTAAAGTCTGAAACATTTTCCATAACGCGTTACGTAATTTCTTCTGTTTTTTACCACTTCGAGTTATGATCGAAAACCTTGTAAAGATTTCAATTATGTTTACGAGATATTTTTCATTTAAAAATATGTTTTCTTCTGGAAATATTCATGCATGATGTCAAGATAAATTCAATGATTTAATGAAACTAACAAAACAAAAACATTGACATTTACTTTGAACTGCGCCTTTTATTGTTTTATTGCTAATTAAATACATTATTGCATTTTGCCTATAATTCGTCAATATTTTACAATACTAAACTACAGTAAATTACTCAATATAATAATTAAATTTAAGCTAATGACTTGTCGGCCCACTTGCATCATGCAACGCAAGTGAACAATTTTCAGTTGAAAACATTAAAAGAAAAATAATTTCGTCTAATTTTAATTGTGAAAGATTAATTAATATTAAGTCTACAATCTATTTATCACTCTTGCTTTTGTCACTTTAATTATTTTGTTGTTTAATTTAAATCATTTAAGAGTTGAAAACTGTTACAACTCGGTTGTCGTCTCTTGTTCAGACCGATCAATGTTGTATGGAAAGCCCAAATGTGAATAATCGACGCCGCCACGTTTACCGCCAAAGTAAACATTATCGTTTGACTCACAAACGTTGAGCATTTCAGAGCTTTGGTGTCTGTTTAAAGTGTTAAAGTAAAAGAAGAAATGATTAATTGCAATAAATGATGAAATGAAAGAAAAAGAAATTCCAAAGAAACTGCGCTGTTTCTCACCTTTTGAAAATGGGATTTGTTATTGGCAGATCAGCATGATAGCGATGATTTCGATTAAGTGTATTGTGATTATTATTATTAGCTAAGCCTAAGTCATTGCGTGATGACTGATTCATATAATTGTTGTGCTGATTCGATCGATTTCTACCCAATGTACTAAACGTGTTGTTTTGAGCCATTGTCAAATTATTTCGATTTAATGTGTCGCCATAACTGTCGAATAAGAAACAACACAACTGCAAGGTTAAATAATATTCACGAAACAAAAATATCTAAATTTCTTACCCGTTTATAATTTGATTGCGTTCTGATTTGATTCTCCCAAGTGTAAGTGTTGATCCCGCTTTGAAATTTGTGTCAATGCTCAATGGGTTTGCGTAATTATTTCGATTCATTTCGAGTGTTTTATTGAGTGTGTTTTGCTTATTGTTCATGTTGTTTAATAAATTAATGCGATTATTTCGTTGTAGCGTTCCGATCACGACTGTCGACGTTTCTGAGTTTGTTGGACTTTGCTGACCATTTTCCTTATGAGTAATGTAACTTACGTTGTCAAGGTTGAATGCATGATTCTTTGCGCTGTAGTCGATTTGCATGTCATCTTGGTCTTCGTTCACGGCCATGCCAAGCACTTGAGTCTCGTACTCTTTTAAACTAGCGGCCGATGAATCGTTGTTAACTGGCGAGTTAATAATGACGGGATCGTAGCGAGGTGGATTTGTTGGCGCTGAGTATTGGCGCATTTGTTGTTTGAAGTTCTTATATCGTGACCATGATATGCAAATATAAACGATTCCCGATGTTCCAAGTATCAAAATGACGGCAGAAATGAAAATCAGAACATAAGGAAAGATTTCTTCATCAAGAAAAACGGCGGCTTTAACTCGATGAATTTGCTGTTTCGATTCAATTGGAGCAAAGATGCCTTGAGCAGTTGCTCGCGCTATGCTTGACGCTTCAAGATTAATTTGTGATTGTGCAGAAGGTTGAAGAAAAGTGTCGAGAATTTCTGAGTTGTTTCGATCTAAAATCATTTCAGTTTGTGGATCAAGTGCGTAAAACCAAACGTCAGTTGCATCAGGTGTTTCAATAACAGTTCCATTTGACACGAGTGAACGTCGATTACTAAACTTTTCAATTCCTATCATTAGATTTGATGACTTTTCAAGTAAAAGTTCTTCTAAAGCACGAGCATGACGACGAACTTCTTTTGGACTTGAATCAGCAAATGCTAAAGACATTCGATTGATGTCACTGATAAGATTGATAACGACACGAGCTTTTGATCGATTTATGACACCAACTTCGCTTCCATTGTTATCACTCGCTTCGACGATAAATTTCACTGGTCTTTTGTGCAATTTTTGCAACGATTTTTGTGTCTTAATTAATCCCGAATCTTCAACGATTGTAAAATAAGAACTCGGTGCATCATCTTTTGATACAAAGTTGACTTCATCGTCATCATAAATTCGATATTTTATCGTTCCAAACACCCCCGAATCGGCATCATTTGCTTTAATCTGTATAACCGAAGTATCAATATCAGTGTCAACGTTGACAACGCCATAAAATGTGTCATTCCGACCACGATTTGTTTTCGGTATCTTAAATATCGGCGCATTGTCATTTTGATCTTGCACAATGATCTTTACATGACAAAAACTTTTCTGTGGATTGACAAGATATTTTGTTGACGTCAATTTAATGCCAATGTCATGTGTCGATGTGTTTTCGTAATCTAATGAGTTCAACAGCATCAAGCCACATGAATGATCATCAATATTTGTAGCAAAAAGATTCCACTCGTTACCACTCACGATCTCGCACTTGAAGCCGACTTTATTCTTTGTTGCCTTCTTTGAATTGATGATTTGAATGAGTTTGAGTGTTGCGTTTAAGCCTGTGGTTTCTGGCACGCTTGTGGTGTAAGTATCGTCACTGAATGCCAAACCCACAGACTCTGGGCTCATAATGACAGCTGAATCAGCTTTGACTTCACTTGAATCCTTGACTGGATCGCTCAATATGTGCTTGACAAACACAGGAAGTGAAGCAACAGAACTGAGTTGTGGCTCACCCAAGTCATAAGCTCGAACGTCAACTTGATATTCAGTGTCTTCTTCCTTCTTCAAATCGTCACGAATCAACACATCGCCATTGTCGGGATCTACTTGGAAGTACTTCAAAGCCTTTCCACGTCCAACCATTTCATAACGAATCGTATTTCCTGGTGCTGTTCCATCACCATCAACAGCTGGCATTGAACCGATTTTCGAGCCAATGTGTTGATCATCACTGACAGTGACTGGTTCAGGAATCGACACAAAGACTGGTGGGATGTCGTTGCGATCTTCAACGAGAACTTTGACTTTGATTACGTCACCAGGTGCACGACCAGGATTTTCAGATGTGCCAACAATCATTTCCAACATTTTTTCTTCTTCATAATCAAGTCCTTTGACAGTTTTAATGACACCCGTCTTTGGATCGATTTTGAATAAGTCTGACGGTCCATTCTTAAACACATAAGTAATTTCAGGTTTTGTATCGGGATCTTTCGCTTGAACAGTTGCCACAACCATGTCTGGAACATTTTCAGGAACTTTAACTTCGATTTGTGTCTCTGAAAATTTTGGCAGTTCATCAGGAATGTCTTTGACTTCCACTGTAACTGTTGCTGTTCCTAATCTTGTGTCAGGTGCACCATCTTTAGCAGTCACAACAAATTTATATTCTTTTTGTGTTTCATAATCGAGAGCGACTTTCGTCCTAATTTTTCCACTTTTTCCATTAATTATGAATGGAATGTCATCCGGAAGTGAATAAGTGACGTTAGCATTTGCACCTTCATCGGGATCATGCGCATGAACAATGCCAACAATTTCATTTTGTTTTCCTTCTTCAACTAGGAATTTAAATGGCATCATCGACTCATCAAATGTTGGATTGTTATCATTGATATCAGTGACCTTGACATTGACAGTTGCGGAACTTGACAATCCACCATTGTCATCTGCTTTGACAATCAACTGATATCGAGTGATTTGTTCACGATCAAGTTTTCTGATGACACTTATGACGCCAGTGTCGGGTGCAATTGCAAATTGTCTCAAATCATTTCCAGACATGATGACGTAATGAATGGGATCACTTTCGGGATCTTCAGCTTTAACTACAACAAGTGTTGAGTTGATGTCAGCACCTTCACTCACTTGAACTTCATAAACTGATTTCAAGAATTTCGGTGGCTTCGTGTTAGGTCCAGGAATGACTGTCACTTCAACAATCGCTTGCGAATATAAATTTCCAATGTCGGAAGCTTGAACTGTGATACTGTAACGTTCACCAGCGACAAGCTTTCCATTTGTATGAATCTCACCGGTTTTTTTGTCGATTGTAAATTTCTTTAATCCGTTATTAGAAACATGATGAATCGAATAAATAATGGCAGCATTTTCACCGCTGTCGTTATCAGTCGCATTTGCTTTCGCAATTAATCGCTTTTCATCGCCTGCTGTTATCTCAACTGGTTGAATCAAAGCAAGCTTCGGACTGTTGTCGTTGATGTCATTTAAATTTACAGTCACTGACATAGGCGAGCTTGCGGCATTTCCTTTCACTTCTCTTGCTACAATTTGAAAGCGAAGTTTTGATGGATTTGGTGGATCTCGATCAAGATTTTCTTCATTGACGAGAAGAATTCCATCTTTTGAAATGACAAATGAAGGCGTTGTAAGTTCGTAAGAATAACTTGGTAATTCACCATCTTCAGGAATGTCAGCATCGGTTGTGGTTAACTTGATTGGATTTCCTTTTGCATCCAAAACTTTTGTTCCAATCAATGAATTTTCATCAACAAAACCTTCGATTGCTGATGCATGAATCACAGGAGGAAAAGAGTCAACTGGTTTAACATTGATCGTAAGTTTAGCTGTTGTTGATCGTTTAGCTTCGGAGACTTCTTCTGCCTGCACCATAATGTCGAATTGACGAGCTGTCACAGATGAATCAACGAGCTTTGTTTGCTTAACGTTACCAGTTTGCTCGTCAATCTCAAAGTAATCACTGTAGGAACTCGGAGTGCCACTCACAAACGAATATCGAATTGGAGCGCTTATTTGATCTAAGTCAACAGCTTGAATTCTTTCAGGGTGAATGTTGAGAACACCTTGCAGTGTCCCAGTCGGAACTGTCGCTGTATATTCGGGATTTATGCAAGCGCCATCAACAAGGACACAACCACGATATATAAACGATGGATCAAGATCATCAGAGTCGGCAATGTTGACTGTTAAAACTGTTGTCGCTGATAACCTTTCACTGCTGTTTCTCGCACGATCCTTAATGAATGAATCGTGTTAAGTAATAAAAATTTAACGATGTCGTTTTAATAACTTACCGATGCAACAACTGTTAAATAATATCTTTGGATTCGTTCATAATCTAACGCCTTAGCCACAGTCACCTAATCATATTCATATTCATTTAATGATTTAATGAGATGTTTAAAAGTATATAAAAAAATGCAAATAAGTTATTATTTACCTGTCCCTGATGTGGATATGAAATGGCAAATACTCCATTGCCATCAGCAACATTTGCCGTGTCGTTCGAGTGCAAAAGTTTCTTTGAACTATCAATAAGAAAATACTCCACAAGACCATTGACACCAGCATCTTTATCTTGAGCTAGAATGTTTCGAAAAATTGTGCTGCCGATTGGCGATGACTGTAAAGGGAAGAAAAAAGCAAAGAGACAAAAGAATTAATGTAGGACAGAAATGTGATTCCACGACTATTGTATTTATTCAAAAGATGGCAAAACGGGAAATGGAGACATGCTTAGATATTAATTTAAGTATGGGAAACGCAATTTTCCTGTTCTAAATCGTTCTCTGTTTGAATGTGAGCATGAAAAGAGATTTCAAGATGAATTTATGTAAAAGCAAGTTACATTGAAGTATATTAAAGTTGGAATCATATGAATGCATGTCTATTCATCGTAGAAGACAAAGTAGAGTAATTAAGGTTTTAAAATACATATTTTTAATTGACCAACTAAAGCGTGTATCGTAAAACTTTCGTGAGTTCATTCCAATGATTTATTTGCGATTAGAGCTCAAACATTAATAGCACGACTTTAATATCCTTAAGCTTAATGCTTATCAACAGGTTTTTATTTTTTTAGGTGAATTCAAGAACGAAAAATCGTGAATGGAACTTTCTTATTAAATGTTCTTCGACGAGTATTTAATTAAGCTTACTAAATTACATGTCTTTACTTCATGCTTAAATGAACCAAGTAAACGCGACGTAAACTGTCGTTGGATGTTTCTCTATGAGACATTCCATGCAATTGGGAATGTTAAGTTGTTCTTCATATCATAAGAAGAAACATTGTTGAGTTACAAAATGTAGAACTTGATCAAAGACAGGAAAGCAACAACGAGATTTCTCTACTTAGAATGCTTTCATTATAAAACATGAATAAAATGTGTCAAGAGTGAGTTAAAACTCTAAAACTTGCTCTAACGGTTTCCGTGAACGAATCCAAGCATAAATATTCCAACTATCGGTTAAAGCTTCTCCCAGGAGATTATTTAATCCAATGCTCTTTCATTTAAATAACATGTGAAAGGAAAGGCATGAAATTGTTGCAAATGCAAAAAAAATTATATTGAAACGAAGAAAAGTAAATGTTAACAAAAAAAAAAAAAGATTAAAAGAAGGCAGAATAATAAAATAAAACTGTTGGAAATAATTTCTGCATCAACTTCCTTAATAGCGCGATATTTGCGATGAAATGAAATTTTCTTTTGTGAAGCTAAAAGTCAATATTGATTATACATTATGACAGAAGATCATCAACAACATTTTAGCGCTAATCGCAGGCCAACAATTTCATGTTTTCACAATTTTACGATGCATCGTTAGGTTGATCATTGTTGACAATAAATTGCATTATTACAACACAAGGTGACATGTGATGAAAATAAGAATTGCGAATTGGAAGCAGAAGAAAAATTTACTGCAGTGATTTATTAAAAAGAAGCTGTGCGGCGAAGCCATTTAACGTGAATCCCAATTTCTTCAACAGACAATTGTGTAATCAATCTTCCTACAAGATGTTATAAATGTCAATCGATTGCTTGTCTTATTTCTTTCTTGTTTTTATTTTTATTTTTTGTCTTTCTCATGCCAAAGAAAGTAACAAATTGAAAGCTTGTTTTATTGTCATCGAATACATTTAATGATCATCGTTGATATCATAGACATTTATTTCTATTATGAGACATTATACCTTTCATTTCTCATGCCATGACATCGTCCAATTCCCAAATTGATGAAAAATTTAATTAGCCGATAAATGTGCAAACAATGTGCTCGTTAAGTTTGCAGTTTTTTTTGTCATTTTATGTGTCGACGATCGTTTGTTCAATAGTAGAGAAAAAAATACAAATGTCGCTTTCACTCATATTTCTAGCTAGCAAATTTTTACCAAGCGATATTAGTTGCATGATAAGAGAAAAAGGTTTTTAGTTGTTAAATGAACTTTCCAATTTTTTTTCTTTCTTGCATGTACATAATTGGTTCGCAATCATCTTGAATACTCCCTCGAGGTATATCGAACTCGATGTTTGTTTAATAATACTTTGACTAGAATTTTATGAATCATTCCAACTTCAACGAAATGTCTAAGAATGATTGTTTAATCACCTTCATAAGCCATGATTATGATTTAATCGTCATTGTTATACAACAAACAACTCCCAAGTCGTCGATTGCTATTTATTTAACTTATTTTTTTTCTCCTTCGTTTGTTGCATATAAAGATATGTCCACAAGTCCACTACGGTCAATAATAAATCGAAATTAAAAGGCCACAGTTAAAATTGACGTCGAGCGATTATTATCGAGATTTTCAAGATCACGTTTTGAATTTTAAATAAGTTTTTTTTTTCATGCCATGCTCTGTCGATACTTGTTTCACCCTCCGCAAAAATCAGGAATGAACTGTCGAACTGTCAATGACTTTAATAGCTAATATATCGTTACACGTTGAAGGCCATGTTGAGTGTGTCAAACGCGTTAGAGAGAAGTAGAAAAAAAGAAGTAGCTAATGAATAACGAAATCATTATTGCCATTTATGAAAACAACAGTAATTTGAAGCATTTTATGAATACACAGCGTTTAACTCAAGACGATAATTTTCACTTCACACTGCTTACTTAATAACAGTATCACGTTTGATCTCATGGCTTAAAGATCAACGTAAACCACCAAAACGAAGATTATGATGCACTAAGCGTTTAAGCAGTTTCGCTCTTTATAACCATAGAGATCGACACAGAAATAAGGAAAGGAAGTTAATTCGAGATCCCGTTAAGAAATAAATGTTATCTCAATAGCACTAAGCTTCATGATGTAAATTACTTAAGACTTCGTTGGGAATGTGTCTTTACATTTGAAAACCGAAGGAAAAATGTTCGAGTTAGTTGATAGAAATCGACACCATGTGGTAGGAAATCTACATCTATTTACTACTGGGTGTAATAAAAGGTTTACTAGTTGCAATATAATTCCAATCAATTAATTCACTTGATAATTTTTTTATAATTTTTAAAATTTGCGCGGGTATGAAAATTCCGCGAGAAATTTAACACTTCGAGGAATATTCTTTTAAGACATAAGACAAATAAAACCAACAACAGAGTCAGGTTTAATGGCAACAACGAGCAGCTTTTTCATTCAGAAAATTACTCAATCTAAGATTAACCAATTTATTTGCGTGGTGAAAAATGATTTAATTAAGATCTTCTCGGTGCTTAAGCATCCGTAACGAAACTGTTTATGGAGTTTATTTTATTTCTTCTTCTTTTTATTGAAATGAATTAGTTATTTCATGATTATTGCTTAATGTTTACTTTATGACAATGAATAAATATTCATGGAAATAAACATTTCTTTTGGCGAGATCGAAAAACTCAGAAATTTATTACCAAAGATTCAAATTGAATTTGAGATTAAAGTAAAAAAATTTCTTTTCATTCATTTCATTCTTGCATTGCGTTTCGCTTTCAAAATTGATTCACGTCTTGCGATAAACTTCGCAATATTTGTGTTTAATTGAATAAATATTGTTATTAATTGGAATTGATGTTACATAAAGTTGCTTTTAATAAGGAATTCACGCTGCACGCTGTTACCTTTGTTTCTTTTGACAGAGTTAAAAATATAAAAAATAAGAGAAAAAGACAACACGGGACGGAACTTATTGAGTCAAAGATAAATACTTTGAAACATTGTTTCTGTTAGTTAATTGAAATTGTATGTTTCATCTGATGATCTTTCGTCTCTCTACGCGCAGACTTCCAATGCTGCGTGGCAAATTTCGAACTCAAACAAAAGACTTGAACGCGTTGTTTCTGCAATTCTTTCGACCTCACGTCGATTGTGCCATTGTTGATAAATATGCTCGAAATTAATTTCAGACACTGAAGCAATGATAATCAATTAACAATTTCTTTCCATCTGTTTCATTGTGTAATTCAATCTGAAGTATTCTGTGATTTATATGACGCGAAATGATTTCATATTTTACACGAAATATCTTAAGTAAAGTAAGTTAATTAATTCCACTATGAAGTATAGCCAAACATGGACCCAACGTGGAAAACCTTGAAAAGTTTCCATGAATTTGAGTCAATTACGAGATAGAAACTGCTAATCATTGACGAAAAGTAAAACAAACAAAAAAGAAATAAGAAAGTTGGGCGATATTGAAACACACAAAAATTAGTTAATTGAAATATTGAATTAAGGTTTCATGAGATTCAATAAATTTAATTGAATAAAAGCTCAAATCTCGTGCGGCACACATGATGCTACAAAAGGTCATCGCTATTGTGTTAAGTCTTTTGTTTCGGTCCGTATCGCGTTCGCTTATGGTGCAATATGTTGTAAGAGAAACTTTACATTCCTTTCTGTCTTCGATCTTGGAAATTCATATTTTTCTGTTTTCAATTTTCTTTCCCTCTTCACTCCTAACTAAGGTAAATTTAATTTAAAATTCACTTTCAGCATCGCGCATATAATATTCGCTCTTAGTTTCAAGCTTTCAAGGTTCGTGTTGGCATTTTTCTTATTTTATTACAACTTTTTGTTTTTTCCATTCTTGTCTGAGCCTTTTTTTTTTTGTTTTTTACTCTATCGATCTATTTTTTTTATTATTATTTCTCTTTCATGTTTGGTGTTTCATTTTAATGATGAATTGCTGTTGGTATGAACAGCACATTTGATGGCTTATTCTTGATTACGAAACTTCAACACTTTCAGAAATTAAATATCTATCTAAAAGCGGTGCACGAGAATAAAAGAAGCTTTCAGCAACGCCTATACTCGCCGCTCTACTTACATAAATGTAGATATTAAAAACTAAAGTTCTGAGCTTCTGGCGATCATTCGACTAATTGTAAAACTTCTTTGCGAAGTGTAAAAAGGCTTGTTGATCGATGTTGAACGACAACAGAGATCGAATCAAGTTCTATTAATTTTTTTTCTTCTTTTTTCAACTTAAATAGTGAATTCGACAAAAAGTAATCAAATTCAAATCCATTTCATAGTCAATCATTTGGCGAGTAGTTTTTCGCTGTTGTCTTAATTGATTATTCTTTATTTCAGGTTTACAGCCATTCATCACGCAAAATGTGTTGCTTAAGTTATGTCAAGATATACAGAAATCAAAGGAAAGAACTCAACTTGTCAATCACAGACAAATCTTTACTTCTCACGATACAGCTTTGGGTGAGACGAGAATGGGAAAAGAAAATGAATTCAGTCAAGTTTTATTTAATCAATTCATCGTTCTGATATGTCCGCGTTGTGAATTTTAATAGACATTCAGGCGTTTATTCCTCTCATTAAAGAATAAATGCTATGACAGTTTGTAGCACGAATTCTTTTTCGATGCCGTAATTAGTACGAATGAGGAAAAAATAATAATAATAATAAAAAGAAAGAAATAATTTAACTCACCTCCGGCACCGTCACCTCATATGGAGTATTTACGAAGACTGGAGCGTTATCGTTAACATCTGACGTGAGTGAGAAAAAAAGAATTCACAATAAAGATAATAAGCGAAACAGTAAATAAATAAATAAAAATGCGAGATATTTAATTTAAGCTCACCTGAAACGCGAACGATAATTGGAATGTTTCGATTTCGACGCGAAGATATCACGGTGCAAGAAATCTGTAATCAAATGAAGGCAAAACATTCGAAACTTTATAATCTGATCAACACAATCGACGATCGACAAATCGTGAAAGAGAGACAGTAAAGTATTCATACCTGGAATATTATGTGACTTAAATTGTCTTTATCTCGATCAAGTGGCTTTAAAAGTTTCAACGTTTTTCCACTGAGAGAAAAGACTGGTTCGATCTTTTGAAACACCAACTCTAGTGCGATATCTTTTTCGGCATCTCCAAAAATTGGTAATTCGGGTGGCGTCGTCTGCTGTCCAATGACTTGATGGTTGATGAGGAAGATAGAAAAAAAATAGAGACAATGATCTTTGTTAGTGAATTATTATAATAATAATTATCGTCAATTTATGGAAATTACTTATTGATGTCTTTAAAAATGACATACAAGAAAAAATAAATGATTTGCTAATGAGACAACCAAACTAAACGAAACGCCACAAATCACAGCAAATAATTTATTCAGCTCATCATCTATATCCATCGGATGCTTGTTTGTTTCATACAAATTAAATATATCACATTTAATGACGAGAAATAATTAGTTGTGCAAATTGATGCTCGATTAACGATGTAACATTATGAAGACTGTAAATAAGTAACAAAGTAATAAGGATAATGAATTTAAATGTCTTCAAAGCTTCTCTAATTAATATTTGATCGGATTATTGGAGATCTTACCAAGCGAGTTAATACATATTTATTAATCGGATAGAATGAAAGAAGAATAAATCAAACTAAAAAGTTCTTAACGTCTTCATTCCTTTAAAATATTCATCATAATTCAGTCGCCAATGAAGTCATCGACGAATTAAATTTTGTGAGTTTAACTCATTTAATAATGAAAATACATAGTGGAATGGAACTGTTCAGGTTTTGAAATATCTAATTAAGAAAGAACTTAAACGAAATGCTTATTTGAATTTACACAAGAAGTTTCTCAACATCTCATGCCATGGCCTTGAAACATTTCATTAATCCAGAAATTTTCGAAACAAAAGCTTCGATATTTTCTCATGAAACAATCATGTGTAAATAAAAAATTTATTTATTCTACTTATAAAATCATTTTGCATGAATGCAAATCACAACGAGACGCCGACAACACGCAACAGCAATTAAGAAGCAGAAACTTAATTGGAGGAAAGAAATTTTAAGTAATAATAATTAATCTGTCCATTAAGGCTAATGGATTGTTTGCTGGTTCGCGAGGAAAACGTCAATTTTTGTCCGAACAGTGAGGCATAAAAACGACACGAGACTAAGACTTGTTACGAAGAAAAGCGTGTTTAAGTGCAAGCTCACTTTCACTTCATCCCGTCCCGGTAGATATTTATTAAAAACTTATGTAGAGAGGTGAAGCGGAAAAATTATGTCAAAATTACATAAATTGGTAAATTAATCGTTTAACTTGTTAAAATAGTTTTGTCTTAATCGAGCTGCACTAGCACAATCCAAATGTTAGATGTAAAAAGAAATGCTTTGCTCAATAATGTTAGTTGGAACATCATGCTTGACTCCAAGTAATAATTGTAAATTATTATTCAAGCGAAAGCCATTTTACTTGGACATGAAGTTGAAATAATATCGAGAAACAAGCATCGATCATTCGACTAATTGCTGCAAGGCTTCGCTCAATGAAAATCTCGTCGCGATCTCTTTTATTTAATAGAAGCATTGAAAGAGGGTTCAGAACTAGTTTGCTTCAATTTATCATTGCATTCTCCTTGTTATGGGTACCTCCAACTCTTCATACACAACATACAAAGCACTATACAGTCATTAGTGATTCTCTTCTTGTTACGACAGCAGCAAGAGATGAAAACTATTCTGATAGGAGAAGGAAATAAGAAACATAAAAATAATAAAACAGCGCGGAAAGAAACTCGAGAAGAAAAATTTGCATTTCAGTAAGAACTCATTGATTAATAAATCTTTACACGATCGCATGTTTTAAGTATTTTCAACTGCATAATTTTTCAAGCACTTTTTGTCTTCTACCTTTTGTTAACAAGCAGAGTTGTTGTTTGATAAAAAATGTTGGAATGGTGTTAGAGAATGAAATTTTGATTCTCAGTAATACAATATGACGCAATTATATTGATAGAATTAATAGTGGGATGGCCATCGATGGCAACAGTCAACTGTTTTTTGTTGAATGAAGTTTAATGAATTTTATTTATAATTTACTCAATAGGAAGCGAATTTCAGATTTTTGTGTTGCCAACACTGAATATCGTTGGCAACACTAAAACCAAAAATTAAGCTTCTTCGTCAAAATACGTTTAAAATTATCAAGAAATCTAATATCAAGGATATTTTTCATTCCAACATTCATCAATACATCAAAAGTTTTTTCAATTAATCAAGAGATTCAATTTATCAAGGGTTCTTAAGTAGTATGGAATTTCACAAGAAACATCCTTCTCAACTACAACTCTGTCCCCCCTTCGCATTCCAGTTAAAAGTATACTCAGCACATTAACATTCATTGGCATTTAATGTCTAAGTACCAAGTGCTCGCAATAAGAAAATGTTTATATGCTACGCGCAACAAAGTTCTATACCGTTGGCCATATAATTTTCTATAATTTAAAATTCTTTTTTAACGAGGAAGAGAATCGTTTACAAAACTGATATAGTTACCTCGCATAGTCGATCAATTCTTATGATTTGAGACGAGATGATTTAAGTTGTCTTAAACACCTCAATTTGTAAGATTTTATTACGCTGAATGTGAATTGTTATAATTTATCATCACATGTGGCAATGAATGTGTTAAGAAATGAAAATTTGATTTTTGTAATCGTCATTCTTTAGAATTTGCGCAGCTGTCTTTAATTTGGTTATTTAATCTGCAATCATAAGATCTACTGATAGAATGGTTGTTAAACTTACGATCGCCACGACTCTCCTCCATGTCCAATATAATGTTTGTTTGACCAGTCTCAACATCGCAAAGATTGAGTTTCGCTTGCGCTCCATGAGTCAAGAAATTAATTACAGTCAAGATTTTGAGGATCGTTGTAAAGCTGCGGCTCGCGGAATTCCATCGTCTTTGAGTCTGTAATTTAAGAAAAATAAGAAGATTAGAAAATTTTTGTAAATTGAAAGTTTTTATTCATGCTTAAGACATGATTGATTTCTCAATTTGTTTTGCGATTGCGCAATGTTGCTGTCGCTGTTGTTATTGAAGAAACATTTAAATACTTAAAAAAATATGAGAAGCGTTCAAGGAAAAGTTTTGAGAGGCTTTTGTTGTCATCTAAATCCAACAAACTCACAAAGAGTTCAATATTTATTGAGAATTTTTACGTGATTTACATTAGTAAGTCTTAGCGATTATCGAATTCAACTTCTCGTAACATCAATCACATTAAAATTCCTTTTGAAGACTCAAAAATTTTCATGTTTCCGAACGTTTGCCGTTTAAGCATATGAATGTGCAATTATTGAATATTTTTCAAAGCGATTCAGTTTAAGAAAATTGCTTAAAGTTTCATGGAATAAGCTTTTAGCATTAAACAATTAAAATTAATTAATGCAATTTCATGGAGTTTGTTCCATTTTTGTGCAATAAATATTTATGTAATTTGACTATTCAATTGACAATAGACTTGATATTGAGCTTAGAAGCTTTGATCAAAGGATGCGAAACATTTTTTCGTCGTTATTTGATTGAGCAACTTTAATATTAAATACTTATATGGAAATTATCAAATTATTCGAGATAAAAAACCACCAACAAATAAATACACAAAGAAGTCGAGTGACTTGTAAAAAGTTTTAATACTTTCAAGAGAAGCTTTTCGTTAATTTTTGAACGTCATGTTAAGCACGTTGTTGGACTCGAAAGTTAATTTTTTAAATCTTCAGGTGTTTGTTTTCGTGCTTCATTCATTCATATTTCATGATGTCATCACTTCTGTGATACGTTTCGTCATTGCGAATCACCTGAAGTTGGATGAGATTCGATTTGTTTTCGTTCAACGTGTAAGCGGCAAATCAACATGTGGGAAAAACGAATTTTCTATTTTTATCAATTTTCTTCTCTTCTCTCACGACTCACGACGATTTTCACATGTGAAGAAAAATCTCGAGCGACTTAAGTTTCAGTGAGTCTGTGAAAATGAACTCGAAAACAAGATGAAAAATCTTTTTACGAGTCGTGGAAAATTCTTTCGACCTTGAACCATCACGAGACTACTGCAGTGGTGAAAATTCATAAAAATCAATTTTTAAATTGAATCAAAGCCAAAGTTTCGTGGAGATTTAGAATCAAATTTTAATTAAATATTTCCGATATAGTGAAAAATTATTTTTAACTGCGAGCACAAATTCTTGTCAAGTGAAAAAGAGAAAAAAATTTCGCGCAAGTGATTGAGAGACGCAAAACGACGTCGTTGTAGCGATGGCGTTGAGTGATTTGTTGATCAGCTCAGCATTTATTGTTTTATGTTGTGTCTGTGCACAACTTGCACGAAAAGTTCTAGATCGATTTTCTTCCATTCATGGACTTGTCAGAGAATTGATTTTGGAAGCTATTGCAGCTGCAGAACTTTGTTCAACATGCTTTGAACTTATCATCGGTAAATTTGTGAGATGTTTTAAGGAATGAAGATGAGAATGAATTAAAAGTTCTTTGAATTTAGTGGCTGACAACTTCGGTGTTGCTACTTATGCCGTGTATTTGTTTCTCTTGACCATTTGGTGGTCTCAAGTGTGGGTAGATTCAACTGCATGTCCCTACAATCACATGGAAGACATGGTTGAAGGACGCACAACGCCAAGAGATGTTGCATTAAAGACTTGGGCTCAGTTGATGGGCGGTTGTTGTGTGTGGCGCATTGTCCAATTCTTCTGGTGGTTGGAATTGGCAGAAACACATAAAGGTCGTGCATTTGAGGATTGTTCAGCTGACTTACAAGTACGATTAAGAAAACATTTCTGATTCCGATTCACTTCATTCATTTGTTGTCTCGTAGGTGTCTCCATGGGTTGGTGCAGTAATTGAAGGTTTCGCGACACTTCTTTGTCGATTGGCATCGAAAGCATTGAGTGACAAGAGTCCCAAATATGCGAACATTCTCGACAGCTTCATTGGAACATCGCTTGTTATTGCTGGTACACAAAATCATTGTGTGGTTGTTCATAATTCTCAATATTCTTTCTTTAAGCTTTCAATTATTCGGGCGGATATTTCAATCCCGTTCTAAGTACCAGTCTCAAGTGGGGATGTTCTGGAAATACTGACATTGAACACATCATCGTGTATTGGATTGGATCGTGCAGTGGTGCTTTGCTTTCAGTTCCAGCTTTTAGACATCCCATCGTTAGGAATCTTTTGCTTGGCGAGAAAATCAAAGACGAATAATCGAAAACTTGACTTTAGCATTTCATTTTCCTTCCATCAATTTCTCTTAGACAAATAAAGAAACTTCAATTATCACAAACATTATTGTAACAATCGTCTAATTATAGTTGAGTGTCGACACGTGGGAAACGTAATTATACTCATCAAAATCGTTTTAAAGTGTCAACTCGTTGATTGTTTTTAAATACTCTTAATGAAAAGTAAAAGAAATCAAATTATCTACATCCTCGTAAACTCACATCAAATAATTAATTCAAAGCTTTAATTTTGTGTTTGAATGGGGTTGAAAGTGTTTCACTATTGACATTATTATTTATTTACGTANACTTGACTTTAGCATTTTATTTTCCTTCGATTAATTTCTCTTAGACAAATAAAGAAACTTCAATTATCACAAACATTATTGTAACAATCGTCTAATTATAGTTGAGTGTCGTGACACGTGGGAATCGTAATTATACTCATCAAAATCGTTTTAAAGTGTCAACTCAGTGATTGTTTTTAATTACTCTAAACGAAAAGTAAAAGAAATCAAATTATCTACACTCACCTAAACTCCCAGCATATTTTTAATTCAAAGCTTTAATTTTGTGTTTGAATGGGGTTGAAAGTGTTTCACTATTGACATTATTATTTATTTACGTAACTGGAAATTTTTGTGAATGCCAAGGATATAACTCAAACCATTTCTTCCAATGCTTTACAACAAGGAGATCTTTTATTTATTCCAAAAACATTTAAAGATATTCATAGACATTTAGATACTTAGAATTCTCAAATTTTAACTGAAATGTCAACCAATCCTTTACAAAACTCCCAACAAGATGTTCAAAAACGTGTAAGCTTGTTTCATAACATCTGCATATGTTTCCAAATTCAATGGTTTGATTCGGAGGATTGAAAATCCCTTTCTGCGCTGTGCCATCATCATCATGAAGAGAATTTTCTTTTTTGTTGAGATGTCTTTAATTTCGTACCATTTTGAACAATAAATGGATGACTGGAACTTCTCGCACTGTTGGAAAAATTCACAAAAATGTGATTGTTAAAGCCAAAGTCAACTTACCATTGATGACACATAATTTCCGAGAAAACAATAAAAATAAAATTGAAATAGTGACAAAATTAGAAGTATCGAAGAAAGGTAATCAGCTTTTGCTTTGATGTTGAATCCAGTGCAAACTAATACTCCAAAAGTTGAAACAAGTTGATGAAAATAAATTGGATTCAAAACTTCTTCAGAAATTCTAATGATTTCAAGAACGCGAAAATGTTTTTCAACTAAATTCGAAATGAACTTTTTATCAGTTCTTCCGTCAATTTTCGATGCTTCAGAACAGCAGACATCCATTTTCGCAACGCAATGGAACGTCAACACGATGAAGAACGAATCACAACCTCAGAAAATATTTGTTTTAATTTATCATTCATAAAAAATAATGAGAATTCTTACCAACAACTATGACAACTCCTATAATTTGATAAAAAGTGGTCATCATGAGATTTATTTCGTGAGATGAATGAGTGTTTGGTCTATTCAATGAATATCGTTAGTAAATATCAATCTTCAATTGCCGTCACATATTTTACGTACATAGTCCATGGAATTTGGATTTTAAGAAACAAAGCCGTATCGCTTTTAAAACCCAACGCCGTCAAAAATGATATTATGCTCGTAAATAAATAAATTATTGCTGTAGAAAAGATCAAAACTCGAGCATACTTTCGATACTTCCTTTCAATTTTCATTTCTTCTTCTGTTGTATCTGCGACATCTTCCAATATTTTTGATTTCAGAGTTCTTATAGAATCGAGTTTCAAACAGAATGATAAAATTTTCATCGTCACCTAATGATGCAGTTTTGAGGCATAATTCATAAATACTTTGAGAATTACAGTGCAAGCGCGATTAGCGAAAACCGAAAGGAGTCACAATTAACGAGCTTTTTCTCTACACGATCTTTTTCGAAAATTTTGTTGAAAAACTCTTTGTCAACCTAGTGATGCATTTCAATGTTCATCAAAGATAATGCATCCTTAAGAACTTTGACACATTTTCTCGAATATTTGAACGGCTTTCACCGGTATTTTTCAATTTTATTACTATAATATTTTTTTGTTTTAGATTTTTTTTCTATGAATTTGCTACATTTCTATTTTACGCGTCTCTAATATATATTATTCTTATAAAGAAACACGATGAACGCGTTGATAACTCCAAGACTGCATTTTTTTTCTCATTTACTTACAACGAGCGTGATTTTAATATAAACTCTCGTGCTTATTACGGAGCTATGCTTTCAACGAAATTTTTCGTTCAACGAACGAAAATTGTTCGAAAATGTGAGTGTGTCGAAATTTATCGAGCTTTTACGCTCAAGGGAATTTTGCTAATCGCGCTTGCACTGTATATGCTTAAATAAGGAACATCTTACATGATAAAATAAGAAAAACGTGTTGATAGCTGCAATTTGCTTTACTCTATTTGATGCAAAGTCAACGAAAATGTTCTTCATGTGAACGATCGACCAGAATGCGACGTAAATTACAAATTGAGTTTTAAATCTCTTTGAAATATTTCTTTTTTCCTCAAAACAGGTGAGAGCTGAGGAAAAACTTTTATTAAATAAAATTTTTCAGTAAAACTTCTTTTCACATTTTTCTTACACATAATTTGGAACAACTTTTCAATGAAACGAAATTCAATTTTAAAATCCAATTCCATTTTCAAAAACTTCGTTTTCATAAACTTTATTTTCAAAAACTTCATTTTAAAGATTCTTTTATCACAGAAGTCACAAAATAAAAATTCTTCTTATGAGTTAATTGAATGAAAACTTTTCTCAATCGCTTTTCAAATGAAAATGAGCTTTGAGATTTTTATTTTTTCGTGTTGAAGTTCCCAAAAAAAGCATAAACTATTCAAAGTTTTAATTATGTCAATTTTCATCAAAAGTGGTTTCAATTAGATATCTCTTAATTAATTGTAATTATCGCAGTAATTAAATCAGGTAATAAGATTGACATTTCAAATCCATTTTCATTTGATAAGATATTACGAAACTAATTTAAATAAAAATTTTGAGTTATAATTAGACAAACTATTGATCTCAATGATTTCCATTAACTTGAATTGAAGATTCATGAAAACCATATTGAAATATTTTTGCTTTCCCAACTTGTCATGTCAACTGCAAAATTTTCAATCGACTTGCAATTCAAACAATTCCAACTTTGCATTATCACAAATGGACAACCCACGACGTCGTTGATGGTTTAATGAGTTCACTGTGAATTGTTTATTAAGTTGACGTTTGATAAGAGTTTCACTATACATAAGTTCGGTGAATTCATTGGACAAATCGTCAAGTTTATTGTCAATTCTTAAGTCGAAATGTTTGAAAAGTTCTCGGTTATTCTTTTAGCAACATTTGCAGTGCAAAGTGTTGTGACGAGACAAACATTGATGACTGACACAACGTTCGGAGGTGAATTGGACACAGAAAAAAGTAAAACAACATTCGAACGAAATCGCAAAGCTGAGGAAAGAATTAATTTGAGTTTTCCGGGCACGAAATGGTAAACGAAAAATAATTTTAAGTCTTTTGCTAAAAGAAAAATTGTAAAATTCGATCACACAGGTGTGGACCTGGCAACACAGCTGATGGCTACGATGATCTGGGAAAAGACAAAGAGGTCGATGCATGTTGTCGACAGCACGATCACTGTGACAACATTGCATCAGGTGAAGAGAAACATGGTCTGAAGAACGACGATTATTTCACTCGCCTCCATTGTCAATGCGACAAGGAATTCAAGCAATGTCTCCAAAGTGCAAATTCAAAGCGTGGAAATTACATCGGCAACTTCTACTTTAACGTTCGAGATCGTTGCTACAAAGAACAACATCCGATCGTTGAATGTGACGAGATTCACACAAAGTGAGTGACGATCTTCATTCGCAAGACGAAAGTATTGGAAAAGTTTCTTTTTTCAGAATCTTCATTCGCCGATGCATCAGATACACAATTGATGGGATGAAAGCGAAAACTTGGCAATGGTTCGACTTGCCATTTTATGACGATGAACACGACTTTCAGTTTGACGATCCAGAAGCTGATCACTTCGTTCAAGATAATAATTTACTTGAATTCGTTTAGCGATCTTTTCTTTCAAATGATTTCAAACTTAAATAAAATTTTATGAAGAATTTTTCATACTTTTCAAATTAATTTCATCGTCATTCGCTATAAAAACCTCAAGCGCGACTTCATTCAAAAAATTGTTAACGAGAAACTCAAATCAATGAAATTTCCGTTGGAAGATAAGAAATCGTCGTTGTCGTAGTTAACTTAAAATGTCAATCGTGTAGCATCAAGTAGGAACAACGACAACAGCAATGACGACATCATTTTCGTTTGTGAATGAAGTTTCTTGTTTTGTGATATTTCTCATATCAATGAACACGAACGAAGACAACATTGAAGTGTTCGCTTAAATAAAACTTCATCTCTTCGTTTTCGTGTCGATTTTTTGCTGCTGCCGTTGCTGTTGCTGCTGCATCGCGTTTCGTCTTCTTCGAAATGAAATTTAATTTCATTGAAACACGTTGTTGACACTAAAGATGACTCTCACAGTAAATGTTTGCTTGTTTACTTTCGTCATAAACTCAATTCGAGTCTCAAAAGATAGAAAACATGAAGACGATGATCTTTAAGATGTTTTCACGTTTCTTCCTATTGAAATGATGAAAACAATAAAGGGTGAAGCAGCTTCAACATGATTGTTATCAAAAGAATTGTCTCTTCGTGTAATTGCACAAAGTGATTTATTATGCAAGAAAGCTTCGTCATATGTGACTTTTTAATGATGAAAGTTTCTTGATAATTCATTCTTGAAACTATTTCATTAACATTTTTGCTTTCTCTAAATCTTTTAGCATGGTGTCGTTAAGTTTACGTTAATTTTTAAATTGATGTCAAATCATTAAGTTATTCGGTAATAGCACAAAACTTTGTGGCATATGATCAAGAAAATTTTTCAATATTCCTTCAACTAATTCACCAATCGCTTTTAAAGAGTTCAAGGTTGATTCACGATCGAACCCCGCAGGGCTTGAACGTAAATATCAAATTCAATTGGATACTATTAATGCCATGTTTGGGGGTAAGGCTTTTAATGTTCAATTCATATTTGACATAAGAATAATACAACACATGTCCATTCTACAATTTTTCAATTTATAACAGTCAATGTTTCAATTTTCATATTAAAATCGCCTCATATTCAGACACAAAAGTGCATTCAACAGTGAACTTTTCGATTCGAATGCGAAGTGAATGAAAAAAGAATGAAAAATAAATAAATAAAGGAAAAATGTTCTTGAAAAAAAAAACACTTGCACATTTCAATAAAATAACAATAACAGAAGAAATGCTAAAATGCAAAACATTAAATGTGCCCATTAATTTAAGTTAAGTTATTTGCAAACGTGTGTTGCCAGAGGTGGAAGCTTCGATAGAATTATTGAGCAGTTTGGTTATCAAGCTGACAATGTATTCTCATATAAAAGTGGAATTGGGTGCTTTATATGTAAACGAGGCATTTCGTTTTGCTTACTTTTTAAGACTCTGCTCGACGATGGTGAACTATCATTAATATTAAACAAACAGTCAGGTTGGCACGAAAGAAATTGCACAAGAATTAATATTAATATCGGCAAATGCGAGCATGGGAAACGCTTTTTGCATATCTGAATGTTTAAATCGCTGCATCAGCAATTTGTTATTTAGGATGGAAATCGCTTCAATGCTTTCATCGTTTCTTTCTTTTTTTTTGCATAATCTTATTCTAATAAAATGTCGTTGTAAAGCGTTGAAGAAATAGAATAAAAGCAGGCAGCAAACTGCAATTTTGAAACAGGTTTTCCTGATTGTTTGTCTCGGCTTGGAGTGAAAGAGAAAAAATAATCACGGATCGTTCGCAGTGCACATTGAAAAACGCAGCCATATAAGATCTTGCAGCTCATAACGAGTTCAATTATTTTACAATATGAGAAATTTTATGCAATTCAAGGCTGCATATACACAATTCTCTTATTGTTATGTTTTTCTTTATCGGATTTATAGTCCAATTTTGATGCTGCTTTCTGTGTCGGCACCAAAAGCTTCAACTAATTCATTTCCAGCCCTTTTTTTATTTTTTTTCGGTTCTCTTCGCTTGAAGAAACATTCACCAACTACTGACTGCAATAAATCTCATTTAATATTTTTTTTCTCTCTTAATTTCATCATAAATCAATATGATTTGTATGAATAGCGAATGAAATGAGAAAAAAAGAGTCGCAGTCAATGAAACAGTTCGATGCAAATGGGTTAATAAATATGTGACTCCTACATGGCGATCAGCGTCGGCGGCGACTGAACTGACTGTGTTGGTGACTACAGAATTCATTAATGAATTAAATAAAATGATTTTCATTTGGTATTAATATTCATTAAATTATTGTTCATAACGAAGATTGTTACGAAATGATTCTCATCATGATGTGAAATAAAAAACTTTTCCTGTCATCTTAACTGACATTTCCACTTAATATTTTACTTAAATAGTCTTATGAAGTAAATCCATGAAAGTGTCAAACATAAATTGGCTTTGACAAAAGTAATTTCATAAATAGTAATCTAATCTCATAATTGAAATGTGCTTTTCAAGGTGAACTTTCTAGTCTGTCTATTGTGGAAAGGCTCCTGTGAAGTTCATAACACCATGCCAGTGTGTGTCGACTGAAATTGATCTGACTCAATTCCAAACATGGCTTAATCATATAAAGTTCCAGGGTTGTTTAGCTTGTACTTTGTTAATGATCTCTTTTAATTGGAAATTTCGTTCTCTTGTCAATTATGTTCGTTTTGAAAGTCTCCATAAGTTCATTTATTGACATAAAATTTTACAGCATTAAGTGTTAAATGCTTTGTTCACATCATAACGGGCATTTAAACAAGTAAATAAACAAACCTCAATCTTTAACGTGTTCCAATTTGACAAACTGTGATAATCAATAAAAGTAGTCATGAATAACAGTTTTTCTCTTCTTTCTCCTTCATTCTTCCATCTTTCCATCCATCTTTGTAACTTAAACTTAAGAATTTTAATAACAAAATTTTAAATTCGCTGATGGTTATCTCAGATTCCATTTCATTACAATCACAGTGAAAATAGATTTTTTATTCGTGTGCTTCATGTCGACTTCAATTTAATATTTGTTGACTTGATGGAAGGTTTCTTGAAAAAAATTATTTCTTCATGCTATTCACGAGTCGCGACTTCATCACGAGATTAAACGAAAACGGTAAAAGTTGTTTTATTTTTTTAATATCATTTCGAATGTGTTGTTTCTGTGTCTCTGAAACCGCAAATTTTCTTTGTGGATACTGAAAGCAGGAAAAGGCGTTCTTTTTGATTGACGCAAAAAAGATATCAATTATCAAGTTCGCTCTGCTTTGAGTCATTTCTTTTTTCCTCCTTCTTTGTATCTTTCACGAATGCGCCTCATTTTCATCAGTCAGTAATTTTTTTCGCTACCTTTTTGTTGCGAGTCACGGTGATGGGTTTCACAAGTAGACGTAAATTGATTAAAATCGAATTCAAAATTAGCTAGAAATTCTTTTTGCTTCTTTAGATCACATTCGTGCCATTTAAAGGTTGCAAATCTCTCCCCAATAAATTTGTGGTAGAATTGATACTCGAGAAAAGGATGTAAAAACATAAATTAAAATAATTTATTGGTTGAGATTCGCGCGGTTTATTGTCGCTGGTGAGTCAACTCGCTGTGCGATGTTGTAGCAAATAAAAATATTTATTACTCGCCTGACTGACTGAAGCATCTGAGTCTTGACTGCGCATGTCTTTTTTTCTTGAATTATTTTTTTTGTCTGCATCCTGGAGATCTGCTAATTTATTCGCTTGAATTTTGTGTTGGTTTTTTTCTCTCCAACTTTCCAGACGTCGATTACTTTATGATTGGCTCTCTTGTGTTATGAAGAAGTTCTTACAGTACAATGCAAGTGAAAGTTTGAAGTGATTTCATATTGAATTATTTTCACATTAAAGTCAAGGATGTTTCATAAAAATGTCTGCGTCAACCTTCTTTTTTTTTCAATTTCATTGAATTTCTAGATTTAGTAACACCAATCAGCATTCTCTTTCATAACCAGCAATGTACCATACTATTAACTATTTGCCTTCATTTCTCAAGTTCTCAAGTTCCTTTCTTATCCAAAATCTCTTCTAGCGCTCTTGATTATTCTTCAAGCAAAGTAATTTATCAATGCCCGTTATGATACTTGATTTCATATAATTTTAAATGTTCGCCTGTTTTTACGAGATGATTATTAGTGGGATAAGAATCTGAAGCAATAAGGGATAGCAAAGAAATACGACTAACGAGAAATGAAAAAGGTTTTTTGCAGCAAATAACGTTTGATTATCTACTTTGATTTGAAAAGATTGCATGCAATGTTCTTTTGCTATGAAATATAGTCGAAGTATGAATGAAGTTTACTATTTAAAAAATGGGAAAAATCAACTTATGATATTAAAAAATATTTACTCTATCTCCGCGACTTTAAACTTTTGTTTCAATAAAGTTAATTTCATGCTATTCCGATATGAGTGATTAAAGAAATCCCCATGAACCCTCTTGCAGTCTAACAAATTGATTTCGATCGATCTCATTTAAACAAGCAGCATGATAAGAATTGGAAACAATCTTTTCGAATCAAGCTGAAGGCGTCAAATGTAAGAAAATAGATTTAAACGACTTTCGTACTTAATTTAATTATTTTTTTTCGTTGCACAACACTCGACACGAACAAGCAACAAATGACGTAAATAGAAAAAAAAGTAAAAATGAAAGTGAACCTCTGAATCTAATAACAAGTTTTGACATAAATTTAAACAAATCACTTTTCAAATTGCGCCTCAAGCAACAAATATCTCCATTTCGAGTTTAGTTTCTTCTCAAATGATTTATTTCCTTCCAATGCCACCTTCGAACTGCTTCGCTTGCGAATGTTTCATGCCGAAAAATTTATTATAATTTAATGTTTTGTAAGACATTTTGTGCGATTATTGACATTCGATACGTCAATTAACCATGGTTCTTTTCAACAACAACAACAGTGTTTCTTTTTTGAAAGAAAGCGAGTGAGAGTTTTGAAAAGACTAAAAAAATGTGAACAACATTTCTTGCACAATAAATTCCAAAAAAGCGATGAAACATTTGAGCATTCAATCTGACTGTGGTGAAAGACACAAAAGACAAGATAACATCTTGAGCGTTGGTAAAGTTTAACTTTAAATTGATATAATAGCCTCCCACGCCGTCGACAAGCAGCAATGATTTAACAAGCCCTTGCGTGATTCTACAACAATAAATTTTTGTTTTCCAAACAAGAAAGAAAAAGAAAATTATCATCTTCACATTTCTTGAATGATTGTTTCTTTCTCCGACCCCAGCAGTGTATGTTTAGATAGTAACAATACAATTTGCCATTTGCTGATTTAATTTGTATCGACAAAATGTTGAAGGGGAAAAAAAAAGTATTGGAAATTTTATTAAGCCGTTATTTAGGTGCGGCTAGTTATGGAACAACATGATAAAATTGTCGAAACAAGACAATGGTTAGGAGGGGAAGAAAGAATTGGAGAACAAATACGAAATACAAATTTCGCGCTTTTCTAAATCAATTGCTAGGCACAAAACAAAAAAAAATTGAAATAATGTTCTCCCCACAGGCCATGAAATTAATCGACTCTGCAATTAATATGTCGCAATGAAGTTATGGATTTGTGGTTGATTTTATGCTTCGCGTGTAAGACATTGGAGAATTAATGGAGCATGAAATCGAAAGAGATGTGAAAAGGCGAGACATCTCCTATTTATTGACACATATAAAGAGATTAACTTTTCACCCAGATCAAGAAAGACAAGCACTAAGACGTAAAGTAGAATTAATGTGTTGTTCGTGCTGACAATTGGCAAAATATTGAAGCAAAAAGAAAGTTTGAAGAAGAAGTTTTGATGGCGAAAATATTATTTTATTACGTGGAAACACTTTCTTCAGCAAATATCAAAGTTAAGCTCGTAAAAATGGGATTTTCTTAAAATGCAACAATCAATTCGGATTTTAAAATTATTTCCTTAACAAAAGACTTAAATTACAGTACATGTGACGAACCTTTTAAGTTGGAATTTCTATTTTCAACAGCTTCATAAATACCTTAAGAATGCATACATGAATGGGAAGAAGAAGCCTCAAAGAAAATGAAATTAATTTTTTTATTCAAGTAGAAAATTTATTCTTTTTTAAGTCGACCATCTCACCATATCGTATCATTACATAACATTGTATGTTGATTGTTACACATAAAAAAGATCTAAAGTATCGACCGAAACAAACATTAGATATGATGATGTGTTTTCTTCACCTAATTATGGCCAATTAGAAACGCTTCCTTTCTGAAGACTGTGATGGCTTGGTTTATTATAGCATTCTAAGGTCTCCTTTATGCTATACAAATACATGCCGCAATCGAAACTCATCGTCAAAGAAAATGTTTGAAATTGATCTCTTTTGAAACTTCGTTCTTTTATGCTATACCGCAACGTTCTAATCATATCAAACCGTTATCGTCTCATGAAATTAGAGAATGTCGATGTGAAGAAGCCGAGAGAAAATCAAAATCAACTTAACTTTAATGACAACATACAAAGGAATTCCGTCAGTTTCCTGTTAATAGTCGATGATGCATGAACATATCAGAAATTAACTCTTCTTAAAATTACACTCCATTAATGTTATTATTTAATATGGAAGGCCGAACAAAAATTGATTGATTTCAGTTAACAAAATTTGTTCCAGTAATTAATTGCATTTGATTTTGTGTGGAAAGTCGCTTTCATGTGGCTATTGGTGAATTAGAAATTAAGATTCATTGCATAAGCAAAATTAAGGCGAGATGAAAACTTTTAGTGGACTACGCAAAAAAAGCGACATCACATGATGCTAATTAAAACATATTAATGACGTTCCATTAATCACAACCCTAAAATGGTTGCTAATTAAAAATTTACCTCATCCAGAGATGGGCAAATGTTCCGTTCAACTCGATTGACTGACTGACTGACATGTCAATGTCTGTCAGTCAGGCAGTCAGTCAGTCAAAATCGCGAACAAAAATATTCGTTTGTTGGGAAACGTTCATATAAATGTTCCGCTCAAGTCGTTTGACTGATTGACTGACAAGTCAATGTCTGTCAGTCAGTCAGTCAAATCCCAACTCTGACCTCATCTCGAGTTAATCCTAAAACTCGAAAGCTTTAAAATTATTTCAGATATTTGGAAACTTAATTTCGGAATTTCATTTATCTCATTGGAATAATTTAGATGTCCAAATACAAAGTTTCAATTAACTAATCTTATATTTATGTATCAGCAAACAAGCTGTATCAGAAAAAATACTTAAACAGTCAATGGAGTAATTAATGAAAAGAAGTTTGTGAGTTATTGCCACAAACATTCACAACAAGCATTTTCAAGAGCTTTTCTGCAATCGTTGCAACTGATTTATTACTGTGGAAATTACATTGTGTTGGAAGTCAGATAAATAATTAATTCCACCGTTTATTAATTACGGGATAGAGAAAAATGTAAACTTTGTGATCTTAGTTGTGCTGAAATCAATTTAACTTGCAAATAAATATTTAATGTCTGTTAATTAATATTTAAAATTCAATAAAACAACTATGCAAGTGACTTTGATAATAATCTACTACCGTCAAGAAATATAATTTTGATGGATTTACAATTCGTTTGACATTTCAGGTAAATTCAACATTCAATTACGGTTAATGAAAGTGTGACTGCATTTTTATATTCAGTAGACTAATGGATATTCATCATATTCTTAGGATTGAAAAGATACATAAATGACACAAATTCCATAATTCCCCTCCGGTTATATCTTGCCCAGAAAACATTGCAAACATGCAAGTTGTAAAATCGATGATTTAAATATTTGATCAACTCAAGAGTAAATAATTTTACGCTCATAAAACATTAATAACGCAATTAAGTTCACAATTATTCCGAGATTGCCGATTTAATCGCTTTCAATATTTTTATGTGATTATTACTTGGGATATGCTTGCAATGTTGCATTTATTGTACCATCATAAAAACTTGTTTCGTTTCGCCTCATTGATGAGGATCGGCATACTTTGAAGCTTTGTGATCAAGTTAAATAAGTGACAAAAGTAATTATCATAAACAATTGTGCGCAGATATTTAACTGCTGTTTCAGTTGTCTAAGAAATTGATTGGAGTTTCATTATTAAAATAGACATAATTTGATGCTTGAGCGTATACATTCTCATTAACTTTATTGATAGTTTGCACAGTCGTATATGTATACATAATAAGACTTTTAGCAAAACTAGCGGATAAATATTATAAACGAAAATAGTATAAAAGAATCATTAGCAGTTCTCTTGTTCTTAGAAATTCGAAGTAATAGAGAGTGGGAAAAGAATGAATGCGAAGACCATAAAACATCTTCTGTGAAACAAGATTGATTTAAATTTAATTGCCAAAAATTATTCAACATTCTTGTGTTGTAAATTAACATAAATGAGATGAAAAGAAACTCTAAAGAAATTTCCTGTCATTAATCAGATTGAGTCTCATCAGAATGTATCGACTGTTGTCAATTATCTTCTCACTTAAGGTCATTAAACTTGAGAAAATCCAATCAACTCATTTTGATCTGAGATGAAAACGTTTTTCGTTAGAAAAAGAGCTTAGAAGATTATTTAGAGTTTCTTACTTTTCTCCATTTGTGTTCAACTCACTGGCATATTTAAGTCTATTGTTAATCCTATTTTTTACAACCGCACGTTGTATAAATGGAGGCAATATTTGAATCAAGTTGTAGAATTTTCTTCGTGGAAAGCAAAGAAGAAGAATTAAAATAAATGACTATTGGGCTTCTTCTTTATTGCTTAAAACTTGAAAGTTGAAACTCTTTAGAATTCATAAAAATAAATTTAATATATAACTTCAAATAGTTTATGATTCTCAACATTTTTAAATTATTGTTGGAATCTTTTATCACATAATTGAATTAAATTCCACACGCTTCCGCCATAAATTCGTTGACAAATTTGAGTTATGAAATGAATTGCCCGATTAAAACTGAATTAATTTGTATCTCGATTTCACTTTCAATGCTTCTTTTTTATCTTTTTTTGATGTCTTACCGAAAGCTAAACATAAGCCTTCGATTCATATAAATCATTCGGTGAATTTCTAAATCGTCGCGAAAATTATCAGTTACGATACGATTCATAATGATGTCATATTGCCATCATCATTATTAAATAACTTTTAATCAAAAATTCCGATTTTTTCTCTCCAAAAGTCATTAAGAGATTCACGAATGGAAAAGTAAGCACGTAAATAATGCCTAGGAGCGTCGCGTTTTCATCTCAACTCATCTTTTTTTTAGCTTTTTACGAGCATGTCGTGGCTCGCCGAAGAGAAACGTCGGAAGTTTCAAAACATGTTTTACCCGATAGGACTGATAATAACAATAAATTTAACCAACACTCATGACTTCATAGCAGACTTAATGAATACAAAGAATTTATTATCGCCAATTGTAATTATTTTTTATGGTAGTTTAGCGATCATTTATGCATGCTTTAAACTGGCTTTTGCCTAAAGTCACATGAATAAATAAACATTCGAAAGAGTCGACATTTCAATTTACAATAAATTTCCTTAAATTAAATTAAGAAAATTTTGATGAATGGTCGAGATAAGAGATGATCAAAGTTAATTTATTTCGTGACTTGATTACGATTACAAAATCTCAAGCTAGGATGATGAAAGATTGCGAGGATTAAATTGAGAAACGTGATGGCAGGTCCATCAGGTGGATGATGGTCACGATGATACAACGCACAAGTCTAGCACATTTAATACAGACGTGCAATAAAGACCAATTGAGAAATCAAAACCGATCTTTATGTTCGACAGGTTTCATCTTGAAATGATTTTGCAAATATGAAAAATATTTAAAATAAATAATAAACTTCTCAATTTGCGGCAGAATGGAAATTCAATGACTTAAACTCACCATTTTTGTTGTCTGTGGTAATTTAATCCAAATATATCCAAGAATACAAAAAACTTCTTTGGTTCAGCTCCAGTTGATATTTATTCCCGAAGTGAAGCAAATGCTTATATGATCTCTCTCGAGATGGTTAACCAAATTCAATTTTCTAGATCTATTAGTGCCGCGCCAATTGTTGTTGTTGTTTTTTGCTTTATCTTGACTTTGCCTTTTCTTCTTTCTCTCTTTTCGGTGTTGAATTTCCTATGCTTCAACTATAACCACAAACTTCCACTGTGTTTATTGATTATAAGAATAAAGTTTTGTAGGAAATCATTATTTAATCTTTTTTATTTCGCTTCTTTCTATTCGTCTTATTTCATTCAATCGAATCACTTCACTTGCTTCTTAATTTTTGCCAGAAATCGATTTTTCAAAGCTGATGATTTCGTGTGTAAGAACTACAATTATTCTGGCTTAATCATGAACAATAAAAGAAACCTATTTTTCTTAAGAATCTTCTCAATATTAATTCCACTCCATCAATGTAAATGGAATCTTAATGAGGGCTCACCCAACAATGAAAGTCTTGTTTGTAATGCTCAAAAATAATCACATCGAGTTTTCCAAAAAAAGATTCAAGTTTAATTCGTGTAATGAATGAATTACTTCACTTCTTAAGATTTTCTTGTCTTCACTCGCGAAATCAACGGCTTTCGTGTTAAGAATTGCTTCGTTTTCGCGTTTTTCTTACAATTCACAAATTATAACTTTTCATAAATCCATTAAAACTTTTAATCAGTAACATAAAACCTCTTTCGATGCTCCTTGATCTTTCGGCTTGCTTTCAGTCTTTCTTCAGCATCACTTCAACGTAGATATCTAGAAAAAAATGAGAGGAGAAACGGGAGATGATGAAAAGTGAAAATAAATTTCTTTAATGATTTTTATGTAAGTTTTGGGAAGCTTTTGTCTTGGAGATTGGATAAAAATTATGTCATAGTTCATTTTGAATGCCATTTGACTATTCAAATCAATTAATAAATCATTCAACATTCAATTTTGAGTTTTAATCCCAAACTATCCAATCGCTCCACAAATAATTGAAATAAAGCTCCGGGAATGAACATAATTAAATGTCGTGGATTAGTTCAACTTTAACTGCCAGCTTAACATTAAGTAGCTTCAGGTATTTTCAATAAATTTATGTTTTTTATAGTTGCATAACTTTTCAAACCTATCAACCTCATACTTTAATCCACATTTTATTTTCTACTTCGGAATTAATTAGCATTCAATTTCATCTCAGGAAATATTTTTCTTTCATATTTCTTTTTCTAAGTAAATAACTTAAGGCAGAACTTTCCCCATGGAAATAGAAAATAAAATCTTTTTCGAGAATTTATGCACAATGATTGAGAGAAAACATTGATTTGTGATTTCATTAATTAATTAACATTGAATTCCAACTGTGCATAGAATAGGAATGGAGCTTAATGAACTTTCGAATCAAAAGCGAGGCGATGAAGGAAAGGAACTGTTGCAGCAAGAAAAGCAGTAGACTTCATTAATTCAAGCAGTTGTTTCTTTTCTCCTTCCTTGTTTAGATTCTTGCTGTTTTATGAAGTAAATTAAACCTTTGATCATTGTAGAAGCAGAAAAGAAGGAATAAATAAAAGCTGCATATTCCATAAACATAATATTAAATTAAACGAAAAGATTGAAGAGAATCTTAACACTGCAATGGTACTTTGAAGATGCTCTCAACCTTGATTCACTTACTACACAAAAACTTTCCAACATTTCATCCACTCTCAACTTTGACCTTCAACGCTGTTGTAATTTAATTTTTAAAAGAAAAATCTTCACTTGATAAATTAAAATGTTTTATTACGTTCCGCAACTCGCAGTCTTTGCGACACTGCCAAACAGCATGCATAAATTCGAAATAAAATCTTAATCGATTTGGTTCACCTTCTAACAAGTTTCACTGCTGTTCACGAGCCTATACGCGTAGGTGTTGCAAAAAAGCAATTTAACATAAAAATTAAAATAATATCTTTTCTTGAATTGCATGAGACTGTTGAGACAACACCGCACAAAATTACATCCACCTAATGCATTAAACTAAGAGAGACTAACATTAAATTATTTTACGCTTCCAACCTGCATTAACTCTATTTAAATATTAAAATTTTATGTATTGACAAAAAGGTTTCGCTTAACGCGTAGCTATAAGCCGATCTTTTATTATGTCTAATGGCATTAGTCTTGAACTCAATTCTTAATTCCGAAATATATCAAATGGTATTTAATTTCTTTCGATATTGTTTAAGATGCATTACACGAGACTTTTTTTCATTGTAGATATTTCATAAAACATTTCTTTTGCAGCGCCTAGGACGCTATTGAAATGGTAATTCTAAATATGGAGCAATTTAATTAACACATGTTATTGTAATGCACGCTCGCGTATCAACGGTGTACAGATTGAAATTCAATGGAATTCTTGAAGCGATGAAAAAATGTATTTCTGTAATCTGAAGGGATTTCAACAATAGTGAAATGTTGATTTCTGAGGTCTTTTGAAAAATAAGAAAAAAATCGCTTTAGGCAAGACATAATACGCGAAAATCTTAAGGTGTCTGATGGAGGTCGCGATTTAAGAGTTTTTTGAACTCGATAAATGATTGCACGTAGCTTTTAAATAAAAGAAATAAAAGCATGACGCAGTTGTTTAACATTGCACTACTTTTTTAATCTACAGTCCAGTTATCTATTTAGTTCTAGAATTTGATTGAATCAGTGTCGAATTTGTTAATCCGAAAAGCTTCGCGACATCAAAATCATGACATGACGAGACAAACTCCCGAAGTTCTGATTAATGATTTGTCTTTACAATTCACACGCAGTCAAATTTTAGTTTTCTTCATTCTGCATTCGGTTCGTGTTCATTAAGTTTATGTTGAGCCATCACAATGAGGGTCAACGGCCAATGAGACAGGAAGGGCGACCCATCTAACCGTTAATATGCGTTGATCACGATATTCACTCTTCGCAGTAACGAAATCTCATTTTCGTTGTAATTTCTCAACGAGAGGTGAAAAATTATTCATAAAATGAAATGTACACCGCTCGTTGTCGTAGGTGTCATTGACATTTCATTACGAGATCAAACAGGAAAAGAGATTAAGAAAATGTGTAATAGAAAGATCTGTTTAATGTACAAATATTTCGCTGATTTGTCGTGCAAAGTTAAAGACATAAAAATTTTTCTCCACGCTGAGTTTTTTATTTTCAACATTTACTGTCGCCCAAACACTTATGGTTCTCGCCATAAATCGACAATCAACTCGATAATCTCCAATAATCTCCGTTCCAAATTGCAATGATCTCAACTAAATTCTGCCGTAGTTTTGGATTTGACAATAAATTAATTAAACGAAGGAAAAATGTAAACAAAAACAAAAGTTTGCGTTGATTTCAGTGGATTTAAATTTCATTTTTAAGCTGCTGATCTTCTTCCTCTTTTCTTTCTCAATTCTGAGAATCTTTCGTTGGCCAAACTGTATAAATAAAACTGTATCCAGTTCTTCTTATTTTTATAAAACATAAACAAAAGCAATACCAAACACGGACAGCAAGAGGAATAAGATACGTAAAAGAAGATTTGTTCGCCCACAAGAAGACATTCACATCTTCTGGTTGCGGCTTCTTACTGCTGTTTCATTAAAATGTTGTTCATCTCTCATGTTTGCTTGAGTGATTTAGCGAAAATATTTAAATTCTCCGTTCACAATATCTTGAAGATGTTTTCATCTTCTTAATCCATGAAAATCTTGTCTTGAAAGATGATTTCAAAGTTTGATGGCCCTGAGATTTGCTTTATGATTAAGTTTTGTCGTAAAGTTGCAGTTTCTTTGTCAAATAAATTTTTTTGTAGTTCTGTTTCTGGTCAACCGATGACACAGAAAATAAAATTATAATTTGCGAGCTTCTGCTTTGAAGGTACAATGTCGTTGATGTGGTGTATGAGGAACTTAACATTAGTGCTTATTGCGTAAAAAAACTCATGGCCCCGACGACAACATAAACATTTTAAATGCGATTACTCATTAATTTTTATGCAAAAGTTGTCATGAAAATTAATAACAAAATTTTTTACCGCCGTTGCAGCTTTTATTTTTAAGCTGATCTGTTATTAAAGGTTTCGTAATTGCATCTTAGAAACAGAAAAAGAAAATGAGAAGATGCAATTGAATAAATGAAAGATTCATGAGAATTCTTCATAGCTTTAAAAGATTCGAAAGTTTTCACATCACTTGAATGTGAATAACTTCAAAAATGAGATATCGTTTCATATTCTGACACATAAATTGTAATTAATAGTTGACAAGACGCCCTAAAGCGACCTAAAAAGAGAAATGTAGACACATGTCTAGTAAGGCTGAAGCACTAAAAGGAAACTGAGTATAAAAATCAGGTTTCCACTACTGGTTTGACTTTAAATTGTCGACTCGAGTTTTAATTAGTTAACCCCGGCAATAATGTCTCATTAAATTGTACTTCTCAAAGTGGTTTTTTTAATACGCATACGCATTTTACCTTCATTGAACTAGTTGATTCGTAATGTTATCCAATAATACATTTTTTTCCTTTATTTGCAATCAAAACTTGCGTCGAAATTAATTTTTTATTGATTTTGAGTAGATAAATACTTCACTAAATTACTTATCGTTCCGAACTTTAAATTTTATTCTTTCAGAAAAAAATTTCCTTCGTTTTATTTTGTTTAATTTAAAGTTGCGAGAGAAATAAATTTTGGCAGTCGAAAAATGAGATGATTCTTTGTTGGTTTTTATATTTCTTTTAGTAATGTTAACAATTCTTTTATGATCTTTTTAATTTCTTTTTCTGCCTCAGGTAATCACAAATTATTTCACATTTTCACATCATCTGAAAAATATCCTCAGCATTGTAATTTTTTTATTCCGTCATTCATTTCTCTTTTTTGTGACTTTATTCCAGTTCTTTTATTTTTGCACCTGCTGAGAAGGATTTCACATGTTATTTCAATCAAAATAATGTCTTAAATTATTAACATTTATGTTGTGTACGATGCTTTACATAATCCAATTATTCGGCTTTTTATTATTTTTTTTTCTTTCAAGTAAATCAATCAAGTTCACAAATATTTTCTTCTTCTTCGAAAATATTGCAATAAAATAAAAAAAAAATAATATTCTACACCCGTTGGATACGAACGCGTGTAAACCGTGCAACAATCGACACTCGACTAACTTTCTCAGCAAACTCAAGAAACTGTTTCATTTTCCATGTTTCGCCGACCGGTTTTTTGCTGGTTGATCGTTGTGTGTGTAGTTGTGCAATGTTGCACAGGTAGATTTAAAGAGAATTGTAAACAGACAGAGAGTCGAGCAACGAGGAAAGAAGAAGTGATAAACTGGTTTCCAGTTGCCGTAGCACGTTGTTTACTCACCGCATATAAAATACCCGCTCGCTCATCATTTGTTTTGTTATTTCAATATGAATCCATTCATCATGTCAATGTTGATTTGATGTTTTTGGGGGGCTAAATATTGATGGATCCATGGTGATGGTCAAAAAGTTTAAGGTATCATAACAAAATTGATTCTTGGTGGTTTTATTTATTACAAATGATTGCCATTGATTTAAAGTTTAAGTGGATGAATCGAGGTTGACAGCTTTTTCCACAATCACCATTCATGTTTATCCTACAAATTTATTGCATTTCCTGTGGGCAGTTCCGTTACTGTCTGCTTTTTTATGGTTGCGTAGGCTTCGTTTACATTTATGCTTCTCATTGCAACTTTAATCTTACTTCATTTTCTCATTGAAGACTTAAATGTGGTTTAACAAAATTCTTTGAAAGCTGATTCAATTTTTCTGATCGACATTGTTGCGTCTTTCAAGGTTTTAAAGTGTCACCTAAACAATCCCAAAATGCTTTATTTTATCGAACCTTTACCAACATAAAGTATCAATAAACGGCAACATGGTTTTGATGACATAATGTGACTGATAATAGATTTAAACTCAAGTTTTATTGAATGAAATAATATTTAAAGTCAATAAAGTGTATTTTCTTGGAATCGCTCTTTAGTCGATTGTGCTATGGTTGGTTATGCAATGTGGTGGTTGGTAATGTGATCGACATTTAAGTAAAGATGAGGAAAAGCAAACATCTTTGATCTCTCAAATAGTTTCTCATGATTAAAGCAAATACGTAATGGAGTAAGTAAACTTTATGATAGTTGTTTAAACTGCACGTCGACATTCTTCTATTTATTTTATTTCATTTAAAAATTTTTTCGTTGCCATTTCAAGTGAAGATTATCAAAACATTTCGATTCAATAAGTAGTTAGTAATTAAATTTAATGAATTGAAATTCTTTTTCTTGCAGCCTTTTGCATTTTTTTCGATAAATATCATGAGCTTCTATTATGCAACAATTACAAATTTTTCTCCCAGGGCTTATTGTTGCTGTTTTTCGATGCTTTGAATTCAAACAATTAAATCAGAAGTAAACCAAGAAAATGTTTTTCCTTCGTTTATTATAGATGGAAATTAATTAATAACAATTTTGATGTGAGATTATGGAATGTAATGGCGGCAGATATTCATTTGAGATTTAAAACAATAACCGACATTAACTAGGTTTCTGAATGAATTTAAATAGTAATAAAAAGTTGTGCACGTTTGTTTGTTAAGTGCATGAAGTGAGAGGATGGGAAATCAAACAACATATACGCTAATGAAGACGAACTTCTTTCTCTCACTCTTTCACGAGAATTTGAAATTGTTTGGTAACCTATAAAATCGTTGAAAACGAGAAAAAAAAATCACCTGAAGTCTGATGAAGTGTTATCGTCGTGAAGCCCTCTTTCCCATGACTTCACTGCTCAACTCTAAGATGAAAGAAAAAATTTATGTGAAAGTCTAAGAGAACCTTTTTCTTTATCTTTCGTTTAAGATGGAATTAAATAACAGTGAAACATTTACACAATTTTATTGCAACTTGAATGAAGTTTGGAAATGATGTCGTTAGTTAACTTTCTGTGTCATAAATTTGTTCCAAATTAAATTATCAAAATTTTATTGTTTTATTCGACACGATGTTTCATTAACGACAGTTGTTGCGTAACTCTGAAAAATCACCCAAAATCTTAAAAAGCAAAAGTTGAATGAAATGTGACATAAGGAAAGAAGAGAATTTCATGGCAATGTTGCAGCTCACAACATTAATTTAAATATATTTTTTATTTATCTTTCACGGTTTTGTTTTATCATTCATTTTGATAAACTAATTGACACAAACTACAACGGGATCGTTAGAAATGAATCGAAAAAACTGTTTCTTTTGGTTCTATTTCCATTAATTAATAGTTCTCATTTCTCTTTCTGTCGCCTCACCTTTTCTACTAACACCGCACAAATAACATAGCGAAGATATTAGTCGCCAGACTTTCTTCCATTTGCTACCATATTCAATTTCAATAGAAAGAAATGTAAGTATTCACGTGAGTTTTCTTCTTCACTTTGGATTGTATTTCAATTCTTTTCTCGTGCAGGTTGAGATTTTGAATTACTAATCAGTTAAAGAAGGTAGTTTGTTGTACAACAATAACTCATTGAAATTGCATAATTTGAGTAAACGGTGAATATTCGAGTTAAGAATTAATAAATATTAAATGCTTGAACAAAGTTCTTTCAAGTTGTTTTATTTAAGATTTCTCAAGAGATTTCAGAAAACTTTCAAGTGATCTGCGTCTGCTTCCTTAAGAAATTTCTTTAATCTTTGTTTATTTTTCTAAATGAAGTTGACATGGAAACTAGCTCAAGTAGTTAAAGTTTTCAATTTTAACAGATTTCTATTCAACTTGAAGATTATTTGACCTAACGTCTCATTAGCACATCAGCATTTCCAAATCATAAAAGATGCCAAAATTTTTGATTATTCATGCCGAGACTGCTGTGTAAGAAAAAGAAATCAAAAGCAATCGTCGCAATGTCTGAATCACTTCACACTTCATTAGAGGCAAAAACAAGAACAAAGAAGTTTTTAAGACCGTAATCCGTTTCTTTTATTCAACTTGACCACTTCGATATGACTCATCGATAAATTCATAATTGATTGAGATTTTCATAAGCTTCCAAAAGATTCAGAATCAAATTCAAGAAATGAATTCTTTGTGCCCAACCTTCGAACCGAAACTAAAGCAACACAATCGAAATCAATGTGAGACTGAGAAGGCAAAAAAAGAGGGAAATTGACAAGGAACACACCTTCTGGGTGATTTAAATTTGATTATTTCGCGCATGAAAGGAAAACTGAGCATTAATTGTTCTACATTCTTCCACTTCGACTTCAAATTCTAAGCAAATTAAAATCGAAATAAAAGCAGCGGTTCAATTAACAGATTATTATCGACGGTTGAAAAGCATTTGCTGGAGATCACGTTTTGCATTTTTTTAGAATTTAGTTAGTTAGCCGCAGCCTTCACCCAAGCTTCGGACTGTCAAATTGTTAATAAATTTTAAAAGCTGTTCATTGTAAGCAACCAAAAGGCCATGTTTGAGCTTGCTGACTGTTTTTTTCTCTTTACACGAAACAAAAGGTGGACATTGAATGCTAAATTTATATTAAAATGATCATAAACATGATTCTTTTTACTGAGATCAATTGGCTATTGAAGCAAAGGAAACAGATGAAATAATGAGACAACATGAAATAAAAAACAACATGACTTGGTTAAATAAGGGACACAACGAAGGGCGATAATTCTCCGAGAAGCAATAAATCGAAACTCAACGATCCTCAACAAGAAAAAAAAACATTAAAAAGAAATCTTCGCCACTATCGATCGAATTAAACGAGTAATTAAAACTTAAATTTAACAAACAGTCAACAGCAACAAAAAGTTCTGAACTTGAAGACTTCGCACGATTTTCACGTTCAATTTCTCAACAAAATCGTGACTTTCAATTGAGATGTGCAAGAAACACAAAAAATATCTTCTTCGCCTTCAAGACAATCAATTCAGGAACCTCCGGCCCTTTGTAATTGAACCATTACCACAGCACATAAGGAAGTCTCAAAAACTACAAAGTTGCATCTCGCAACTCAATAAAATGAAGTACAAAAAAAAGTTTTTAAATAAATGGAAAAAATCGATCGCGTCACGAACAAATATTAAAACAAATAAATCAATTCAACAACAACTTCATTTCATTCACTCCGCCTGTTTGATTTGCAAACGAAGACATTTTGATTAGTTCGCATAAAAAGTAAAACTGACTCGTTTTGTGAAGTACTCACGGAAACATCACGACTTTGATGTCGCTCAGAGGGCATTTGACAAAACTCTTTGAAAAAAGATTTTTTCCATTGTTGATGAACCATAAAGTTCGCCTCGTCACATGAGAACAAACGACTTCATGGAACTTTCCATTTCATATTCGTTTAATAGTTTGCAATTATGCAATTCTTATGAAAGAGTTTAAGCGTGTTAAGTTTGACATAACCCGAGGACCTCAATTTGTATCCCAAAAGCATTCCAGCAATTTGTTTCTTTTTATATTGCGCAACATTATTTTTATACTTTTTTGGTTAACGCCCGCGTATCACTTTTACAAATGAAGATGCAATTTTCCTGGAGCTTGAGAAATGAGAAAATGAATACAAGGGCAAAAGATAACTTACGCCAAAGAATGATTTATGTTTTTCATTCCAAACTGCTTGACTCACAAACTCTTTTGTTTTCACATCGTTTTCAGTTTCTCTCTCAACGAAGATGCTTTTAAAAGTAATTTGGTTTCGTTTATGCTTCGGTACAACTAAGAATATCGACAAGACGGGGAAAGACGAGACGAGAGCAGATTGTGTAAATCAAATTATGCGGTTGAACGATCGGCAGAGACGTGTTAGAATGATTCAATGCCACTGCACAGAAGGTGCGTGGATAATTTGAAATTAGCCCAATCATGGTCATCGTCGCTGATTCTTGTGCGCTTGCTTTTTGCAAATCTTTTTATTATTATTTCTACTTTGCGTTCATTCAACATTTTAATTGACTTTCACGCCTGGCATATGCAAGTTCAGGGACGGAAATAGATTTGAGTTAGGTTTGTGAAGGATTTAATTGCAAATTCTCCCAAGAGAAACTTTCGATTAAAGTTTTTTTTAGAATTATTTATTACCATGAATTTGCAACGAAATCCAACAACATTAAGTCAAATCTACGCGAAAGTTTCATCCAACTCCTACCCTGTAATTTATCAAAGCGTAAAGACGAAGAGAGAGAAAAAAATTAATCATTTGACGCGCTTCAATAATGTAATTACTTTTTTTTTCAAAATAACACTTTACGTCTTCGTTGCTTTCCCAAACATTCTTCGACGATTTAAATCGTTTGTTGGTTGGCTTGGCATGGCACTTTTCGTGTGTCAGACGGATGTGTTTTGTGATTAAAGAGTTTGAATAAAAAAAGTGAATGTTGTTCAGTAATTTCTTTTCGAACTGCTCCTTCTTTGCTTTTTTTGTAAATTAAATTTAAGCGCGAAAAATGTTACAACACGCAAGAGAGATGCGACCACCTCAAGCATGGCATTTCAATTTTACATGGGATCTTTCAGTGCTAATAAATTGACGATCGATGTCTGAATTCGTTTGGAGAAATGTTATAAGATTTCTTGTTCGCTTCAATAAATCATTCGCCATGCACAACATAATATAAATTCATCAGTAGAAGCATTTGAAATTTTTCTCAGACGATCGGAATTCGCTTGAGCAAATCATTTTATTAAAAATCTGTGAACAGTAACAGTCACCAATCATTTATTTCAATCACACAGCAAATGACTTGTTTTAATGCGATGGCCAAAGTTTGTACGTTAGACCGTTTGAAGTTGGAATTTTAATGATTTTTAAATCATGGAGAAAAATGCTTTTAATTGAAGTGAAAAGTGAGCTAATGATTAAAAAGTTAAGGGGCTGTGCGTTGAATGATTATGCAATATCTCAAGTACCTGCCAACTCACAATTTCAAAAGAAACAGAAATTTGCAATTCACTCTAAATCACAAATTTTATTGCAGTTTAATCAAAGTATTTTATTTTTCTCATGTCATTAAGTCATAAAAGTGAGCGTGGAAATTTATTTCTCCTTAAAATGCAATTCAACAAGTTTTAATTTCGATAAGCATAATTCGTCTTTTCTCTCTCTCTAACTTCTCGGGTACCCAGTCATCAATAATATTTCAGTTCAAAATATTTATTGCTTGTAAATGGAGCTTTCAGGGCAAATATTCATATTTTATCAGATTTCGTTTCCCTCGCGAAATTTGTGTCGAGAATGCATTTGTGAAGAAATAAAGCAATATAAGTAGATATTTAAACATTCATAACATTGGTCGAGAAAGAGGAGAAAAACACTGCATGAAAAATAATTTCTAATAAATTTCCCAACAATCTCTGCTGACTTGTAAATTCTTTTAATCTTTCTCCACTCAAAAACAAGACTGCTAACGGTACAGCGAAATAAATTTTATGCAAAAAAATTACTTATGCGCCTTACCGATTTTACTGATGATGCCAAAGATGATATAACTTTGAATGAATTTTCTTTATTCATGCAAATGCAATAAGTTAGTGCAAGTAACCTGTTTCCAATAAAAGAAAAGTTTCTGATGATCAAACAAAAGAAAGAAAACATAACTGTTCTTAGAAGAAATCTATTGTAATAAATATTTCATCATTGTGCAAAAGAAAACTGTCATAAAGCATTTTCAACTCTGCAGTTTTTCCCTTTACTTCTGGTTTTTATTTATCTTCCGTGATTTAGAAAGATGAATTTGCACAATATGACATTCAAATTATGAATAGTGATACTAAGTTGGAGCTCTTTCAGCAATATCATCAGCATGGCAGATGCTATCATGAAGGCTACAATTTAAATGAAAGAAACTTTAATTTTGAAAAGCTTTTAGATTGATGTTGATGAGAGGAAAAATTTCAAACAGCGATAGATATCTGGCTTGCAAAGTTTTTGAACTCTCATTCTATGAAGGGGGATAATGAACATCTCATCTTCATGCGAGGTCACTGCCACCAATTAATTCATGATGAGGGATTCCCATTCTCAATCAGTTTCTCGAAATTTCAAGCTTCATTTGCTTTTTATCCAGTGGTTACTAACCTGTCATTGCTTCATGCTTAACTTTAATGATTCTTGACATGCAAGTTGAGAAACTCTGAGATTTGTTATAGGAAATGCAAAGAAAAGAAAGTGAAAACATGACAACATCATAAAGAGCCTTCATTACAAAACCAGTGATGCTTTATTTCCTTTTGCTTTTGCAAACTCACCGAACTTCAATACACGATTATGAATATTCATCGCTCGTAAATTCAACTCATGGAGATATCAAAAGAATTATAATCTTTTTTTTCCATAAATGGATAGAATTGAAAATATTTCATGCTTTATGTGAGCTTTCAGATAACGATCACGTTTCATTCACTCAAGATATGAAACGATAAAAATCAAAATTAAGTTGTAATTGATTAAAAGCGTGATAATGAAACCAGCAAGAGACATAGTCATAGTATTCAAAACAAAAGAAACAAAAAACTTGTTATGGATTCGAGTTATCAATTAATTATGTAAAGTGATCATTTTAATGCAAACTACCATTTATTCTTCTCACGCTGCCGAAGTTATTTCTTCTTCGCTCCATGCTTGTTAAAAAGGTTCGAGTTAAAAAATTAAATCTGAAACACCAACGAATATTGTAGATTAGTCAAAATTAGATTTACATAATAGTTCATCAAAAAGGAGAATTCAAATCAACGTTGGTTGTAACGTGATCAATAAGCAGTTAAAGCAGCGATTTAAATTCGATGAACTATGCATATCGAAGAGTGGCTCAATTTCTCTAGGAAAACGACGCTGACGAAAGGTTACAAAGCCATAAGCTTATCCTGAGTGTTTTGAAATGGAAACTAATTGATCAACAACGACAACACTTCGACTAAGTGCTGAGTGAAAAATAAATCAAATATATAATCAAGTTCAAATGTCAAAAGTAATTAAAAAAACGTAATAGAAACGAATTTCAACGTTTCTCAGCTGCCACCAGCAGTTAAGAGAATGAAATTGTGAGAAAAAAAATTATTATGAGAAATGATGAAGTTGAAACATTTCATTTAGGACTTGAAGATTGTGGTTAGTTAACAGACTTGTGCCTTGCTTGCATCACAAATCTTTCATTTCACATTCATCGACATTACTCTACAAATTTCGCTTTCATTAACACCGAAAATGAAAACATCAATATATCAATTTTTCAAAATGGAAAGTTGTTGCAAAATTTACAAACTCGCTTCAGCAAACAGCAAAAAATGCCTTTCATGTTTGTTTTCTTGTTTGATTTTATTTTTAACTGATTCTCTTGGTGTCTTCTTACTCGCAACTCGTATCTATCGCTTATTTACATGTGAGAAGAAGTTTCAAATATTTAAAATGAAATTTGTTAAATGTTAAGATAGGATTTCAGAGAAAACATGCAACGCATTCATGGATCTCCTTTTTTTTATACATGATTTATCGTCTAATGGCGGTTGTTAATAATAGTGGCCTGTGAACAGTCATTTAGTTAAAAGCAAGACAAGAAATGTAGAAAATTTTAACAGCGCTGAAAAAAGAGAAGCAAAAATTTCACTAAAACTTATTTTTTATCATTCAACCAGTTCTTGGCAATGACAAACATTAATCAACTTAGAAAGACAACAAATGACATTAAAACCAATCGAAACCAAAAATGAAATCTAACATCAATCTCTAATTTGACGGATGTAAAGTTCAATTGAATTCCTTTTAAAGCGATTTTTACGCGCTTTGAGGTTCGATTAAGATGTGGATTGACTAGGAAATCTGTGAAAATATTATTTATCACACTGTGTAGTCAGCCTTTTAACGACACAATGGCAAAATGTAATAAAAAGAGTCAATTATAGGCTTTTTCTGAAGTTTCGCGTGCTTTGTCAGAGGAAGAAAGTCTTTCTTTTATTTGTAGCCGCGTGTTTCAATTAAATTACTTGAATAGAAATTCCAAAGCTTTCAATTTGACTTACCTTCTTTATATTTCGAGATCAGCTGATGCCAATGGCAACCTTTTTTTTTTCTTAAACTTCCTGGACGTAAAAACGCGAAGCGAATCTTCACAAAGCAAATAAAAATGATGAATTGAGTTCTGAAGTGTTTCTGGGTCATTTTGAATTAAGAACGACATGTTGGATCTTCCGGTGTCTGATTTTGCATTGTTCATGGTTTATGTTAAGTGACACATTTCCCAACATCTCAGAAATGAAGTGATTCTCATGAATTAATTTTATTTGTCTAGTTTTTGACGCAATTATTCAAATCATGTCACATCATGTCATCATTTAAATTTATAACTTTTAAAGCCTGCAACAGGAGTTCAATAATCAATCTCGTTTAAATCATTTCAACATTTAAATCTTTCGATCACTAACTTGATGATGTCGGTTGATTAGAATGCATGCGGTGAAGACAAAAAATATTCAGAATGAAATCTGATCAATTAAAGAAATAAAAACAACTTCTTGGAATCTTTTCAATCATTCCAATCGTTTTATTTGTTGATATTGATAGGGAAAAACAAACATGACAGTCGATCTAACAAGTATTGAAATGCTGTTGCTGACGTTTAACATCGCAAATTTCTGCATAAAATTTATTGCGAAAAATATTTCTAGATTTAGAAAAATGTTCTTGTAGGAAATTATTTGCATATCGATGTAAATGAATCAAAGAATTTTAGCTTGAACATCACGTTCACTTCTTGTCAACTAGTTTTCATCTCAGCAAATCAATTTTAATCTTAAATCTAGAATTTTTAATTTTTTTAGACACTCGCCGTCAAGCTGCTGTCATTAAATTGACCACTGCAGATGAAGGTTTCTGATTACTTTAAAATAAATATAACAAACATTCGTCTGCTGCTGTTGTTTTGATCGAAGTGCATGACAGCTTTCAGACCTATCGTGTTACATTTTTTTCTTAATTCCTTCAAAAACTCGATATGTTGACGTGCATGCAGGTATGAGTTGCTACCAGCTTAAATTTTTTGATATGTTAAGTATAAGCTTGTTTCAAATCTATAATTTTGGGTACTTACCTGGTATTTTAAATATTTCGCTAAATTACGGTCAAACTGACTGAATTAAATTTTTAATGAAAACTTATTTTCAATTTATTCTCAAGGCAAGATCTAATATTGAATTGCACAACAATAAACATTGTAATCTGAAACAATTCGAATAATTGTTGGTTAGTTATTTATAATAAATATTATTGAAAATTAATTTTAAGAAACTGACGAAGTAATATAAAAAGAATAAATTCGATCGTCGTGAGATTCTTATGACCAACAAGTGCTTAATTGCAGAATAAAAGTTTACGACATGCATTCTCATTAAATTATATATATTTAAATAAATAACCAGGAATTTAATTTGAGACCCTTAACATCACTTCCAATTGAGAAGGAATGAAAATAATTACGAACTGGAACTATTTCAAAGAATCTTTTAACAATCTTTAGACGAGACATTAAATTTTTACGACTTAGATAGTTTCATGTTCAGAAATGTTTATTAAATAAGCAGTTTCGAAATTTTTAAAATATTTTTACGATACGTAAAAGAGAATTTTTAAAGATAGATATCCAAGAATATAAAACATCGTTTATGACGATCCATATTTCTTATCAGACGAGTTGTATCTCAAGCATAGAAACAGCATGAATCAAGAAATTGGGTTAGAAAATAAAAACTGATCGATAGACGGAGAATCCTTTAAAACAAAGAAGATTTTATGTTGTATTTTACTGAGTATTAAATGTAAGAGGCTGACTATAAAATTGAACATTTACAATGCCAAAATGGGAAGTTCCCAACATATTCCAATTTTTATGTTTCACCTTGAAACTCTCTAAATAATGATTTCCTTCTAAACATCGCTCAACAGACCCATGAAGAAAGAAACAAAACAATCTTGATGATCCAAAAAAAAAGAGCCAGCAAATTTATTTTCATGTTTCTCTTTAGCTTCCCATCACATATCGAAAGTTCATTAAAGGCAATCACATATAGAGCGACCCGGAGCGAATTTCACTTTCCATTTCAACGTTTTCAATTCGATTCCTATTCAAATGCAAATTCCTTTCGACATTCGGTGTAGAAATGAGATTAATTAACGGAACGTGTTCTGTAATTAAATTCTCTCGAGGGTCAAACGTGATGAAATGCTGACGGAGGGAAATGTTTCGCTTCTACATCCATAAACAGAATGAATTAGATGACTTTTGCAAGTGGAAAAGCATTTCGTTGTATGGACGGTGTATCGAAGCATGACTCTGAATTCTTTCTTCAAAATTGTGGGAGCATTCCGCATAAATTAGCCATTTGTTAGAGTAAACATGAAAAGAGTGAAGCCATTAGGATTCACCCGGAATGACATTGCATTAGAATTCGTTCACTTTCGCTTTTTGAGACAGTTTCTGTTAATTTATTGTCGATGGTTACGTTAAGCAGCCATTTAATTAGAATTAGTACGAGGTCAATGTCCCATAAATTAGAAAATGTGGCATGAAATAAGTTCAGAGTTGGAATTTTGGAATGACTGCAAGTACAGCATAAAAGACTCCAAATTTCTATTACAATTATGGATTTGAAAACTATTGTTCGCTCGTTGACTAAAACTAAACAAAACTCTGGAAATGTGAACTAAAAGCAAATGAATTTATTTTAATTTAGGGTTTAGACATGAAGAACTGAAAGTATTCTTTTGATAGAAATTATTATGTAACTCCCACGGTTGTTAGAATCGCTAGAATTACGCCTCGTTTTATTATATATTGAAGGCTTCAATCAGAATTATTATGTTCGATTGTAGAATTTCTTCTCAAGCCGATGATATCATTTGTATTTTAAATTTCAAACACCAACATTTATTCGTAAGTTATTTTCTCAATTTCAATTTAATGCATAAACGAAGCAAATGGATTTGGAGTGTTGTCAAACTCTTCACATGTTCTGATCTGTCCTTCCAAATTGTCATAAATTGGTGCAATTGAAACTTGAATATCATTGAAGCAAACTCTAAGTTCATTATTGTAGTTATCAATAGACGAATTTAAGGTTCTAATATATTCGTCAACTTCAGGTCGTACGGCGTACCAAGCTTCAGATCGTCTGTTGAATTCTTGTATAAAACGTGCTTGAATATCTTCTGCTTGCAAAAATATATTTTTTCCAACAAAAGATCTGACAACAATTTGTTGCATGTCCATGTAATCTCCTTCGAAGTCTCGAAACAGTTCATTAGCAGCGTCCACAGCTTTCTGAACATTTCTATCATAAAATGACACGCAGTTGCTTGATCCAAAGCCCGAAAACTCCGTTACTAAGTTAAGCAATTGTTTTAAGTTGTCTGTGCAAGGAGTTCCATCTAGATCGAAAATTGCATTTCTTGCCGGACTGTCCATTTCCAAGATTTTCACCGAATTTCCTTCAATTTCATCAAGAGCTGTGCCTGATGCTGTTTTCAGAACAGCCGAAACCGCAGTTCTTATAGTGATAAACGTTTCATCAATGTCTCTCTGTACGTCTTTCGAAAACGCAAGATATCTTTGAGCATTCTCAAACAGAAAATCGGGAGAAATTACAAACTCCGTGATTAGTTCCCCGTCTTTTGAACTTTCAATAGCCGCACTTTGAGCTCCAATGATAAGGAACAACAATGAAACTCCTACGCTCAATTTCATTTTCTTTTTTAAGTTTTTGTTTTTTGTTACAAGTCAATTGTGTCCACTAAACTGAAACATTCTCATTTTATTGAACTGTTTTTATATGAAACAATGAATTTGATAAAGAAACGTCATGACTTTAATACTTTTCTAGATGTGATAAGAACAAATTTTATCATGATCCCACCATAAAATTGAATCATTTTTGCGAAAACAATATGACTTCTCATACAAAGGGGATTTTAAGAGCTTTATTACTTATACTTCGAACTGTTCACGATCTCGAATGCTTCAAAAGTTCATAGGAAAACAGTCGACTGAAAAGATTTCTATTTTGAGATAAAGTTTTGAGAAAAATTAAGAATCCAAGAAACCTTATCGCAATTTATCATTTAATCTAAAACATGCATTTATTAATCTGATATTAAGGATGATAATGGGGATTTTAATAGGAAATTCCCATTTTTTTGGGAAAAGGGAAATGAGAAAATCCTCGTTATCATATCTGATTAAAGTATTAAGAAGTAATAAAAGTATTGTATTAAACTCTGCATTTTATTCTTTTATTATGAAGACAATTAGCAAAAGAAATATTGATTATCTTTGTAAGGAATTTTCATATTAAAACATTCAACAAATTTCGAGGTGGTGAAACTCAATGGATTGTGAAATGCAATAATTAAATTGAGAGATTAATTTTTTTATTTTTATAATTTTTATTATTTGTTTGTCAACTTTGTGTTGATTAACAACGTCATAACATAAAACAAAAAAATCATTTTAAATGATTTGTGAAATTAATTAATTATATTTAGGAACGTTCTGGCCATTCAAAAGGTTTTACGTTAGCAAGTTTTTCTTCAAAGAGTTTAAGATACTTCTCGATGTCTGGTTTCGTGCTTTTTGATTTTCCAAATGGTTCAGGAGTTCTTTCAAACTCAATGCATGTTTCAACTTGTGATCGGAAGAGTTCATAGAAAGTGCTTGTTAAAGTAATAACTCTCTCATGACAAACATCAAGATTTCTGTTTTGTGTTGCAATTCCTGTTTCAAGACTATCCCGAATGCCCTCAAATTCAGGTTTAGAACTTTCCCAGTTGGTGGCAACTCTTTCAAACATCGCTATGAACAGATCCTTAATATCTTCTGGATCTGTGAAAATATTCTTTCCAATGAAAGATTTAACGATAATCATCTGAATTTGGGTATAAAATTCATCAGCGCCATTTAATGCTCTTCTTGCGATATCCAAATCAATTTGAACACTTCTATCATAATAAGAAGCACAGTTACTAATTTCAAAACCCGCAAACGTAGTTGTCGAGTTCAAAATGGCTTCAGCATTACTTTTACATAAACCTGGCGTGAGAGTTCCATATCGTTCAAGTGACGACTCGTACATTACATCTATTTGCTGACCAACTTCTTGATATTGGCCCAAAGTCTCTGTCGTACTCTTTTCCAACACACTTGATATCGTTGTTTGAACTTCTGCCGTCACTTCATTTATTTCACTTTGAAGTGCATCTACTCGTAATTGATAATCTCTTGCGCCACCAAAGATAAAATCTGGATTAGTTAGAAATGGTGATACACTTTCAGCCTAAGTAAATAAAAAATGATTTATTTCCTCTATTTATCTATTGACAGTTGGTTTAATTATTTTTTTTCACTTACCCAGCTACCAGTGACGAATAATACAAAAGAAATCCAGATAAGTTTCATTTTATTCCACGATATTTCAATTCAGTTTATCTGTATGTTTTGTGAAATAAATTTTCTCTTCAACTGTTCCGCGAGTTGAAACATGAGCACCTTTTATACATTGAGTGACTTATAAGATTGATAAGATAAAGAATGTCATATCGTTTCTACATTAAAAAATGTATTTGAAGATAAAATTTCATTAATACTCGTTGAAGATTAAAAGAATTTTGATTAACTTTATGATAAGGAACTATTTATATACTTGTTGTCATTTATTGATTCAAAATTCAAGACGATATAAAACCTAATCAAAGCAATTGAAATTTTCACAGAATTGAAGATACGCTTATCAATTTTTTTTCTTCCTTGAGTTTTGAATTGAGTCATGAATCGAGATGATTCGTTATTGATTACCAATAGAATGCAAATTATTTACACTCCATGTTTAAGCATAAAATGAGGTCAGAATCTCATAATTTCACTCTCCCAAGAATTCATTCAATTTCTTCATTCGGAGATAGTCTAATTTAAAATTTACTGATTGCAGACTTTATGGCATAATAACTGTCATTAAAGATTTCATATGATAGAATTTGATAACGGGAGTGACCGCAAAAGAAATCTGATGAACTTTATCACCGATTAAACTAGTTTTTATTATTATTATTCGATTTTTGATTTCATACAAAAAAAGCAGAAAGAAATAACGGCAAAGTTATTCAAAATAACTTCCCATGCAATAAGAAAAGCAATAAAGGAAAATATCTCTCCAAGTGAACTTAATAAATCTTTTATTTCATTTTTTATTACTTTAGAACTTGCAAAAAAGCCGATGAAATGAAATTCTTAAATATCATTTTATAACTTTGTAGTCTTCGACACGAAATTCTCACGTGAAGTTGCATGTTGTCGATCTTCTTTATTTTCAGGAAGCTGAGAATGGAAAAATTAAATACAAGAAGCAAAAAATAAGAGATATCTGAGAACATGTATGTAGTTTGTAAAATTAATTCATCAACCAGCTTACGTTGTACTGTTCGTTAAAAAAGACATGATAATTTCCAACGAAATGAGATCTCACTCATATCCATATCTTCAGCAAATATTTTCATGCTTCTCATGAATTACATAGCTACAACTCAACGACGCATCTAAAAAAAGATAACAACATAAAAGACAAAAGAAGTCAAAACAATTAACATGCAAGTTGCTTTAGCCACAACTGCTTCTTGCCTCGATAACATAAACATTTATAGCTGTAAGTTTAAGTGAAAAACCTTTTTTTCCCTTTACAAAATGTTTTTTTCATAAGTTAGCTAATTGTTTATGTTCTTAAAACTCTCATCTCATCTCATGTTAAAATCATTAAAAATCTTTGCCACTTAAAAGCATTTTTTCCTTAGCTAGGGCTTAATTATAGACAAAGCAAAGAAAAAGATTTGCGCGTTAAGACAATCAAGAGTACATAACTTTGTCTCATGATAAATATCGTGTGGGAAATGAAGCATCAACTGGCCAGCAGGTGTAGGCTAAAATGATGTAGAATAAAATGACGTCATGCTGAGAACGATCGTGAAAGGTTCCACAAGCAATGATATTACAAACATTACAGATCCTTAAGCATTCAATCGATTGCGTGGGAATTTCCAATATGATTAAAAAAGTTTTAAACATATTTTTTATCGATAAATTCATGGAAGAAAAATAAAACATATTATAATGTTAATTAAATTAATTGAAAGTTTATACAGCTTATTTCAGCAGAGTGCTATTTCGCTTTATTATCAATTTTTCACAAGATTCAATAAATTTTTATTAATTTTATTCCTCGCTTTCTGCATCGCGCACATGAACGAAATGTCCAACTGACATATATGAACGAAAAATTTAATTTATGGTGCGACAAGACACTTTTAGAAATAGAGCTCTTTGAGTTATATAGAAGAGAATCAAAATGTGTATCTGTTCAGAGTCTAGGAGCCAGCCGATGCCAAATAAGGAAAATTGCCTCAAGAAGAATGACAACAGAATCAGGTTTTCTGCATACACGACTGGTGGCCAACTTACACTGCTTTATTTATTATTTTTTATGCTTCTTGTCTTCGAACTCATTTTCATTATTTATTTCCATCAACACGATAATGTCTCATTATTGCGTGCTTTAAAAGCATTTTCTAAATTTGTTTTCAGTCGATTATTGGTGCAATTTATTTACCAGTTTTTAGTGTCTCTACGGACGTTGCACTGACTGAACGAATCTGTTTAATGATTCGACTATTTTATCTCTACTAGAAATAATTGCAGAACATTAAGATGCATTACATGTCGTCTTATGCTAACTTAATTTCTTTGTATTTAATGCGATTTCATAAAAAAGAATTAATGAATTAATTTATTGTCACTAAATTGTCGTTAATTAACGTTTAATTTGTGATTGCAATTGGCATGCTTTAAGCACACTTTGACAGTTTCGAACAAAAAAACTTTATTTTGAAATATTTAAAGTTAATTAAGGGAATTTATGTTTATTTCAAAATCGATTCTTTTTATGATTTAATATTTCTTCAATTTCTTTAGGTCAACATAATAAATGCTTGCATTACAATGTGGTTGAGGTGGTAAAGTAATTGGCTTGGTGAAGAAATTGCGCAAAAAGATTTCTTTGTATGACGCTGACCACAGTTTTGTGAATTTCAACTCTTCAACGAGTTTTCTTGTGTTGTCGTTGGTACAATTCATCTTAGCATATTGAAAGTTTCTACATCGTGCGAAATCGAAAGACTTCTTGATCATATCCAAGCCAATCGAACGTCCCCAATAAGCTTTATCTACCCACAAGTACGCTATGTTGAAGATATCATCACGACATAATTTCTCGTATACTTTTGGTGCACTTGCAATGAATGACCATGTCAGAAGAAGTTTCTTTAGATCACAATTGTTGGTGTGTGATGCCATTTTATTTAATCTAGCAGCACATAACTTGCAACTTTTCTCATTTATTGCTACACCAATTATAGAATCATCGCTTGTTTTCTTTGCCACGACCGATAGTTTGTGATCTAGAGACTCACGTAAAAGATTATTAAGTTTTTTAGGCTTCTTCCCGGGAATCAGAGTTTTAATCAATGGATCTTCTCTAAGAAAACCTTTCTTCATGAATCTTAGAATCTTATCCTTGTCACATTCAGAAGCAATTTCAAGTTTCCATTCTTTGTCGTTTGATTTCTTTACATTCTCTCGATTCACATTAGATCTCGGCCTACACGGAATTCTAGTCGTCGAATAGAAAGCAATTTGTTTGAATTCCAAAGAAAGTTTTAACAAGTTAACAGTGAATTTTGAAAACATTGTGAAATTCTCAATTAAAACCGAAACCAAAATGAGTCAGATTTTGACTTCTTGAAATGAATCATCCAAAGATTGTTAAGACGAGTGAAATTGAGTGAACATTAAAAGAAATAAAAAATGAATTCAAGTTTAACCGGAGACGAGACTTAGTCAGCCAGCCGGTCAAATAATCAGACTCACGTTTCAAAGACCTTCGTTCCGAACAAAAAATTAAAAGTAAAACCGAAATGATCTCTTTAAAAAAACTCAATTATCAACTACACTCGAAAGGTTTTAAATATCAAAGTTTCAACTTCCTATTTAATGAATTTCATTATTCAACTCAACTGTTTCATTTTCAAAAACGTTTTTTTATGATTTTTAACTCTCCTCTCCGTCTTCACAAAAACGTGACTCATGTGCCTTGGTGCCATAAAACGTGTATTTGTATTAAATAAGTAAACATGGAAAGAGTGTGTAAACAAGAGAAAAAAAAAGCTTAAAGCAAACCACATGTTGATGAGAATAAACATTGAAACATGAAATGTGTTGAGGCAGAGACAGAGTAAAGAAAAGATTACAAAGTGTCGCTCATTCAATTCTGTGTTTAAAAAAAGAATTAGAAAAGAATTGAAATCATTGCTTATTTACTTATTTTAACAAAATAAACGTCGTTAAAATTTTTCTTTAGAAAGCAAAACTTTTTGAGTGTTTGGGTGGTCACAAATGAAATTAAAAGAGCGAACAACATGATCCAATTAGCACAACATCATCGAACATGGAACATGACATCACAATCGTGAGATGATTTGACGTTGATTAGCTTAGCGAAAGATCAAATTCTCGTTTTCATTTTGTTCAATGAGTGAAAGTGACAGTTTATTAAACTTTTTATGCTGAATCATTAAAATTTGAAAGATTTTTTCCTTTCTTCTTAGTTTTCTTTTTGGGTGTGTAAGGATGACGACTTAAATAATGATTCGCCATCAAATGTACGTCGACTGTTTTTCTGCCATTGAAGAGAACTGAGCATTCATCACAATATTGATCGATTAAGACAACGTCATGCTTCATCTTGGACTTCTCAATCATATCGAGGAATTCTAACTTTTCTAGATAAGAACTTGGGAGATTTAGTAAACCTCGCATGAAAGCGCTAGAAAACATTTTTCATGAATGAAGGAAGACCGTTTGAAAAGCAAAATAACAACAAACCCAAAATCCTTCTGCAGTTTCTTTTTCTTTGGTGACATTGCAAGAAATTTCGCACGATCGGCGTAAATGTCGAGCATGTTGACATCTTTAGGTGGATTTGGCAAAATCACGTCTTTAAAGATGACTTTGATAGATGGTTTGAACCATCGAATGTCTTGCAGTAGCTACGAGATTAATGAAGATTTAATCGAAGAATTTATAAGAAAGATTTATGGCTTCTGTGCTTACACTGTAAGCGTCTCTTGACAAATGATACCAACGCCCATACGATATCATGTTTAAAGGAGAGTCAGACTGGAAGACGTTGATTAAAAGCGAATCATTCTCTTTGGACAGCAAATTGCCACCAATGTAGACTTCTTCAATTGTCTCTGATTTTCTCACGCCCACAGCTAACTTTTTTATTTCAAACTTCCCCATTCGATTGTACTCAAGTTTAATACTTCTGAGTTTCGACAATTTTATTGCTTTCAAAAGAGATTTTGCGAAAGATTCTCCACCAAGTCCGTTCCATGATAAATCCAGATGTGAAACTGTTTCATTTCCTTGTAAACTTTTCAACAAGATGTCAATTGCATTGTCTTCATAGAATGAGTTGTGACTTAAATCAAGTTTCACAAGTGACTTGTTAGCTTCACAAACATCTTGAAAAGCGAGTGCTGTCTTGAAGCTTAGAAAATTTTTCGACAAATTTAATTCTTGACAAACGTGATTGGTTGTGAAAGATTTGATCAAAATTTCTCCTCCATTGTCATCAATGTTGCAGTTAACGAGATTAAGATAAACAATCGAGGTTGATATGGAAATTCCACTTGATAAAATCTTGGCGCCTTCACTTCCAATTCTATAAATTCCTGTGAGCTTAAATCAAATAGAAAATAGAAAACAATCAACAACTTACTTGGAACTTTCTAGAATCAATTGTTCCAACGATTCACTTCTTGCCACGAATTCAGACAATGAATCGATACCAAATGGTTCAATTTGATTATTTTTCAATGATATGACAATCAAAGGAGTTATTGGGTTCATTATGAAAGTATCAAACATAATTTTACATTGCAGTGTGGCAATGCAATAGTCGTCGAGATTGAGAAAATCAGTTCCTTCAGTTATAACTTTTAGAACCTTGGAAACTTTTTGTGTAGAGTGACAGAAGCATTGAGAATTATAAAAGTTCAATTTCTCTTTTATGTCCAATCGATTCTCAACAAAGTTCGGCGATAATTTCTTCAAATCTTCTTCAACAATTTCATTTCCATTCTCGCTGCTCAATGTCGCATTGCTTTCACTTTTATCATTCAAATTTGTGTAACTATTTTCAGGGATATTGTCTTCTTCCATTTAAACTTTGATTTTATGAAACGTTTACTTAGAATTTTAAGTTTATTTAAGTTTTCTATGATATTGCGATGTAATGAAGAAATATTTCAATTTCTCATTAATGGATCAAAAGATTGAAAAAATCTCGTGAAAACCCACAACAGAAAAACTTCCACGAAATTAAAGTTCTAAAATATTTCAAATTAAGCAATTAAAAAGAATTTAAATCATTTCCTGACCTTACAGAAATGTTTATGCGACTGGTATTTCCGGAAATCTTTTAAGAATATTCTCACACAACAACATTTAAATCTCTCAACCAACGTATAATTTTATTGCATAATTTAACAGATTTTCAGCTGTTTTTGGATAGAAATAAACAATCAATGGCAAGTCGCGACTCTCAAAAATCATTTTCGCTTTCTCATTGTTTTGGGTTTGCGGCGCACATCAAACCAGACAACACAAAACATTTTAATAAGCTCAATTCTTTATGCCACCCTTAAAATCAATGTCAAGAGACGAAGCCTTTTAAGGCAAGAGCGAGTCTTACATTTATTCGGCTTTTCCTTAGAAATTGAAATTCAATCAATTGATGTTTGTTGTTATTGTTATTCAGCATATTACTTCCCGTAAATGAAATTGATTATAGAAAGCAAAATAAAGCTTGTAATGTTGCCATCGGTTTGTTCTTATTTCTTAGTCTTTCAAACCATTAAAAAGCAGCCAGGAAATAATTCTCTAATATTTCAACATTTAATTCGTTTTTCATGTTTTTAACGCCTTTTTTATTAGATACTCTGCCAACATAGAGATGCTTTTTAATATGCATCAGATTGTCTTCCTTATTTCAAAAACTTTTGTCCACTGATTTGGTTTTTATGTGCTTGTCGAATCGATAATTTTAATTTCCATTGCAAAAATTTCTCTTGAATGGTTTCAAATTTATATTCAACTGTTAAGTTGATTTCAAGTTCGATTTAAGATGCAAACAACGACACTTGGTAGACATAAAAAAGACAAAAAACATTTCCGATAAATCGTGAGCATATCTAAAACAGCAACACGAGTTGTGGCAAATGACAGAGAAGTCAACAGCAACAGCAGGAAATTTTGTCCACTTCTATCTGTGAATTGAATTTAAATTTAAATAATTTAACACATAAAAAAATACAAAGCTTGATGATATAAGATTTTAATACGAATATTTGATTATAATTCGCTTAACATCTGTTACCACGTGCTTGTGGTTGAAGCTGTGAGTGAAATAAGTAATTTCAAATGAATTTGCTCGTAGCTATTTATAAGAGCAAATCTATCGCAATAATAACTTCACCTCGACAAAATTTAATGTTCAAACAGAATTGGTAAGAAGTAAAAACCGCAATTATTCAATAAGCTTCACTGTTAGATTTCTGTTCTTTTTCAAATTGATCGAATGACCCAGAATTGTTAAATCGTTCAATAGTTCAGCCATAAATAAATTCATTCTAATCTATTTTTCTTTCCGATTACATTCTAAATCCAATTTCTAATGTTGAATGTTACCAAAGAGAAGCTTAAGAAATGACACAGATTCAAAGAACACAATACAAAGCAGCCTTTTAACAGTTTATGGAGTAAGTAAAAGACGAACGAAAGAATGAACGTAAAGAATGAATGGACCGTTAATTAATCAATTAAATTCCAATTATAAGACTTTTATTACCTTAAAAAGTGATACTGAATTGAAAAATTATCAAAATGTACAAACGCGACTCATAAACAATGAATTTCATAAGTTTAAATACGCTTTAAATACGTTTTCAGCTTACGAGTGTTCATGTTTAGTGTCTTAAAAGTAACAGGTAACAAGCAAAAATTGCAGAAAGAATGAGAAACAAAATACTTTGCGGTACATGTATCAACCATTTGCTTCACCTTCTAACGAGATTTCTTTTGACGGTTGGAAGTTTTTGTCGAGTGGGTGTCGTTCATAAATGAACATACTTACATATATGCTGCATATTTCCTAATCTCGTGATTCTTTTATGAGTTATTTATTTTCTTAGCATTCCAGAGGCTTTTAAAGTATGCTTGAAAATGTTCTTATTGAATGCACTTTGAGTATGTTTGCTAACGATTAAACCTTGGTAATTAAAACTGCTTGCAATCTAAATAGATATTTAAAAAAAAAATGCATTAATTTATTCAATTCATAGTCCATTGAAGAAGATAAACAACATCAATCATATGCTTGAGTCAGGAGTTTAATTAAGCGGCTAAACAAACACAGCAAATATTTATGATTTTTATTTCATAGTTGATGGCTGAGATCATAATTTATGTCAAGTTTTTTTTCTCATGCAGCGCATTGCAAATATTTCAACATCATCAATTTAATGTTTAAAAGAAAGGAACAATCGGGTCTAAATATTCAATGAAAATGTGACATCTGTTAAAATATTTCCCGTTTTATGATGCAAAAACTTCAATTAAATGGATAAACTTATGAGTCATAATAGAAATGCATGTTTGATTACCTCTAATCGAATCTTTATTGCATGCAAACATAGCACCAATTAAGTAAAAAATAATTTTACTTTCAACATTCATCTTTTTACAGCAGTTTAATTACACGGAATTAATGATGCTGCATTACTTAGATCTACGGTATGTATTTGTGTTGTTATTTATTATGAGTTCGCTTTCAGATAAATATCTATAATTTTCATTGCTAATGATCTGGTTTGGATTTGACAAAACTTCAAAATGGGGAAACTGACAAGTCGAGATCTGTAAAAAGTTGATATATGGCTGAATGTAATTTCAACAGTCAAGGGGAAAGCTTTCATGAGGTTTCATTAATCGAAATAAACAAGAACCATTTAATTCATTTTAAGTACTCGTATCATATCAGCTTGCCTTACAAAGTCTTTTTAAATGATCTCACAATATATTTTACTTTTTCATTTCCTTTCAAGAAGCATTCACACACGATCGAATCAATGATTCAATAATATTTATACATCAATTTCGTCTGCTATTGCAATTTAATTGCATCGAATTGGCAGTAATTATTTATCTACTTGCCAAGTATCAATTTACGATCATAAAGGAGCATGAAATACTTTCATACTTATAAACACGTTACTAACTGAGACTTTGTATCTTAATAATTGATTGAATGAAGAACTGTGAGCAATAATAATGAATAAATTTCACTTTTAAGTGTTCGTCACAATAAATAGAAAAGTTCCTTGCTGCGAATTTCTTGTTTCTTCTAAAACGGTTGCGCACGCGGGACTTCATTATCGACTTCTCCAAATAAAGACTCTTGCAATGGACAATAAGATTTAATAAATGTTGTAGAAGAAAGAAAATATTTCATCATAAAACTAAAGTATTGTAGCAAAACTTAATAAATTAAAAAATAACGTAGCAATTAAACTTTGCAAGCAATAAACAATTCTTCGAAGTTGATCATTCACTGCTGATCTCACCACGTATTGTTAACTTAGTTTGCAAAAGATTCGCAATGATTTTCACTTTCGATGATGCAATTTCGCACATCGTCGAAGGAGCAAGACAACGTTTCATAATTTTCACAACTCAATAATGTTGCTTACATGACAATGTTTAATCAATAGCAAATGTGCGCAAAACTCAAACTTGATTTTCAAATCAAAACTACAAAGTACATATCTAGATATGTTAAAAGAAAATTAACATCACATGTACATAAAATGTCAAAACGTCAATAAAATCTTATTTAACAGTTTGATTTTAACATATCATTCAATGGGAAGAAAACATAAAAAAGAGTTGCGAAACTTAGTTAATTTGAAAGCATCCTTGTCATACCATAATGGTAAATTCAACATTAAATTGATTTCAATCAGCTTTTAAAAATGCATAATAATAAAATGTAAGACGAGCCTTTTAAACTTTCTTGTTTCTTTAAACTTTAATTCGTTCGTCGTCATCGTCGCCGACCGGAACTTTTTTCAATTAATAATTTTTTCTTCTTCTCTTTACGATATTTTATAATTAAATTTAATAAAAAGTATTTAAGATCCACACAATTTAAATGTTGTTAATTCATTTTTGTGGACAACTTCTGTTGACCATCAACTTCTTAGTCTCATCAACAGATACACAAAATTAATGGTTTCATAAGTTTCTCATTTATTTGCGAGCTTTTATTTCATTTTTTTATCTTTCTGACTTTTTTTACTTTAATTTATTTAATCTTGCGTATAACAGCGAAGAAAAGGAATAATTAGGCTATAAACGTCCATGGGGTCTTCACAACGTTTTTTGATGAAAAGTTTCACGAAAGAAATTTGCAGATTTGCTGCAAGCATTCTTCATGTGTCGAATGAGATGTGAGATTTCTTGCTGGGACTTTTACGATGCAGGTAAACAAAAAAATACGAAAAAAGCATCTGATTATTCCTTTTATGGTGAAAAATCTTTTCTGTTTGCAATTTTTAACGATGACATAGCAGAATTATTGGCAAACAGCGTAAAGCTCTTTTGTCAGCGCTTCAATCGTCATTATTGTATCCAATCGCATCGAACAATTACTGATATTAATTAATTTGAAATGTAAGTTTCTGAGAATGATGAACTGAGTATCTTCGCTGTTGTATTCGCTCGTCTATCATCTATAGCCGTTTACTTTGCTTTTCATGGCATAAAATGCATGAAATAAGATATCTCATCTCTTTGCTTTGAGTCGCAGGTAACGTTTGAGAAACAGCAAGCGGCATTCATAAATAAATTAAGACTCACTTTAAACTTCGATGCTATGATAGGCGAGAAACTTCATAGCGTTACAATCAACGAAAACTTTGCAGATTCCCTGTGAAATTTAAGTTTTTTTCATATTTAAAATAAAATCTGCGGAAACTCGTTAATCATCGTTAGAAATGCAAATGTTAATGATTGCATTCTGATATTTTTAAATAAGCAAAATAAAATTTGATTCCAATAAGAAATCGATCGACGATGAAAATATTTTGCACCTTTTAAACGTTTAATATCTTTATTTGTGCATAATGGAATCACTTGGAGGTTGATAAATGTCTTGAAGGCTTCTTAGGCAATTGAATTTACTTCAAAATTATTCAACATTCTTAAATGACATGTACAACATTGTTATAAATTTGTTGCAACTTACAATTGTTTTCTTGCAAGAATAGCGACGGGTAGGCTTGAATAAATGGTAAATGAAGCACAATATGTGACCTATTTCGTGAGTTAAATGCATAATTTCAATGCACAAGAATTTCTTTTCAATTAATTTCAGATGCTTAAAGCATCTCTATTCGCTTGAAAGACAATAAACCCTCATGGTGACATTTAAGCGCTTATCAATTATTTACGCTTCTTTCGTCTTAAAAATTCTATCATAGAATTTCTATGCTCAGAGAAATTTTCAGCATGAAGACACACGACAAGGAACATTTTTGCATCTGTTTGGAATTCTTTTTACCAACGCAGCAGCTTGCGGTTGTCGACACGAGAGAAATGTGTGTCAGTTGAAAGATCACGTTCAGTTTGACAACGTTCAATAACGAATTAAAATCCTTCAACAAACTCTAACTTTATTTTAGTTGTTCTGTCTGTCTCGTTCATATTTAACATCGCTTTGAATAATGTAAAAGCTTCAAATATTTGATGTTCGTCTACTTAACGAAATGATTTATTGACACTACTCAAAAAATAAAATAAAGTTAAACTTCTCGTATGTCATTGATGTGTGAAACTGAAAATAAGTTTAAATCTTATTTGATGAACTTCGAAGTTACTTATGCGCATGTCTTTTGTGAGATGATTTAAAATTAAATACTTGGTGCACGCCTTCTCTAATGCTTCCTCTCGCTTCTCAAGTGTACAGACACCTTTCAATTTCATTTTTATTCATTAAGTTGTTATTCAAAATGAAAAATTGAAAGTTCAACTTGATGCTTAATGTCGCTCTGCTCTTAAAAGTGTCTAATCGAAATTTTCGTGCTTGATTTATTCGAAATCGCTTATGAGAATATTAACTGAAAGCAACAGCATGCCACAAACATAATTCAATCTTCATTGACTTTATCTGATCAAGAGATTTTTCTATCCAACAACGATGCAGTTAATATTTTCCGTAAATAGATTTACGTGACCTAGCAAATCTTTCATGCACTTGGCATAGTCGATCGTTGATCGTTGTCGAGGAAGTTTAGTCGCGTGCACTGAAGATTTTTCACAGAATATTTATTTCATAACTTTCTACAACTTTTAATGCCTCAAAGTTAAATCAGATTATTTCTGCAACAATAAAGAAAGAAATTAAAAATATCTGTAGAAATAAATCTGCTTCATAATAATTCGAACGAAATTTATGTTCATAATAAAACTCCTGATAAATTTATGTTTATTTAATTAAATTATATTCAAAGTAAACTGTTGATAGTTCAACAAATGCATAAGAAATATTGACTAACATTGCTTGATGCTTAATGGAGAAAGGAAACATCGAATTTCTTGTTACTTCATTAATTAAAAAAATGTAAAGGAATTGACACAATTTTTTACGTATTTCCAAAAATCATTAAGCCTTATAAAAACATTCAATGCCAAGGTATCTACCAAGATATTCAAAAAAAGCCAAAGAGATAACATTTTATACTTAGCTGTTCATCGACGAAAGGTTCGTTTATTCGTATTTATGTGGAGGCCTTAAAAGCTTCTTCAATGAAAGAGTAAATGACAACAATATCACAACATTGTTGTTGAGTGCATTGCGAGAATCAGGGCGCTGAAATCAATACCTTTCTCAATAAAATTCAGGATTAAAGTTAATAGCGACGTTTTTCATTTTAATCTGCTGTTGGCTTTCAAAAAGAAACTAACAACAAAATGCGACGATTGTCATTACAACGCGACTTCTTATTGATCAGCGTATTGTTGAAGTTTAAAATATCAGTGTAAGAAATTGAAATCGTGAAATCTTTCAAACATTTATCTCAAATATCTCACATTAAAAATCGCGTGATTTTAGACATCGCTAAATTGCACATCATAAATTTTTTTATGACTTTGTCTCGAATTGAAAACAAAAGGTGAGGATTGGGAGGATCTTGGGAATGATCCCCGGAAATATAAATTTAATTAAGTGATCCTCCTTTCATGTTTGATTGTTTCAGTGATAAATAGCAATCTGGTGCGAGTAGAATTGCATATTAAAGCGAGCTAGAAATCACCGAAGCCAATTAACAAAGCATCGCGATTTGAGAGAAGAATCGAATAGCGAAGAAAATCATAAAACGAACACTCGACAACGAGAACTATAAATGAACATTTATAGCAGCGAGTTGTGTTCGTATAAGATCAGAAAGAAACTGAATATTTATTTCGCATAATAAAACTTTATTATTTCATCTTAATTAAGCGACCTAAGAAGGTAAAAATATTGAATTTTATGCAATTTCTACTGCAAAACTTATCGCACAAAAAGCTTTTTCACTTCTCGTAATTTGAAGTGAACTTGCCGCTTCCGTGCACAATTAAATTTTATTGTAGTCACTTTTTACTCGTTCGTTCATACGACATTGGAAAATGTTAATATGACCATTCGTTGAATCTCTGACTCTGCTTTAAAATATTAGCATTGATGGTCGAATCAACATAATCATCTATAATTAATTAATTCGATTTGAAGAAGAATAGTAACAAGCTGGAGATAACATGAATGAATGCTGTTGAATCTTTAACTTATCATTCGACCTACAGCAGACGATGTTTCAACGTGAAAGAGAAACATGGAATTTAATTTCGATTTCATGGGAAATGAATAAAAGTTCTGTGCGTTGAAGAATGAAATGAATTATCTCAGCCAACTAGATTCCCAACCGCGGTTATCTCGTTCTCTTCTCAATGCCAAATTACTTCCATTTCTCTTTTATTTTCAAAAAGAAGCCAACTGATCATTAAACAGCAAGACATTTAATTAACGAGAACAAAGATTTTAATCGGACGAATGATACAAAGCGTTATTAAACTTATTACACTTGTTTGAGTAAAAGCAAGAAAGAAAATGGGAAGATTCCTTGAAGATCATCAAGTTAACAACAGAACATTAGAAAAAGCACTTTTTTCTTTTTAATGCTGAAAACATGAAAGTTAAAATTTGTTCCACCTCATTAACCAACTGCCACTGACGACCGGTTACTCAAATTCTCACATTCAATTTCCGAATGCCGAAAAGAACCTCAATTCAAATACAATTGTTAACCAAATGCTTTTTAGTAGATCTAACATGAAAGATAACATGACGAGATATTATTCAACATTTTTTTTATGTGGCAATAAAACTGAATGCTATGCTCATAAATTAAAACGTTTGCTTCTCTTTGCTTGTCGCTCTTCACTTCTAAAAATAAATGCTTCAACATTAATAAATGTTTGAAACTTTATCAGGAAGTAAATAATGAAGTGAGATTAAAATTTAATCTCCATTGATGATTTTATTATGATTTTACTATCAATGAAAATGCCAAATCGTGATTCGTTGTTTCTTCTTTTGGATCGTGAGATTAACTTAATTAAAACGATCATAAGCGCCAAAAATCGAGGGTTTATCAAATCTTTTTACTACTTGACTAATTAAAATTTGTTAAATGACAGATAACACGCAATTTCAATTAAAAAATCATAAAGTTAATCAATACAAGCTGACAACTCATCAATCGTCGTTAGAATTTATTCACTTCGTTGTTCGTCATTTTCAAAGAAATTTCTTTGCAAGAAAAGTTTCGTGGATAGAATAAAAAATGAAATTTATGCAAATTGTTAGGCAGCTTGATGGTTTCATTGGACGCTTAATTCTGCTGCAAAAACAGTTAAAGCTTGTCCGTTGTTGTGTCTGGATCAAGAACCATATTATAAAAAACAAAATGATGAAAATAATATTTTTTGTGATTATTTTGATGGGATTAAAATTGTCTGAAGGAGTTATTGTCAAAAGTCCAATTGTGTTCTATGACTTGAAGACGAAAGAACCACTCGAAGCACCAATCACCACCATCCTACCTGGTTCCGAAAACGACTCATTCAACATGTCGAGTGTTATTAACATTCGATTGCCTTTTATTGGACAACCATGTAAGTCGAGCGAGATTTAATCACGCGATTAAATTCCAAAGATTTTTTTAAACATCAAAATAATTTTAATGCTTCACAGGTGGATGTATTTCATTTAACTGCGGCTGTTGTGCCGGAATGATGATGGAACAGTTTAATATCGATCAAAAAAGTATTTTTATCATTTCCCACACTTTAATTCAATTAATTAACTTACATACTTCGTTAGTGTGCATGAACTTCACTTACGATCCGATGGAATTCGCGATAATTATGGATATGAACATGAATGAAAACAACATTTACACAAATATGGTGTCGGGGAAAAACCCCCCGCCATTATGCATTCCTGTACCAACTGGTCCATTGCCTTTAGGAATGGAAATGTGCATTAAAGTTTTTAATATATTCATGCCTGGCAATAATCTTCACATGTGCATGGATGTTATGGCGAAATTTCAAATGACTCCAATTTTGGTAAGTTAAACGTTTCAAACATAAAATTGACAGAAATGTCTTTATTAAAATTTAAGATTCTTCATTTTGATTGTATGAGATTTGGACAAGATCAAATTGCAATTTTAAAACCAGAAGACAACGGAGGCTTGATGACTGAAGAAACTGAGTCTGAGTCTGATGGAGTAGGTGAGATGAAAGATGATCAAATGATGGTTGAAGACAATAAAACAAGAAATTCTATTAAAAATCTGAATAATGAATAATTAAATTCTATAACTTAGGAGGTTTTCATAAGTTTTGTCTATTAGAATTTCTTGTAATTCCGACTTCATAACTTATGAAAGGTAAGATTAGATTAGATTAGCGTGGATTAGATTTACTCGGATTAGATTAAACATTCATCTGGATTAACTTTAAACATTCTTATAAGAATTTAAAATTTCTGTCAAGACGTAATTTTTGATCGTTTTCTTAACGATCATCCTAACATAATAATAAAAATTTAAATCTCAACTATTTACGTTTTATTCTTCATTGTTTATTTTCTTAAATCCAACATTTCTGTTTTAAAACATTTTCACATCTCTTGCACACACCATTCGTTGTTGTAAACCGCCTACATCTTGGACACAAATCTTCATCGACTTCTGAATAAGAAATTTGCAAATCAGCTTCGTTTACTTGTTCAAGTGTTATTGAAGACACTTGGAAAATTTCGCAAAGTTCTGTTGCGTTTGATGGTTCATTCATGTTTGAGTGAAGAATCTAAAGTTGGAATGATTTTGGGCGTAGGAATATTTAATTAATGATTTAAGTTATTGAAATATTAGACAAACCTTTAAATATTTAAGATTTTGATTATTTCCACTGATGACGACGTTAAGCTTCCAAGTATTTAAATCTTTGATGTTTGAATAGAATTCTCGTCTCACATCCATTGCATAGTTCACAATTTCATTGCTTTCTTTGAAGTTCCACTTTTTTAATTCCCCAAAATTCTGCCGATAAAATGATTCATCTTTCAAATAACTCCAACTTTCTTCTATCAGAAACGGTGCAATCGGCCATAAACTTTTGCTTAATCCAAGATAACAATTCATGAGAACTTTTTTTAACTGACAATGTTCGGTATCGTAACCACAATACAATCGATCTTTGACCAAATGCAAATAGCAACTCGATAAATCCGTGTTGACGAAATGATTCAACATCGTCACAACTTTATTGAATTGGAAGTTCTCATAGCATGATGCAACATTCTCATTGAATTCACTTAACTTATGCAGAATAAATTTATCCAAATGTGTCAATTTGGCTTCATTTATCTTCCCATCGTTTTCATCATTACCAATCACTCCCAATAAATATTTTAACGTCAGTCGTATTTTAATTAAATTATTCACACCGTCTTCAAGTAATTTGTAGCTAACAGGGATTGATGAATGTTGTGTTGAGTGAGCTGCAACCCACCATCGGAGGGCATCTGTTCCATATTTACGTACGATAACTTCCGGACTGATGACATTCCCAAGAGATTTCGACATTTTCCGACCGTTTTCATCAACAACAAAACCATGAACGAAAATATTCTTGTACGGAGAAATGTCTCGAATTCCAACGCTTGTCATAAGCGACGATTGAAACCAAGCAGTCATTTGATCAACTCCTTCTAAATATAAATCTGCAACTTTTGTTCCATCCAATGCATAAGACCAGGAAATTCCTGAATCAAACCAAATGTCAAGAATGTCACTTCCTTTCATCAAATTCTTGACGTCAAACTCTGACGATTCTGGAAGAAGTTCCTCAACATTTTTCTCCCACCAGAAATCCATGGAATTATTAATTTCTAACATTTTTATCCAATGATTTAAGAAATTTTTATTTAAAATTGGTTCTTTAGTAGTTTTGTCGTAAAGTACTGGAATTGGAACTCCCCAACTTCTTTGTCTACTAATACACCAATAAGGTCGTTTCTCAAGTTGTATCTTCAAGACATTTTTATAAATATGCGAGGATTTCTGAGGAAAGAATTCAACTTTGTCAGCTTCTTCAATTGCTTTTGTTTTGATTCTTTCCGTGTCAATGAACCACTGGTCACTTGCTAAAATAATCACGGGCTTCTTTGTTCTCCAGTCAATTGGATATGAATGTTTAATTTCTTGAAGTTTCACAACACTTGAATCCAAATGTTTGATCACAAAATCATTGCCTTCGGTTAGAACTTCTTTTCCTTGAAGAAAGTCGGGAGCTGATGAATTATAACAACCACGTCCATCAACAAATGATTTCAGTGGAATTTTCTTGTTTAAAAATACAAGAAAATCGTCGGGACCATGAGATGGAGCTGTGTGAACAAGACCAGTTCCTTTATCAGCTTGAACATGAGATCCATCGAAAAATGGAAGAATTTCTTTCTCATTTATTGGATGCTGATATTTGAAGTCATGGAAAATCTTTGGATTTAATTCTTTAACAAATTCAACATCGAGATCAAGTTCTTTACTCAAGTTCTCAATTGTATTTGATCCAACTATGTAGAAATCACCAGAAATCTTCACTAAACAGTAATTGAGATTTGAATTGAAACAAATTGCTTGATTCGCTGGAAGTGTCCATGGAGTTGTTGTCCATATTAATGCATAGAGTTTTACATCATTGTCAACGATGTCATGATTGTTTGTGATTTGACATCTGAAGTACAGCGAAGGACTGACAAATTTTTCATCATATTCAAGCTCAGCTTCAGCCAAAGCAGTTTGAGATGATGGCGACCAATAAACTGGTTTGATGGCTTTATATATTAATCCCTTTTCATACATAATATAAAACATTTGTAATTGATTCTTAATGTAATTTTTGTCAAAAGTTTTGTAAGTTTTTGTTTCACTTTGCCAACTTCCAGTCACACCCCAACACTCAAAAGATTTCCTTTGCTTTTCTATCGCTCCCATAGCAAACTTACGTGCTCTTTGACGAATCTGATTTGGAGGAACATCTTTGTTATTTTTTAAAGCCTTTAATTCAATTGGAAGTCCATGACAATCCCATCCAGGATGATAATGAACTCGAGTTCCTTTCATAATTCTGTCTTTAAGAATAATGTCCTTTAGGATTTTGTTTACTGCATGACCCATATGAAGATCACCATTTGCATATGGTGGACCATCGTGGAGAACATAATCTTCTGTTTTATGATTTTCACGTTGCCATCCATAAAGCGAACTTAAATGTTTCTAAAACAGAATAAAAAACATTTAAAAGATTAATCATTTTTATGTTATTGCAATGAAATTACTTCAATAATTGATGTTTCAGTCTGAGTTTTTTGTGTTGAATTTAATCTTGCTGGAAATTTTGTTTTAGGTAGATTTATTGTGCTTGTAAATTTCACTTCTTTATTGACTTCTGTTTCAACTTTTGTGTTTACATTCCGGTTAAGAAATTTAATGAATTTCTCATGACATATTCGAAGACGTTTTAAGTTGTGAATCATAATGAAAAGTTGAAGAATTGCTTTGAATGCCTAATTAATTTTTAATAAAGTAATTTTGTTATTTTATTAGAAAATTTATGATTTTTATTTCACTTTTATTTTCCACAATGTTGTGATTTTTTAATGCCAAACCTCGACTCAAACCAGTTGCTTCACTCACATTATCAAACGTTCCTAAATTTGTGTAAATTTAAAGTCAGATAAGATTGTGTTAGTAACCGAAAGAAAAAATCAAACATTGCAAAAATTTTTCGATTTTTCCATTCAAATAAGCAGTAACAATCAACCAAATTGCTTTTAATTAACACTTTAATAATTGTGTAATAGAAAGATCATAAAAGTAACTAAGAATGTCAGCCTACGTTGCTGTGAGACAAATTTTAAGTCCAGGTAAGTTTTTTGGTTATTTTCTCTCCAAGTTTTTGTTATTCAACCAACTTTAAATTTCACAATTTTCTTAGGATTTCGAACGACATTCAAACAATTTCTCTTAAACGCCTCAACGCGACAAACATGTAGTCCATTCATTATTTCACAAAGATTCTATGCTGAAAAGAAAATTTTCGAAAGAAACAAGCCTCATTGTAATGTTGGTAAGTATTTTCATTAAAATCAGTTTGATTATGTTGCAGATACAATCATTTAATGTTATCAGGCACAATTGGACATGTTGATCATGGAAAAACAACATTGACAGCTGCTATCACAAAAGTTTTATCTGATCAAGATCTCGCTGAGAGTAAACTTTATACTGACATTGACAATGCACCAGAAGAAAAAGCTCGTGGAATTACAATAAATGTAGCCCATATCGAATACCAAACTGAAAATCGTCATTATGGTCACACTGATTGTCCTGGTCATGCCGATTACATCAAAAACATGATCACGGGAACAGCACAAATGGATGGAGCAATTCTTGTTGTTGCTGCCACCGATGGTGCTATGCCTCAAACACGAGAACATTTACTTCTGGCAAAGCAAATTGGCATCAATCACATCGTGGTATTCATCAATAAAGTTGACGCTGCTGATCAAGAAATGGTTGATTTGGTCGAGATGGAAATGCGTGAATTGATGACTGAAATGGGCTATGACGGTGACGAGGCGCCTTTTGTCAAAGGTTCAGCTTTATGTGCCCTCGAAGGAAAGAGTCCCGAGATTGGATCTGACGCTATCATCAAATTGTTAGCAGAAATTGATCGATATGTCCCCACACCAGTCCGTGATCTTGACAAACCATTCATGTTGCCAGTTGAAAGTGTTTACAGCATTCCTGGACGTGGCACTGTTGTTACAGGTCGCTTGGAACGTGGAGTATTGAAAAAAGGCACAGAATGTGAATTTGTAGGATATAACAAAGTCATTAAGTCAACAGTGACTGGTGTTGAGATGTTCCGTCAAACACTAGAAGAAGCACAGGCAGGTGATCAGCTTGGTGCATTGGTACGTGGTGTTAAACGTGATGAGATCAAACGTGGAATGGTCATGGCTAAACCTGGAACCGTCAAAGCTAATGATCAAATTGAAGCTCAAGTTTATATTCTTAGCAAAGAAGAAGGCGGTCGTCATAAGCCTTTTACGAGCTTTGTGCAACTGCAAATGTTTTCAAAAACATGGGATTGTGCTACTCAAGTCATTATCCCTAATAAAGAGATGGTGATGCCAGGAGAGGACACGGCGTAAGTTAAAAATCAAGAAATTGAGAATTGAGCATTACAAATTCTTTTTTTAATTAGACTTAAGCTTAAACTTATGCGTCCGATGGTGTTGGAGAAAGGTCAGCGATTCACTCTTCGTGATGGCAACATAACACTTGGAACTGGCGTTGTGACGAATATTTTAACACCTTTGACAGAGAAAGAACGAATAGAACTTACTGAAGGCAAAAAAGCAAGAGAGAAGAAAGCCAAAGCTTAATTAATTCACTTTGTTTGACATCTTGCATAGCGTTATAGAATATATTGATAACGAGACTCACAACAGATCCAACAATTGCTGAATTATTCTTATTTTTTATTTGTTTTGGATTTCATCAGCTGGAAGTTTTCTGAGTGTCGCACTATGTGCGAATATTTTGCGCATTATGAACGGAAACATTTTGCTGATGATTTTCTTGAATTCTTTTCCTAAATTTATTAAAATATGCCTCTTTGAAATAATAACTCTGTAAGAATTCAGAATGGAACCATAGTTGGAAAGAAATAAATTGATAATAAAATCGAAAATCATTTGGCTTATTTCGTCACAAATGCATTAACAACAGTGAAATTGGCGCGAACGAAGGCAACTTGATGGAGTACTTACTAATGATAAATTGAGATACATCAAGAAATTTAAACCTTTATTTCAATTACTATTTAACTCAAATTAAATAATTGTTAGTTGAAGTTGTTTTGTTGATGCCAATATTTGAGGATGAATCTACTGTTCGTTTTCCTTCAATATTTTTCCATTAATTTAATTTATATTAATTTTTCCAGTATTTCATAAAACAACCCAATTCAAACCAAACTTGAGAAATCTTCATTAAGAATTAATACTAAAACCTTGACTATTACTTTAAAGGATCCACAAAATCCTCGTTTAACATAAAAAAATATTCAGGCTTCGGTGATCAGTTACAATCTCAATAAATATTAAAAGGCAATAAGGAGAGAATCAAAGAAATACCAAACTAAACTAGAGATAAATTTTGTTTGAAATTCTCGCCAACGTGGGACCACCTACGCTATTCACTTGTTTTTTTTCCTTCTCTCAATTTAGTTCTACGAAGATTTCTTCTCGCTGATATTTTCTCGAAATATAACTTGTACACATCGCAGTTCACGTGGGAAAATTTTGAGTCATTCCTTGAAGTGTGCTTGTTACTGAAGGGTCTTTGTTGTGAAACAATTTTTAAAAATGAGACTCGAAAAGTTTTTGTTTTGGTTTGATCTGGAGCTCGGTGGAACCATCATTGGATATTATCATCTACTTATCTACTTCGTTTCTATTATAGCTGTGATTATTTCGTTTATTCTTCAGCTGATCTACTGTGAGTTAAAAATAGATGAAAATTATCGCAATAAATTTCATATTCCCCAAATATTTTTAGACGAAAATGTTAACCTGCTTGTACTCATAGTTCTCACTGTAGTTTATATTTTAATTGCATTGTTCCTGATTTATTTATCATGGCAACTGATAATGGGAGTTGAATATGTAAGCATTTTGAAATTTATTGAACGATCAAAGCAAGATTTAATTTTATTTGTTAATAATTTAAGCGCGATCATCGTCGAGTGCAAAAGTTCCGAATTCTTTGCATGATTGGCCTCGTTTTGAACATTCTTATTGTAATCGCTGCACTGACGCAAATTGGAAGATTCGAATTAAATGGCTACCACATTACGATACTTATTGTTTACTTAATCATTTCATTTCTTACACAAGTTTACATATTTTTAGTTGTCGACTCACTTTATAAAAAGTTCAGAGACGAAGAGTTTCCCAGAAGGTCATTTAAGTGAATAATTTTTCGACGATGTTTATGAAAAGTTTATGAATTTTAAATTAAAATTTGTTGTGGATTTAAAATCATTTTTATTAAGTTTTTGTAACAATTGCCGTGTGATTTAGTTAACCAGAGATTTTCATGAAGCTTCGAAATGTATTTAATTTACTCGCACAATTGTCAATCTTCACTGATGTAAATCGAAACTTGAAAGAAAAAAATGTCGGAAACATTAATTTTTTATAATCGCAGTTCGCACGTTATTCTGGAATCTTTATCTGAAATCGTTATTTAGAATAGATTGTAAATGTAATCTTAAAAAGAAACGATTCAAACTTGTGGAATATATTTTTGCAGCAATTTTTAGAGTATAAAATTCAACCTGTAGTATTCTCAGATCAATCCTATAATCACATTGTGTTTAGTTTAATTTTTTTAACTTACTTATAATTTATTAATGAAAGAAACAGAATTCTAATGCCAATAAATCTAAAAAAATTAATGAAAAATTTCATTCAAAATAATAAAAAAATGAAATTCTTTTCTTATTTATCTACAACGATTTTGTATTTTATGACATTTTTGCGTGTTGCGAAATGAAATGTGAAAAGGAGTGTCGAATAATATGTAAAAGGAATTTTTTTGGTGGAAAGTCTGGAAAATTTGTTTGTAAGTTTAGTCGAAAATAAAGCGTCGAGGAGTTAAGTTGTCATAAAATCAACTGAACGAAAATGTATATGGTTGATAGTTGTTGTGGTTGCATTGATCTTAATGTCGGAGGGCTAATAATTGGATGGGTATTTCTTGTCAGTTATTGCATTGGACTTGCTGTTGCAGTAATATGCCTTATTGTCTTTCCTATTATTATGATTGGATCCTCTGGTAAGAAATGAAGTTCTAATTCAAGAAGCTTTATTAATATTTATCTTACAATGTAGCGGAAGTAGCTGGGATCATCGCAGTCATTGTCGGTTTCTTGATTCTCATCGTAATATTGGCCATTTTAGCATTCATATCTTATCGGTTCATCGATGGAATTAATACAGTAAGTTGGAATTATCTTTCAAATATTTTTTATTTTTAACAATTTCCATTTTAAATTTCAACAGATGAACTACAAAAAAGTCATTCCATTCCGTATTCTTTGTATCTGTGGCATCGTTTCCTGTGTCATAACTATTTTGGGAATAGTGGGATCTATAAATTCTGCACATAGTTCGGGTTATATTGTCAGCAGATTTACGTCTGTTATTATAAATCTCGCAATCTGTATCTACATATTTCTCGTTGTTAATTCAATCTACGAAAACTTAAAAGCGCCAGTACTGCCAACGACTATAAGCTCAGGATCGAATCAACTCAATTTAAATGTTATCACTGTCCCTCCGCAAAATCAACAGAACGCACCCATTGCGGATTTTGATCAACCCCCGAAGTATTAATTTTAAACATTAATCAACGAACACAAACCTCTGCTAATGTTCACATAGAAATAATACTAAAATTTATGGATGTCTCTAAATGTTATCTTCCGATTAAAAAGTTGCAAATGTTCGCTTTCTATTGTAAGTTGTCCTTGAGTTAGTTTTTTCCCTTATGTTGCGTGAATAAGCTTATGATCCATATCACATTTCCTTTATGAAGTAATATAAAGGTCATGGGAAAAGAAGTAAATAACAACAGGAATACTTAGAAGTTGAATAAAACTTTCACTCACACAAGTTGTAAGTTACTATCGTTAGCATATCAAATCAGAAAATATTGGGAGTGTGCCTTAATTTATTTCAATATTCATACAACTCAAAAGTACTTTTAATAAATAATAAATTATTAATTTAATATTAAAGAAAGTTTTTCATTTTATCTATGACTTTATCATCGACAAATTGACATGACAAATATTCCGATGATCATTCAGAAACTTATTGAAATATTTTTATTACTTAGTTTGTTCTGAGTCTGCGTGTAATAAAGTTTTCGTATTTACTTTCTTGTCTAGTTTCCATCAACATTTCAGTTTGCTTTTGTTTTTTCATGTTTCCCTTTTTTCCTTCGAATATTTTAACAATTTCGTGTATAAACATAATCAAGGTGTGTCGAAAAGTGAGAAAGAAAGAAAAATGTTGTCATTCGTTTGTTCGTTACTTCAACATAATTTTTTTTAAGGAAAATTTTTAGAAACAGTCAACAATTTAGTTGAAAGCATGACCGCAGAAAGCAAAAATTTTCGCTTAAGTCTTAATTTAAAAATTGCTGCTTTGTTTGTTGGATGGTGGAATTTATTAAATGATTGTGTTTGCATCGTAGCTTTGATTGTTTTTCCAGGTCTTGTCTCTCGAAATGGTGAGTAAATTCAATTTTTTTCTTGATCTAAAATTTTTCTTGTGTTTATTATTTTAGAACGATCACCAGCGTTGGTCTTCAGCATTATTTTATTATGCGTTTTAGGAATTATAATTTTCTTCACTTATTTATACATCGATGGCATTGAAAGTGTAAGTTTCTCTTATTTAAATAAATCAAATATTTTATTTAATAATTTTCTACATTGAAATTTTTTCAGCGCAATCATCGAAAATTAGAAGTATTCCGAATCATTTGCATTATTTCAATAATACTCTACAGCATAACAACATTTGCATTGTTGGATAAAAGCACACTTGGAAGATTTAATAATATTCCGACAGAACATTATCTGATGATTATTATGGTGTCAATATTTCTCCTCTTTGTACAGATTGTGGAATTTCTTGTTGTGAATTCTGCTTATAAAAAATTAAGATATGAACAATTGCCAGCTCAAAATCCAATTAACATATTAATTTAAGGAAAGTGTAATTAAATCTTACATTAATCTGTTTTAAACACAACCAACGTAGTAAATTTCTAAGCAGAGTTGGATCATCGCAGTTCATTGTTAAATTCAAAGAATGAAAACAAAAAATATTTTATTCAAATGTTTGCTAATTTTAATAGAGTTTATAAAGAGTTGAATGAAAATATGGATATTAAGAAAGAAATTATGTATAAGATTTCATTCACGGACAGAGAAATTATTTTCATTATCATTGACATAGAACAGAAACATTTTCTTGTTCTACTAATTTATCGATTTTTTTTCCTTTTCTACGAAATTAACTCTGTGGAGGTCGCTGCGTAAGCTATTAGGTATTATTTATATAATTGTCATGTTAAATAGCTATAAATATTAAACTAAGGATATATGAACTACATATATGTGAAATTAATCAAGTTTCTATTGCTGACACATTTTATTTTATTTTTGTATTTTACAATTCCTTTTCATTTCTAAGTTTCAAATTCAATAAACTTAATAGAAATGATTTTGATTAAAACTTGAATAAAAGAAAAATATATCAGAAATATTTAACGGATTATTTGAATTTAAATATAAAGCTTTTATGCTTAAAGAGCTTTTGAAAGCTTTTACAAAAACGTGAAAATGTAATGAAAAATAGGAAACTGACCTGGCACATGCTTTTGTGATTTTCTTATTATTTCTTATGTTAGGGTTAATGATCATTCATTTCGCCATATTTTAATTTCAAGGTGAACGAAAAAAAAAACTCAAAAAATTGAAGAATAAAATATAAGGAAAAATCTTAGTTAATACTTTCCCAAAACTATTTATATTTATTTCTTATCTCTGTCGATTTGAAAAGTGTTTTGTGTACACCTCTGAGTGTGGCTTTGAATGCTAACAAAAAGTGGAACCTTGACGTGGTTCCTTTGCCATCGTTATAACACGGTTCTACTGTATGTAAAAAACTGCGAGGCGATAAAAAGCACAATGCGTGAAAATTCTACAGCTGAGAACATTATCCCAAAATTCCGCAAACATAAAATAATTAGTCGATGATTCATTTACCATACGACAACTTAAAATAATCTTGCTTATTAACATTTCCCGAATTCCACAATTGGAATTTATTCGAATTTGAATGACTCGTCTCAGGAAAAAAGTAATTTGAACAAACGTGAGCTTTTGCAATTATTTCCAAATGACAAATTGGTTTTAAATTAAGCTTAATTCTTTTTAAAATTTTGTTAACAAAATACTTATAATTTGACAATCTAATTTATTTAATCATTTACTTGCTTTTATTTTCAAGTTAATCTAATTTATTAGTTTCAGATAAAGCTTTTTCAAGTTCTAATCTCCAATAGATTAATAGATCATTGGATGATCTTAATATCAAACTTTAATTGACCACATGAACTTAATAGGTTCTTAAATTTTCGATTCCACTTAGTAATTTATCGCTTATTTCACACGTTTGTGAGCGAAAACTTTATTACTTCATTGCACAAACAATGTGTTGTTGAAGCTTTTTATCTGTTTCAGGTAAATTTTCAACCCATTCAGTCACAGTTAGGAGCTTGAGCTGTTCACACGTAAAAATAAATGTTATTAATATTTGCTAACTGGAAAGGGTAGCACAATCAAGAAGTAAATATTTTGATTTTTAGACGTGTAAATTAAAATCGCAAAAAGAGTTACCAATAGTGAAGTTTTCCGGGAAAAAGTGGAAAATCATTCAAGCCTAACGTGTGAAATAAATGAAAAATTATTCATTGTCAACAAAATATCAAATTAGTTATTTGATTAACATGACTGGTTAGGAAATTATTAGTCTGAATTATATTTATGGAAAACATTGGTTGTCATTGACTCTAGGTCAGGTTTTTTTGCAATTTTTTCGACATATCGCCGGTCATTGAACATAATAACAATTGCTACCTGTTCAATTACTTTCACTCTTTTTATTTAAAAATTCGCAATATTTAATCAACCCATGACCCAGACATTCCGAAATAGTTGTAACCACCCTTGATATAACAAGTGCAATAACAAAAGTTCAATTTCATGGAAGTTTTCCGCTCGCGTACTTCATCCAATTACTTCCACATCGGATTGAGTTTAAAATTTAAAACCACGCGCAACTTAAAACATTGGTAAAGCCACTTGATTAAACAATTGTGACAAAAGTAAGGAGATGAATGTAAAGTAATTGTTTTCATATCTTATTATGAGTATTAATTAAATTTATCTTGAAAGAGCTTTCGAAGTGGAATATCAGTTTTTAATTGCTTTTGAAGTATTTAACTGAATCGTAGAAAATGATGTTCAGGAAATGCAATTCAAGTGCAGGAATAAACCACTCGATTGAATAAACCAAATGATGTTGAAGTGTGATTGTAATTAAGATTATTTGCATTTTGATAAGATCTGAATGGCACCTTATAGACAAATGTTTTTGAACTTAAGAAACCAAAATAAATGTGAAAATTTAAAAGCAAATAAGAAATTTAAAATTGTGTCAAATCTACTTCCGATTCAAATAAAAAAATGATTCTGAATCATTTCGAAGTGACTCCAAATTTTAAGTTATTTACTTAAGAATTATCACCTACGACAGTGAATAATGTTGAAACGAAATTAACACTTTGCAAATCTTTCACTTGTTGCCAAATACCATGCAAATATTTTTTCACGAGATACAAAGACCTAAACATTTTAACTTACCAAAAACATTAATTATCTTAAAAGCTTGTGCAAACATTCAATTGTTTCTCCATTTTAAGCCTATAAATTCGATTACTAATTTTAACTTTTTGCGCATAAAACATTCGCAATTTACTATTGTTGATATAAGGACTAAAACCAGGCGTTCAATTCATTGTTTCTTAACTGTTAAATCAAATAAATATTTTCTGGTGATTTATTAATTTATTTAATTATTTATTTATCAGAGATCCTAGCTGTGGTGCTTCTATGGTGAAATTTTCTATTGAGCCAATTGTGATTTGACTCGCAAAGTCAAACGTGTCAATATAACATAGAAGAAACATTTATGTGTAGAAAATTTGTTTGTGCAAAAAGAAACAGTAAATCTAAAAGTGAACCGAGTAAATTTTGACAAAAGAGAAGAAACAAGGAACAAATTGTGAGTGACTATGGGAAAAACCGGAATCTATAATGTTGGGTTTGTGAACTCAACTGAAAGCGTGGTAAGTTAATGTTGAATCCATCAATTCAATTGACGTTTTTAACACGAATAATGATACAAACTAAGGGGATTTATTTAAACTCGAATATAAGTCAGAACAGAAATCCCAAACGATGACGCACTGATCAGTGGTGAATTTTAATTCATTAACAATTGAATATTTTTCTCACGGTAAAAATATGTTTGATGCTTATCACGTAAATTTGAAGGTGACGTCCGCATTCTGTTTTATCATTGCACTTAAAATTAACGCAACATTCATTAAGAACTTACCGAAATTTACATCTCGATTCCAGGGTGGTCTCTGGTTTCAGACGTAAATATTAAAATATCAAAACTTTACAATGCTTTGGATTGTCATAAAAACTTACTCAAGACTTCCAAGAAAAGCTTTCCTTTCATAAAATTATATAATTTGGATGATTTTAAACATTCCAAATATGAATCCCAGGATTTCGGTTCCGAAACTTAAAATAAAAACTTTCTAAAAGTAAAACATGTTTTTATATAACAATACTTCGGTTGTTATAGTCAGCCTTTTGAATAACGTACCTTATTCCAATTAGCTTAAAAATCTTCTTTTATAATTGCAATAAATGTCAAATCTTGTGAGACTTGCGCTAGAATTTATTTTTATGATTCACAATTCTATGCGAGATATAGTTGGATACACAACAAAATGTCATTTGATAAGAAAGATGATCGAAACTAATTTCCTTTTCATTCTAGAATATCAAAACAAAACCACGCATTGAGATACCCAACGTAGTTGTAAGCACAATTGAGAATGTTGTGGCCAAGGTGAGAAGAAATTCCAGCACTGCCAATCATAAAAACATAAAAATTGTCTGTGAAATTGTTTGATGTTCTTTTGATAAGAAACTTCAGGCGAATTTTTATAATTTTATTTCTATTTGATGTGCATTTTAATTTCGTTGCTCTCAATTTTTTATCATGATTAAATATCAGGTTGAAACTCCAGACGATGATGGAAGAAAACGTCCACAATGGAGCAATAGCCTTGAATTCTTAATGAGTTGTATTTCGGTAAATAATAAATATCTCCAAAATTTTATGACATAATTTTCTTATTATAATCAGAGATAATCTATTTATAGGTCAGTGTTGGATTAGGAAATATTTGGAGATTTCCATTCACAGCTTATGAAAATGGTGATAAAATTTTCTTTTAATTTATTTTTTAATTCTCAATTTTTTTCATATTTCTCAGGTGGTGGCGCATTTTTGATTCCTTACATTATCGTTTTAATGCTTATTGGTAAACCAATTTACTATCTTGAAATGGCTATTGGACAATTTTCAAGTCGAGGATCAGTGAAAGCTCTCTCAGTTATACCAGCATTGCAAGGCGTTGCCATTGCGCAGCAAGTCGGCACGACATGTGTCGTCACTTATTATTGCTCGCTAATTGCATTAACATTGTCTTACATGTTCAGATCATTTGCAGCTGAACTTCCATGGGCAAAATGTCTTCCCAAATGGAGTGAAGAAACATCCGTTCAATGTATTGATGCAACTTCAAATTCTACAAATCGAACAGGATCAGTTAGCAGTTCCGAGCTTTTCTTTCTGTAATTTAATTAATTCGAAAATTCATTTTAAGAAGTTAATATTCATAATTTTTTTGTTAATTAACACTAGACGTGAAGTAATTAAGCAAAAAGATGACATAAGCGATGGAATTGGATTTCCCGACTGGCAACTTACTTTATGGCTTTTGTTAGCATGGATAATCGTCTTTCTTGTGATCGTAAAAGGCGTTAAAAGTTCAGGAAAATTTGCTTACTTTCTTGCGATATTCCCTTACGTCGTGATGCTTATTTTATTAGCTCGTGCATTAACTTTAGAAGGCGCTATGGATGGAATCAAATTCTTCATCACGCCGAACTTTAAACGACTTTTGGAACCTCAGGTTTGTGCAATTCAAAATCTCGCAATTTTAAATATTTCTCTTGGTGTGGAAAATTTCTGTCAATCTAATTTAATTCGCACTTTAAACTTGAGATTGAACTTTTCTTTCTAAAAATCGTGTAAGGTATGGAATGATGCAGTTACACAATTGTTTTTCTCTCTCGCCATCGGTATGGGACCTTTAATTATGTTCTCAAGCTATAATGACTTTCAGCATAATTTGTTTAGGTAAGAAATTCTTGTCTCGTCTATCCTTTCTCTCTATGTAGTCATAATATCAATTTATTTACTTACTTATTCATTGCTAACTCACATGTTTTAACATTAGTATTTGTATATATTTTATAGTTACTTATTGGTTACTTACATAAACGAAGTTTACAAAAAGTGTCATCTTTTGAGTTATGTTTTTTTATAATTTTATAAACAATCAAACAACAAACAATTCTAGGTATGGTATCAAGCCACAACACAACTGTTTTTCTCGCTCTCAGTCGGTATGGGATCCATCATCATGTTTTCGAGTTATAATCAATTTGAACATAATATTTATAGGTGAGCTTTGCGTAGTTAGAAACTAACAAAATAAACTTTGAACTTAAAAAGCTTTCATGTTGAAGCTTTTATAATTGTAAATATTTATTGAAATCTCAATATCATAGGAAAATTACAGAGCTTTTCATTTATTTATTTAAGTGAAAAGTTACTCAAGAAAAATTATCAGGAACCTCATTTTATCATTCTTCCAACTTAAACAATTCATTTGTTTATTCACTCAATTTGAAACGTCATAAAAATTACTTTAGTCAACAAGAATTCAAAGTACAGAAGGCTACGATGTTATCGTAGTTTTTGATTATTTATTTAATGATTCTAATTCTTCAAGTTTTCATTTGGAAACTAGTAACAATTATCATTCATATTGTAAATAGCATTCGTGATTCATTCACGCATATTTTGGAAAATTCCTGTACAGTGAAGTCTCTTTAATCAAAAAACTTGATATGAAGATATTAATTTGAATTAATTTGATGACTAAATGAACATAACAACCTCAAATAAAATCCCAATTTTAAACATTCAGAGACGCAATGATCGTGACAACATTAGACACATTCACAAGTCTGCTTGGAGGATTTACAATTTTTGGTATTCTTGGTAATTTGGCGCATAATGTGGGTGAGCCAGATGTTGGAAACATAATTAAAAGCGGCGGCAGTGGCATTGCTTTTATTTCATATCCGGAAGCTATTTCTCAGTTCACATTCGTGCCACAGGTAAGCGACTTGTTTCACCCGGTAAATGAAGTTCCAATGACCTTGACTTTTCTTACTTAGGTGTTTGCAGTTTTGTTTTTCTTCATGTTACTCGCATTAGGAGTAGGAAGTGCAGTTGGATTACAATCAAGTATCGTCACGAATTTATTGGATATTTTTCCAAAAACAAAACATTGGCAAATGGCGGGTGGATGTTGTCTGGGCGGATTTATTATTGGATTGATTTATGTGACGCCTGGTGGCCAATGGATGCTTACCTTGATCGATCATTTCGGTGGAACTTTCTTAATTTTCGCTTTAGCGATTATGGAACTTATCGGAATATTTTGGATTTATGGTTTAGAGAACTTTTGTTGGGATCTTGAATTTATGTTAAACCGTAAAGTGACACCCTTTTGGAGAATATCTTGGTTTGTTGTTACACCAGTCTTAATGATTGTCATTTTCGTCTACTCAATGGCAAAACTTGAAAATCCACTTTTCGCTGGTAAAGAATATCCAGAGTCAAATATAGTTGCTGGTTGGTGCATCTTTGTGTTCGGAATGGCACAATTATTCATTTGGGCGATTTGGAATGCATCGAGAGAAGGTTTTGGTAATGCGAAAACGTCAAAATTCGTTTCTTTATTCAAACCTGATCCCGAGTGGGGACCAAAGTCATCGAAAACCCGTAAAGAGTGGATCTCATTCAAAGAAGTGAAAATGGAGAATCGAAGAAATCTCTCAACCGGTCATTCGAAACTCAAACAAATATTTTTGATGTTGCTGGGGAGATATGAATAATTTTTCCATAAATAAAAACAAAAACTTATTATCAGTATTGTCATTTTATATTATAAAATCTTTTAACTTAATTTAAATAAATATAATGAAACATTCGATTAGTTAAATGTTCTTTTTGTTAATTTTTCGAAGATTGTCATTGAAAAGTGATTTTTTTTTAAAAGACAAAATTAACTTCATGACAAACTCATCAGTAAAATTCTCGTCAAGAATTTTTTTATTTCGGCCATGCATTTTACAATGAAATAAATGAAATTTCTTTTCTTTTTTATATCAGCGTTTTGTTATCATATCACATAAGTCTAATTTACTCTTTTTTTCTCATTTTTAATTGTTTCACCTTAAAAAAAATTGACTAACTCCATAAAAGGGTTTTTGTTTTGTTGTTTTAATTTTGATTTGTCTTATCAGTTTCCAGCCATCATTCGACCCTGACTTGATCGACTTGTGGTGGTGGTTTCGGGATCGATATAATTTGTTAAATTACTGCTAGATGAACTGTGACTTGACTCACGTGAATCTGATTCACTTCTACCTCGATTATGGTGATGAAGGTGAACTGTTCTCGACGGTGTAACACGACGAGGATTTTGCATTAAATGCTCAAGATTCTAGAGAGTTGATTTGAAAGAAATGAATATTTTCCGATTTTTTAATTAAAGAAATTCACTTACTGGTACTTGTTGCTGGTGATGTTGCTCATCAACTTGAGCATCATCATTGACTTTTATAATTTCAGCCTTCAAGTCTTGATTAATCACAATTTCATGGCACAACGGGCACTAATCAATCGTTAAGCAACGGTTACATAATTAATGCAAAAATTAAAGAAACATGAAAAATAACTAACTCACCTTGTCCTGAACGTAAAGCCACTTTCTAAGACACACTCCATGAAAATAATGTTTGCATCTAGTGATTTTAGCTGATGACATTTCTTGATAACAAATTGCACAAACGTCATCGAAATTTTGAAGTTCTGCGGTTGATGCTTCTGACAGTGACGATATTTTTTGTACAGCTGTTCGTCGTTTTATATAAACCGACCATCCTGCTTTAGCCTCGCACCATATGTTGAAGTAACTGAATTACGAAAGGCATTTCAAATTTCATTTGTTTACTTTGTTCATTTGTCAGCACTCACCTATGCACAATTAGCATCACGCCTCTTATTAAACTACCTGCATAATTGTGTTCTTATCAGTAAAAATTGTCATTTAGGATCAGGGTGAAAGTAGAATTATATACAAAAAAAGAAAAAAAGAAGCAAATAAAATACAAAAAAAAAGAAATAAATAAAACAAAATTAATCAACTGAAAAATACAACAAACACCATTAACTTAATAAATAATTATAAATGAATATTAATGAATGAAATTAATTTTACTTTCTATCATAGAATCGAATTGTGTTATCGATACAAGTATTACAGGTTTAGTTTTAATATTATTAAATTTATTACCGAGTTTAGTTAATTACTAAGGATAATACCACAGATTGTCAAACCTTTTCGAAAGATTTCTTTTGTTAATCCCCAAAAATTGGTAAATATCGTTAACAAAAATTAAATAAAATATTAATACAGTTTATATAACAATGAAAACATTTAAAAACCTCTTCCAAATTATAAACAAGAATATCAATAACATAAATCAAACGATAATCTACATAACATCAATTTCTAAGATGCGCACTATGTGCCAAAAACACAAAATCAAGAAAATTTCCGTGACAAAAAAATAAAAAGAGGAAATGAAGTGAATTTGTGAATGATTTTTTCATTGAACTCACCTGATTCAAAGATAAGAATCCANACATAAATCAAACGATCATCTACATAACATCAATTTCTAAGGTGCGCACTATGTGCCAAAAACACAAAATCAGAGATGGGCAAATTGCACGCTCAACTCGATTGACTGACTGACTGACTGACATTGACATGTCAATGTCAGTCAGTCAGTCAGTCAAAATCTCGAAATCGCGAACAAAAATATTCGTCTGTTGGGAAGCGTTCATATGAATGTTCCGCTCAAGTCGTTTGACTGACTGACTGACATGTCAATGTGAGTCAGTCAGTCAGTCAAATCACAACTCTGCACAAAATCAAGAAAATTTCCGTGACAAAAAAATAAAAGAGGAAATGAAGTGAATTTGTGAATGATTTTTTCATTGAACTCACCTGATTCAAAGATAAGAATCCATGCACCATTGAAGAATAAGAAAATTCCAAAGCAAAATTCAACTGAATTTCCAAATGCTTTGATGTAATAAATGTAATCGTCTAATCGCTCCCAAAAAGTTTGTCGACGTGCATCTAGAAGGAACAATATGTAAGTTGCTAAACTTACTAGCACCTATGGCAAAAAGAGGTGTGTTAATTTATGAATTTGAATTTAAACTTGATTTTAATCCTTGACTCACCTTTACGACAACTTCAATCGAAAAGACGGTAACAGCAAGCAGCCAGGTACTAGGTTGATGACGACTCCACAGTGTTATTAACAATAGAATTGGTGCTGAGAGTAAGAATAAACAAACAAGCAATGCACGTGTGTGTCGTTTTCTAGATGGATTGTGAGATGCTGACAATGACATAAGAATTGGCGAAACCATGTTGTGAAGGAAATGAAGAAGTGCTGTGACAAGTAAGCACATGTTACGACATAATCGGATGAATCTTTTATCTGGTTGTAATGTTGTCAATCCCGTTTGAAGTGACAAGATATAAAACAATATCGCCGAAACAGTCCCGATTGACTTGTCTTCATCTTCTTCTGACATCAAAAACATTTGGAAAAGTTTTCCAATATAATGACAAATGATTGAAATGATGCTTGTCATGCCTAGAAGAGCTATCAATGTTTCACATCCTGTTACAAGAAGCTTCTGAATGGTGAACATAAACGTGAGTGATTCTTGTGACTCAAATGTCATTGTTGCGAATTGTTCAATCAATCTAATTGTCCAGAAAGCTCGTAATACGCAAGGAACATTGAGACGTTGCCATTCATTCTCAACAAGTGCTGAAAGACCGAAATTCTCAGCAAAACTTACAGCATGCCGATATCCACTGATAAGTGTCTTAAAAATGTCAAAAGAAGCACTCCAAATAGCAATTTTTGCCAGCACTAGTGGCAATACAGCCGCAAATGTAGGCGCATGTTTAACAATCTTCAATGGTATCGGCAACGTTGCCAAACAAAGTGGCATTAGAAATGCAAATGGAATTGCTTTTTGTGTCCAATTGTGCTTTGGTCCTAGATGAATGTAAGTGAAAATCGTTCCCATCACCCATTGTAACATGAAATGCGGTAGAAGGCTCACTGCCGTTCCATCTGGCGCCGTTAGTCTCGGTATGTTGACATTAAGAATGTCTTCAAGAAGACTTGGTCCGTCTTTTATAAGTGCAATTGCTGACAAGTTACTCCAATACGAAAGAAATATTAATCCTACTGATATTATATACATGTAGACTATCACCAAGTGACGTGTCCATAGCATGAAGATTGCAACAGAACTGAAGCAGCCTGAAAAGAAATGCAACAGTTATAATTTCTTCTTTTTTTGTCTTCTCTAAATAAAGTAGAGAAATATGAGAACATAACAAAGAAATTCGTTATCAAATAAACTGTTAAAGTCAACAAGATAGCATTCAGTCATATCAACTGGAAGCTGATGATAATGAAGACCACTAAATTGATCATGAAAATTTTACTCTTGCTTGTTATAGTTCAGTGTCATCTAACGTTTTGCGAACCGGTTTTCAACTGACTGCTCATACACATGTTATGGAGTGACGAAACACGAAGACATAATAAACACAATCGTGACCTTGCCTACGAGTATGTTACTGACGGTGATCAGATTTGTGATTTTTCTTTTTTTTTCTTTCTTTTTTTCTTTAAGTTTTTGTGCATTTTTTGAATGAGATAAAATACAAATCGCGAGAGAAATCGATTACAACATAAAAATCTACTCGTTCTTCAATGAAATTCGTCTCAGACTTTAAAGCAAAAGAAACGGAAAAAAGAATAAAATAAATAATTTGTGCACATAAAGTAAAATCATACTTAATATGACCCTGACATTTTTTTTTCTTTTTATATGCCTTGCTTTTTTAATACTTATGCAGTGGAGCTCTACCTCTTAGATACTTGATCGGCAGTATTTACGTTACTTGTTTAAATATTTTTTGTTTTATTTCAGTTATTTATTAACCTGAACACTTTGAAGCGAGCTATCTTAACATTCGTTTAGTTAGTTAACATGTGCATTCTTTCTTACGACTAACTTTGATTCCATCTTCTTTACTTCTATGTTTGATTTTAATGGATCACCATGAAAGAAGAAGACAACAAACTTCGCAGTACTTCTTTTCGCTCAGAATATTTTTCTTTCCTTATTCGTAGTTGAACTTTTTATTATTTCATTTTTTTAAGCCGTTCGAAGGTTACGTACCTATTAGAAAGACCACGCACTTGAGAAGCGTTAGAGATATTACATATAGGTCTAAGCTGCTGATTGTTGTGTCCGTTAGATTTGTTGTAAGGTTACTATTGATTGTTTCATTAATTTCTGCAACTAAATTATTAAAATGCGAAGGAGAAGTCTCAAATAAATTCATTTTGAGTATCTCATCGAGCAGAAAAAGAGGCGGAATCCTCATTATCACGTCCACAAAACCGAGAAATTTTGCCCGAATTGACATTTTAAACACTACTAGTTTGATATATAAAGAATAAATAATAAATTTAAAAATCTTCTGATAGCAGAATCAAATTTTTTTTCTTTTCTTCCACTTTCCAGTGGTTGCAAAGGGAATTCCAAAAGTTTTAATTCGCCAAACGCTTTTATATTTTCCACTGTTTTCAGAGTTTCATAATTTATATTAAAGGAACTTAATTATACGCAATCAATAACAACACAAAACAAGATCCAAAAAGCTACTAAAGACCACAAAAATTTTGATGAATTATCATCGCACAATACTTTCGTCTCCCTTCGTAATCAATAAGTTGATTAATTATTGTTCCTCCATTTGTAAAGCGCATTTGATCATGACGCCTTGTATGAAAACAGACACATTTCAACTTAAATCAAATTTCATCAATTTTATGCTAACAGTTTTTAAAAAATAGAAATACGTTAAAATTTTGAAAACTTTTTATTTGCTTTTGATTCAGATAATGCGTTTCAAAGGTTATTGAGATTATTTGAAAATATGATTAATTTCTTAAATTTAATACGTTCCACATAAACTAGCAATGAAAAAGGCCTGCAGGACCCAATAAACGCATTCTGAATTAGAATGCGTTGAGTATTGCAATTATAATGGCATAATGATGACAAGCTAACTGATTTGTATTTAATGTCCTTAATGCATCCATTTATTAATATAATAGTAAGAATCATTAAGATGAACATGTCACAATCCTATATCTATACATTCCAAATACAAATATTCATTCATTTCCAATTTTATTACCCAATCCTTAACATCATAATTCTTTCTTTTTACTCTTTTTAGTTTTAATTTCTTTAACAAATTTTTATGAGCTTTACAGACATAGCTATAACATTTAGCTATTGAATTCGAAATATCTTTTTTAAGGTTTAATTTTTTCGTCCTTAAAAGAACGCAACTTGTCTCAATTATAAAATTTTTGATTCATTCAAGAATTCTTTTCATAACGCAAAGTCATTGTCCAAAGGATAGTAAATCACTTGAAGAATTCTTTTTTTTTTTCATTGCTTCCATTGACGAAAGAAGTGAAAATAAAAGAATTTCTACAAGGATATCAACATTGAATGAAAGTCGTCGACACGATTCCCTGAACGCAATTGTGTAAATCGAATGGATAGAAATTTTATTTTAGAGATTTATCGCACGATCGTTTAAAAGAAAACAATTTTTAAGAGATATAAAGAAAGATTCTTATTCAAGTACGTGAGAAAGTTCATCGATTGTCTCAAAACTGCATCGGCAGAAAATAGACTCAGATTCAAAGATCTTATTTAATAGAAAATTAAAAAAAAGAACTTTTATCATAATTGGAATCACTTCGAACGCTAATTGCATTCGCAATTGCATTTCATACTTCACATGAAGTAACAATAAGTTGGAATTTAGATGAACGAGAGCAAGAGAGTGAAAAACGAAAGACAAATAAATCCAATTAATATTAAATGCGTGTATGTCGCACGCCGAATAATGAAAAACCAGAAGCCAAACAGATAAGAAAATTATTGCGACAACATTCAACCTTTATTTTTTCTTGCCATTCTTTTTTTTGCAACCTGTTTTATCGCTTGAAACATAACAAAATTGGAAGAAGAATCAATGAGTTGAAAAACAATAATCGAACAAAATAAAAACAGTCAGCTTGTTAAAATTCTTCATGCAATTTTTTGAGTTTTTCTTTTTCAGTCATGAAGAAATCGCGCAATGAAGTTAAGAGCAGCCATTTTGATGAATTTTAAAAGTATCAACAGCGTTTATGTCTTGATTGTTGATGCACCTCAATCATTGTGCTAAATTTGATGTGAATTTTTTGCCATGTTTCTTTTAAAATGATTTAGGTCACTGAAGCATCGTTTTGTTTGTTGTTCCCAATTAAAACAGATGACAAATTACGAAAAATAAATTCACCTTTCATGCGTTCTTTCGATGCTGTGCCACTTCACTTGCTTCTACTGTGGAACGCAGCAACGAAAAACATTTTTTTGTTCTGGCAAACTTCAAAAACGAGTAAAGCAAATTAAAAGCAAATTAGAGCAAGATTTGGTGATGTTTTGTTCGCTCAGTTATTTATTTCGCTAAAACTTAAACGTTGATCGATGTAAAACCAAATAGAGAAAAAAAATTGTGATGTGTGTTGATCAGAAATTGCACAATGATTTCCTTTTTCAATAAATTATTGATTGTTGAAATTGGAATTTATTGTACTTTAATGAGGTTAGACTTCTTTGGTTGTTAAAATTCTTGAATTTGTCTCATTCCAAGCAAAACTTTTAATGATGCATTTGTCCACTTTTTCCTTCGAAATTTCATTTCTTGTTTACTGCCCCAAATTCCCAAATCAAAATTCATTGAATTCATTGTTGTTTCACTTTCTGATTCCTTTTTCTTCGTTTGAACGTTCACCAGCGATTGCTTGAAGGTGTCACTTAATTATGATTAATAGCTCTGTCTGAGCATTGTTAATTGCAGCACTTACCAAAAGAAGAAAATGATTAATTTATGATTTGCATTTTGTCAAAAAAAAATATCTGAAAAATGAATTTCATTTTAGTTGGAATATTTCTTGGATTATTCAAGTCCCATTCGTACTCCACGTGAATAAAGAAAATCTGATAAAAAATGTCTCGATACAATTCTGATCTTGTTGATTCTTCTTTGGCAATGCCAGCATCCATGATGGACAAGTTGTCATTTCTGTAATTATCAGAAACATGTCACAGTTTCATCTGAAAAATGTCGCACCATATCATCAATAAATGGTACGAAATTATCATTCAATATTTTCTGCATGGCCTTTTTCATGCAGTCGATAAATCATCTCCATAAACGAGACAACAAAGACTCTTTTGATCAGTGTTAAGAATTTTAATATTTAATTACACTTTTTATATGGCAGTGAAAAATAAACTGCCATAGTAGCCAACAACTTTTTGCCTGATAATCTTGAAGAACTTCATTTTTAGCGTTTAAATGACGTTAAATGCACTTTTGAATTCAATTGTATTCAATCCAACTTTTCTTTTCACAGTTTAATTGAAGTGCTGAGTTGGAGACAACTATTTACAATACGAGATGCTCTAGCACGAGATGGAACAACTGACGACAGAAATTTCCCGCTATTGTGCAGAGAGAGAGTCGATCGATTGAATAAAACAGCAACAGGAGAAATATCAGACGAGAAGCTGAAAATAACAATGGAGCAGTCGAGCATTGAATAAATCTCGTGAATTTGTACCAATATTTCCTGATGTGATACCAATTACTGGCGGGGAAGAATGAATTCAATAAATTGAATTAACGATTTCATTTCAATTGAAAACTGTCATCGAATGCTTCTGCTGCCTTTTCTTTCATCCTCTCTGACCATTTATTACTTTTCTTCTACTTCGTGTTTGTATCTCAACATGCAGAAAATCAAGCAGAAAATGAAGGAAAATTGTTGTTCATTATAAAATTATTCGACAATTTTATTGTCGCCTGATGTCATACAATAACAATTCATTAATTATATAATGGCCAAGGAAAATAATTGATCATTATAGGTGTAATGACTGATATTTCTATTTTTGATGAGATCACTTTCTTTGAATGCGGAAAATTTATTCCTTAAATTCTGCTTCAAGTTTACCATAATTTAGAATTCAGGATGTGAATTTATTTTAAAAAATAGTCAAGAAATCATTCTACGAAAAGCGAGAAACGACAACAAAATACGAACTGACATACAGGAAATGATCATTCAAGATTCTCTAATGAAATCAAAGTCGATGTTGCTAATTGCTTATTATTCTTTTTTCTTTTTAGAAATCCGAAAATCTAAACAAGATATTTTCTTAACATGGAATTGATATCTTTAGCCATCGATGCGATGCTTTGAAAGTATTTTATTTAAAATATTTAATTAAAGAGGTAGTCATTTTGTCCAATTAATGAAACTTTAAATCGATAAAAATTAATTTTCTCAAGTCGAGAAGTTGTTTTTGCTGCTATCGATGGTTTGTTCTACTCTCTGTTTGTTGCGACGATTCCAAAATGAAAAAAACTCAAAGAACAGAATTCGTTTACTCGGGAATTTTATTGAAATTGGTTTTTCTTTTTGAATGAAAGGAACAATTTAATATGCTCATAAAACTTCTGTATCTCGCCGATGAAGCAAAATAAAAATACCTAATTGGGATATTTCATGAGAAAAACTATCTGCTACCGAAAAAACAGACCGAATATTTATTGAATTTGAATTTTTTATTAATTGCACTAATTTACGACTTTATAAACTGAGATAAGGGATGAATTTGTCAATGATTCTTTCACCTTCATGTTTGTTTTAAGATTTCAATGAAGAGCCAATGACACAACTTAAGAATTAAGTTTCAGTCGACGAAAGTTTGTTTATACCGTCACATATCAACGAAGATAAGCATTATTGAGATTTTATTTAAATTTAAAGTTGTTGTGTGACTGTGAGATTTCTAGTCTTTAATTGGAACATTACAAAACAGCTTCGTTTTTAAAGACCCAAGAAATCCTCACTTTGTGTAATGTTAGACGTTTTGTATTCACGTCTATTGATGGGAATAAATTTTATTTCATTTTGATATCAATCTGCCTCGATGAGACAAAATACTTTGACAATCTGAAGCCTACGGTGAAACGTCTAATCAGAAGCTTGATCTTCAGATACAAATTAATTTAAAACGAGTTTCAAGTTTTAATTGGTGGCAGCTTTGAAATCTCGTCCACCGCTTCTTCGTTAGAATTACATTTTAATTATAAATTCTTGAAGTGATCGTTAAATCGTTTTTCAAATGTAACTATGCAATAAATCATTCGATTATTAATAGATTCTCAGAAAATAAGTAGATAACTATTTAAGTTAAAGAGATCCTTGATCTCTACAGTATTTCTAAATACCTCACACATAGCAATGTCATAGAGAAATTAAGCAATTTGAATTCTAATGAGCATTAGTCTAATAAAAAAGATTTTAATCCTAGTTTATGGTGTTGAAGCCTCTTCTCAACTATAACTATCAATGTTTAAGAAAGAAACGAACCCCCGATTCTCCTTTTAAAGTCCATCATAAATTGGTGTTAATTAAATCCGAGTTGAAGAAGGAGAAGAGCAAAGAAAACTTTCTTCTTCTCCAAATTATCATCATACAAATTAATACTCGAAACATGAATGTTATTCAATTAAGTGTTCATTAATATTCACTAAGTTGATGTATTCACAATCGGAAAGCAATAAATTTATGATTAAAGGTAAATTTGAATTTATAAGCCATAAAAATATCGAAAAACTATTCACCTTTATTAATTTGTTTTCGTATGTTTTGATTTGGACCGAATCGTTGTTTTCAAGCTTTAAATTTATTAGTCTAAGATTGGGGTGGTCACACTTAGCGAGCAAGAAACGAAATGAGATAACAAATGATTGTATGCAATAAAAAGAAGAGATACACAAATTGAATTAATGATGATTTATTTACGCGCAATTAATATCGTTTAAGACCCAGAAGAAGAAAAAAAATGAAAATTAAGCAAATTATCAATTCAAAAGATGATATTAACATGAATCGTCTTCCAATTTGCATAAAAGTGTTATAATATTAATTTATGATTTCTTTTCTTCTTATTCTTGAATCTTTAAAGAATTCAGGTAATTTTTTCACGTCATCATTTCATGATTGAACAATGGAGAAGAATTTCATGATACTTAAATATAAATATGTAAGTTCGAATACCTGAGCTTCATTGTTATCTAATTTAACTAGAATTTTTGTGGCACGCTTTGTCATTGACTCATTGTACTCTCAAGTGCTTTCAATTTTTGATTTGCGCTCATGTTGATTGTGCAAACCTTCCAAGAGTGTTTAAGAAATTACGAAAATAATTGCTTTCGTTAATGTTTTATTGTTACGTTTTTAAATACAGCTGTTGTAACAATTGTACTCTGATGTTTGACACAGTTTGAATTTTCATGTAATTATCAAAAGATTGTTAAAACATGCATGTTGATTGTTGTCCTTAAAACATATTATTGAATGTTGCAGAGTCATGTTGTAGGGGAAAAAACATTCAACTTACTCAATCCTTTAAAACATTGCTATGATTGGTTGAAACATTGGGCGTGCGCAACATTGAACATCTATTTCGGTTGCGTATGTATGATTTTCAGCAACGATACATCAAGATGTAGTAGTGTGTGTGTAATTTAAACCACCTAAGATAATTCCATCAAATTTAATCGCTACAAATGATTGGTGATACTTAGTTCACGCTCTTAAACGTTAAGCTAATAGACAACAAAACGAGCAATTTTCAAGTAGGTTTTATGGAGATGAAAAGGGAATACAATATAATTAGCTTTTTTTTCTTCATTGATTTCTAATTTTACTTCTCAGCGAAATCCGACGGAACTTTTTCTTTCAGCTACTCAGAAAGTTTGCTTGACAAATTAATCAAATGACAGTTTCTCTGAAAATTAAATTTTGAAGTAGAAATCCTTTGATTGTGTTTTAAAACTGTCACAAATTATTAGGCATCTTCACACAAGAATTTTAATTGTTTTTACACGGTGCCCTGGTTTCCGAATAAAAGCGAAATCAAAATGTCATATGTTCTTCTGGGAAATTACGGCGTCTGGTGATGCTGATCATTTATCATTTGCGGCAAATGAAAATGCTTTATTATTAAAAGGCCGTTAAATTAGATACAACAAGGCGTTTTTCTTCATCTCTGTCTTCATTTAATGTCACGATACGGTCGCGATTCTGTTTCGAAATTCCAATGATTCTTTTTTACCAAATTGCTGATGACACAAATTTCCTTCTTGTTTTTATTTATTTTTTTCTTATGCTATTGAGGTACCGAAAAAATAACAAAAAGGAAGAAAATTATGAAATGAAACATATGTTTGAAATAAAAATTAAACATTTTAATGTGTTCTCTAAGTTTAAATATATGCTGGAAATCAGCAGAACGATTATAAGATTATAAAAGCAGAAACAAAAGCGAGTGGTAGGTTATGAGATTGAATATTTATGTAAGGAATAAAATTACAATAAAAATGGTCATTACATCAAATTAGTTGCTGATTTTCCTGTTTTATTGAGCACGATTACAAATGTAATTACGCAAAAAATTCGCTGATAATGAGATTATGGCGTGCACAAAAATATTTTACATTAATTTTCTGTTTTGTGTTCCATTCTAGATATAAATTAAGTTGCTTTCGCAAGAACAAACTAATGAACAATTAATATACACTTTGAATCTTGAGTGGTAGTGAATTAAAAACTCAACATGCCAAAATATTTTTGTTCTCCATCAAGTAGAAGATTGAGAAGCGAAAGAGAAAAGGAAACAAGAAAAACGACTAAAAATTAACAATTAAATGACAATTAAATGCGATTGCGGTTGTTTTCTTTGAATTAATTAATTATTATTATGAAGTTGAGTTGTTGTCCCGCGAGGCCATTCGTTGTTGCTTACCATACAAAGGTTGATTGTGTGTGCATTGGTAATTATGACGACTGACCAAAGAAATAAACCGCAGAACATTTATTTTTAAGGAAGTTTCAATTAAGAAGACGCATGGAAAATTTCTTCACTCACTTAATGATGAATGTTTAAGTCTTGAGAAATAAACGAAAGTAAACAGTTGAATAAAATGGGCAAATAAAAATTATAATTGGAAAGTTTACTTGATAATTTGTTGCCTGATTTTTAATTTACGTCTGAGAACTTTTAAGTGAAACTTTAAAAACTTTCAATGTGTTAAAACAAACTTCAACTAATTTAATATTCACGTGAAAACAAATAATTATCAAAACACAATTTTCAACGCTATTATGTCAAACAAAATTTAATTCTTTAAAGCCGTCTTTTATTTAATTAAACCTCAAATAAACTCGTCAAGATCAGAATCGCAAGACATTTGAAATTTAGATTTGTGTCGAGAGGTGGCTAATTAAATTCCAACATATTTATGTAGAATAGTGGCGTCTTATACAAACAGATGTTTTTGTGACTTTTATTATCGACATTGAAACTAGGCTAGTCCTATTAATTAAGTTCTTTGTTTAATATTATATAAAAGGATTCTCTTTTTCGGTTATTGAAAGATGAAGGTTGTTTGATAACAAAATCAGCCTTTTCGAATTATTTATTGCTTTACCGACTGACAAAAGCGATCAAAAACAGAACCAAAGTGTGTACGATAGCAACTCTTTTATAGATGCACTTTCACTGAAATGGAATCTAAGCAGTTAACAGCTCAACCACTAACGACCAGATAAAAAAAAGGTTGAGAAAAAAAAAGTCGAAGTTAACTTGAATCCTTTTTAGGAGATCGAAACATTTCTTTCATCTGCCTTATATTGCACAAATTTGTAAAATGACTGCCGTTTATGTAATGAATGAATGAGCACGGAATTCAATGAACTTTTATTGCATCAGTTTTCTTTTTATCTACTTGCGTGTAAACAGTTCTTGTGTTCGATTTCGCACAATAGGCAACATGATATGTCAACTTCTGTATTCGGAAAATTCTTTAACAAGTCGTCAAAGTTCTACATGTGATCGTCAACTTCATCTTATTAATTAACATTTATGAAATTTCTTTAACTTTCAATCAAATCAAGAAGTCGCATATTTAACAGTCAGTGATCGTTATGATGTAAAACAAGCTTAACTTGAAATGGCTGCTTTCGTAAAACCACATTCATATTTTATTAAATTTTATTATATTATCACAGCAATTTTCACCTGAAGCTGTTAATTCTCGCACCTGTTTTATCTGTGAATGGAGAATTCTTCTATTTTTATATGTTATTGAATAATATTTTAATGACCGAATCAGTGGCTATAAATTCTTCAGATCGAAACACATTCTGCCATATTTAAAATTCACGTCTGACTTCTTCAGTTCTCCCTCTCATTACAGTGGAAGTTCATGCCTTTTATGCTTAAAATTATTATGTATCAATTGCTTCGTAACTTGCATCTCTTGCTCAAGAAAAATATGTATAAAGGTATAAAAAATTATCGTGCATAATTGATTAAGCCTTCGAAGTTGTTTTAAAAATGGAAATGAAAAATTTAATGCAAGACGTGTCGATTCTCCAATCGCTTTGACGATATTTTTCTCGAATTAGTTTTATATTTCTCTTCATTTCGTTTATAATTGCAAGAGAAATCTTTATGGAAGCCTCTGAAAGATCGCTTATGGCTTTCAAAGATTTATGAATGATATGCAACGCCATTTAAAGACATAAACTTACGATGGAAACTTGAATGTTGTGCAAACATCAACAAATTTGAAGTTTCGTTTCTCTTCAAAAAATCATTTATTTTCCGGGCAATAAAATAAATTTTAATTTTGTATGATATTTGAACAAAATAAAAGGAAAAGAAAACTTTCAGACGGTTCTTTCTTTTGTGTCCTTTCCTTCCGTTTGCTTTGACTACACGAACAATGTCAGGAAAGTTGATGCAACAATAAAACAAAACTCGAAACAGCAGAAATCATCCAATTAGTATTTCTGCGAATTCCTGATTTGCCTCTTGCCTCATTGAATACAAATGCAGAATGTATTTAATTATTTAAATAACTTTTCTCTTTCCTTCTTGGCTTTAGTCATTCGAAAAATTTGCCATTTAAGTCCACACTTGGTCTGCTCATTCTGATGTTGTTATAAGGCCGCTAAGTCACCAACGGTGATTGCTGCCTCTGTTTGTACATTTCTTTACAGTCGTTAAAATTCACACTGCAATTATTGCTGAGTCTCTTGCTGATGTGATCAATTGACATTTCCTCCATTTCTGTGAGACACAGACATGAGCTAAGTTTGATTACATGTTGAAATTAATTTACTTTTATTGCATTTTAGCTTTTGGTCCAACCATGTTTATTACATGACTTTAATTCACCTTTTAAAATCATTCACGATTTCGGTTTTTAATTTAATTCAATTCTTCCTTTGTTCACCTCATACCTCATTCGTGATCTTAGATTGCGAGTTGAATTTAAAAGGAATAAAATAACAAATGCAATTGCTGTTGTTGCATTTGCACAACTTTAATAGTGTTTGAAGCGAGAATTAAATCAATTGCTATTTGAAGTTAATTATGATGTCCATTAAGGAAAATTTACACAATCAAAATGCCGGAGATGAATTAATAAACAGCATGAGAGTCATTGTTTGTGATTCTAAAATAACCAGATGTTGTTGCCACTTCGTTATATTAATTTTCATCCTAACGCTCTCAAAGCCCGCTTTTCTGGTTAAATGATTAAACATAAAAGGCAACATCGACTCTTCAAACGATTAAACTGTGACATTTTTATGTATGCTTTTGAATGAATACAAAAATCATTAACATCACATCCAAATGTGCTTTTGAAGATGGTATGAGATGCGATTTCAAAGAAATTCTTTTTGGAGCGTTTCAAATCAATGGAAAAAAGAAACTTTTGTCACTCAATGGACAACAACACGACACACAAAACTACAAATTTTTCCGTGATGTCAAAAGAACTTTCTTAATTATGACTTTAGATGATGCTTATTAAAGTGGCAATAATTTGATAACAAAGACGAGCACTCTCTGAATGGCTGATTGAAAATCATTCAACGATAAATGCGCTGTTCTCATTCCCTTTTCAACCTAATGACATCGTAATGATGATTTTTAAAAGTGATGCGCTTTTGTGTGTGGATGTGGATGAAATCCTAAGAAATATTTGTTTCGTTCGACTAAAAAAGATACAAAAACTGTTGTTGTTGTTTAGGGGATGATGAAGTTTCACTTCTCATACCCATTATTAGCAGCAATCGTTTTGACATTATTGCCAATAAAATGGTGAGAAAAGAAAGAAAAATCTCACATAACTTCCACTCGACTGACTAAAACCTTATTAAATATCGATTAGAGTCGAGTCATGGAGTCATCGTTTCAAAGCCATTCAAAATTCATTCATGTGTTCACGCTCTCTTCGCCATTTAGAAAATTATCTGTTAAACGAGATAATTTCCAAGGCATTTTACTGGTAATTTTATTGTGTTTTGTTTCTGGTAAATCTCGTCGTTGACTGCGTTTCGCTGCTTGTGACTCGAGTCTCATTAAAAATCATTTTGTGGAAAGAGTAGGAAAAAAAAGTTCGCCATAAAAAGAGAAAGATCAGCCATTGTTCCCTTTATGCTTATTTCCTCGGTCTTTGAATGAAATGTTTCACTTATCCAATGAAAAATTTGCTTTCAAATTAAGGTGGCTCGACTATGAGCTGCACTTTCGTGCCCATAAAAGAGTTTCTACATGTTTTAACGCCCTGCAATTTCAGTTGACTTTTATAGCATTATTAGGTCTACTTATAGCTATTGTGATTGCGCGCAAGAATGTTTTTCCATTTCATTATTTGCAGCGCTTATTGTTGGCATACAAAATAGTGAACATGCAATGATTATGCATTCCACATTATCGTTATTTTCTACGAAATTCTCTGTCATGCAAAAAAAGCTTTTTTATCGTTACTAATGATACTTTCATTCATTCATAATCACCTCTTCAAGCACCATTCATTAAACTCATTCGTAATGAATTGTAAATGATTCAAATGACTTTCGATATGCTCAATTTTTCACAAGAATTTTTATTTGTACGACTCTTATAAATAATGCACCGTCATTGACCATTGATAATTTCTCAAATATCTTTAAGACGATTGTTAATAAAGGTTACTCTATCCTGAAGCTCGTCACACATTCTTGAAATGACCACCTGGAGCACAATCGGATTCTTTCATTAACTTCTTCGATTTTTTTCTTTCTCTTATTTTCGTAGTTCATAATTTATGAATTATGAAAGAGAAAAGTTATCAATGGAAATGTTTGTCACGTAATAAGAATTTTAAAGACTTTTATTCATCTCCATAATTTTCCAACGGCGTATTAAGTGTGACAAACTTACACAAACATCCCCTTTCTCAAACATATCTTGCTGCGATACTTAAAGGAAAAAAGGAACAAGAAGAATTAAAATATAATTGACTACCCGTGCCTGATATCTATGACAAAATAATTTTTCAGTTTTCATTGTGCAAAAATTCATACATCATTCCTCTCAAGATTTTTCTTCTGTATTTCATTCTTTCTTTCATTTTCTTCTTTTCTTCTCCAGTTTCTAATAAGCTTGTTGTATTTCTTTTTAATTGCGAACAAAAGAGAATTTCAAGAAAAAAGAATTTTAGCAAGATGAGAAGGAAGAAATCAAATGGAAGAGAAAGAAAAGATGTGAATAATTGACTTCAATGTGGTTTTCACACACAGCCAATAATGAAGCATTAAGATCAATTCGATAATAATAAACTTCGATAGAGTGTAAGAGGGAGAGAGAGTGAGAGGGAGAGTTCAAAATGTTTACAGTTGTTACGATCTTTAAAAACCCATATTTCACTGCAATCAACTGCTTTTGGAAGAATGAATGCGATGTCTTGCCAATCAGGTAAAGAAAATTACAGTCTTTCATCTTCGACATGCATTCTTTGAGATTTTTTATGTCTTTCCGATGATGAATCGATCCTCTTAGTAGAAAGTCAAAGTTTCTTCAACGAATTTCGTTTGAAAGAAAAACGCAGCCGGAAATTTTTCAAATGACGCAGACGAATGAAAGATTTGATTAGTGACGATTTTTAATCAAATTGAAGAATCTTAATCGATCTTTACAACAATGAAATTTGTATTTATGTTAATTGTATCTTATGATTTGCTTTGTGATTTCATGTTAATCAGTTAATGGATAAATATCTTAGGGTTTAGATTTGCCTTTTACCTTTTTGCTGAATTATGATTTCGAACAGATGTGATTCGTTGAAATATCTCAGGAAAGCAATCGTAAGGGACAAAAGCATTTATTTTTCTGACTTTTTATTATATGAACTCATGAGAGTGTTCAAAATTATATTAGCTACGATTTATTTTCCAACAACCGTACATCTGTTTGTTATCGTTATTTTATGAGTTTGTCATTTAATTTGGTACTTCAAAGGACCCTCATGACAACAGAATAATGAAGGATAATTTTTTTATTAACAGCTTAGAAATTACTGCCACTGTGCTTATTTAACGATATGATTTTGGTTTAGAAGCAGTTGCCATTTTGAAGTGGTTAATTAGGCAAACAATTCCTCGAATACCTTTTTATCTGCATTTACATACCAGTAAAGAGATGAAAGGATTTGACTACAAATCGGCTTTTGCCAATTATTTTTTTAAACAAGCTTAAATCAATTTGTTCAGTTCCACGCTTAAATCGTGTAACGAGAAAAGTTTTGTTTTCATTGCTCCAATTATTTACGACTTTTTATTTCGAAAATGGCGTTTCATATCATATTAAATTGATGTTTTGTACATAAGAGAAAAAAAGGTGGCTACACAACCCGCGGTGTTGATATCAACAACACTTTAAGCTGTCCATTCAATGAACAGAGTCTAATAATTTAATAATTTTTCTCTCGTTTGTATAAGGTCAGCGCAACAAAATGACATAAAAAATAATAATATTTAAACACAACCATCATCAACGTATTAAAATTTCGTTTGTCATTGTTTATTTTCTCTTTCCATCTTTCGTTTATAGTTTATTTATTCACGCCATTACTAATGATTGCCTTTCTTCTAAGAGTGATGAAAGGAACTCATAGGAAATTTGTAAACAAAGCTAATGTTGGAAAAGGAGCCCGGTGGATCTGTTTGGACAACAATTCAGCAATTAATTCTAAAACAAAACACAAAATCCCTTACGGAGATTTTCTTTGAAATTCTATTCCTTTTGTGTGTATCTCTGCAAGCGACTTTTTGATGTTTCTTTAGAGTTTAACAAAAGCTAAAAGGTGCACCGACAAATTTATTGATTTTACGTGATGTTTATTTTGGGTAACCATAGAGAACACGATACTCTGTCTTCGATACAAATATTCGAACGAAGAAATGCAGATTTCTACCTTCGATAGTGAATCAAAATAGTTTTACTTTTTCCCAACTAATTGGACGATTTCAAACTTTGATTTATAAGTCTTTGATTCAGAAAACATAAACTTTAAATGTCAAAATTCATTGTCTACTTCATAAATAAATATTTTAGATGTTGAAAAATTGAAACAATAGAGACATGATCGTTGAACAGCAAAAATCTGGTCATCCATAAGAATAATTTAATTCTTAAAAAACTTAAATTAATTCCACCCGAAATTATTTCTTCAAAATAAATTAGAATGAAATATGAAAACAATTAACAAATAAAAATGAAGAGAAAAATCTCCACAAACACTTTTGTGTAAAATTAATTACTGTGAGAAATGTGAGTGGAATTATTCATTCCAACAAATTAACAATCTTTAATTAATAATTTTAAATTGCTTTTCTTGTAGATAGAAATCTTGCAGTTTTAAACATTGCGATTGTTTTAATAAATCGCGTTGGCGCTTAAACGCTTCAGTTCGGAAATATAAAGCAGTGAAGCATTAATTGACTTGTTGCATTTAATGATTGATGACGTTTCAACTGAAGCCTTTGGTGTGGGATGCATTGAAACTGGAAACTGTAAAGACAGAATAAGAGAATGAGAGTCTTCGCGAATAAATTCGTAATGAGCGATCATTAATTAAAGTGAACAAGTATCTTTCTTTTATTACATTTGCAGCAACACAAAATTTTATTTACTTAAATAATTCCTACACACGCATTTTGTGAAATCACGAGCATGTTATTATGACTTTTTTTTCCTCTTTATTTAATTCCCTCATTCACTCTTTTCCCCGAGTGCTTCTGGAAACGCATGTACGGCGAATTTCATTTAATTTAATTCCTTTTGATTTTTTGACTAGAGTGGCTTTTTGTCTTCTTCATCTTCATCTCTTTTGCCCCAGCATTTTGCACGACCAATTAAGATTGCTAATTAATGTTAACTTCCATTAAGTATAAAAGAGATTGAGATCTTGTTAGTGATTTTTTTTTATTTTTATTAGCGAAGCTACCAATTATTTTTATTATTCTTTGCTTAAGCTTAAATATGCTTGTTTCTTATTCCTGACGCCATGATCGCTTTCACTCCACCCAGAGAATTTCTCGTTTAAGGCGGAATAGAAACTCTTTAATGGCTAACATGAAATCTTAACATTGCTGTGTTCGATCATTCCATCCTCACATTTATTCTTGTTACAAAATTGTTGCAAAAAACAAAAATATTTTAGAAAGTAAACGACGACGAGATTGTGTTTCTGTTGTCACTTACAAAGCATAAACAATCGGAAGTATTAATTGACTCAAATGGAACAATTGGCCATATCAAAGTTGACTAAATGCAATAAAGATCAAATAAATTACCCAATAAAAAAGTTTACTGTCGGTGAACAAGAAAAAGGGGATCGGATGATGAACGATCTGCTGTTATATTTATTTTCCGTTCTGACACTCAAAAAGTACTCGTGATGGTCAACAACTGGAACAATTGAACATAATTTGAATTTTATTGATTGAAACTTCAACACTCGCCTCAAAGTGAACAACAAAAATGTTCCGGAAATACATTACTGAACGTTATTGTTGATAGGGTTCATTTTGGATCGACCAGCATCGTTATTATTGAAATTATGCATCACACTTCAAACTCCTACATACATAGCAAGTCACAAACAATTAGATAATCAAGCGTAAGCTGATGGAAAATTGAAATTCAATTGTATTTACATTTGTATATAGTAGATGCTGTTGAAAAGGCATTCAAATGCAGATTCAACCATCATAGCTATTTATGATCCGTTGGGTAAGTCACTTTATCGCATCGGACCAATCTTAATGATACAATGTACGTAAATAAGCACACAATATTTGTTAAAAGTAAAAATAATTGAAATAAATTTTATGTCTCGCTATCTTATGACAACAATCAGCTATATAGTTGAAACATTTTTATTAATTACAATCTGAATTCATATTATACGAAGCGGAGAATATTTATATGTTTCACGAGTTTATTCCCAACACCATCATGTGTCATATGGAAATTATTTTTCATCTCGAGACAATCAACAACTTGGTTTTTATAAATATGTAAAGAGTTTTGAGACACGAGCGGATTGAGAAATCTTAATCTTGTCTTGCGTAGATATTTAGTATGTTTGAAAATACGTAATAAATAGCAAAGCCACCAGCAGTTTCAGTCAGCAATTAATCTGTCTCTCTTATATTTCGGAGACAATTTAAAAAAGTTTAGTTATTATCTAATTATTTAGGTTTCGCTCGTGTTGAGGCGGCCGTTGAAAGCGTAGACAGATTTTTATTGTTGTCAGTAGCCGATAAATTATTTTGTTAATTAAGAAATTTCTCTATAAATTTAAGACAAACAAGATTTTCTGATGTTAGATAAAGGAAAGTTTTCGTAGTTCACCCTTTTCTTCTTTCTTCTTTATTACTTTGAATTGTTTTCAAAGTCCCTTCAAATAATTCTTCTCTCAACTTGAAAGGAAGAGAAACCAAAAACTATTTTAATGATCCACTTTCACTGGAAATTTGGGTAAATAAAAAGCGACATGAGATCATTTGACAGAGATAAGAAGCAATTTAAGGTCTCAAACAGAAGCCAAGGCCAATAAAAATGAATCAAGAAAAGACAAACGGAGCGCGAAGACAAGCCAAAGAAGAAACACAAGAAATAAATATATTTAAGGATGAAAAATTTATCACCGAAAATTAATTGAACGGTAAAAGACATTCAAGGAGAGAAATTTGTGTTATTTTATCGCATTGCCGCTGCTTCGTATTTGCTCACGTTTTTCGGATTAAGAATTTAACGCCGTTCAATTTATTTAATTTCGTCGTTTCTTTCTTATCACATTCTTCGTCAAGGCTACTGGACTTAATTATCGTGAAAAATATTTTCAATGCAAATATCTTCTTCTTTTTATCTTACTTTTCATTATCATACATATTGAATTTCAAACATGGATTTTCATAACAAAAAATTGAATTAACTTGCGAGTTTAAGTGGCAATAAATTTTAGTGTCATGTCTCATAAATTAATTTCTTCGCTTAATGGATATTTTACATGATCTCTTTTACGCTTGTCTGATGTATGCATTTTTTTTATTTAATTTTATTTTTATGCTTCTTGGCAGTTAAAGCTCTACGACTTCTAATTTGCTCTGTTTGAGTTTCAAACAAAATTATTTTCTTTAGCTTTGTTGACCAGAAAGAAATAAAATAACTTTAATTGCAAAAAGTTTATTTTTAATAGCATTTTCTTATTTCCAGCACTTTGTAATTTGCATAAACTGAAGGTTAGCATGTTTTAATTACATAGCGAATTTTTTCTGTATTTATGTTGTATGCTGTAAGTTGCTAAATATGTTGCGCATTTATGTTCATGTTCGGTTAATTTGTGACATAAATTCATGACAATTTTCTCTGAACAGTCACCATTGGCCTTCCTTGTAGTATGTGCTTTCCGTATTGCAATTATAAATTTAGCAGTGAATTCAACTGCTTAATTGTTACAAGTGAGAAGTAATTTCATTTCTCTCATTGTGATGATCAAAGACATTCTAAGCTTTCATTAAAGTTTTCGAAATTCTTCGCATTGTTTGATTATTTAGCGAATTGAAATAGCAAATTGATTGAGTTTAAGTGTTTGTAATTAAAAAGTTCATTCAAGCCAAAGTGATTGGTTGACATGACAATAAATTAGAAATGAAATGAACAAACATTTTTCTATTTTTATCTATCAAAAGAATTGTTTGTTGTTTCTTTAAATAAAGAACTCACAATTTGCCATTTGAATCTTGCATTTATTTATATTATTAAGTTGTTTTGTGAATTCTTTCTTTCTTCAGTTGAATTCCAATTGTTTCATCAGTTATTGAAAATCTTGAAATAGTCACAAAGACCCATTTCATTTTTTCTACCATTCATCGCATGAATGTCGTATGCAAATTGCACGTAAATGCTCCAACTGACAAATGAATGGATTAATAAAAAAAAGTTTTTGCATTTCGTTTCCTTTTTTTCGTTTTTCATTATATCAAAACTATCGGCGACATCGTTGAATCGATAAACGACATTCAATTATGAAATAATATTTATACGACAATTTTTCCATTAATAATTATTATCTAATAAATTATCATTCAAGAATAATGTACAAGCAAAAAAATATAAATAAAAATAAACAACAATTATGTTAAAAATAATAATCCGACAGATTTCAAAGTTTTTGCTGCATACAACTTCAATAATCATTGTTTGTTTTTAATTATGTCAGTTGATTGACATTGAATTGCTTTTTATGATGTATTTTGAAGCATAAAAATTTAACTTTCGATTCTATTTTCAATGCAGTCAAAAGAACATTTCTTCATTGAAATTGTAACACTCGGTAACTGTCGTCGACGATAAGGAGGAATTCTCTCTAGAGACCATAAAAATAAAACGATAAAGTTGACACCCGCACAATTACAATCTGATGATCAGCAAAATTGAAAATCAGGGAAATTGTGTATGTTTGATGACATAGAAATGTAAATGGAAATCAGCAGTTAAATGGTTGTGAATCTTTTTCTTTTCCGAGTTTAACAAACATTTTCCAACCCTCCAATATGGAGCAATAAATATCAAATAAAGAGTGTCGTGTTGGCATTGTGCAGCAGTGTGAGTGACGAAATTAAATGGAAATAGAAAAATGATACCCTGGGGTGACTATTTTATCATCTATTTAATTCAATTAAACTAATACAAAAACATAAAGTAAAATAACAATTTATTTCCAGTCAATTAAAGTAGAGTTTGTTTGACATGAAAGGGGAGAAAGAAAGCAGCAAAAGCAAAATAGAGAAGTCAGACATTATTTAAATCAAACACAATGTGTTTTATAAGAGGGAAACTTTTTTTCTTTTTCATTTTGATTGAAGTAAATTACGGCTAATAAGGTCATGAAAAATAGGAAATTAATGCTGATGCTTTTTACGCCTTGCATGAAGTATCACGAACCATTTTGAAAGTCTCTCTCAAACCTTGAAAAGGAAATTCGAGTAGTGATCGAGAAATTTTATGGCAATAGACGTCATTTCATACCGATCTTTATTAAATGAGACATTTTGAACTCGTCAGTGATTAAACAATTTAACAGAGCTGTTCATTGAGTTCAAACGAAATGTTTAGCGTAATTAACAGTGACATGCTAAAATTATAAATGTTTAATGATGTTGTCGTGGCCTTTGTGACATGTTTATGATGTATCTACGTCGAGTGAAGTCAATTTTTTGACGCATGAATGTTCGCTTTGAAGCATCAAGTCAACAACAAAGAAAGTATCGAAAGGAAAGTAATAAAATTCTCGAAACATAATTAACTTGTAATGAGCAGGGATGTGATGAGAATTTATTAGATACTTTCTAATGCAACTTTATGCTTTTAAAAAGCCATTTCCTTACACACTCTTTTAAACAAACGTTAAGATGTTTTCGGAATTCAAAGTGTCATTAAAGACATTTTAACTAAAGAGCTATAATGCCTCGACATTTTTTCTCAAATTGATTGCAATAAATCTCTCTTGTATCTTTTTTCTTTTTACTTCATTCCAAGATTTCGTCTCAAGATGTTCGAAAGTAGTCACATTCTATTTTCCTCCGTTCAACATGCCACATCTTTCACTTAACATTATTTTTGCGCCGACAAGTGAAAAGTTTAACACACTCCGGAGGAACATTTATTAATGACTTAATAGATGCAACAATTAAAACGCTATGATCAAAAAAAAGATGAAGAAGAAGAGAGAGACATTGAATGGGGAAGAAAAATCAAGAGAAGAATGTTTGTCGCAGCAAAAAGATATTTTTAGGAAGTTGACAAAAAGTTTTTAATTTTCACTCGATGAAAACAACAAACCCAAGAACATGTGTTTTGTGTGTAGCAGCAATTCTGTAAAGACAGACGAGAAACGGTAGCAGATACGACAGACTCAAGACACTCAATTGAGCGATGGAGATATACATTACAGTCAGAGTTAAGTTAATGATCTCGTGAGTGTTTTATTACAAATCAAAAATGTTAATTGCCATTTTTGCAATCCATCATGTTGTTAGCTTTATTTAACATCATGTACAAGTTGTTTGTTATAAATGAGACGACTGTTAATATGAAAAACGTCATATTTTATTTAATTTATCCAATTGATCGTTAATGCTTTACTACATTTTTCCAGTTTCGTGTTTTCTTTACGGCATCTTTAGAGCAGCATTTTTATTGCACAACACATTCTCAATAAAGCTATCGCAGTGTAAAGCATGTGAATTTAATGCGATTAAATAGATTTTAATTGCATTTGCTCGACTCTTGAGATCCAATGGCGGCTCACATTTCTCATTTTTTCTTCACTCATAATTAGCTCGACTCTAATATAGTGAATATATTTTTTTCCTTCTTTTTTCTCACGAGATCGTAAATAAACAATGTAATAAAAGTTGATTTTTGCAGTATTTAATTGGCGTTTAGGCTTGCGGAAATATATGTGGAAAAACGACCAGCCTTACATGCTTCATTTTATTTCTTCTTTTAGATGAGAGAAGTTGATTCCAAGAATTTTTCAAGTGGCCACCCTCGTCATAATTTACACGAGAAAAAAAATTCTTTTCAAATCTTTGAAATTGTGATAAACTCATCCAAACAAAATATCAATTTCAAATAGTTTCCGAACACACAAAAACTTTTGCTTCTCTTGACATTTTAAGTTTCGTCTTTCTTTTCTTGTATTATTGATCGGATTATGTTGTTAGATTGTAATTTGTGCCAGCATGCATCCAACAATCTATTTATTGTAAATCCCTTTCTCCTATTCTTCTCTGACAAACAACATTCAATCGCAAAACTTTATTTTTCACAAATCTCTTCAATTTCCTCGAAAAAAAATTTTGTTTTATGGGATCATCAAGTGATGGAAATTATTTTTGTTCGAACAAGCAAATCCAATGATTTTTAAATCGCATTAAAATTTGAGCCTTCTGAAATCGCCTCAGAGACGAAGATGGCAAACAATTTTAAGCAAATTAAAAATGAATTATTGACAGCTTCATCTGTGTCTGCGCATGAAAGCGTTAAAGAATGAACTGAAAATCTTTTGAACAAGAGACAACAAACAGAAGAATTTGTTAAGATGAATTGGCTTTGAGGATTAAAGAAGTGATGAACTCGTAAGTCAATTATTGATCTATTATTGGAATTTGACGTTGCTGTGTTGAAGGTGGCAAAAAGGAAAGTTTGAACAATTTATCGTTACCAGGTTGTTTCTACTTAATAACGATGCTCATAAAAACATGACATAAAATCTAAAACCATTAAACATTCACGATACTTATAGCGAATGAAAAACTATCAGCGCAATTTTAACGTCTTGAAAAATTCTCTCAACATTTCCCACTGCTAATAACGCGTTAAATAGAAAAACGGAATTAATTCTCTGTGACTTCATCGCTTACGACTTTACTTTAGTTAATTAGCAACAATTTTATGAAATGACAAATTCTCTCTTCGTACATCTCACATCTTCATCCAACAACTGATGGAACTGATCGCTTTATTCAGGTGGTGCGAAAATGAAAACGAGAAAATCTGAATAAAAAATTCATTAATCAAGAAACGTAAATAAAATGTAAAATTCATCCACGAGTCATTCAGTAAAATGTCTTTATGTGTGTTTAATTCATTCATCAACAGATGCGTGAAATTCATGAGAATTTTCAAATGTTCTTTGACGTTTTCACTTCTTTTTTGCCTGTTTGTTGTTGTTTATTTTATTAATTTTATTTAATTCGAGATGATACCGCAGTGCGATGTTCATTGCTGCATTTTGCGGATTATTAAAACTTTTTAATTATTTCTAGGAAATTTCAACGCGTCCTAATTATTTCATTATTAAGTCATTAAATGTTATTGTTCTTCGTCTAAGAGTGGAAAAGTAATGAAAAATGAACAACAAAGGCAAAGAACGAGTAAGCCCTGTGGAGCTGTTACTTCATTTATTTATATGCTCGCAAGAAAATTATCCAACATACATTTTAAGCAGAAAACAAAAATACTTTTTTATGGTTGTTCACTGTGTAATTAAATTAGCAATTTTACTGCACGAGCAGCATTAAAAATGTTATTAATTACCTTTCGAGTTACGTCTTCATTATCGTCGCTCGGTCAGAGGATGTCAATAAAAAATTATTTCATTCTTTTGTAAATAACTGCTTAGTGGAGAATGAATGGAAACGAAATGTTTTTAACGATCGATTATTAGATTAGTTGAGAAGGCTAGTTGCTCTTTCTTTTTTCTTTTTTTTGTTAAGGAAATGACTCAGTAATTTGCATAAAATAATGTAGCATGGATATCTTGATGATGAAAAATATAATTTCCAACTTAATTAAACTTATCTTTCTCATTCAAACGAAGCGAAATGTCTGTGATGAGTGAATGAAAATTAAAAAAATATTTATTTTCACGATTCAATAATTTTAATAGTTTAATTCATGAAGCATCAAGAATTCGCTTTCATCGTCATTTTTATGATTAATTCTGATAGATTAGATTTTAATTTGAAAGGCATTTTAATGTTTATGGTTCAGAAAGATTTCGTTTATTTCTTTCCGGAAGTTTCAGATGTTTTATTTCCGTATGTAGTTTTAAAATATGAAAACAAAAATTTGGAGTTGTGTTGATTAAACAGATTGAAATTTCCAACGCCCTTTGTCACCCTTCAAATTAAAAAACATAAACTTTAATAAAAATAAAATTTATTATGCGAAAAGAAAGTTTCAAGCTAATTTCAGCAACAGAAGTAGCAAGTCTGGAGTGCGATTCCTTGTGAGTGATAACAACAATTCTAATTTCCATTCTCGTAAGCGACTTCCATTGTCTTTCGCGTCGTTTGCAAATTGTAATGCGAAAAAAATTTTCTGGGTGGAAAAATAAATCTTTAATTCACTTCGCTTTTCTTCTTTTTCCTTTTGTTCTCATTTCCCCCCCTACGTCAACGAACATAGCAAGCAGCAACGCAGAAGATTTTCTTTAAACTGATAACGAAGTTGATTTTCTATTTTCAGCGAGAAACGCGCAGCACAAATCGGCAAGCAATCTAGCCAATTATTCACAAAAACTTTTTCGTTGAAAACAATAAAATAATTAAAGCAAATTTATCAACGACGACAAATCTCCGGGAAACCATTCGCAATTAAAAATAATTAAACAACAATGAAGATGAAGAATGAAAAATTCTGTAAGACGAGGAAAGATTAAGAATAGAAAGAAATTTAATTATATTTTGTTTTGTTTTATAAATTAACAGCCGAAAAATTCCTTAACGGAAATTTGATGTGATGTGTTTGGCGGGCAGAGAGTTTCACTACGTTTTTGATTCAATTCTTTTAGAATCATTTGAGGTGGATTTGCGGAAGGAACTTTTAGAACAGTTTTCTTACAAAATTTAGATTTCTTTTTCGGTTTGACAACTTTCTCTTCTTTGTCTCCTTCATCTTTTGGAAGATTTGCACAACATAAAATTGCACCAAGTGTGCAAAGCTCTTCAGAATCTTCCAAATATTTGAGAATTTGTTCGACCAGCAAATCTACAGAATCAAACTTATAAAGTACAGAATATCGCTTTCTGTCATTTATCTCAATTCCCTGTGGATCGAAAATATAAAAACTTTTGCAACGCTTAAAGACGGCCCAACATTCCAATCCCCGACACAAATATCCATTTTCATAACATGAGAAGAACTCGGTCAAAGTAGAAGTCAGAAAATCTCTCTCCAAATTGTCAACAGGAATGTTTTTAAATGACTCAATTTTTGCGAAAACTTCCAATTCACAGAAATTAAACGAAGTAATGAGCATTGACATTGTAACGTCTTTCGTGTCGTTTGCTGTTCAAAAGAAATTTCTTTTATCAATTGTACAATTATTTTTGACATTTATGGACTCACCAACTGATGACTCGATGTATAAATTACTTCCTGATTTAACGACATTGTTAATGGTGTTGCCATTCCAACAATTTAATTCTTTCACCGAACTCATAGCAACTGCCAGTAAGCAAATTGCACCGGCCTAAACATGATTACATGAAATATTTAAAGGAAAATTAATTTATTAATCAACTCACATGATACTTTCTGGCATATTCGTTTAAACTCTTTGAACTTGTTGATAACTTTCCACAAATGAGACTTCCTTTGCTGAATTCAATAAAACCACCGGAATTTCCTTTTTTTGCTTTAATTTCCTTAATTAACTTTTGATATTCGTCAGTGTTGTTACTTCGTCTTAATTCTTTCTGTTTTTGAGTGACGTTTGCTGACACTGCTGGTAAAATTTCTTCTTCATTAAATGAAGTTAAAAGTTCTGGAGAAGCATCAAAAGTTGTGTCATCCAAATCCGTCATTGTTATGTTGCAAACTCTCAATTCAAATGGCTTACAAAATGAATCACGATCAATATTTCCGATAATATTTTGATAGAGATCAGAAACTGATTTAAGAATAATCAAACCAGGAGAAGTTTTTGTGTTCATTTCAATTTTGATTCGACGTGAAACTTGAACATTTCCATTGTCGTCGATAGGACAAGAATAAAAAATGAAAAATTCATTTCGTTCTTTCCAGATTGCGACAACAAAACTTTGCGTCACTAAAACACCAACAGAATAGAAAGTGAAGAACTCTTCAATAACATCACGTAAACGTGGAGCTGGGCATGGTAGTTTTGAAACAATTCCCCGTTGAAAGATGTCCATTTGAATGTTTGTCTGAACATTGTTAAGTTCAAAGTTCCAATTAATCTCATCGGGACAAAGATTCTGTTCACAAAGTTGAAAGTCAATGAAACAATTATCAGAACATTCCTTAATCAAATCATTGCCAAAGACGATAATTTTATCGATGATGTCATGAGTGTAGTATTCAGGTTCCAATGATCTACTCAAACAAAGCATTGCAACTGCATAACAAACTCCTATCGCAACATTTTCTTTCGTCCATTCAATTGTCGTTGCATCTTTAGAACGAATTGATCGAACATTAGAAGTTGTTGTGTACAAATTGTAATCGTCATCAATTGTTGAAAACGTGTCAGCTTCTCTGTCATCTCTTGAGTCTTCGAAATGTGTCTTAACAATAGAAACTCTTGTCAATTGATATTCATTCACACCTTCAAGCTCTTTAACATTGCTGCAAAATATCTCAACAAGTTTCTTATGATCAGTAAAACGATGCAAACAAGCAACGCCAGTTGATCTTCGAATTCCTTCTGGTCCAATGTCATGTGGATCGAACATCATAAAATCATTTCCATCATCACTTTTCCAAATCGCAACATGATAATCTTTACCAGATAAAATTCCAGAATCAGCTGATAGAAATTCAAGTAAACTGTCTTTCATTCCTTCCATCGGTTCTTTGTCGTGAGATTTAACTGTTAAGTCACGTTTCACAAATTCATCTTTTACAGTAACGATGAAAGGTCGAATGAAAACTGGGAGATCAACTTGATCCAAAGACATTCTTAAGTTCTCGGGTAATTCACCAATCGACTTCATCCAACGCTTTAAAGACTTCTTGTACAATCGATCACCAAGTTTAAGAATAATATCAACAACTGTCGAGTTCCATTCATTTAATGAACATAATTGGGAAAATGTTAAAGCAATGATTGCATTGGGAATGTCTTGATGATTTCGATTGACATCTGCAAATTGTGTATCATTTTGTGACATGCTTGCACGAAGAATCCAGTGAGTGGATGACACAGGTTCAAAGTTATTCCAACGTTCAAGATTTTCATTAACGATTTTAGTGTTTAAGATTGTGAAATGATCGAAAGTGAATGTTTGAATGTGGTAGGAATTTGGCATTTTATCCATGATGTGTTGATGTAAAAGCTCGACAGATGAAAACCATGCGACGTAAGCACTGCCAATGTCACTTATTGAATCGTCACCGAACCCAGTGGCGAGAATATTCATTGAAGGTTTACCAAGTGGTGGAGGAAAACCAAATTGTCGACCGAATTGAACTTCTTGAAGATCAGCCTCGACAGATTTTCTTCCTTCATCCGATCTTTGTTTTGCTTGAAATTCATTCATTTGTTCATAAAGTTTTGATCTCTCTTCAATCACTGTACGTTTAAGAAACATTTCAAGTCGCTTTCTGATAAGTTTTCCATTTTCGTCTGAAGCTTTCGGATCAAAGACAAAATAAAATCGATCAAGTTTAAAAACTGCAATGTTGAAAATGTCTGAACTTAAAATTCCGAAAACTTCTTTTTCTTGTTCTAATTGTTTTAATATTTCAGCTAATGATCCAGTTGCTTCACAATCGTCTGGATGTTCATTCATGGATGTGATTGATTGGCTGTCATCTGGGAAATTCATTGAACGTTTCGAAGATCGAGGATCAATCTCTGAGATGTTAAAATTCTCTTCCAATGATTCTCTTGAATTTTCTGCTGATGCTAAAACATGCTTGCGACCAGAGAAGGTTCCACTTTCTTGTCTTGTCATTTCCAACTTCATTTTCATAGAACTGATGTCAACATGTCCTAACAAACTCCAAAGTGGTTCGTCACTATCAGCTGTCAATGATCCAGCAATTGAACAAAGAACTTTATAGCCAATCTTCAAGATTTCTTTGACATCTGAAGTCGTCCAGAAACGTGGACCTAACACTCGCGAAAAGCACATACAAGCAATTAAATTGCAGAAAGTTTTCTGACTCAAATTTGATCTGAAATCTTCACAATCTTCATGGAAGTTGTCAAAAGCTTTCAGAATTGCTGCAAAATTTCCATTTCCAAGCTTTTTATAATTGTAAAGACAAGGAGTTGTTGTCGATCTAACAGATACATCAATTCGACTGATATTGAAGTCAGGAACGTCACCGACTTCCATGTTGGTTTTTAAATGACAAGCAAGATCATTTACGGAAAGAAAACGAAGAACACAAGCAGATCCGGCAATCATACAGCCATGAATTGGATCTGGAAATGAAAAAGATTTTATTAATTTCATTAAAATGTTCACATCAATTGCCATCAGCTTACCAACAACCTTCAAATTTCGTCCTTGTTCGTCTCTTCCATGACTATCAAACAAGTAAAATGCATCAGAATGTCTCCAAATTGCAAGTGAAACACCACAACATGTTAACACACCAAGATCGTCATTTTCAAAGAAAGTTTTCAAACCTTGACAGAGCGTCAAGTTGTCATCAGACGAATCATTTGCTAGTAAGCTTCCATTAATGATGCATTCTTCGTATAACAGATCAACGATGATTCTTTGGAGTTTCAGTTCGTTTCCCAATTCAGATAACCTCAAGTCACTGTCAATCAGTTCACCTTTGCTTTCCAAAGACAAAATAGATCCAGAATGAAATTCATCACCAAGTTGAACAATCTCATCAACTGTTTCAGTTGTCCAACTTTGCAAACCAAGCTCACGAGTCATGACGAGAGCAACAACAGAGATGCAAGTTCCTTGATGATTTCGATTAGATTCTTTAAACAAATCTGATGATTCTGAAATTTTCCCACTGAGAATCCATTTGTTAAGGCCAATCGCTTTAAAGTTCTTCCAATTATCAGATTTCTTTCTGTAATCGTGAACATCAACTTTGGCAATCTTGAAAACCGAATTACGAAACTCTTTTGGAACCTTCTCGATGTAAAGTTTAATGAGATCTTCGACATTCCCAAACCAACTTAAACAACTGCAACATTCATCTTCAAATGAATTTCTAAACTCATTACATTGACAAGGATCAAACATGAAAAATAAATTTTTTTCACGCCAAATTGCAACATCTTCCGGACCTTGAATCAATCCCAAGTCGAATTGCTTGAAAAGTGCTTTGATTCCATCACTGATTGATAAAATATCACGTCCACGATTCAAAACTTTTCCAAAAATTATGTTTTCTGTTATAATCTCAAATTGTTGGCATTTAATTGTTGCAATTGGAGAAATTTCTGTGATGGGAATGTCGGAAGATTTTTCACATTTCTCAGGTTTTGGAACTTTTTTATTCTTTTTTGGCTTTTCATCCCCAATTTTCTCTTCAATTTGATTGTCTACAATTTCATCTTCTTCTGGTCGTTGAACAAGTTCTGCAAGGTCAGCAAGATCTTTCATCAACTGCATCTGCTTTTCTTCTCGTTTCAATAAAATTTCTTCAACATTTTCCGTAAAAATTTCTCGTCCAATGTTAAAGATTTCTTTTAAAGTTGACGTTTTCCACAAAGTCGATTTACAAATTCGAAGCATGGCAAGAGCTGCACATGAAATGAAAGGTGCAATTCGTTTATCAGCTGCTGATTTTGACAAATATTCATTGCATTGCAGAAAACCATGAGAAGGTTGAACAGGTGATGGAAATGAAGGTTGTGGTTGTTCTTCAAATAAAGTTTTAGAAAATTCTTTCACAAATCCCGTTTGTCTTGATTTATAGAAATTTTGCTTTTTTTCAATTTCATCTGGTTTTGCATCATTTGAAGGTTCTTTTGGATTGTTTCCCAAACTTTTTATTTCTTCTTCAACAACAACTTTCCGACTTATCTTGAATGAGTAAATGTCGTAAAGTTTCTTCGGTACTTTAACAACTCCCACAAGATATTGAACGATTTCATCAATTTTCTCAGATGATCTCATGACACAACCACCACTGCTTGATTTCATCACTAATTTTCCATATCGATCAACATCTTCCGAATTCAAAACATAAAATGCGTTTTGTTCCTTCCAAATTGCATAACTTTGACCACAATAAGTGAAAATTATGCAATTACTCTCAACAATCATTTCATTCATTTGTGCAACGAGAGAATCTGTTTTCTTTGGATTAAAAATTCCACGTTTCGTTGTCGTTCCAATGTCAGTAAAAACTTTTGCACGTTTTGTGTACACTCGAAATTTGATATGTGGGGGTTTGATGATCGTGTGACATCGAAGTTTGTTTTGTTGCTTACGAAAGTTGATGTCACCATAACAGATAATCTCATTGACAGTTTCGGATTCCCAAAACTTCATTGGACAAAGTTGAGAGTGGACGAGTGCAACAACTGCTATAAATGCACTCTGTCAATCAAAGAAAGAAAACAATTAAAGTCAATTTAAAGTTGGAATTGTGGCACTCACTTGCTTTCCATTACTACGATAATTAAATATCTTCGAAAATTGAGAAAGACTTCCACACAATATTTGCAATTTCGGTGAAATGTATTTGAAGAGATGCCAAGTTTTGCCCAACGTTGATACAGGCAATGGAAAGAAAGTTTTCTCCAGTCTTTGTCTTGTTGGAGGTTTCTTTTGCTGTTTGTTTAATTTAGGTTTGAGAGATCTGGAATAAAAGTTTAAGATTTGATTCATTCCGACATGTTTTAAAAAGTTTTAATCTTACTTTTTACAAAATTTGAGAGGTGGATATTCGATGACAGGTTTTATTTTTGGTTTAACAGTAGATGAACAAGGAACCCAAGGACGTGTCTTGAAAGGAGGAATCTTAACAACTGTTTTTGGTGGTCTTACGGGTGGGCCAGGTGGACTCCACGGTTTCGTTTTAAATGGTGGAATTTTCACCAAATCATTTCTGTTTACTTTTTCTTTGCTTTTCTCAGTTTTGAGATTTTTCTTGTTACATTTCGAATTATTATTGAGTTGTTTGTAATCAATTACGCAAGGAACGTAGCTGCAATCTTTCTTCTTTGGTTTCAATTTATTAATCAAATCTTTATCGATAGCTTTGATTTTTCTCAAAGATTTCATTTTTTTCAAGAGTTTCACTTTTTCTACTTCATTTTGGCATCTTTCAGTTCTCAATTTTTGGAGAGCTTTTCTTAAAATTGTCTTATCTTTTGTTGTTATGGTTGACACATTGATTTTCTTTTTAGATTTTTCTCTTAGTCGCCTTTTAAGCTTTTCTGTATAAGCGCACCAGTTTTTTATGACTCGATTACCAAATTGATTCAGCAAAATTGATTTTTTCTTAAAATTTTCATTCGGAATTTCCTTTATTGACTTCGAAGGGTCGCGATTTTCCTCGTTTTCCATTTTGACTTTAATTTATATCAACAAAGTGTGTGAAAACAATTTAATTTGGAAGTAAAAATCTAAACTTGACTGAAAAATTTTAAAGACAATTTGAAATTAAGAGACAATAAAGGTCACTCAGATTAAGAACAGTTAAATGAATTTATTTTCTCAAAATCATCCAGCTTTGCCTATTAAAAATTTATTTCAAACTTTCCCTCTTGAAACAATTTCTTTTGTTGCATTTTGTTGTCTAAACTTTTCAAAGTTTCTAAATTTAGACTCACAATAAAAAGATCTTCCAGTGTAGAAGTAAAATCGATAATATTAAAGTGAAATGCAAAAAGCACTATTAAAGCTTTTATTTTCTAGTCGAGTTGGATGCCCGCTATGAGAAAATCAATATTTGCTGTTCTTTTTATGTCTCTTCTCCAACATTCATTCACCAAACTTGCGCAGTTGATAACAAAAGCAGAAAATTTCTCACTCCATCATGACACTTAATTGGATAACATCTCACGTTCGAGAACTTTCACGCAGGCGTTCGAACAGCAATACACTGCTTTATTTAAACGAATGGTGGTGTTCGTAAGAACACGAAAGAAATTTTCTGGGGACTTGAGATGGGTTGTTGCCTTGGGTTGTAAAATCCCAATATGTCCAAATTTAGAGAATTGCTGTTGAGCGATAAATTACAAAAGAAGATGGAACGGGAAGTGGCTTGGGTTGGATTGTTGGCAGCAATCTCGTTACAAAAAGATGATGGCAAAATGAGAAATGAGAAATTATAATTTACAGAGAATTTAATTACGCAATTAACATCGTCATGGCGCTCGTTTCAGCAAAGAAAATCTTTTTAATATTTCTTTCGACCCATTTCTCGGTCTTAATTTGATTTTAATCCTCGCTTTTCGGACCGGCAACAATAAATTCAAATCACATTTTTAAGGGAAATTTAATTAAATTTCTTCATGAATGTAAATTGAGCAATTATGAAAATTCATAAAATCAGAAACGGAAAAGTGTCGAGTCGATGGAAATTGAATATTTTTGCTTCAATGCTTCGTTCAAATAATTTTTTTTTCACTTCTACACAAAATTTTTCCAATTTCCTTTCATATAGTTCTTTTTCCAAAAACATTTTTCCGAAAGCTTTTCAGAAAATTTCCGTTCAATTTGCATGTTGATGGCGTCAACAAGAACAACATTGAATGGGAATTGGAAAATGTAGTTTTGGGAGAATTTATAGCAGCATGAAGATTTCGATATCTCAAACTACAAAATTTAAAAACTTTTTCAATTCTGCAATTTCCTGGAAGTTTGGAGTTGAATGGTGTAAGAGTTTTATGTTTGTTGATTGAGGCAGATCTGAACTAACTTCATATTGTTGGTGTTGCTGCATGTTGATTCTTCTTAATAAGTAGAAGTATCATTGGTAGAAGTGCAAAAGCAATTTTCATAAATCTCAAATATCTTCACAATGACTCGAATATCATCCATAATCGAATAAAAATCAAATTTCCGGCCTTGTGAAATATGTTATCGTCGAAAACTCGTCTTCTTCTTCTTAATCAAGTCATTCGCTCATAATTTCAAACACGTTTCAGCAAACACAAACATATATTGTTGCGAGAGGATGTGAGAAATCTGATATCAATCGTCGTAAATATTGATAGCAAACGACTGGAGATGAATGTTGATGGAAACGAAAAGGTTTACAAGAGTTCTTCATTCCTTCACCATGAAAATGGGTGAGTAAATGTTTTATCATAGACTAAGGCTGTGTGAAGAAAATGAAGAAGGATAAAGAAATGTTTGTAGGAAATTTTATTTATCTCCATTGCACTTAAGTTACAGAAATATGAATAACGCTTCTCCCTACATCTTGAGTACAGATTTGAATGGTGGCAGCGGCGCATGAGCGCAATGACAAATATCTCGGTGGTAATTTCGAATGTCATCTAGTATGTATTGAATTTATTTTCCACGTAGAGAAAAGGAGAACAACGACTGCTGATAAGGAGAACAAGAAGAGAATGAGAAATTTTCTTGCGACACAATTCAGTGGCAAAAATTACGATGAAGAAATTTTCACGATGAAATGTCAAAGTGTCGGAACACAATGGAAATTATTTGTGTTGGAAAATATTTCACCATCATCCTTTATCATATCATATAATTTCCTCCCCAAAGTATAATTTTTTTTCCATCTTCTTCTTCTCTTTTCATCATTCACTGTTGTTGTATGTTGTATAGTGGAGGAAAATGAGGCGTTCAAATTTTCCACATTTCAGAAAAGAGTTGTTCATGTTGATGTTTCATGGTGTGGAAAATCGAGTGTGAGTTGAAGCTTAGATAATTTCCTCTTGTCATTTTCATCGTTTTCATTATGATTTTCCTCTTTTTATTACATTTATTGGTGTTGCAAACTAGCAATGAAAGAGAGTTTTTCGATTATTTCATTTTATTTGGCAATCTGGCAACACCAAAGAAAAACATTTTCCGAAAATGCGACAAGACAAATAAGAAAAATAATTTTTATTGTCAACAAAATTTCGCTCTCAAGCTTTTCGTTGTTTGTGTCATTAAACGTGATAAAAACTTTTTTTTATGATTTAAGATGGCAATTTCCGAGATACATATTTGTTTACGTTTTTTCTTTCATGAATGGTATTAAGATAATTAAACCAGAAAACATTTAAATTAGAAATTTTCGACTTAACAAATTTAACGAAAAATTGCTTTCAATAACTTTAACGAAACCAAAAATCTTTTTTCATTCTTTTGCCAAGAGAAATTTGTTGAATTTCTTTTTTACCTTTTCAAAAGTCACAAAGCAAAAATATTTATTTTTAAGTAGGTATCTACTTAGAGATTATTAAATCGTAAATCCCTTTTCATTATATTAAATCTTTGAAAAAACTCCCGACTAAATCCTTTACCTTTATCTTCAGTTTTCAACCAATTAAAAAATATAAAATCCCTTTTTGACAAACTTTGCTCTCGCTTTATCTCCTTTTACAGTTTAAGTATTACGTAAATAAAATAATTCAACTTATTACTGCTCTCGATCTACGTTCAAGAGCCTTTGAGTTAAAATAAACAAATAAGAAACACCAAATACAAAAGGTTCTTGTGTTTGAACAAAATTTCTGTAATCTGATTCAAATTTTAGAATATTTTTCATAAAAATAAATTTTCACAAAGGATTGAGGGCAAAATCATTAAAAAAATTATTGAAATTTTATTTTTAATATAAACTTGTAATGATGACTGATTGTTAAAACGTGTCAATCACGTGATGAAGCTTAACAATATATTGAATGAAAATCTTCCAAAAATTAATCGCATCTAGCTTGTTATCCTGCCTCTCGTCCCTAGCACGTAACATCACAAATCACAAGACGATGTCTCGCCTTTTATTAATCGTTTAATAATACCTCAATGTATACTAGAAGCGTATTGTTTGCTAAAGAGATTATTTGCGGGAACAATGAGACTGACGATGAGATTTTGCTTGTGAACTTGCGCACAAAGTAAACAGAGCAATCACATATGAATACCAGAGATTTTATTATCTCACATAGGTCGAACAAGCAAGCAAGGAGGGAACACGAATGATGAATGAATTTGATTAAGTAATAAAGCAAAAATTAATAAAATATTCATCAAAGTAATTATTAGGCTTGATGCTGATTTACATGAAATTTACATCATGAATTCAAATTAATTCTTGAATTTAAATGTCAAACTTCTCACTCGACACAAAAACTCCAAGATTGATTATTCTTTATGAATTTTCAGTGTAGATTCTAAAGGGAAATTTTCAGATTTGTTACATGCGCTTATCAGACGCTTGCCATCGCAATGAATGTAATTAGGAAGCCAAGCATCATGTTACAAGCACGTTTTTAATTTCCGGTTTTCATTACGTCGAGCAGCGGTTCTTCACACTCTTTCAAATGAATTTGCTAATAATAAAATGATTAAACAATCAAGTTTCGACAGAAATCGCTTACAACTTTACGACCTTACGACACGAAATCGATTTGCGAAAGAAATTTATCACAAGAACCAATTCCAACCCCTCATTAAACGTTTAAGTATTCATGATAAATATAAACCAGCGGAGAGAAAAAGTTATGAAAACAGATTATCATGTCAAACGCTTCTTGATTTCATTTAATAAGCTTATAATGTTTTTGGGATGCGATGTTTAATGTTTGTTGAACAATTTTTTTTCTCTCTTCTTCTTGAATCATATTTTCCCCTTTTTGAAATTCCTTTCATGCGCTCGATTAATCTTTAAACATTCTCATCGTCTTTTCATCCCTCGACTTCACTAACAAGCATTCTTTTTATATTGTTGAAGGATATTAAATTTCTTGGTGTTTTCCTAAACTTTTGTCACATTGGTGGCAATTTTTAGCGATGAAACCGTAAACCATCTTCCACTCGTAGCTCGTTTAATTCAATTCCGACCCCGAAAATCATAAATATATTTTCTTTGAGATCATTTCATTGTAATAAAAGTGACTTTATCGTAATCAACGCTTTTATAGCCTCGCATTCAACGGCAATGACAGGAAGGAAAATGAAGTAGAAAACGAGATAATTTTGTGAATAATTCAGCAATCTCCATTTTTTTCGCTAAAGTAAACAAACATTCGAGGGTTTGAAATTCCGTTTGTGGGTGAGGAAAACTTTTTAATTAACAATTATGACAATAATAGAGCATAATTAATTTTTAAGTAGAAGTTATGTTTTTATCATTGCAAAGCAATTTCCTTCAGAAATTTTTTATGTCGATTGAGGGACAGTTGAGAATCTTTGAAGTTAATCTGAATGAAAATTTCAGTGAAAACTTGCCACTGTTAAGTAATGTCACTGTAGATCTCTTTTTTGCATAATGTTTGAAAGTGATATCACAAACGGACGTTTGAATTTGTGTTAATTTTCATTTCCAACAATAAAATTTGAACAACCCTCCACGATAAAAAGAGAATCGTCAACCCTCTAAAATGTATTCGGAAGTCACAGCGTCCTTTCCGAACAGAGAAAAAACCTTTTCCCAATATTAACTGACGTAAATGGTTATAAATTATTTATTATAGAATGATTTGCGGTTGTAAAAACATATTGTGAAGTGAAGAACGTTGTTCATCTTTTATTTATTTAGTAAGAGTAAGCCAAATATTAAAATCAATATTATGCAAAAGTGTGTTTGAATAAATTCAACACTTGCTGAAGAATCTTTTAAATAAATTGATTTTCATTTCGGATTTTCTTTTGAATTTGTAATTACATTCGTTCATTTAAGAATAAAGGGTGAAAGAGGCAAATAAATATCCGAGAATCCGAGAGATTAATAAAAAGCCAATTAAGAGCTGTTGTCGGTGGACGTGAAGTTTGTTTGCCTTTCTCATGATCTGACAAGCTAAGGGCGATTATCAATTTGCTCGCTTTTTTCTCTTTTTTTTGGCATCATCCCTCTGTTAAAAAGATTGGATGATTTTAGCATCGAAATGATATCGTAATAACAAGCAAAACCATCAAATGTAAACACACATCAACCATTCAACGAGCGACCGTCAATTTAATTTACTTTTTTTTATTATTATTTTTCCTACGATTCTAACTAAGGATATCGAGTTACCATGAGAAAGTCAACATGTTTGTTTAACATACGGTAATCGGATTTCGAGAATAACAATCGTTGCTCACACAAGAAAACATCTCATCGCATACCCTCCAATAACTGTTTCCATATCAATACCATATTGTTAGTTGCATCTATGAATTTTTGATTTAATTTAATCATTTTTCGCCCTTTTCTCATTGTACTAGAGAAACATGAATTTTTTTGAGATTTTTGATATGTTAATTGAGATAAAAATATTTTATTGATTTTTCGAGTTGTTGATTGATGTCAATCTGTAATTAAAATTGTTTATTGTTTGTTATTATGAAAGCAAACGACTTAACGACAGTCAAATGTGACGGTAGAATTTCCAACTCGTCATGAATGGATTTAAAATGTTCTTGCATAATCCATGGCATGGAATAAAGTTTGAATTTAAAACCATTTCTCAGTTGCAATCCATACGAACTCTAAGTCTATGTTCACGTTCACGCCTTGCTTCATCGTCTTCTGAACTTTCAACAATGTTGTGTTCACGCTGTGTAAATGCTTGCGCAATTTCAAGAGCAAATGAAATTGAGATTCTTTTATTGCCTTCTTTAAACGTGCAATAACAATGAAATTAAGAAGAGAAATGTTATTGAGCTTTCAAGAAAATGGTTTTTTATGAAAATTTCATTGCACAGCAATTTACAGACGGTGAAAAATCTTTTTCTAACGTTAAGAAAAATTTATATTCGCAATTCCCCCTTGCTTTCTTGAAGTATTTTATGGAATTCTTATTACTGTTCATTGTCGAGCATTTAAAATGCACATAGAAAAAGTTCTAGGTCGTAAATTTCGAGTTCAAATATTAATTTTTTTTATTGCTTTATATTTGACATTCTTCAAAACTCTGCTCTGCATTTACCCGAAACGAAATTAGATTATGTTTACTGTTCGGTAATTGAAATTCCTACTTCGCGTTAAATTTCTGTGTTAAATATTTACTATTTCGTTAAACGCCAGCAGATCAGAAATCATATTAAATATTAATTTTCAAGCCACTACACTGCGACACCTTTTCTTATTTTTCTTTTTTTTATTTCGATTATGAAGAGTCAGTTTTAGGTTGTCTCAGATTTCATGCAAACAATCATCAGTTAAAGAACAAATATCTGTACACGATTAATGAATTAGACTTTGTTTGCACATAATTTTTAAAGCTGAACAAAGTCTGAAAATGAAAAGTAAATCGGAGCATTTGTCGCTACTTTAAAAGGCTTTGAAAGTCGTTATTTAATTCAGTTCATCAATAAAATAAAATCAAGATCAAATATAAATGCAAAATCATTTGACGCGAGAAATGTTTAATCTAAAAGTTGAGCAATATGAATGCAAATCTAAGTTTCTCTTAAATTGAATTTCACCGTTTTATTTGCTACATATTTGAGCTAATGATATGATTTCTGAGAAGGTGTGGAAAAATTGTAACCTATTCAAGAATCATCTGATGCTTATCTTGAAATTGCATGGGATTTGAAAGACTCCACTTTTCTTCCCTTCTCCCCATTCCCCGTCTCTATTAACAGAGCAGAAAATTCTGAATAAATTGTTAAAATATTCAAATTCAATGTTCAATTTTTCGTTCCTCGATAAAGACTTCTCAGCTTCATCGCAACCCAAAGCGCATACATAAAAATCCCCTCGTACAAGCAAGCATTCAATTCTTCAGATTTTTTCACTGTATGTTGTTGTTAAACATTTAAATTGGAAACAATTTTGTGTTCGGCGTCGAAGAAGAAAAGAAACGAAGAAAGGAATAGGAAAGCTTATTCAATTCTATGCAAATAATTTAGCTTCTCCTGTAGAATGTCGTTAGATTTTTTTTCCTACCAATTCCTGCTGAGAATAAAAAGAAGAAAGAAAAAAAAAGTTTTTACCATTCTTGACAAAAAAAAATAAAGAAAGAAACATAAAACGAGGTAAATAAAAACTCAACATAAAAGTAAATTAGTAAAAATGAAATTTTCAGAATTCTTTACCATGAATTTTGCTGCTGGTCGTGAATATTTTGTTGTGCAATTGAGAGGAGAAAACTTCGACTGTCTGAATATTTCCATTAATTTATACTTTTTGCACATTCTCCTCTCTATGTTTGTTGATAATTCAATTATCCTACTATTTGCTTCTTACATGAATTCCGACGAGTTCTTTTAGCATCCACTTATTAAGCGGTTGTAATGCAAAAGACTTTCAAACACCAACTCTTGACCTTCTGCATTACTTTTCAAGATCTTTCTCATTGCCAAAACCACTGAGTAAAAATCAGTTTCAAAAAGACATCACAAATATTTCTCTTTCTTTAAACATTCAAATCAATTCAAATTAAAATTCTCGATACTTTTTTTTTATGATTTTCAACATTTCTTTTCCCTTTCGCTATCAAAAGGAGAAAAATTTATTCGCTCATTCTTTTCATTGTTTTTTTGCCTTTTTCACGGTATCCAACAGATTGTTTTGAATAAATAATAAAGATGTTCGAACATACATTCGCTGTTTCTCCTTTTTTCGTTTACTTTGACTCTCCAAGTCATGCAAAACCTTTTTTTTTTCTTTAAGGAAAAAAAAGTAATAAAATTGCAAAATATTTATTGAAGGCTTGTTAAACAACGTTTTAATAATATTCTTTAAATATTCGCATTTGTTCATGCATTGGGAGTTGTTTGTTGTAATTTTTGTTGGGTTGATAACCAAATTATGGCTTAATAAAATATCATAAAACTTTTTTCAACAGCCGCTTTCATGATATAAATGCTGGAATTAACTTCTAAGAATAAGTACAAAAATGTTTATTTCGGCGTGATCAATCGAACGAAATGATCGTGGCAGAAGTTTGAACGCTCCAAGGCGCTTGCTTCAACAAAATAAAATTATTAAGACACAACCTCAACTTGATTATACCTTGTAAAGTTGAAGTTATCATCAATGAAAATCATTTGAAGAAAATGTGAAAATTAATTCAACGGAAGGAAATGTCGCTGAGAAATGTTTTGTAGCTGTTTGTAATAAATTCTCAACACTCGCGAATATTTAACATGTGAAATAAGATTTTTATCGCTCTTCAGAATTGTTTTTGATTTATGAAAAGAGTGTTGAAATGTTTGACTTTATAATTAAGAAACAAAGGGACGTTTGTGTAAAAGGATACGACTCTGAAAAGTTCAAATGTTTCTTCAGTAAATAAAGAGAAAAGAATAAGGATCAAGTTACACTTCAAAAAAAGAAAATCCATTTGATCTTTAAAGGTTGTATTTATGTTGACATAAAGCCGCTCATAAGTGGTGTAAATAATTCGTTAAATGCGTATTAAAGTGGATCTTCCGATGACTACATGCATTGATCAAAGATTCAACATGCCGCATTAATGATTTAGAAAGGAGACAAGATCGTTAAAGACTTTTTACTTTTAAGAAATTATCACGTTGACGCTTTAATTGTTGAATAAAATAAACGAGGAAGTGAAATGCAATGAAAGTTATTTGAAAGCTTGTCTTGCCCTTTTTCCTTTCCTTCTCTTTCCCATCCTATCAAGCGAGAGTAAATTAATGTCAGAATAACTTGGTTTTGAATACGAAAACAAACTCCTTTTTAATTGACTGGAAATAAATTGTTGTCATGCTGCTGTTGTTGTATTAGTTTAATTGAATTCAATAGACGATAAAATAGTCACCCCAGGGTATCATTTTTCCATTTCCATTTAATTTCGTCACTCACACAGCTGCACAATGCCAACACGACACTCTTTATTTGATATTTATTGCTCCATATTGGAGGGTAAGGAAGTAGAGAAAGAACGTTAAATGGATGATTATCTGGATGGAATGAGTTGAGTTTAACATGCACAAGGGTTCCATACTCAATGTTCTGATTTCTTAATGTTCATTTTTCTCGAATTTATTTGTATTAGTACATAAATAAGTCATTCATTCATGAAAAATTGTTTGCGTCTATCATTTTCTTATGGTGACTTTCTCGTTTTCCTTTTATTCTGCCTTCTGCCTGCCACTTCAACAAGCTATCATTACCGAAAAAAAGAGCATTCATTTAGAAACATTAAGAATGAAAAGGGGCCTTCAAAATAACTTTTAATTACATCATCAGCAGCAGACATGCACAAGCTTCCCCATCACTGTTTATTGAATCGTAATTGTGCGGGTGTTAATTTTATGATTGTTTGGTCAATGGGGATTTTCCTTATCGGCACGTGACTAATGTTTAGCGATTAACACTGATACTGTTTACTTGACATGATCTAAATTGAATTTTTCCTGTGAATAGAAACAAAATGCCGGCGGATTTGTCAAAATGATTTTTCTTTTCTTTCATCTTTATTTTTTGCCCTTTTGCTTCTTTGCGCAATCACGTAAATATTCAAATAACATGAAGTCGCAAACGATTTGTATTTTCTTGATTAAAATATTTAACTACATCAATTCCATGATCAGCGTTTAAGCTTCGAACACTTCACTAATTAGATTCACATAGTCAGACCTTTAAAAAAACAACTAATCGCAATTGAATTGCAGAAAAAAAAAATTTAATTTAGTTTGATTGGAAATCGTGACAGACAATCCGTTGTGAAATCTTTGAAAGAAGTAAAGTGGAAATCGCAAATATATGGGATCGACATATTGTATAACTTCAACAGTTATTAACTAAGCTACAAAACAATCAACAGCATCTGAAATATTTGCCAGCATTTTTTTCTTTTAAAGAAATTAATTTAAAGTCGACATCAAGGATTGCGCAATTGGAATAATTTTCGTGTTTAAAACTTGCTGAAAACAATAAACTTCGATATGAGATCCTATCTCATTTCTCGAAAACCTAACTTAACATTAATTAGCAATCTTAATTGTTCGTGCGATGTTAAAGTAAAATTAAATTACGATGACTTTTAATTGGTCTCTTTAACAAGCTGCAACATGCGTTAAGCAAAGGAATTAAAAATGTAGGATGAAGCAATGAAACGAAAGAAAGAAGTTAAAATCACATGCTCGTGATTCATTGAATGCGTGTGCAGAAATTGAGATTAAAATGCATGTCAGATCAATGAGTTGAAGCTGAAAAGAAAATGGCAAATGAAAGACTCGTTTTATAATTAATGATGTTTCATGATGCATTCACAATGACAGAATGAGAATCATTAGTTACTATTATTACTTGAAATGAATATTTATACAATTTCTGATGATGAATGTTCGTCTCAACGGCCATTTCTATAATTGAATTTTTAAAAATAATTTGAAACAATTAATTTGAATATTCTTTTTCAAATTCATTTCCCCTCAATTCAATCATCAGCTTCCACACCACATTTTTTCATAACAAGCCAAAAAAAAACATTGCAAGCATCAAAGCGTTTAATGCGAGAAACATCAATGGCGCGATTGTAGCTACACTCTCATAACGAGTGTTATTCAACGTGTAGTTGTGTTAGAGTTTCACATCTTGGGGGAAGACATGAAGTTATGTTCGGTTGTGTTTAGTTCGTTGTTGAAACTCAGTGTTGTCGGTTGACGAAAGAAAATATTCCCGGATTAGAAAAAAATATTAAAACTTGTAAAAGGGAAAAATAAGAAAATAAAAAAATATTATTGGAAAATTCGTGAAAAAATTAAAAATTGATAATCACAAGATAATGACTGTTATGCCGATGCGAATAAGTGAAATGGGCAGTCCGTCGGTAACCACAGAAAATCGAAATATGAAAACTGTGACGTCGCGAATTAGTAATTTTAGCGTTGCATCGTTATTAGCAGATACGCGATCAAAGACACCGCCACCCTCAAGAATTATTGCAAATCACATTGCACTCTCAAATAATAATAACAACAATGAGATTTGTCTCACGCCGAAGAATCTGTCAATATCACAAGCAAGTTCGTGTTCACCAAACTCACAAAATAATGACAGCAGTAACTCGATAAAGTGTCATAATGACAGTGAATTATTGGATCAACGATCTCACACGCCTCACAGTTCAATTGCGTCAGATGATTACGATGACTCGATACATGACGAGGACGATGAAGATGTTGATATTGAAGATGTGAATAGTGAAAATAGTACAAACAGTCCTCAAAAGTCGTCATCATCAATAGGATTATTACCTTCACAATCATTGGTCGGTGGAGCTGTTCCGATTAGACCAACACCTTTCAGTGCATTAGCTGCAGCAGCAGCTGCTTGGGGTGGCATGAGTAATGGTGTTGGTGGATGGCCAGGACGACAATTGCCACCTTTCGGTCCACCAGGACTCTTTCCTGGTCAAGGATTTCCAAATCAAATCAATGGAGGTGAGAATAAATTTAAACTTAATTCGAAAAGTTAAATCTGAGTGAAAATTTTCAAAAGAGAAACTTTTAAAATATTTTTCTCGAATAAAGTTGTTCAAGACTAAATTTCAAGTTTAAATGCAAAATTGCGAAATTTATTCTTAAAATATTTTTCTTAAAGGCATGTCACTTGATGGTCTTTATCTAATTCCAGACAAAGAACCGCTTCGATTAAAATGTCACTTAAGAAAACACAAACCGAATAGAAAACCAAGAACTCCCTTCACCACCCAACAGTTGCTTTCACTCGAGAAAAAGTTCCGCGAGAAACAATATTTAAGTATAGCAGAACGAGCAGAATTTTCGTCTTCCCTTCGACTCACCGAGACACAAGTGAAGATCTGGTTTCAAAATCGACGAGCGAAATCAAAAAGACTGCAAGAGGCTGAAATCGAAAAGATAAAAATGGCTGCGATAAGCAGAGCTGGTGGTGCTCAACTCTATATGGGATATTTCCACCCAAGTCTCATGGGTGGTGCAATGCATTTGGGATAATCGAGTCAAAAAACAATTGTGAATTAGTGTACTTAATCAACCAATTTATTGATTAAGAAGTGCCAAAATTATGATATTAAATGAGAAAAAGAAATATCTGTCAGTCTGTAAATAAATTATCTAAGAATTTCATAAGTTTACGTTGTACAAATTTTCCTAATTGATAACCAATAATAAATAAATTGAAAAAGAAAGAAACAGAAATTCCAATCGTCATGAAATATTTGATGACATTTCATATGTAACTTTGTGATTTAATCTAATTGACTCACATCTCTGAATTTTTTGCAGCAATCTCAATCATTTATCATTGTGGAGCGTAACAACGTTTAAATATAATCATAGAAGCCACCTGCTGTCAGTCATGAGTTTAGCATTAGCAATGCGTTAATAAAAGTTTTATAACTTGATTAGCTTCATCGATTTTCTGCACACAAGAAAAAGCAGTAAACTTTATGACTTCATAAAGACTTTTCCTAGTTTCCATCAGATTTTTTTTTATTTTATGGCTAACTATGTGAAGCTTAATCGTGTCGTTTGTGTGAGAAAATATGATGACACTTCATTGCTGGTAGTTTTGATAGATTCCATTTTAATTTGATCGTAAACCTGTGCCTTTCGTGGCGCTTCACGCAGCAGGATTTTGTTTTTATATTTTCCAATTTAATTTGTTCATTTTTTAAATGATCAGTTCTTTATATCGAATGACTTTATAATCGAGATAAAGATTTTTTATGATAATGTTTTGTTTTATTAATTGATCTCACTTGGTGCAAATCGATGCTGCTTGTCATCTGCTTCAAGTAATTGACTAAATTTATCGCATCTCTTTTGAGCGAGTTTCTCTTTCAAGATCTTTTAATTATTCCTGAATTCTTAATGAAGTGAATGGTAAGAGTTGTAATTTCATGCTTTATTAAGAATCCTGTCATCCTTAGGTACAACGGATTCTGAGAAAGCATTCTAAACCCTATTGTGAGAGCATTAAAAATACATTTAGAAGTTAATAATTTTCAGACACATGTCATGCTGCTTCATAAATTGTTTTCTGAGTGTCAAAAAGGAGAAAGATGATAAAAGAGAAACTGTTGGCCACCCTCATCAGATTTCACACTTGAGAGAAGAAGAATTACGAAAAATAATAAATAAGAAAATAATTGACAAACAATTTTTTGCATTAACACAATGAGTGTAGGAAGCTTTAGAAATAGTAAACATTTCTCTGACTTTAACATTATCGGATTATCTATTTGTGTTGTATATTTAACCTGAAGTTTATTCAGAGAATATTTTTTGATTTCAAACATTGAAGTCAGCCAATTTCATGATTATTTTGTTATTTTCACATTCTAAATTATATTTCGAGACCTTTTAATGCATTTCTTATTCTGACCTTTTTTAATACAACATGCTTGCTTGCATCAATGAAATTCATTCGCTAATAATCGTGAATATATGTATGCAAGGTATAAACCTATTATTAAATGTACATATAATCGAAATTAAGATGTTTTCATTCTCTTGCTTTTCCTAGAACACTTCATGATTTTATGAAGTTTCTTATTGTGGCCATTACAGCAAGGATTTTTGAAAGAGAATAAAAATCTTACTTCATATTATAATAAAAAAAAAGAACAAAAGACTCGCCAAATGCATAATAGGATTTTGCAGCAACGAAAGAAAGAGAAGAAAAAAAATCAATGCATGAGCTGCATTTAAAGCATGAAAACGCCATGAACATATTTTATGCTCGATGCTTATTGTTTCAGACTCGTTTGTGTTTTAATTTCAATGAATTGAATAATACATTAATACACCAAAAAAAATTTAAATTCATGAAATGAGGCAAAAGTTGAATTTATTGCCTCCTTGCAAACGTACGAAAAATGCATTTGAAATAATAAAAAACGTGGAGTTTTTATGCGCTGTGCCCTGTAAGCCAATAAAAAAAGTGCAATTGAATTATAGTGAAGGAAAAACCTGCGAAGTGAGTCTAATTTCATGACGCCATTTCGCCAATTTAGGATTAATTTATTTTCTTCCTTGACACTTTTTACACATTTTATGTGAACGAACGAGCGGTGACTGGTAAGATTTGTGTTTCACATCGTGGTGGTATTTATCTAATTTATTCAATAACTTGATATCTAATTAATTCATTTATAAATCATAATCAGAAGAGATGAAACAACCACCGATTAGAATATTGAAGATCGAATGAAAAACTTTTCTATTTATTATTATTCCACGTTCTGTTACAGTTGAAAAATTATTATTGCCTCATAACAATCAGTTATCGACTGTTCCTTTTTTAAATTTCCACAATAATCTTTCGATTATGATGATTCATAAATCCAACAAATAAAAAAAATATTTTCAGTTGTTGTTAGTCAGTTCGTAATTTTCAATTTATTCTTTTTTATATCCCGCCACTTTGAATACTCTTTTGTTGTCTAATTTATGAGTGATGATGCTCAATCAACAAGATCTTTACAAATAACATCAACTTTGGTGGTTTATTAACAGATCATTTGGATTTCGGCATCTGTTACGTGTGCATGTACATTATTCTGACTTAAATATGATTGCATTACTCACATTCTAATTCATTTCGCCTTTTAAAAATGTTTTAATGTTTTACTTCTCACATTTATTTTTTATTACCTGATAAAAGCATTCATCGCGATTAATTATGAAGAATTTTCGGAGACCACCTACAAAGATATCACGTATTATTGTGTTAATTATGAAAGCCATAAAACTATAAAAAGTTTCATATTTCTCATCTTGTAGACCTTTTCTAATCGACAAAGGAAAGCGATTATACTTTTGATCTTTGCCATATCAACTAACCGATTATTTACGCCACTTAAATTTTTAAATAAAAGGAAGACTTGTCAACAAGCAATGTCTGCACAGATTTTTATACTTAAAGGATTCTCTCGTCAGTCGGCACACTTAATCTTTCCTTCCGTTGCGGCTTCTCCTTTGTGATGATGTTTAAAATAGCATAAAAACTAAAGTGAAACATCCTTTGACAATAATAATAATAACTACCAACTCAAGTGGGTGGACATGTAAAGTTAGTTAAATATTTTGTGGTGATTTCTACGATCTTTAATGTATATCATCAATTGAACAATTAAAACGCCTTTGCTGCGGAAACATTAAAGAAGAAACTTGTCTCAACAATGAAAGCCTCGCATGATAAATGGTAAATAGCATAATCATAAGCTCGAAAATTGTTTGAATACACAACACGAATTTCGAATCGATGAAGGAGAACTTTTAGACAACATTCATCATTACTCATCTCATTTTTATTTTTTCGAGTAAGTTTAAATAAGAAATTACACAAGATGAGAGAGATAAATATATTAAATCTTACCACCAGCGTCTGTTTATTTAAAACAAACGCTTTTGCAAGGTGTTAATTTTGTTTAATCTTTTATTGTTTCGGCTTCTTTTGTAACTCAACGTATTTGTTTTTACATATTTCCAATTCACTGTTTCACTCGTTACTTATCTTTGCTATTGAGTTGAGGTAGTCAAAGTCGTTAAATGATTTTCAGCGTCTGTAAAAAAAGACTTCAATTCAGTTTCGTTTCAATTTTCAACCTTCTTTTGCTTCTTTCTCGTGAATGAATGAAAATTAATTATCGTTTCAATCAAATCTGGAATTATTGTGCTTCAAATTTATTGATATTGATTTATTAAAGAAATATTTCAATCAGTACTTGAGTTGTTGTGACTTACGATTAAACGACTTGGATATGATTCGTCAAAAATTATATGTGGGGATTGTACAAATGCTTTGTGATGATTAATGACTTACGTCTTATTAATTTAAGGGGGGTAAGTCAAAGACGTTTCATATGAAACAATCCCGAAAAACTAAATTAAGTGAGAACTTTCCTTATGCTTCTGAATGAATAAAAGTGATGATTGATTTTAATGCTCGAACATAATTGAACTCGTTGTGATCCCCAAGAAATTTATTTTTTAAAATATATCGAACCGGAATATGATCAGACAATTAAAGGTGATAAATGATTTTTTTTTATTATTTAGTTTCCAATATCAATTGTATGCTCAAGTAATTTTCAACTCGATTATGATGAGATTCATAAATTTACCGTCAATTCAACACAACGCAAGAAAAGTCTTTTTGAAGTGTTTGGAATCGTTAATTTCAATTTATAATATAATTATGAAGCTTTTATCGTTCCGACGTTGGCTCGCAGTCCATCTTTTGTGCAAGCTAATTTATGAATAATGAAGCTCAATTAACAGATTTTTTTCATCACAAACATAAGCAAAGCGACCGATGAATGCGTCTCAATCGTGGAGGTACAAATATTATTGATTAGTTTGAAAAGTGCCATTAAACACTCAAGTTCAAGCTCACAATTATGTTAAACATATCTACGGATGGGTACCGAGATGAAAAGATACTCGATGTGAAGTGTTTATACTTCCGATGAAACAACACTCGAAGACTCGTCGGTTGTTTTTGTTAGATCTTTCAAATACCTTTTTAAAACCCGAATACAAATTGAAACCCTTGCGGGTGTCTTCAAACTTTTTTTTGTTGTTAATAAATTTAGAAAGAAAGCGCCTGCGTTGACGAAGATAGCATTGGATGATGGCCAATTAAGTGTTTATAAGAAAAGTAGGAGAAAAATGGTGAACTTGTGGGAATCTGCGCAAGGGTGACGAAAATTAAACAAATATTGATTTTTCATTTTTGTTTTTCTCTCTTCTTAACATCGAGATCTTTAATTTCATCGATTTTTATTTTGTTGCTGTTAAATATTACTTACTTACTCGACCTACACAATGAGATGTTAACTGCATCCAATGATTGAACAATCAGCAGAAGAATTAAAAAAACTAGAAGCAAGCCTATAACTTCGTGAACAGTTTCTCGCATTTTTATCTGTTGAAATCTCATTCAGACACTGAACGTTAAAATTAATAACTCTTCTATATCACTCGATGATGCTTTGCCATGTGAAATATAAAAAGGAAACAAAGAAAGGTAAAAAAAAACTGTTCGGTGATATTGATGGAACGTCGAGATAAATTTCTTTGGAATTGAGTCGGTGAGATGTCTTAATTAGTTTTGCTGTTGTTTTGGGATGATCATTCGATATACAGCCTTCGAGTCAACATCAATTCCAATTCGAAGTTTCATCGCTTTTCTGTTTGCTTGAAGCTAAAGTCAATAAAAATGTTAATTTAAAAATTTACGATAGCAATTAGATATGTTTTAATTAGTTTCTATCGGCAGGTTTTGCTGCACATTAAATTTAATAATCATCCGAAGTTGATCGCAATGGTTACGAAAGCCAGCGGATAATGGTTATAGACATGAAATATTTAAAAAGCTTCGCGGGGAACACAAAAATTGGATTTGGTTCAATAAAAATTCAAATTAGAGATAATTAATTTGAATATATCTCCTTCGGATGGGTTTGCAATGTTTCTCACAGATTGAATTTCCTACCACGTAGAATGAAATGAATATGGATAAGTTTTCAATGCACAGCGTGGGTGTTAATGAGTAAACAAAAAATTATTTAAAATATAATTATTTACTTTAATCTTGTTCTTCCTTTTTTGAGAAACGATTAGACGAAGAGATGAAACATTTGATTAAAAATTTATGGGAAATATTTCTGCTGGCACCTTTTTGCCAGAAGTTAATGAAGACGTTACGAGGAAATGATTGAAACAATGCCTCGACGCATGCAGTAAAACAGTTCGCATAATTACATACATGTTTGTATAAAACGATATATTAAAAGACATAAAAACATTTAAGACAGCTACAAGCATAACATAAATAAATGTGGAAACAATTCTGGCTTCTACGGGGTATCCTCGTTATTCGTTTTATGTTGCTCTGCTAGAATGAGCTTCCCTTCCTGACTTCACTCTCTTTCGAAGAACAATAACATTTAATGACTTAATAATGAAATAATTAGGACGCGTTGAAATTTCCTAGAAATAATTAAAAAGTTTTAATAATCCGCAAAATGCAGCAATGAACATCGCACTGCGCAATCATCTTGAATTAAATAAAATTAATAAAATAAACAACAACAAACAGGCAAAAAAGAAGTGAAAACGTCAAAGAACATTTGAAAATTCTCATGAATTTCACGCATCTGTTGATGAATGAATTAAACACACATAAAGACATTTTACTGAATGACTCGTGGATGAATTTTACATTTTACATTTTATTTACGTTTCCTGATTAATGATTTTTTTTAATTCAGATTTTCTCGTTTTCATTTTCGCACCACCTGAATAAAGCGATCAGTTCCATCAGTTGTTGGATGAAGATGTGAGATGTACGAAGAGAGAATTTGTCATTTCATAAAATTGTTGCTAATTAACTAAAGTAAAGTCGTAAGCGATGAAGTCACAGAGAATTAATTCATTTTTCTATTTACTGCATAATTTGCACTGAATAATGTTTATCGCTGTATGGTAATAAAAGTTGAAGGCAATAAAATCTCCCGTTTTAGTATCAGTCGTTTTGCTTTGAATGTTTTAATTCATATTCGGTTTTATTAAAAACAAAGAACAGCGGGTGGCAAGTGTGGATTATTATTAGTTAATGATATCGATAATGTTCAGCTGAACATGGTAATTTTGGGTTATAAACGCTTTATGAATCACAAGCGAATCTCTCGCGTATCAATAAAGCGTTTGCTTCATGCTGGGCATGATAAACCTTTAAATGGCTGTGATGATTTAATTTCTTTTCAAATTGATTTTCCACACGATGATTCAAAAAACTTTTTCTTCTTGTTTTGCATTTTTGATAAAAACTTCTTTTTTTTTGTGAATCCAATGATCGTTGCTCGCGCCGGTCATTAAGGTTCGAAATTTATTAATTGCAAGGCATAAAATTAAATCGAGATTAAACGAAATTCAGCTGTTTTATAAAATTATTAAATTTGCACAGTCGAGAATCGCGTGATCATAAATTTGCATTTTATGATGTTTGCAGGTTTCACGGTGGCTGGATGCAATTTGAATATTCATACGTGTTTGTAATTCCAATTTCATAATTTCTTGATACGACAAATTATTATTTCAAATCTGAATTAATTAAGTATTTTTTTATCCTTAATCTTCGTGAATTAAGATAAAGTTTTAATGGTTGAAGTATTTTGATTTAAAAGACGTCTTGAAGCAGTAAAAAATCATAAAGAGTGGCGGTAAAAATACTTTGTTGAGTGTAAAAAGATACAAACAGTGACAACTTTCACTGTCAATAACGACGACTAGACAATTTATGAGCTACTTAAAATACAAACATCTTGAACTAGACAAAGTGACGTTAAAAACTTTCGTAGAAAGATTTACGATCGTCAATATGAAAAGGAAGAAAAAAACTGAAGTGCAACAACTTTACTAATGCTTTGAAAATTATTCATGGAGCAGAGGGTCGCAGTTAAAAGTGCTAATTGGAGTTAGAGCGTTGAGCAAGTGAGCGAGTCTACTGCCATAAAACATAAATAAGCATAATCTGCTGTTTGTTAGACATCACGAAGGTGAAGTTTCTTTTGAATGAATTGATTACAAATCGTGACAAAGCAAAGAGGGAGGAGAGGAATGCTTGAAATAATAATAAAAAAAATGAATCAAGATTAATGAAAGAAAATCGATTCTAATTGTTTGCCATTTTCACTTGGAAATTTTGCGGTGAGTTGGCGATATGTAATTTTTTTATTGTCGCTATAGAAAGAAAAACGTTTATACAAGTAAAGTTCAATATTGCACGATAATCGTTGAGTGTAATTAAAGGCATGATTGATTTTCTTATTTATTTTTCTTTCATCTTGTAAGTTTTTGCTTTGTGGATCGAACGAAAGAAAGAAACTTAATGTGGCTTTGCACAATCAATGCCTTATAAGAACGACAAAAAGAATCCAAAAATGAGTGCTAAGCGGCAGTAATTGGGAGTGAAATCGATTTTCAGAAAGTTGAATTGGATGCTGTTGAAAGCTGATTTGTATTGCCTGATATTTTCCACTCAACATCGTGCTGTGATACATGAGAATGGTAATTTAAGTCGGAATTCAGCAATTTTAAATACCAAATTTGTCAAAAAGCTGAATTTCTTTCCGATTGCTTCACGTGGAATGTCTTGAAAGTGCTTTCATGCCTTCAAGTTCTCAATTTTTTGCGTGTTTTTGCGCTCAGCAGTTTCATTGTCTTAAACGAGCCTCTGTTATCTGATGCTGATAAACTCCTTCTTTGGATTGTCGACGATGAACTTTTTTTTTCTTTCTTTTTGTTTTCAATTGCATGAAAGCTTGTTTTTCATTTCCAACAATAAATCCGATAAATTAGTCATTCAATTTTCTCGTGTTTGCAGTATTTTTTTTTCTTCAACATAAGTGAACATTTTTGCGGTGAATTTTCTTGCCTCATTTTCAATTTCCAGATACAAAAGTGGTTACAAATCGCACATTATGTTTGTTATTACTTACACATATTCTCCCAATGATTTTATTTAACTCAGCAACGTTTTGGTATTTTAACGAGATTGAAATGAAATTGCGTTGAAACTTTGAAAATTTTACATAGTTCAGAGTAATTTATTTAATTCATTAAAGGACCGAATTTTCTCTTCAATAATTTCCGTGAAACTATTTAATTTTATTGGCTTTTGCAGCTCATCACGTTCATTGAGTAATTCCACATAATAAAGCTAATGAACGAAGTTATGGTAATTTGCATTAATCATTGGATTACATAAAAACATTTACAAATCAAACATCCATTTATGGCCATACTTAAGTCTCTCGAATTGAATTGTATTAATGTTTTCAAACATCTGACAAAATATTAATTAATCAACATCATTTTGACCATACAAACATGGTTGAAGAATGCAAAATAAAATTATGCAAATGTTGTGTTCAACCTTCGAAATATGGAAATTATTAAAACATACAAAGAAAATGTTTCAATTTATTTAACAAAAATTTCCCATGTTCAATTACTGTATTGTTTATGAATACTTTTCAATTCAATTGAAAATATAAATATAATTAAGTTGTTATAAAAATAAATTTATTGCATTGAAATTTTATTATTACACCAACGACATCGTTGCAACGTCATGAATGTATCCAAAGTCAAACAAGAATCGTTTCCAATGAATTTATTGCATTCAAATTCCATTTAAATCGAATAAAACAAATCATGTTAAATGAGTCCGATGATGCTTCAAGATATCGGTAGTTAAATTGAAAACAACGATGAACAATTAAATACCAGAAGCTGATCAAGCATTCGCTGATGATAACCCAAAATAAATAAACAAAACAGGAACGAAGAAAAAAAGGAAACGGCGTCAAAGTTTTAATTCGAGAATCGAGACCAAAATCCAATAAAAGATTCACAAATTTTCTTTCTACTTGCCAATGCTTCGACCTGCGCTGCAACATCACCATTTAATTAATTTTTCGCAATAAATTTTCCGTCATTCGTTATTTGCTTGTTTGTTTCGGAGGACTCGTGAAATCCAAGAATCGAGAAAAAAAGCAAAGATGCTGATCAGAAGAAAACATACGATAAAACATTTAATTTATTCCCAATTGCTACTTCATTATTATTTTCGTTTGTTTCCTTTCTTCATTGGCTTCTGTTTCGGTTTTTCGTGGCCCTTTCGATATCGATCCCAAATAATCTCTTCAAATTTCCTGTGAAAGCGCATCATTAAAAAATCGACTTCTCTTGTCATAGATAAAATATCAAACAGAATTTCATTTCGAGGTGATCTAATAAATTAATGAAAGCTTTTAAAAAGGGTTTTTATTTCAAATGTTTTCTATTCATTCAACCTACTGCAAATTAAAACTTGATTATCTACCAAAAACTTTGTAGATATCTACATATGTCGTCCCAAATCGATCGGAATTCAAAAGAAGAGAATTAAAATTTATAGTCGACTGATGGCGTCTAATTATCTCATGATTCAAAGACACCACAAAAAAAGAAAATTTTAAATTTCATCTGTTTCACTCATGTTCAATCTGTTAATTGCCTAGAAATTGCTTTTGCATTTCATTATTTAATTTAAAATTTTAATTCGCTCCGGTGCTGTGTTTATAACATTTTAACACAATCCACGAAGTTGAATAGTTTTAATTAATACGATATTCATCGCACCAGCACTGAGATGGCAGAGTGAGAGTTATGAGTGAAATAAAATTATTCTATTTGACATGATGGTGTTGAAAAATTTATTCGAAATTTATTATTTCTCTTCATCCACAACATTTCATTTGAATGTTATTAAAAAATTTACCTCGCTCAGAACGTAATTAATAAAAATGTTTTGCATTGATTGTTGGAAGTAGATAATGAATTTAATTTACAACATGATTCATTTCGACGTCATTTTGAAAACAGGAAGTCATCAAATATCAGCTCGATTTTATGTGTATTTGAGTTTATTTATTTTGCTGGAGTTGATTTTAAATAGCAACAAACAAACATAATTTGATTGTTGATCTTTTTAAGCCAATAAATAATCTGAGAAGCTTTAAACCGCACTGTATTGGTTTTTATTTTCATTTACCTTTTATCTCCTAAAGCTTCTCATTAAGATTTATGTTTATGGCTTCAATTCAGGCTTTATTACTTTATATGTTTACAAACGCAAAGGTGTAAACGCTACTTGACATCGAAACGACTGCAATTTAAATGGATTATACGCATGACGTTGTGAATTGGCTTTCTTAATTATACAATTGTTCAAAAGCTGTTAAGGTTGATTTATAATTGAAAAAGAGATTCTTATAAAAACGTGTCATGAAATATAAAGTGACGCGTCCTTAGCCGAATGAATTAACTGAATGAAAAAGGGTTTAACTTAACTGCACCAGCGACATTTCATTTCAATAAATTCTTCACTAAAAGAAACATTTTTAAATAATTTTTCATCTTCAAAATTTTATTTACAATCTAAACGAAAGTCATCGTCAAGAACTTTCCGGATCTTTAAAAAAGTAATAACAAAAATAAATAAATAAATCAAATATTGGCTTCAGGGTGAATGGAAAGCCAACAGTAGAGAAATATTAAATTTGCGAAAAAGTTTAATTTTTGGTAGATAATTAAAATTTCGCAATTAAACATAAAAATATTTTCATCACTTCAAAGTCTTTCATGTATAAGTAAAGTTAGTTTACATTAGCCTAAGTGCATAGCGCCTCCCATAAGACTTGGGTGGAAATATCCCATGTAAAGTTGTGCTGCACCTGGACCGGCTCTCCCAAGTGCTGCCATTTTTATCTTTTCAAGCTCAGCCTCTTGTAGTCTTTTCGCTTTCGCTCGTCGATTTTGAAACCAGATCTTCACTTGTGTCTCGGTTAGTCGAAGGGAAGACGAAAATTCTGCTCGTTCTGCTATACTTAAATATTGTTTCTCGCGGAACTTTTTCTCGAGTGAAAGCAACTGTTGGGTGGTGAAGGGAGTTCTCGGTTTTCTATTCGGTTTGTGTTTTCTTAAGTGACACTTTAATCGAGGTGGATCATTATCTGTAAACAAAGAACAAATTTATTGCTTTATCTTCTCATTCATTTATAAATAAAATAATTTACGGCAATCACATTTCATTCAATTGAAACAAATGAAGTCAGTAGAAATGTGCGACGTTCTGAATTGTTTTGAAATTGAAGCATCACAATTTGTTGTTAAACTTCACTCAATTATGGCATTTGTGAAAATTTTATTAGACTTTTTCACTCACCTCCATTCATTTGATTTGGAAATCCTTGACCAGGGAAAAGTCCTGGTGGACCGAAAGGTGGCAATTGTCGTCCTGGCCATCCACCAACACCATTACTCATGCCACCCCAAGCAGCTGCTGCTGCAGCTAATGCACTGAAAGGTGTTGGTCTAATCGGAACAGCTCCACCGACCAATGATTGTGAAGGTAATAATCCTATTGATGATGACGACTTTTGAGGACTGTTTGTACTATTTTCACTATTCACATCTTCAATATCAACATCTTCATCGTCCTCGTCATGTATCGAGTCATCGTAATCATCTGATGCAATTGAACTGTGAGGCGTGTGAGATCGTTGATCCAATAATTCACTGTCGTTATGACACTTTATCGAGTTACTGCTGTCATTATTTTGTGAGTTTGGTGAACACGAACTTGCTTGTGACATTGACAGATTCTTCGGCGTGAGACAAATCTCATTGTTGTTATTATTATTTGAGAGTGCAATGTGATTTGCAATAATTCTTGAGGGTGGCGGTGTCTTTGATCGCGTATCTGCTAATAACGATGCAACGCTAAAATTACTAATTCGCGACGTCACAGTTTTTATTTGCAGTGGCGAGTCAACTGAAGTTACCGTCGGACTTGACATCGTAACCATTCGAAGCGGTGTTATAGTCATTCCTGATGTATTTAGCATAAATTTTGTTCAAACTTGCGAATATCTTTTTCTTAATTTCGCTAAGTAAATAAATTCAAATTTTAGTTAGTTCACAAATTTTTAATTCCTCTTTTGTATCACTTAATAAATCGCTCATTTGTTTATTTCTACGACTTGTTAGTTTTCACAATTCTCTATACAAATTGATTTTCTCTTTTAGCTTTTCTTTTTTTTATGAACTGTTAAGTAGAATCTATTTGGCTTCAAATATTATTTTTCAAAAAACAGAATAAAATTTCCTCAGCTTATGCTTCTACGACTGATTGCGACGAGAGGTAAAAACAAACTGAAAAGTTGCTCAACTGCTTTTTCTCGAGCATACAAAGCAAGAAAAATTTGTAGTGATCATGAGAACAAACACAACGAAAGAGAAGTTTGAATGTGTGGAATATAAAAACATGAGAAATGGAAGTGTGACCGCCTTCTAGCATAGCCAATAAACTTCGAGATTGTTTCACTGTGACTTATGTACACAGGTTTTTATTGCATGATAATTCAATGTTGAAATTGAATGTTTTCATGTTAACAATAATCAAATACCTACTTCAGGATAAATGCTTGAAAATTGTTTCATTACTAAATTTCCAAACAATCATTTGAAGTTGGAAGCAAACAAAAAGCAATTAAAAAATTATGAACGAAGTTTTAGCAAAGAATCAAATCAATTGTGCAAGCAACAGGCAGCAAAAAAAAGTTGCTTTTGAGTGTTTGAAATGTAAAGTTGAATTAACAAACAATTTGTACAATCAATTAGTTGGTTTATTTTTTCCACTTTGCAAATTATCTGAATACAATTTTCCGTTCATTGTCTTTCATGACGATCGAGCTAATATTGCATCGCAAAATATATTCAATTCATTTTGTTTTACAATCGACTGATTATTTGTCGGCATTGTGTCTATTGACCTGAAAAAACGCTTGCTAATGATATTTTTCTTTCTTTTTCATTTCGTAAGTATAAAGACACTCCTGTAATTACTTACTTAATATCATTTTTCACAACACAACACCAATGAAGTTAATTTTTCTTCATTCCTTGTCTCAATTTAATCATTATTTTCTTTGAAAATGTATAATTGAGCACCATATTGTTAACAAATCGAGTATATTAATGAGTGAGATTTTCACACATGGAACATGGGATTGATCGGATCCATCAACACTTCCTGAAAAGCCACTACTCGTTTGATCTCATAATGACCATGAAATCGAAGATAAGCGGTGTAGAAAAGTTGAGGAAAAATTAGGATGCGATCAGGAACAGAAAAATATTTTAAATTAATTTTGAATGCAGCATCATTGGCGCCGGAGGCGTTTTCCGAGTCTGTTGCAGTTCTGGTGCAGTTAATTTGACACACAAAGTTTTGAAGAAGGAAGAGAAACGCAAAGAGTCATTTATAAAAACAAGCACACATTGCATGAAAAATCTTCAAAAATAAAGAAAATAAGAAGAAGAAGAAGTGTCGGAACATGTTAAGAATTATAATTTATGGCAGATTGTTGCGGTTGACGCAAAACATTTTCAGCCCCGAGTCTAAGGCAAAAAGAAATGTAATTTGAGACAAATTTTACGAGCAGTGAATGACTTAACTAATGAGTGGTCCTTTCATGTTTCTCATTGTCATACATAGGATGTGTGGGCGGTTTCGGAAGGCTAACATAACAAACAGTAAAAGGATTTTCCAAAAGAGAGTTGGAAAAGAAAGTCATCAATTTTAATTTCGTTGAAGTTTAATAAAAAAAAATAAATTTCTCTTTAACTTACACACAAATGTAACATGATGCGATTGACTTTGCGAACCTTTTCCGGATAAATTCTTGCGATGTATGCAGCCACTTATAAATTTTTCACGCATTTCTTCTAATTTCTGTGTTGCGTTAAATACGAAATATTTGGGATGAGGGTTTTTAGGAATTTACATCATAAATTTCCGTCAAAAATGAAAGCTGATTTTCTTTAATTATTAATGATCACATTGTTCAGAAGAAATTATTTCAAAGAAACAGAAATATTAAGGGAAAAAATCATCACAATGACTCTTCATTGCATTCGAAATGTTTCATAATTAGCACCTAATGTTTCCAATCATAAATTAATATTCCGGATGCTTCTAATTAAAGGCATATCTATAAGTCTCTCATGTCAAGACATTGATGCCATGTATAACATTCTCATCAAAGTGATTAATAGTTTCAAATTGTTTCGTAATCTTTTTTCATGTTTCAGTTCGTTGAACGTCAACTGGGAATATTTTGTGAGTAAATTTTCTTCTTTCAGACGTCAATGATAATTCAAAAAACGCTTATCGAAGAGCAATTACGAATACATGCGTTTCAGTTATGACATGAGTAAGTGTCAAGCATTCTGTATAATTTTACAAGCTTATCACACATTAAATTGAATTACTCAAAACCTCTACTGAAATGCTTGATAAGTTTTCGTTTTTAAGGTCAGAAACTAAATATTTATGATGATAATTTAATTTTTTTAAGTGTGAAATGAGATTCATATTTATCAATTCTTTTCACAGCAATTTATTTTTTTCATTAACTTAAAATATCGATTGTTGAACTCTCTCTTCAAAATTGATAAAAGGAATGAGATGAATACTTAAAACGATTACAATTGTAAGCAATCAAAGTTGATTATCACATAAATGTCTTGATCGATTTCATTTACTTGTTATTTTACACATTGAATGTTTTCCAATGAGATGTAATTTTAATAATTTGCTGCCTAATTTGTATATATATTCATCGATCATATAATGTTAACAATATCACGTCTTATGCCAGTTAATAAGATGTTGTTTCCCAATCATAAAATCTTATTATCATCATAACACTTAAGTATTTTTCCCCTATTGACTTCGACTCCTAAACACTATAATTTATTGTTGTTGAATAAAATCTTTAATTTTTTATGGGTAATCAAATCGAATTCCGTCATATTATAAACTTTAAAGGTGATGAAAACTGATTTATGAAATTATAGTTCTCAAATACCGCGCATGACGATCAACTGCAGGTTAAAATATTTGAAACAAAATAAACTGTCGAAATAAATGGAAAATATTTTAATGTTAGAAGTTTACTTAGCTTAAATTTTTATTTAGATAAGATCTAACAATCTATTTGATTTGAATAAACTTGATAACTACTAAGTTCACAATGTATTGTATTGACAATTAGAACAAAATCCACGCACAAATTTCTTGTATGCCCTTTGAGGAATAATCTTCGTTAAATTTCGTTAAGTTTTGTTTCGATATGTTTTTATTTGAAATTTAACGACTTAATTTTTTATTTGCATTCGTTTGTCTGTATAATTATAGAACTTTAACATGTATAATATTTATAATGGTATATCCTTGGGTATATCAATGGAGATTGCAAATATAATTTCAACAATTTCACGAGTCTCATAAAGAATAAGAAGATAAACTTGTTAAGCGAATTTACATTACTGAAAAATTTAAAGTAGCAAATAAAATTCCAATTTTCTTAACCTTTAATCATCATATCTTTATCTTCCAAGTCATTCTCTTATTTCACATTCAATAAAAGGAAATGAAACAAGCAAAATGAAATTTTGGTGGCTACAATGTGATTCAAATTCCACGAAGAATTTAAGAGAACTTTCAACATAAGTTTATTTATTTACGACAAGTCGACAAAGAAAGGTTCTCTGGAGACACCTTGCAATTTCACAAGAGAACAGTAGCAAATTTCCATTTAATTTATCTGACCAAAATTTCGAAACAAAACAGAAAACCAAACGACTCTCCCAATACACATCATCAAATAAAATAAATTGGGCTTATTACAGAATATCTTATAAAATGCTTGTTAGCGCGATATTTTTTCGCTCTTTTTTTTTTGGACAACAAGGAGATGAAAGCGATGAGGAAAAAGCAACAAAGAATCCATTCGAAGCTTGTGCAGGAAAATAAATTTTAATGGTTTCGATTTTTTTCTGTTATTATTTATTCTTCTCAATCGTTTCTCAGCTCTCGTTTCTGTAAAGTTTTTTTAAGTTGATTTTTTTTCAACGAATTCTTCTGAAATGATAAGCTTTCATTGAAAGGAATTTTGCTTTCATGAGCTTGATTAATAAACCGAGATATTTTTGCTTTAGTCTTCTAACTAATTGGAACAATAAATTCCAAAAAGGAGAATGACATATCGATCGCCAGTTGTGTATGTTAATAGATACAGAATGATGGAAGCTCGAGCATAACAGAGAACATGCGGACACTTGATGACGCTATGCTGTTCCAATTAGATTTATGATTTCTTCAGAATTAATTTCTTAACGATTTCAGCTTCTTTTCTCAACTGTCTAATGTAACAGTTAAGAGGGAAAAGATTTGACTACCAGATTAACATTCGAAAACAATTCTTTTCTTGTGAAATGAATGAAACGAAAAAGGGAAAATTGATGATCGTTTGTACAAATATTTTGTTGAGCATTTTGAAAGATTAACAAGCTTTATTAGGCATACAAATTGATAAATTATTGATTTTTGGCAGCATGATACGAGCTACCAAATTAGAAACAGGTTTCAAACAAACCTACTCGATTGAAAATGTAAATTAATTCAGTACGAAAGGAGTAACACGAAATCGAGTGATTAATTAAAATAAACAAGAGACGCACAATAAAGTAGATATGAAGATTGAGAGGAAGAACAACACACAGAAGTAAATGACATGATGACAACTCGAAACATTATTGATGGAGTTAAGCACTCAAAATAATAAAATTGGCCACCGAAATCAGATCATCATGAGTTGCTTAGCTTCAGTCTTTATTTATTAATGATCTTTGAATGTCTTCGCGTTCTCAGTGCTCGCATTTACTTTATGATCGATTGTCGTCGTTCATTCTACCAGACTTCAACGACGACGACTTAAAGAAGAAATAAAGATTTTTTATGCTCTCGTTAAACTGTTGAATGATAATGCTCGAGTTGAGCGCTAGTTTTAACTTTATATGGCTTCTTATGCATAAAATATTGGCTAAAGAATAGTTTTAAATTGAATGGTATCGTTTCATTTATCTGTAAATTGTCTTGTTCATTTAACGACTTACTATTCACCGTCTAGTTTAATAGAATTCATTGAGCAAATAGCTGCGCTTATTTAGTGGTAAAAGAATGGGCAATTGTCGTGATACTTAGTGTCATTTCTTCAACTAAATAGAGTGCTTAAACTTGGATTGGTGTTGTTATTGACTGTTCAATAAGACTGAATGTTTGATGAACTTTTGAACTAAATTTCTTTATAAAAAGTAAAAAGCTTTTTAGAATTTTGAAGTTCACGTGATGATAAAAAAATTTCTACCTTCTGCTAATCATTTGTTTTCTTCCAGAAGTTTGTTGACAAACATTAAAGAATTCTCATGATTTATGAATTATTTTTAAATTCCAATTTTAATTATAAATTATCATAAAGTTTTGATTGTACTTAATTAAACGATTTTTTAATGTGAAATTCATTTCAACTTTGATCTTTCTTAAGCATGCTAAGAAGGTAGGAATTAATAAACGGAAATTATTAACATTTTCACCTTTAATTTCATTTAACAGAAGAAATTTTGATTCGAGAATATTTACGCGCGATATTGACATTTACTTTGATTAATAATTTCTGATTTCTTCGTCTCCAAGCATTCTTATCTTTATCTCAACTGTAATCTGTCTTTGTGTTATCAATTAATGACACGACGATGTGCTTATAAGATCGAATAAATTAAAAAGATTTTTTGCTTATCATCAGGTGGTCTGATTTTTTTTATTGCTCATGATAAGATAAATTAAATCCTAGCAGATGATTTCAAAGCTTTGATTCGGCATGAATTGCCAAAACTCCGTCTTCAGCGTTAGCCGGAAGAATTATTTCACCTCTGCCATCAGCGAAGACAACAACCGAACGACCAGTGCACACACTGCCAACCTTGTCTCCAGAAATGACATCACAATATGTACCAGCAGAAAGCCCAGTTTGAAGCCACACTTGCATGTTCACGCCGAATTGTCCATTGAAAGCTATGAATCCTCGATTACCACGAGCGAAAGCAATTTGATTGCTTCCATTATCCCAGAAATGTTCAACGCTTGTTCCTCTGACGACATTTCTAAACCTCACCATGTGATAAATTTGATGCCAGCGATGTTCACAAACCCAACCATTACCACAACTTCCATCGGCATTGATTGATCGCGAGACAATATTCTCGTTGGCGTCCATGGGCGGTCCTTGATCGAAATTCGTAAAAGCGTAGGATGACATGATACGCGGAACTCCATATGTGAATGCAAGATGAAAAGCTGTTGCCATTTTATAGATACGCGATTGTTTGTAAGTTAAAATGTTTTCTTTATGACTTTCTCGTTGATTATCATGGTTATCTATGAAGGTTAAAGCGGCGTGTGATGGAAGAAATCCCCAAGCTTCACCAAATAATCGCAAATTTTTCAATTCTAATCTTCCACTAAAAGCTCGACCAATTTCTTCTGAGAAACTAAACTCAGTGACAGTTCCTAGATGTTTGTATTCAAATTTACTGATAGCTTCACCACCAAGATCAATAACTTCTTGTGCAAAGAACGGACGTGAATTTGGTGCGAAACCAAAAGCAGTGTTAAGATTTTTAACTCGAGGGAAAACTGCTTCAAGATCACCCGGCCACATGTGCTGCGATAATTGAATAACTTTTAAGGAATATTTTTATAAAAAAATTCATTGCTTCACCTTCACAGTATCAACTCTGAAACCTGCGACTCCTAAATCCACCAATCTGTTCATGAATTCCACAGTTTTGTCTCTCACCCATTGTTGACTTAATGCCAGATCAGTTAAACCAACCAAGTTGCAATTTCTGATATTTGCTGGATCGCAATAGCAATCATCGATAGCACATTGAGGTTGATTGAAGTCATTCGGTCCATAAGGAACAGCTGGGAATAACAAAATGTCTGGGTTTGATTCCGATCCACCAGTGCCCATTCCACCATTCCATCCCATGCCGCTACCAGCAGCCATGTGATTGATGATAATGTCAGGATAAATTCTAACACCAACAGCATTGCATCGACGACTCATATCAAGGAAAGCTGCTTCGTTGCCTGAACGCGTATCGAACTTATACGAAACTGGTTGGTAACGTTCCCACCAAGGTCTACCTGGCACGATTCTATTTTCTAAAGGAACTGAAGTCTGCACGCCAGCAAAGCCATTTGGAGCTAAGAAGTTTTCACATTCTTCCGCAATATCTTTATATTTCCACTCAAATAAATGAACAATTACTGATCGATTTGACCATTGGTTCGGATTGAATTGGCCATTTGCTGAAAGAACAGCAAGCAACAAAACCGCTGATAATATGAGTCTCATTGTTCTTCTTAACACTGAACTTGAGACTCTCGAACGATTGTTAATATTTTCAACCTTTCGTTTTCTTTTTATAGTTTTTTGAGTGAAGATAATAAAGCTTTTATCTTATCAAGAAATTATATTTTAAACAACAATATTTATGATGGAGAGCTCTACGTGAAGATAAGCGTATCAATATCTGGCTTTCAGCTGCTTATAAACGGCTGCTGTCACAATGACACTTTATTTTTTTGGAAGTTGATAATAATTTTGTTCGATTGTTTTTTAAGAAGGATTTTTATAGTCATGAATTGTTCTTAATTTGATCAAAGATATCTTTATGGTCATGCGTTTCAAGGTGTCAAGTTAAGTCAACATCCAGCATCTTCATACTTTATCAGTTGATTTGTGCAATAAACAAATTTCTCACAGACATTTTCTAGTCTCCGATTAAGATCTTAATTCATCATCACGACAATTCCAAATAATCAAAAATATTTTTTAAAATCAAAGGCACTGTAGGGAGCTGCAGGATGTTCAAACTTTCAGAGGGTTAACTGAAACTATTCGCATCTTTCATGATTCCATCGTCACCTTATCTTATTGTCCGAAGAATTTTAGACCATGTTTATCGACGTTTTTCTATCGTAAGCTGATATTAAATGATACGGGTTGATAATGAAAATATAAGTCGTGTTTATCATCAATCTAACTTTTATGTACTGGTTCGTGTTGGTGAGACTTACCCATTGCCATTCCATTTACACTGAGAAATTCACAACTAACTAGCAAATATATGAGAACTTTTCATTCCGAGTCTCTGTCCGATGATAAACATCGCTACAACAAGATGAGTTGAGTAATTTTCCGCAGCATTTTGACTGACAACTGAAAAGTTGAAGTAGGTTCTCGTTTATTTATAATGAAAGTTATCATAGCAATAATCAAAACATAACAAAACAAAAGTTTGTAAGAAAGTGTAAACGATAAGAATCTAAATTATGTTCAAGCAGGAAGTGCAACGTGCCACGTTGTCAATTGCAAAATCAAGGCAGGTAGATTTCTTTTTGTAAAAATTTATTTCGCATCGCTAGGATTTTCCCACACTTGAAGTCATCTAACACTCAACTGACATCGCAAATAAAGTAGATCAATTTTTTTTCAACAACACTCATTTCTCATGGTCAATAACGAAATTGTTTTCATCAACAATGTTAACAATAATCACCGATCAGTAAAAATTGCACCACTCAGAGATTTGTCAACAAGACAATGAAAATTGTGGTCAACTTTTTGCTTCAAATCTTTCGGACTTTGATCGTTCAACTTTCCCTGAAACATGAACCCACACACGATTCGAACATTTCTTTTGTTGTTTTAAAAACGTTTTTCATCACATCCAATGAATGAAATGATTTCTTCTATTTTTTTATCTTCGTCGATTCATAAAAAAAGTGAATTACTTATAAATAATAAAAATATCTTTTCTGGATCAATAAATTTCTTAAATATTTTATTTCATAAAAAAGGAACAAATGTAGAATAGAAATCCATGGAACATTTTTATTACGATATCGTCCATTAATCATGGATGAAATTTCTTTATTACTTGGAATTGAAAGAGAACTTTGCTGAAGTCATTTGACATTAAATAACATCGTGATGATTTATTTGGGGACGAAAAATAAAACTGATGAGAAACTTTATGATGTCTTGCTACCTTTTTTGAACCTTTTTCTTATGACGGAAAAGCTTAATTAATTGCCTTAGCTAAATTATTATTTGCTCCATTTTTGAGTGCTATCGTTGCAACTGAATCAATTGTAGCCGCAGGGGCTAATAGATTTATTTTCAGTGGTCGACTTACGAAGGTTTATTGCCTGAATTCATTGAAGTATTATCATGTCACAACCCACGGATTAATAAATCGTCAATATTTTAAAAATCAAAATTTATGAGACAATTAATGGAAATAGAAGTCAGATATCAATAATCAAAAAACAAAATTCAAACTTGACTTTATTAAATGTGAATGAGGTCACTTTTCTAGACATAATTAATAAATTAACTATAATTCTTTATGATTTTGCTTTTATTTCAAGCTAAATATCATGGAACGCATTAATTTATTTCCTGTCGATATGAACTTATGAATAACTTGATGAAATTTAATTTCAATTATGTACATATTTAAAGTCAACAAACTTTGAAGAATTATCAATTCATTCAATAACAAAATTATTAATAATAACATTCTTTTATTTTCTTAAAACTCGCCTAACGTCTTCAATGATTTTCTTGTTAACATTCTTCGTTCAATGATTTGTGTGCGAGATAAAAAGGCGACGTTCGCATTCAACAATTTGAGGTCAATAAGCGTTCAATCATTTGTAATTCCTTTTATAACACCAGAAGGAGAAGAAACAAAAACAATGATCTGAAATGAATGGAGACAAATAAATCCAATTAATATTAAATGCGTGTATGTCGCACACTGAATGTTGAAAAAGAAAGAGTAGGAAAAGGGAAGACATAAAACCCAAACAGAAGCATTACAAAACAAATGCCAATTTTTATTAAAACTGGTTTGAGGAACAGATTTTTTTGAACTTTTTGTCTCAAGAAAGCGTAGCAAAGAAAATTGCAAATTGAGCATTTCAGCTTGTTAAAATAACTCTAACTTTTTGTCTTGCTTGCTTGGAAATTGTTGGAGAAGGAAGTAAATGGAATAATTTAAAATTGTCCAATAATAAAATAACACGCCATTTTGGTAGATTTGAATTTAACTTTATGTCTTAATTAACTTTCACCAAGTCATTTTGATTCGAATGTTCTGAAATGGAAGGTAGGACATTTGCGCATAAAAAATATCGTTGTTGATTGTACATTTTTTTATTATCGATACTTAAAGCACAAGCTTAATACTACAAAATCTAAATCATTTTTTTCCTCCGGCTTTACGTGTATACAATATTCAATGGAGGTACTTACTCAGTCGTGTTGCCAATTATGCAATAAACTGCAACGATTATACAGAAATAGAGTTAACGATTTCATTTCAATTTAAAATCTGTCAATACTGCTTTTGTGGTCATTATTCTCATATGTTTCTTATTTTAACTTCTACTATTTACTTGACAGCTCAAAAGGGATGAAAAGAGAGAAGGAAAACTGTGATGTTCATTATAATATTATTCGACAATTTCTTGCTGTCCATTTCATAGCAATTTATTCTTTGGTATCTTAAAAATAATGATCATTGTAAGCAGCACCAAGCCACATATCAATTTTCCATCTTTAATCGATAAATCTGATGAGAGTGAAAAGTTTCTTATTGTAATTTAAATGTGATTTCATATAATTTACTAACGTTTTAAATTATATTAGATCAGCTTAATTGTGCGTTTACAATTATTAACCTTATTTAGATAATATAAATATGTGCATATGTACACATAGAAGAAAAAGAAATCTGTTCCAATTATAACGTTGAGTGTGCAGTAAATTTTTTTGGAAGCTTGAATATGCTTATAATTGATGTATAATTACAGTGGAAGCCCGTTAATTGTGACTCCCTTCAGTGTTTCTCTAACGGGCACTGTATATGAAATAAAAGTTTTCAAGAAAACATCCAATGAACGTGTAAAACATTGAAACATTGAAAATATTGTTTTCATGCAGCATTGCAAATGATCATTGTGTGATGTTGCTACAACTTAGGGGCGCGGCTTATATTGTGTTCTTTTCTTTACTTCATTCGTACCTTGCACAAGTGTGGTAGCAGAAAACTAAAATTGTGTTGAGTCTTGATCAGCATCTCATTCATTCAGTCTCTGTTTACCGATATGAACGGACGATTTTCGATGCGGAGGAGTTTTATATTAGTTCAATTTATAAAAATAATAATAACAATAAAAACATCATCAATTGACTGAAAGATTAAGTGACTAAGTCAATTAAACACTTATTTGTAGACAATTTTCCTTTGCGTTAAGTGATTGTGAACTTTTGATTACATTTATATTTTTTATAAAATTATTCAAACTTTAGACCAAAAGAAAAACAATGAAGAAATATTTCGTTTGCTTCTTATCAGTTAAAAATAAAATAAAATTAATCTCATAAATGACGAAGTGTATTGAATAATAAGCAACATAATTTATGGACTCAAATATTGTGAAACCACATAAAATGACTGTGACACCCCTTCGAATGGTTACGATGTCAAGTCCGACGGTAACTTCAGTTGACTCGCCACCGCAAATAAAAACTGTGACGTCGCGAATTAGTAATTTTAGCGTTGCATCGTTATTAGCAGATACGCGATCAAAGACACCGCCACCCTCAAGAATTATTGCAAATCACATTGCACTCTCAAATAATAATAACAACAATGAGATTTGTCTCACGCCGAAGAATCTGTCAATATCACAAGCAAGTTCGTGTTCACCAAACTCACAAAATAATGACAGCAGTAACTCGATAAAGTGTCATAACGACAGTGAATTATTGGATCAACGATCTCACACGCCTCACAGTTCAATTGCGTCAGATGATTACGATGACTCGATACATGACGAGGACGATGAAGATGTTGATATTGAAGATGTGAATAGTGAAAATAGTACAAACAGTCCTCAAAAGTCGTCATCATCAATAGGATTATTACCTTCACAATCATTGGTCGGTGGAGCTGTTCCGATTAGACCAACACCTTTCAGTGCATTAGCTGCAGCAGCAGCTGCTTGGGGTGGCATGAGTAATGGTGTTGGTGGATGGCCAGGAAGACAATTGCCACCTTTCGGTCCACCAGGACTTTTCCCTGGTCAAGGATTTCCAAATCATATGAATGGAGGTACGATTGCCTGTTTTTATCTTAATGAACTTCCTGTTATAAAATTAAATAGAACATTTATGGCAACAGACTCTTATGTCTGATGTTTCACAACGAGTCTATTGCCATAGTTTTATTATTTATTTTAACATGCGGAAATTAATTTATTTTTATTTTGATCACAGATAATGAACCACCTCGACTAAAATGTAATCTTCGAAAACACAAACCGAATAGAAAACCAAGAACTCCCTTCACCACCCAACAGTTGCTTTCACTCGAGAAAAAGTTCCGCGAGAAACAATATTTAAGTATAGCAGAACGAGCAGAATTTTCGTCTTCCCTTCGACTGACCGAGACACAAGTGAAGATCTGGTTTCAAAATCGACGAGCGAAAGCTAAAAGACTGCAAGAGGCTGAGCTTGAAAAGATAAAAATGGCAGCACTTGGGAGAGCCGGTCCAGGTGCAGCACAACTTTACATGGGATATTTCCACCCGAGTCTAATGGGAGGTATGCATCTTGGTTAATTAAGAGAAAACGAATGTGAATTAGTGTACTTAATCATTCAACCAAGACATTTCAAAAGTGCCAAAAAAGCTTATACACAAAACATTCATATACATACATATAAGAAAATTATTTAATTATAAGAACCAGTGATCCATAAAATTGATTAAGAAAGAAAGAAAGAATATTTGAGTGAAAATTATGAAAAGATGAGATAAGCTCATGTGGTTGATATCTTAATAGATTTTAATTAAGGATGTTATAAGAATAAAGACTTCTGTAAATAGATGAAATCAACCAAATAAAAATTTCTAAGATGTAAGAAACATGATCGATATTGTCATGAGAAATCTGAAAATAAAAGAAAAAAGAAATCGAAATTTATTAAAAATGAATTAAAAGTTTCAATTTTACGAGAAAAAATTATCAGTTCATGCTTTAAAAAGGAAATGAAATTGCATGAGTTGGTTTAAATATTGTTAAGCTACCGAGGCATGCTAATAATTTGATAATCGCCTTGTAAAAGTTGATTAGAAACAAATCACTCAACGAGGGAATTTTGCTTTTACGCTTTGGAATGAAGCAAAGTTGTGTTGTTTGTTTCAAGATTTTCTTGTAATTACTTTTGCAGTTCAACTATTTGCTGTTTATTTTTCAGCTTCTCAAACAAAATAATTTGCATCTTTACCTTTACAAGCGTAAACAAATTAATTAGTGATCGTAATTGCATTTTTATCGCTTCGATTAGTTCAAGCGAGTCAAACAAATTGAAATTACAAAGTTTTTTCTTCTTCTATTGCTTGTAATCAGAAAAGTTGGCGCAATGCGCGATGAAATCTAAAAAATTGATTTGGAATTTTATTGATTTAATGAAGTGAATTGAATTTGCAAACTTTACTTTGATAACTGTTTCAATTTTTCTTTTAGTTTTTGTAAACCTGTAAGCGACAATGAATTAAACATATATTTGCTGATAGGAATCGTAATTTACTATTTAGCAGAACAATTAACTTAAATGTTATTTCTCTCTATAGGTTGTTAACCATGAAAAACAAAAATATTAATCATCAACGCTAATTACTCTCATGAGTCGTAATTAATTAAATCCAGATTGACTTCTTGAAGTTAAACGTTATCACACTATGGCCGTCCTCCAATTAAATCTTTTTTTTCTACGTCTCGTAAAGGTCAAACGTCTCATTGAATGAATTATTTTCTAGAGCAACAATTGGTGATAAGATGAAATAAAAATTGTCGAGTATTAATAAATTAATTTCACAGAGGCGATAATGAGAGAAATCTTTGATTGAAATAAAATAATTGGAGATTAATTAAAGCTTTAGACAGATTCGACTTTGTGAATACACTTATCACTCAATTTCACAAACATCTTTGTCATAATTATTCTAAATAATTTACACTTTCATACTACGAAAGTTAATGTTTGTCTGCTATCAGCATTCGACGATATTCGTCATTAAAAACAACTCTACGTGAATTTTATTCAAATGCTCGGCTTTAACTTATCAGTTTCATTTTTTTGTCGCTAATTTCAATTCAAGATTTTTTTCCCTTTCGAAACAATTAATCATCTTTTTTAAAAACAAATTTAATCATTTGTAATAAATTCAAGCTTGAAAATAAATCCTGGTCATTTCAATATTTTCATTACTCTTTAATAGGTATTTATGTACATAAATTTAAAAGTGAAACATATTTTTGTTAGACTTATCAATTGATAACGCAAACATTTATTTGAAAAATCAACTCTTTTCTTCTCTTTCTCATCGTACAAAAGTCAACTTATCACTAAGAACAAATTGAATTTATAAACTTATTGATAGTTGAAACTTAAAGTTTATTCAAGTTCATTGCCGAGGGTTTAAAAAAATTTTTAATTAATAATCAGAATCTTGATTTAATCTCACATCAAAACAACAAAGTTGTTCAGTTTTTCTTCAACTATTATAGAGAAAGTTTGTCTGCTACTGATAAGACGAAGTAGAATTTGTTGTGCTGTTCTAAATCAATAACTTCACGCCTAACGCACTGAAACTGATCGTTTGAGACTTTTCGGTAATTTTATTAAAGTTAAAAAAGAGTCCATAGATCCTTTTGACAAATTACTTGCCTTGGGTCGATAAGTGTCAGATTTTTGATATTTGAAACCATCCGCAATGAGAAGTTTGCAGACATTTAGTTAACGCCTTCGGCGCCAAAAACGATCGAAGCTTAAAACTTCACACAATTCTTATGTTTTTTCGCTTCGATGCTCTCTCTTTCCTTATTCCACAGCATTCTCGTTACATTTTATCTCATTTCTTTTCAATTTCACGCTAATTATGTTCATTTTTGAAATTTAGAAAACATTGTTCTCCTTTCCAGATGCATGAAGTGCGAGAAGAAAAGGAAATCTTATCAAAATTAAATGTTTCAACAAAAAGATTTCTGCAATATTTCAAGAAACATTTTCTTAGCACATGCCCGATGAGTTTCAAGAATTTAAAGTTCTAGTTTCAAAAAGACACACTTCAAGAACTGGCAACAAACACAATAGTGGGGTACTTTAAAATTGCATTAACTATTGTTAGTAAAAAGAAATCCTTAAAGCAGAATCTCCAACCGAGACATCTTGAAATGTTACAGGCAATAAAATTGCCATTTAATTTGAATTTTACCTTCTTGACTTCTTTACAAGTTTTCTCAATAGCCTCCTAATGGAACAACAATAAACGTTGCAAGGTGTTCCCAACTGTTGTCCTTTCAAAGATATTTTTTGGAATTGTTTTGGTTAGATTCTCGTTTAATGGTTTGTAGATTTTCATAAAATTTCTTAGTGGTTGCTAACATTGCCAAAAATTGCTTGTTGAGTGATTTCTCGTGGGTGTTTTCTCTTGTTTTTGTTAACAATCAATTAACAGTTCCACAAAAACATGAAATTTAATTTCATAACAACTTTCAGTCAATTAAAAAGGAAATGAGAAGAAAAAAGTTGGCAAACTAATAAGTTACGTTGGGTTAAAAAAATTTATTCTGAAAGTGGATTTGTGGAATCTCGCGAGGATTGAACATCTATAGATGGTCATTAAAGATCCGGTCATCCAGATTGATGGTATGCGGAATATTTAATTCAAATAAAACACTCGTTTACTCCTTCATTTCACTATAACTAGCAATTGCAGTTATCTCGTTTAATTTTAATTGTTTATTTTATTCTTAATTCTTAATTATAGTTTAACGTTTTTTCTTCCTTTTACAGCATTTTGAAGTGCTGTCACTGCAGATAATCAAAGTGGAAATGAGTGGGAATAACTCCGATATCGAAGCGAAAAATAAAACAAGTCGGAGAGTTGGAAGTCGATTTAATGTCACATTCTACGGTTGAAGCTCGACAATTAATCACCTCATGATGAATAAACCGCAATGAACTTTCTCGATAGTCAATTGATTCAAGATGTCGCATGATCTGATTGTTTATTTCTAGCTTTCCAGCTAACTGAATTATAATCGCAAAATTTGTCTTGAACAAATCATTTTATTCGCAACAAGTATTCAGGAAACTTGTTTATTTTCATATATTCATGTCTTAATTAACGTTATACGGTTCTCGAAAAGACCCATAAAAGGAAAACACTAATTGACTGTGACTATCACCCGTATCGCTTCGATATTATCGTGAGATATTAGTTTGATATTTTTTCTCATAAGATTGATTGAAATTCTCATTTAAAATTAAAATTAATGGAAGCGGCAAGTGATGTTGTGTTTCAGTTAAGTTTCTGAATCAAAACATCAAGCATTATTCACTATCTGCATCGATGAAATTTTAATTTCTGATTTGATTTGATTTAAAAGTTTGAAATTCTTCTAGAAAGATCGATATATAAATTACAATATTCTCTTGATTTGATTTTATAATTTTGATGTCTTTCAAAGCTTATATGGATATGCAACTTAAGGTTGTTATTTTTCTAAATCATATTGATTTCCTTAAAACAATTATTCTCATTATTCTTAATAACAATGACGGTAATTGTACATGCCATGCTACATAATGTCATGTTTATTTTAAACGTCATACTCATTGTCTCTCCAAATATATGTTTTTAAATAATTTACAGATCGTAAAGTGAGATTAATAGTCACATTTAAGATTTTTAGATTAACTAGAATTATCAAACGTCAAATAGAAAATAAAAATCTTTATTTCTGATATTTATAAGTCTTGATGAAGTAATCAAATGAATAATAAACGTAACGCTACTTTTTTCTTCCATTCACATATCTACATACTGGCAATAAATCGATTGAAATAATTCATCTCTTTTTGAGAAAAGCATTCGACATCTTAATGTGCCGCCTTCTCCAACAATTCTTATAAATCAATTTAAAAAAAGTGGAATATTAAAAATAAATTTATTTCCTTTCTTTTCTGATAAATAAATGCAAATATCAAAACAAATATTCAATGATACCTTAAACAATATACATGCTTAAACCATGCTGAATAAATAATAATTCTCAATAAAATATTGCTAAATTAATAACTTCAACAAGAGTTGTTAAATCGATTGAGCGCAAAGCGTTTATCGTCAGTTCAATTCTTTAGTAAGAGTAAGAGGCCAATAAGCATTGAACGAAAGGGGATAAGAGCAAATAAAATTGTATATGTTCGCTCTCTGTTGCGGTATCTATAATGTCTTAATTTGCAAGAGTGCATAAGCGAGGAGAAATAAAAAACGGCAAAATAAATTGCACAATAAATATGTTTAACAAGAATAGTGTGGCGCATAGAACTCTTTGATGTCTTCGCCCTCAGACGAGTATCAGATTCGTTGAAATTCAATTGAAATCAACATGTTGATTTTGGTTTGAATCTTATAGATATGATACATAACATGAATTAATGAGATGAGAGTCTGAGTGAAAAGGAAAAATCTCGAAGGAGAATGCAATGACACAAATCAAATTTCAAAGTAAATTTCTGGCAGCTGTTGGCGGAAATTATTCGAATCTTAATCGCGAATGAGAACTTCTAAGTTATGCCATACTTAGCAATATTTAAAACCTGAAAATAAATGAATAAATTGTTTTGACTTACATATGTCTTTCAAGAAAAAGAAAAGAGAGCCACAAGGAAGCTTTAGAGGACACCCTATAAAAATTCTTAAATAATCACGTTTGGCTCAATTGAATCCTAAACGTGTTATTGCATGTAATTTTATTGTCATGTATTCCATAAATTTATATTGATCGTTTGTTTAATTCAGTTTCTTGCGATCGTTGCTTTGTGTTATTCATTTACCATAAATTTTGAGGCATCCCTGGTTGATCTCCAAAAGTTTGAATACAAGATTTTAAGTTCTGATCTGATTTTCTATTGATTTTTATTAGATAACAAATTGTTTTAACTTATTTTCTCAACTTAAACTTCAAACTGTTACTAAAGGAAGAAGCAGCAAAAATTCACCTGTTTTTATTCACATGACTCCAAGATTGTGTTGAAACTTTAAAGCATAAAAACATTCATTTATTCCACGAACAATCAACTGAGTGAAGATATTTGCTTCTCTTTATTCTTTATCAAAGTTATGCCTGGAAATTGTAAAGTCAAATCTGAACTGATTAATTTGAATGAGAGGATTTTTCCTTCTGTTTTCATTTTATTGTCAATACCTCACAAATCTAGGTAGAAGCATCTGGAAATGATAAGTGAAAATTTGTCTGAATTTCAAATTAAGTGTTTCCATTTATTATACCGACTTTATTTATTTTAAATGACTTCACAGTTAACCAATCGAATTAAAATATCGATCGTTTATTTCTTCTTGAATATAATATGAGTCACCTTCTCTAAATTGTTGAATTTCTCCACGTGACCATGGAACTTACGAGAGTTCCACATTCAATTGACAAATTTAAATATTAGTAAACAAACAGGGATATAGAAATATTTTTCAAAAACTTAAGATGTATCTCGATTATATAGCATTCTTTTTCACCTCAACTTATTTAAGTGGTTCAAGATTTTCCATTTCCCCACAGTGAAATTGTGTGAAATTCTTACTAAAAGAATAAAATTAACGAATTTTTGAAATTCAAATCATTTTTAAAGCTATTCTCAAAAAAGCTTTCAAAAAGCTTTACATTATAAATTCGAAAAATCAAAAGCCGTTAATTTTTGTTTCGTTTAATTTATAAAATAAATAAAACTTTTATATACAACATAGCTTAGTAATGTAACTAATAATTTACGTGTTAGACAGAATTAGTTTTCTGCATATATTCTGAAAAATAAATCAAACAATCTGATAAAGATACTTAAAAGTTTAAAACTATTTTAAGAATAAATATGAAATTTCTTTCTCATGCATATTTAATTCTTCTCCATTGTTATTAGTAAATGCTTCAATTTATGAAGCTAATTGTAGAAATTAAGACATTTAGGCACAATACATAATAGAACGCATTTCCAAATTTCATCTGCTACATATCGGACACCTATGAAATAGAAAGCAAAGCGAGAGAAAATATCATCCAATATTGTATTTTGAAAATGTGACTAAGATGGATCACTTATTAGCCAGTTAGAATAAAGTTACTGTTGTTGTTTTCATCAGAAGAAAGAAAAAAAATTGTTTAAGTGGAAGAAACGTGAATGGCAGTAGAAGAAAAAGCTGTCAGAAGAAATGTGTCCATTTTCAGCAAATAATACACATGTAAGCCATACGCTGAAGAACAACACTTTTCACTCGACGGGAGTTTGATTTTTCCAAGGGATAAAGATATCTGTGAGTGGGGAATTTCGTATATTTTGGGAAACTTTCTTTTTCTAATATAAATTCATTTCTATTCGATGTTTGAACATTATAAAGGAATTCATCTTTGTAGAAAAAAGCAATTCGTAGCAATGAAGTTTCTTCTTTTATTTGCAATTTCCTTTTTCTCATGTGAAGCAAATTTTTTTTTTCTATTCCTATTCGACATCACATATCGAACAACTCCCTACCATCAGTTGTGTGTCGCTAAAAATTTGTTCTGTAACTCGAAAAGATTGATCACCTCTCACACTTTATTTCATTCTTTTTTTTATTCAATTTTTTTTTCTTCTTCTCACTGTGGATGTCAACGCATATTTTAATTTAATTCTTTTTCGGAGTATTTGCCATTTATGTTGTGTTTTTTACACAAAAAGCTGTTGATTTTTTTTCTTTGCCTTAAAAAAAGTACAATCAAGTTAATGACTGTAAAGAATTTTTTTTGTAGCTGCATCTTAGGCGTTTATGAAAAAAGTATGACGACAATCCCCATGAGGCAACAAGAAATCAGATTCATCATATTTTGGGAGGATTCTTAAAATTACTATTGATATTAAGCAAACACCGGATCAGATCAAATAAGTAGCGAGGAGCCTTGAATTCTTTTACAGCTTTTTGTGTAAATAATTTATATTTATAGGTAAGTAAAGGTTTCGGCAGTTTTGGTGTTAAATAAAGTGATTTGAGATTCACTAAGTTTTTCAAAAACTTGCAAATTCTGTTTGTTGTTATTTATGCGGTATCTTTTATATTCTTTTCAAGGAGCATGAGAATTCAATTCTTTACAAATATGTTTCATCCATAAATGTTTTATACATGACAATTTGTCAATGTAAAGCTCATAGTGAATTATTTTTACAGCATAAATATCAGATCATTGCCATAAATTTAAAAATTATTCACGACTGACAAAGCATTAACTTTAACCAGTTAAGTAACATTTTAAATCATGCAAGTTGATATTGAAATGTCCATAATCATGGAAGAAAATTAATCGAATCATTATTATTATAAATGTCACCAAATTTGACACTTAACGTCATCGTTTAATAAAGTGAAAATGTTGCGTAATATTTAAAGATAATTGAATATAAATTGCAGAAGTTTACAATAACTAGAATTATGCTGATCTGCCATGAACAAGAAGTTTTTAAAGTCGTCATGTTATGGTGATATGAAAATTTCTTCTGCTATCGAAATTAAGTCTTACTCAATATTTAACTATCTTATATTACGTAAATTGCAGACACTTTACCAATTTATGGTATCAAGTTGGGATCGCATGTGATAAATGGTTTTTACGTGCATCATGACCAGAGTTGCTCAATCTTGAAGCAATAATTTGTGATTTAATTTTAAATTTAACCGATGAAAAGCAATGGGAAGAAAAGTATCAGATATCCGAATCAAAATATTGAATACTTAAAGTAGAAGGAGACTTAAAGACTGCAAAGTTCTCAATGAAAGAATATCCAAGGTTGAAAATGTTCATGTGAAGATTCATTTTAAATGCTTACTTCTCACATATCTTTGTGCCGTATTGATTCACTTCATGTGCGATCTTGTTTTATGTTCTGTCATGCCTACCACTACTGAATGTTTTACAACACCAAAATTTAACTTTCTACTAGAGAACTTCAATCTCTTTTTAATTGAACACTTCAAACTCAATCATCTCATATTTAAGTATTTAAACATTTCAACTCAATGTTGACAGACAGCCTCATAAATAAAGCCTCGTATCGAAATAATTGTTTTTCGTTTTTCCATCTTCAAGTAACTTGATAAATAAAAAAGAATTACAGAAAAAAAAATCCTTCAAGAGTTGAAATTGGTTATTTTTCATCAGTCGACACGACTTAAAGAACAACAAGCAAGGAAACAAGCAAATTTATGCGCAATTCAAAAACATTTTATGTAACACTTTAAATCTCATAAAAGAATTCTTTTTACGATATGTAAAGCAAAAGAAAGTATTAATTTGGATAATAATTAAGATTAATGTGGCACGATCTCAATAATTATCATTAAAGACGAAGCATTGAAATGAACCCATCAACATACTCATACATATCAAGTAAGAAAATCATTTCAACTCAAGGTCTTAACATTAATTTAAATTACTTTGTTGTTGTTGTTACATCATGCTTGCCAGCTGATCCCAAAATCACGAGAGTCATACTCAAATATTATTTTCAATATCAACATTCTTCTTCTTCCTTTTCATTTTTTCAGTTCAACTTTTCTCCTTCAATTTATTAATATTTCAAATTGCAGACAATAACGTTTTGGCAATGTGCATAAATTTGAATTTCAATTTCTAATAATTCACACAACTTACTTAGATTGTTTGGTGTTGCCTTTATTACTGCTTAATGATGTATCCAGTGAAGTAAAGGAATTACAATAAAATCAGGCATCACAAGCGTGGCTGCATTAGTTAAACTATCCCAGATCATTGAAATTTACCTTACGCTATAAGAAAGTGAAACTTTGTCTGAGAATATTCAACAATGGATCTTTTCAACGAGAACGAAATGTTCGTTGACTGAACAACATAATTTCCATTCTGAAAATTGCTCGAGCATAAAACATCTTTACAGCAGAGATGAAGTCAGAATCTTCTGAAACATTACAAGAATCTTGCATCATTAACTAGACGCCGGGTCTGATACTTTGGTCAACATTGAACTGCAACTTACTCTCTTCTTTCGTCTGCTTAGCAACTGAAGCAACAATAACTTAAGCGAGAGATGAAGAAAGAAGAAAACAATGCATAAATGTGTATCAAGTGGTGGCTTGTTTAAGGTAACATGAAATAAGAGAAAAAAAATTATTCGCAAAGCAAGAGAGTGCGAGCCTTGATGTCGCTATAAAAGCAACGAAATTTCTTGCTTTATAATCATTCAGTGTTCAATCACCAATTGTGTAATATCATTTACTTAATCCTTTCTTTATTTTCCGAAGAAATGTCATTCAAAGTAAATGAGACGTCGAAATTTTAGTGAAATTTCTCTTTTTAACTTTTGTACACTTTCAGTTCATTGTTTTCTGCGCTCTTGTGGCTGTGGCCAAGGCTGGAGTTATTGCTCAACAACCCATCGCCTACACTCAACCAATTGCTTATGCACAACCAGCTTTAGCTGTGCAAAAGACTCTCGTACATGCTCAACCAGCTTATGTTGCAAAGAACGTTGAAGAATATGATGCAAATCCTCAATACACTTTCTCATACGACATTCATGATGGACTCACTGGTGACGCTAAATCACAAACTGAATCACGAGATGGTGATGTTGTCAAAGGACAATATTCTTTGGTCGAAGCTGATGGAACTCGTCGTATTGTTGACTACACTGCTGACCCTGTCAATGGATTCAACGCTGTTGTACACAAAGAAGGTGTCGCACATACAGCTGCTGTTGTTGCTAAAATCGCTCAACCTGCCATCGTTGCCAAAGCTCTCATCCCAGCCGTTCAAAAGACAATCTATGCTCAACCAGCAGTCGCTTACCACCAGGCTCAACCAGCTTATGTCAAACACTATTAAATTTCATAGATTTACATAAATATATCTACCTGAACCTCATCTCATCTTAGTTTTGATCTTATTAAAGTGATAAAAATTCTCTTTTAAATTCCCATTGAATCATTCCAGTTGATTTAAAATTATTAAAATTCACATTATCATGTAGTTGAGGTAGAACAAGACAAGACAAGACATAAAAAAAGAAATAAAATTGAAAAGTTATTTAAGTGAAAACTTCAACACATTTAATTTTATTTCTTCAACCTTCAAACTTGCAATCACACGACTTTCTTTGATATTTATTTTATTGCTTCTTCATGTTCTTCAATTGTTGCGCAATCTTCTTTTTTGTTTTTCTTAACGAACAAAGACACGAGAAGAGAAATTTCATTGAAAGAAAAGAAGAATTGCCTTGAGACATGAGCACGATATCAAACTTATTCGCTGGTGTGGAGTTCACTTTTATATTTTCATCATCAAGGAGAAATTTGTTCAATTAATTAATAGAAATTGGAAATGAAATTTTCAGGGGTGATAAATCTTTAAAAGCTGCTAAGAGTTTCACCGCAGGAACTCGTCAGTCATCTATCCCTTGGAATTATCCATAATTTATTCAAACATTTACTTTTCAAACGAACAAGCACTAGAAAGGATCAGTATTCATTCTTAAATAAATTGAAATGAAATTCAAAATGTCTGATTATGGTGACAGGAATGAAAAAAAAGGGAGAAATGATAAAAATTGAACAAGGGAACAAGTTTCATGTTGAAAAGGGAATTCATGTTTTAGACGATGATCGAGTCTATGTCCAACTGATTTCTGCTGACTCACTGTCTGCCACCCAACCACAACATCAACCTCAGAATCATGGAGAGAAGTTTACCTGTCAAGATCATCAGCATTGTTCGAAATTGGCACACAAAAAACTTTTCTTATTCATTCCCAAAATATCTATTTAATCGGTCGATCACGTTTTCACACATGACACATGGATTGTTTGAAAAATATGTATAAGAGAGAAATATTTGAGCCCAAGGGAGTGAAGCTGTGAAAACAACAAAATTCAATTGTCTTTGAAGCCACACGAAAGTTTTCATAAATCTCCCCAACAAACAAATAATGATTTTGTCAAAACATCATTGACTCTAATCTCTTATTTACATATTTCATCTCTTCCTTTCGCCTTGTTCGTCTATTCTTTCTTACACAAACTTTTCTAAGTTGATTTTAAGTTGGTAATAGATACACTTAATCACGGATTAGCTTCTTTATGCTTCGCTCTCCATTATTGCAAAATCATGTTTCAATTCGAAATCTTTTCATTCATGCTTTTTAATACTTTAATGCTGTAAACGAGTTCTGAGAACGGTGATGAACGTCTCGAAAGTTGGATCACGCCCTTTAAAAAGTAGTCGCTTGGTGGCTTGTACAAGAAGCCGGGCAGTAAGAAGAATCAAATCTCATTTCTAGACGACAGCTTCCCTCGATAACCGAAATTTGTCTTAATATAAATCAATTAAACAATTCTTTCATCTTTTGTCTTGGTTGTTGTTATCCGACAACGTTTCTTCTTCGATGCTTTTGCGCCCACATTCACGTCATAACTTATTAGTTGTTCTTCGTATCTTGAAACTTGTTCTTCAACTCATTGACGGCTAATTGATGAAATGCATTTTTAGATGGCTGTTGAAAAATTGATCGTCAACGAAGTCGTCACTTCAATTAACATGTTTTTGATCCGAATATAAGAAAAAGGAATCTTTTGAGTAAGAACCGTCGATACACTTGACAAGATATCGAGTAGAGAAACTTTTCGGTTGTTATGTCGATGAAAACGATTAAATATCTTCGATCTTATCGGAGTGGGAAATATTTGTGACACAATGAAGTGATTAATCATGGATTCACTTCTAAAATGAAACTCATGACTTGTGTTGCGCAATCTTCGATTATTTGTGCAGAAATATGAAAAAAAAAATCGTTTGGAAAACATACATCATTGGCGCTTTGTATGTGCCACACCATATGCGCAATCATCGTATTTTTAACTAAGCGAAGCGAAAAAAAATATTGAAGTTCAATCTATAAACACAATTTCAGTAATCCTACATAATACCACCCAAAAAAAGTTGTTTCATATCATAGACTGTGGTTGGGACTGATAAAAAGTAATGAAAAATCGTTGATAAAAGGTTTTCGATATTAACATTGAGACCTCAAAGAGCAGATTGAAGCTTAACTGTCATACCACATGAGACACTCTACCAGTTAAGCCCTTGAGAAACAATAAAACAAATTTTATTTCGAATTGATATGGGAATGATTTTATTTATCGACAACATGAATCCATCATTTGACATTCTCCTGTCTCCGGGTGTCTTCGTTCGTCGATTGTTTAACATCATGATTTGAAGAAATTTCTCTCTTTCCAACAATCGGTAATTGAAGCTAATATTCTGCTTCAACAATCAAGATCTCTATGGGGTCATCGAAATCTCGCTCGGCAAGACAACAATCTTTGAAACTGAAATAACTGAAAGGATGTTACACGTCAAGGATGTTCAAAATCAGACATACAATGACAATTTTATTTTCTTCATTTGATGGTTTCTTTAACAACTTGTCAAACTTTAAATTTCTTTATCTCTTTCTCTGTCTTGTTTATCTTCCTTTCAAACTTCATAAATGAAAAGCATCATTTGAAGTCATTCATAATCTTTGCATTTGTGCAGTTAAATTTATGTGAGTTTGTAATTTATTAAATATTTTTCTGGATATCATCACGTTTTCATCCAGAGTTGTTATACATTCAATTTAGATTTATAAATATAATTCAATAATTGAATTGACCAAATTAAATATTTATGTCATTCTTTAAGAACCCAAAAGAGAATGCAGAAAAATATGACATCTGACAAGAATTTCTTGTGTGAAAATATGTGGAAGTAAATGAACAAGAATATGTCATGAAAAGTAAATAAAGATCCAAAAATATTTGTTAACAAAGGCAGGTCTTAAACGTGTAAATGTCAATAACTAAACAGTGCTTTAAATCATTTATAAATTTTTATTTTGTTTTATCATTTATCAAACCTTCAACCTGCTTTAATTACGCAGTCTACAGTGTTAAAAAGAAGGAACCAAAAACAAATGATAACGTTTCATTATTTATTGTCTTTTAATCCCTACTTAATCCCTTCGGGTGATAACAGCTCCATGTTGCTTCAGAAAGAACGCTTCGCACTCGTTATCGTTCGAAGTTAACAGCGAGCGTCCCAAAAATAATTGATGGCTTTAAAATTCGTATTTAATGTGATAACTTTTTTTTCTATATTTCTGATTATTTATGATTGTATAAAAATTGGGCAATGAATCATTTTTTTTCTCTCATTCAACATCCACTTGATGGCTCTATTTAGGCAACAAATAGCCGTTAAATTTTATTCTTTTATTGTCGATTGTAGAATTTGCTTAATTACATTTTAACACTTGTTGATGAGGTAATTAGACATAATTTCTTGAGTGGTGGTTGTGGTGGTGGGAGAAGTAATTGAGCATGAGATTGGTGACTTGATTGATTGACGGGTGAAAGATGAAGAAGAGAAAAGGATGAGATGGTGAGATTATCCGTCAAATTGGTGTGAATGTCAAAGCTATTTATATTTATTTTACTAAATCATAAAAAAAGTGAGCAAAGTCAGGTCGTTAATAGACTTTGAAGTCTTAAAACGATACTACCGTTTTTAATTATAATCTAATTAAATCCAACCAACAACTACAATCAAAAACTCAATCAATTACTCATATGAGCTTTAATCAACAAAAAGTGTTTTATTGCACTTCACTATATAACAAATAAATAAATGCACGCTTTATAGAGCTTAATTCGTTTTTATCAAGAAATTTATCTCATGACAGTAGACATAAATAACATTTTGTTCAATTATCAAATGCGCTTATCGAGCTAGCAAATTTCGGCATTTTAGCCATCCACAAAAAGCCTATCACAAAGATTATAAATTTTCATTCTTTTCAATCTGACTTTAAAAATAAAATCGATGTTCATTAAGCTACCAATCGTAATTAAATCGTAAATAAAAATATTTTGTAAAGTGTGAATTACTGTAGATGCCGAGAGTAATCCATATATGACTTGAGATAAGTTTCTTTCCTGTTTTTTAGCAACATTGAAGAAAAATCCATTATCATCCATAGAAACGATTGTACGATTGGCTGAGTACACCATTAGTTGCCTCCTTTAATCATTGCTATGTTTGTTTCGCTCTTGTCTGCTCTGATATTAGATAATGTTGCTGTCTCTTTCATATGTGCGTTCCTTTTAAATATTTTATGCTTAAAATTTTCCTTAAGATTAAAAAATAGCATAAAAGAAAATTTAGAAAAATGATTTAGAAAATTTAGATTAATTAGAAATGATGATTGAAATATTTTATAAATTTATAAATTAAGTAAAAATAACTTTTATCAGTTAACTGGGAAGATAACAATTGTCAGTATGAAGAAGCGACTTGTTCTATCGTTGTACTCTCCAATATCTAATAGTCAATGCGAAGGAAAGAGACGGCAGTTGTTCCATCAAACGACTAGAGATTATCGAATTTTTCATTCTTCTTTTTCCTCACGACGTGTTATGAAGCGAGCAACACAAGTCAAAAAATTGTGCTTTTTGTTTTCTTTCAAATCGAAAACACTTCAGAATCGTTTTGACCATCGGTGTAGCGTGTTCGCATTTTTATATTCGTGCGTTTTGCCTCGACAAAGAAGAAAACTACGGCAAAAGAAAATATAAATTGGAAAATAATTATTAATTTTCACTTTCCACCACCTTTCGTTGTTAATAATAATCGTGATGTGTTTTTCCTTAATGCGGTGAATATTGGAATAAGTTTGAGGAGGTTTGAAAGAATATTGTGAAAAAATTAACTTTGATAGAAGCAAAATTATTTTTATATAAAATTATCGGATATTGACAGTGAAAAAATTGAAAAACAATAATTGAGAGAAATAAAAGAAAGAGTTAAAAAAAAATTTATGAATTGAAAGGAAAGTTGTGATTCAATATGATGGACATTAGCATGTATGGAAATCATCATACATCGCACACAAGTGGATTTCAAAGTCCTGACATTGGTTCAGGCGGTTACCCATATTTTTCAGCTGGAGCTCATCACCACCATCATCCTCATATTCAGTCTCATCAAATGCATACACAAAACGCAGTTTCAGCTTACGCTGCTCCAGTAATTCCAAACAATTCTCCTGTTAATGCCACGAACGTCATTCAATCGGCGTCAAATAATTCAAATCATTTATATTCGGCTGCTGCCAATCATCCACACCTTTATAGTCCAACAGCCATTGAATATGGGATTCATACGTCAACCAACAATTCTCCTTCAGAACAATATTATGAACATGGAGAGACTGGATACTATGCGACAGGTAATGGCAGTAACAATAATGGAAGTAACAATAATAATGGATCACCAATGCCAGAGAACCACATCATTAGTTCAGATAATGGATTGAGTTACACGAATTTAGATTACATCGCTTATCAACAAGCTCATGGTAATCAAGCTTATCTACATGGAACCGATGAAAAAATTCACATTGCGCATCATTACAACGAAGAAATGTTAATGGCGAATGGCCAAACAACTTTACATCATCACAGTGCTGGTAATAATCATTGGCATCATACGCACGGTCATGGATATGGTGTTGAAGGCACGGGTATCTTGCCAAACCAGTTGAATATTGCAACAATGTCTACAAATGGATTAGCGTCCCAACAACAAATCAGTCATTCAATGCATTCGCCAAGCGGAATTCAACCATCACAATCAACATCACCAACTTTACAAAATCAGCAGCAACAACAGCAACAGCAGCAGCAATCACAGCAGCAACAAAACGTACCGCAATATAAATGGATGCAAGTCAAACGTAATGTGCCAAAACCTCAAAGTGAGTTGTCGTTTCAATCAAAAAGGAAAACGGAAAAATTTAAATGAAAAAAATTCAATTAAATTTTTTGAAAATGTTCGATGAACTCAATTAATTGATTGAAATTTGAAATCAAAAGTTAAATATCAAATTAGAGGAATGATTGATGAATCAATTTCTATCTAGTCGCGGTTATCATAAAGTCAATGTACATCTCGTAAAAATTTCCCTAAATTAAAGCTTAAAAGTTCAAAGCGAACTCTCGCAGGTGTCACAACGATTTCCATTCAAAACGATCATAAATTAATTTTATTTACTTATTTAAGCATTCGTCTAGTCTCATAAATAAATTATTTTTCTCCTTTAAATAATAATTTTTCCGTAAAAGAAAATTCTCATCGTTAAAATTAATCCCCGAGTAAAAAAATGTCATAAAGCTTTTTCGTGGCATTAAGCAAGTTACGAACACGGAACATGAAGAAATCGAATGAGCAAAAAGGAAAATGTAAATACATAGTCGCGTCTAGGGGAAGTTTTCCTTTAGTTGAGTAAGAAAAACTTATGAAAATTCAGTGCTAGTTTCTCAGTTGGAGGATATTTGTTATTGTAGAACAAAATTTTTTACACGCAACTGGGCCTTTTAAAGTCGTTAAATTTCTTCTTTTTTTGGGCAGTTTACTGCGGAACTGAAATAGGAGAAAACAGTTTTCTGAACATATTTTCACGTTTATTAGTTTAATTGGAAAGCTAATGAAAACTTCTTCTCCACATGAATGAATATTAAGAGGCAATTAAAGTTTAAGTGTTGCAAGAATCGCAGAAGGGTCGCAAGTTCCGTTTGCTTTATGACTAATTTTATTTCGTGTTTTAACAACATTTTGATAATTTTATTGCTGAACATTATGAATCTATTTTGACAGTGGAGAATGAATGGAAGAACGTCGGGAAAAATGTCATAAAATATTTGTCCAAATATTTTCTTCCTGTTCATTTTGAATGCTAAGATCATAAATTTCATTGGAAAAGAATTTCCATTTAGCAGCATTTACAAAGAATGCGTGTTTGTCGTCATTGGCAATCACAACAAATTCGTTAACATTTCCATCAGCTTTTAAAGAATCAAATGAAAGCCAAAGTATCAAATTAAATTTATTTACATTTTATAACCAGAATTAAGTTACATGATGCGGAAATTCATTGAGAAAAATGACCACAAAAATTTTTAAATTGTTTATTTTATCATTGAACTCGAAAGTATTTGATATTGACTGTCGTTTGAGTCAATTGGCGACATTTAGACCGCGTGCCACAACAAAACGAGTCTCGGAGATTCTTAAAGCGAATTTTGTGGGTAACTTAAGATGAAAAAATTTTCTATTCTAGTGCGCATTATGATATCGATATCTAAGTTTCAATGTTTTTGCTTCTTTTGTGTTTGATTTCCTAACGCCAAGTTCTGTTTATTCAATCCCTCGAGTGACTCAACTCAACTTTCGATGACTTATTTTTTGTTTGACCAGCATCGAAAGAGTCGAGCCGAGAAAGAATCGATACGATTGCCTAGGATCATGTTCTGATAATATCATGTTTTCTTACGGTAAATATTGCATAATCTTCCACGAATCTGATAAAACTTCTCTTCTTTTCCCTTCTTCAATCAATGTTTCCCTTCAAAACTTTCCTCGGTTATTTGAGGTTTATTTAACATAAATATTTACCGATTCAAACACAACATTATGCAACCGTTTTTTGAAATGATTTTCTAACAAACATTTGATCTGTTGACAGTTTGAGTTTGACTTTACAACAAACATCGACAACTCAAGATAGAAATGTTCTTTGGATTAAAAACCTGAAAGTCAATTAAGTCATCGTCTCGAGAGTGAGACACTCTTCTCTTTCTTTGCCCATAATTTCTTTGTCATGTACAATTAATCATGTGGAAGAAGATTGGGCGACAAGAAATTAAATAATAGTCGCGCGGCTCCTTCTTCAATTCAACCTACATTCGATTTCGGGAATTCTTGAAGAAAAACCGAAATGAAATAATGAAGAGCAAGATATAGAAACAAAGAAATTGATTAATTGAATAAACAACAAATAAAAACTAGCGCCTTGAACATGCTAAGTCGTCGGACATGAAACAAGAAGGGATTCTGAACTCGATAACTTAATTTAACTGAAATTTTATTCATGGTCAACCCGCAACACCTATGAAGTGCTTAGTTATTGATTTTGTTTTAATTAAATCTAAACTCCAACACATTAATTTTCATTTCCATAGTCAAGCATGTAGTTTTCACTAATTATTTAATGCCGTCCGTTTCTCATTCTTTATTCATCAAAAAAGGGTGCAAGAAGCTTCTTGTTAGTTACTTTTCAACGATTTTAAGTGTAAATATTCTCGGCCAGTATTGCAACCACACTGTCAACCTTTCTTATTGTGATGTATATTTTGAAAAATTGTGACTAATGTAATTTTATGTAAATCGTTGCGTGCTAAGTGATGTGAAAGACGAAAAAAATTATAATGCCATAGAAGTTGGCAGCGATAAGAATCTTTAACTTACATATAGTGCCATAGTTGAGCTTCGATTGTATATTTTATGACATTTCAGCCGTCTTGAGTTGGAGCGTAGGTCAGTGGATGGAGTCGAAATGTTCTGCTTGACTTTACAGTTTACGGTTGAATGTTGAACGTTTCTTAGCTGGTTAGAGTGAAAACGTAAAAAAAGCAAATTGTTAACAGAAGGAAAGTGAGTTTCCTTCGTCTTCTAAGGGGTTGGAGTGAGGTGAAGGAATGAAAAGTCATAAGCAAACTATGAAACTTATCCTAATTAGGTAGCTGTCGTTATGAAACAATAACCATTAATTCAAGTCTGATTTTTCCTGTGTACTTGCGCTCCTTATTAACAGGTGATTAATGTTAGTCTATTGTGACTAAGCGTCTTGTTATGCTTGCGCTCTTATAGATTTCATTTAAATGTTTGTTAATTGATTTATTATTATTAGCTTGAAATCGCGAAAGAAACATTTCTTCTTCGCTACAATTTGTAATGGCGGATGATTTGCAAGAATTCCTAACAAAAAAAATGGAATCAACAACATTCGCAATGAATGTCAAGTAAAAACACGATTTACAATTTCATGCGATTGTTTAGCCCGGATTTTGATGTTCAAATAAATTCAATTATACTCGAAGGGTCGTTCTGACTAGTTTGGGTTTCATTCTACAACAACCCTCAACTTGTTTCATAAAAATTTCACGCTGCTGACGTCTCGATGAACAAAGAAAAGTTCGAGAGAAGGGAGACGAGCTTGACAAAGATAGGACGAGAAAGGAAACAACATTTTCTCTACTCTCACCAACATGCAGCCGCTTTCTATCGTTCTAATATGTTACGGATTAAATTCAAGTAGTTTTTTTTGTTGTTCCATCTCTATGCCCATATAAAGTTCGACAGAGAGAAAGAAGAAGAAAAATAAAATTTATCACAAACAATCGTAGATGGATAAAAACGAAAATGGCTTCCATGATGTTTCTATTAAATTTATTGAGATGTGGCTTTGATGGTTTCATACTGTTTCGCTTCATAGATTTGTAATTTTGATCGACAGTTCGATGGAAAATATTTTAGTGGCAAGCTTAATACAAAGAATTATACAAAATGGAAACGACTTAAAGAAAGAAACATAAATTGAAGTTGTGACTTAATTTGAAGAGAAAGGAAAAATTATTTCAATTAATAACAAAAGTTTTGTGGGTTTTAATAAAGCAATTTCATCCCTCTGATCATCGAACTGCTGATTAATACCTGACCATGAAATTTAATAAATATCATTCTCGAAACACTTTTTAATGTCAGGAGAAGCATTTTGACTCACTGTGAAACATAAAAAAGCCTCAAGCATTGTGTTATTGAATTAAATGAAACCTCTTTTCTCATTGAGATGAGATCATGTCGCGAGATAAACTTCTGAAGTTAAGATAGAAAGAGAAACAGTATGCGGAATGAGTGTCAAAAATGAATAAATTTTTATTATTATTATTAAGATATTTCAGTGACTTCGATTTATTGATTTTCAAGAATTGATAAATGACTTTTAATCGGAAAATAAAGAGGAAAAAAAATAATTACACGTGAACGGAGGCGCATAATCTTCCCAGAAATTCTTTATGTCTTTCCACGAGTGAATGTTAATATATTAACGATAATCAATCGCGTACCGAAGCTTATTGAAAAAGCGTGTAATAAGGGAACGTTCTTATCAAAATTGATTTTTTTGTCTTCTCTTCCCCGCTTTTCGCTATGTGATTAAAGAATAAACTAAACCGCGAAAAATAATTTATGATGTTTATTCAATGAAAGATGTTTAAAGCTGTCAGATAAGAATTCAATTGAGACATCATGTCTAAGCGTATTAATACGTTCAAAGTCCATAACAAATCTAATATTTTTTACTAGATTAACTGTCGCTTATATTAAAGTTGCGATTTAACTATCATAAACAAAAATTCACTTCAACTTGTATCGATGACTTTATCCACCGAAAAATGTTTTCAGTTTTTGTGTACAAGATGTCATTATATTTAAGTACTTTCGTATAATAAGAAAGAAATAACATTTTTATCGCTATAGCGTGATTCGATAAGACGATAACAAACGACAATAGTTTCAAAGTCCAATTTCTATTTGGCAATTTTTAAGTCTTGTTTCATTTATATTTAACATGAATGACTGGTTATTTTTTGCACAACACTTTTCATGCTAACAGGCGTGGTACAATTTCTCGTTGTTTGTACTTAAAACAAGCGAAACTTATTTCTGGAAAAGGAAAATCATATCTAAGCCTTGAGTTTCTATTATCACAAAACGGTGATTTTTCAGTAGAAAACAATTGAATAACAAGTCACGTGCCTGATTAAGAGTCAGAATTTATCGCAATCACATCCACATTGGCAATTACACAAAACTGAATTTTTTTATTAATTTTTCACATGAGTTTTTGGTTGTTTAACAGATTTTATCGCAAATACCGAACGCGTAATGTTACAAACTCCTTTGATAATTTTATTTTTGTCACAATCATAAAAACATTTCAAGTTATTAAAAATGCGATTGATCTATTTTATCGCGGAAATTTAGGGCTTCAGTAGTTCAATAATAAATTTACCCAACTGAACTTGATAAGTTCAACTATTCGATGAACTTTTATCTTAATCAATGTTTGATCGAGTTGAAATGTTTCCCAGTAAAAACGTGACATCAGTAACTCCTTTCAATGCTAAATTTGCATCTGAAGTTGCTTGAAAACTGAACGATATTATGATCAGATATGTTTGTCTCGAACTATTAATTTGTCCCAATAAGCTTATTCATCATCGATCTGAAGGGCTGCAGTAATAGTAAACGATAGTGTCTTGCTGTTTTCAAACGTCATCTTTACTCTTTATTAAAAAAAAATAAAAAACGAAACAAGCGAGTCATGAACGCGATAGGCAGTCAGAATGTCTAAAAATCATAATTCCCGTCAATTTTAATATTGAAAGACACTTTACAGCGTTCATTTTTTTTCTTTCGCCTCTCAGTTGTCTTTTCGTCGGAATCAATGTAAAATCCCAAACCAAATATTTGTTTGAATACTTTTTGAATTGAACTTCTTTATTCCTTATTTACTTGCGGCAGCTTCAACTCTACATCGTGACATTCCGAATTGATTAATTAATTTCTAAATGGTGATACACTCACTGCGGGTTGCCTTTATTACTTATTGAAGAGAAACATTTTGATGTGGCTTTAGAGATGACTTTGTAAAATTGATTTTCATTTTATGTCTCAAATTAATCTCTGGAGAAATTCTTGAATAATTTTAAGAGAAATTTTTTTTCTTTCCTCACTTTTAATTATCAATCCGTGAACTGCAAGATATTTGCAGCTTGAATCGTGATTAAGTTAAAAATTTCTTTCATTTTTATTTTATAAGATAAAAGGAAGTGAGACGTGATTTAATTATTCGTGATCGGATATCTATCAACTGGTTTTCGACAATCATACATGAAAATATTTGCCAAATGTGTAACTTTAGACTTTCTCAAGAAATATTTTATTATTGAAGCAAATTCCATGTAACTATTTGCTGAATAAGAAACAACACAACTCAAATGCCACTGTTCTATCTAATCTATTGAATACTTATGTAGATATTTCTCACGGTAAAACACACACGCGATTCATTAGAAACTTCGAGTTTAAAGAATTCTAACAAATTCCACACACTTCGTGGTGAGTTGAAAAGTGACTGAAATGATTTCAATTTATACAAGAAAATTTATTAAAGGCAAATAAGAAGTCGAGAATCTGTATTTGTATGATATGATCAAATAATCATTTAAAAATGTGAATTAGCTGAGCTGCAAAAAAATTATTGCATAAATTGAATTTGTAAAAAGTCACGCAACATGATAAGACGCATTGATAATTTATAAGGAAATGTTGAGCTACCTAAAATGTTGATAACGACGTGTCTTCCCTCACACATAAACTTTTTCTTTATCAAAATATGTCGAAGTTATCATAAGTTTTTTTTTCGCTGGTACAAGATTGAACGACAACTAAAAACCTTTGCTCTTTAAAGCAATCAGAACACTTTTCCCTTGTACTAAAAAAAGAAAAATGAAATTGTGAGATCATCGTTGATGTTGTGGAAGGAAAGAGAGAAAGAGAATTTGGAAACTTGTCACTTTATCTATTTGCCTAGAGCTGATTACAAACGAAGACTCGAAAAAAGAAAATATGATTGACAGTTTACAGTAGTACGGTAGTCATGTCATTGCGTGAGTTTGATGAGGCAAATAATCAAATATTTTTTTAAGACCTGGAATAATATTGATTACATTTTGATAACAGAATCCACCAGAACTCAAAAAAGAGACAGTCACGAAAGCTTCATTGGCGCCCAATCGATTTTCATTTCTTTATTAAAAAAATGTAATCAGTCGACAGTGAAATGCGATAGAAGAAAAAAAATTCACTATCAATGCAGATAAAATTTAAGCTTGAGATTTCAGGATTTGCTGATTTGTTAATTTGTTTAGTTTCATTGCTTATAAAACTGTCAAAAAAACATTGTTAATACTTGGAACGGTCAGCAGCAGTTGAGATGGATAGTGTTAATCTATTTAATCCCTCATACGGTTATTTGCTTCCTTATATTGGAAGAAAAGGGTTGTTGAAGATAATGAAAAGGGAGAAAATTGATAAGTCATTGACAATAACGTCAACAACCTGAGGAAATATTTGATTGCTGCATAAAATGCAACGAAGTCGCTTATTAAACATTGATAAGAGAAATTCTATTGACATTTCTTTAGTGTCAAAAAAAGCAGGAACTTCTGTATTTATGTTTACATTTCTCATTAAACCCGGCGCCAAGACATAAAATTGATTAGGTAATTTCATTCACTGAAGAATTAAAAAAACCTGTTGAAATGATTTCTCTATTAACTTTTTAATTTAGATTAATTTTCAACAAATTGAAATCGCATAGAAGAGTGTCATGAAGATAAGAGAATTCTTTTTATTTCTTCACTCCAAAAAAAACAAAAGCAATGTAAATGAACAAAAAAAGAAGTAAATTTTGATTGATTAGCAACTCAGCAAAAAAAGCATTAATCCATAACACGAGAGAACGAAGAAAAATTACAAATTAACAACAATTACCCATCAACGTACACACTCCGTTAAAAAAGGCGATAAATGTTTCGACAAATTGATTAATTGAATTTGTGCTACTAGCAGTAGCTGAAAAATGTTTACACAAATGTGCTTAGTTGACTCGACTGTCTAATTTATCAGAGATTTTGAAGACTTTATCAGTTGAACATGATTTTTAAGGTAAATATTTAAGTTGGAGTGACAAGATAGCGAAGCCTCTTCTAAAAAAAATAAATGAACGTAATATTTATTTCAATCTAATTCTAAATCGTGAATAATGCTTATTACGAAACATGCCAATCAATGCATGACTTAATTAATTGAAACTGAAACAGATAATAACTTAATTTATGTTATGTTGACGTCTTACACAGACTCATTCATTAATTAGTTAGAAATCTCGATGTAATCTATTAGTTTTGTTGAAAATTTAACGCAAACACGACCTTTCCGGGTTTATTATTAATATTAAAATGCGAAGTCAAAAAATGATTTATTAGCATGGAGTTAACTTAAGGACGTTCTCAACAGAACTCAAGTGAATGTTTTAAGATATTTTCAAAAGCCAAGGAAAGCGAAAGCAATTCGAAGATCATCGAAGTGATTCAGAAGTTCAACATTGTTTAATTTATTAAATTTCAACTATAGTCAAACCATGAATTTATTCACTAAAATCCTTTTTCACACATGCAATAATCACAAAATGAAATTCATCAGATTAACAGAAAAAAATTGTTTACTTTCCTTTGATCCTATTCCATCTGCGTTACGCTGTTAATTTATTTCAATATATTTTTTCCTATTCTTTGCCATCTAATACATAAATGTAATAATAAAAATAATATTTTTTTTCGGAGCAATATGTACGCTCTTTCCATAGCTGACAACATGACGGATCACTTTCGGGGATAAAAAGGGAAATGAAGAAGAATAAAATTACATGAGAAGGACGAGATGAATTGAATTCACATTCGCTTATGCTAAGAATTTTAGTATTAAAAAAAGGAAATATAAAATTTATTAATAGTTCTCGTTACAAATTGTACTATTTCAATGTTTTCTTTTCTTTTTATCATAAAGTCATTATAAGAAGTAATAATGTACAGGATAAATAAAAAGTGATAAACGTTTGAGTCACGAAAAGTTTGCGTTGTGTAAGAAAAATGAATTCGTGTTCCGACGGGGAAATTTCTTTCATGATTAAATTGATTTTCATAGCAATTAAAAACGAGTAATTATCAATTAAAAGAAAGGCGATAATAAAAGCAATAACAACAAATTTATTTCTGATCTAATTTCAGCGACAAAAATTTCACCGCCAATGCAGGAATATTCGATACCATCGTCAATTGATCCATGTCGTGGATTAACCAACAGTTTAATGGGTAAATAAAAGAAATTTATTGAAGCTTCTTTCAACTAACACAACATTCAAAGATTTCAATTACAACACAGGCTCGGCAGCCGCTGCAAACACGCTTTTGTTGAACGGTAACAACACGGGCAGAACAAACTTTACCAACAAACAACTAACAGAGTTAGAGAAAGAGTTTCACTTCAATAAATACCTCACGAGAGCAAGACGAATTGAGATTGCAAATGCGTTGCAATTAAATGAAACACAAGTGAGAAGCGATGCTCCTTTTTTGAAAGATTTATTAAATTAAATTTCGATGTTCACAGGTTAAAATTTGGTTTCAAAATCGACGGATGAAGCAGAAAAAGCGAATAAAAGAAGGACTGGTTCCGGCAGAACCTCTTAGTCAATCGCCCAACAGCAACCTTAATAATAGCAATAATTCCAATGAGCAAACAAATCTACCTGGCAGTAGCGAAAATAGTCGAGAATCCAACTAAACATATTCGATTTTATTTTCTAATTAAAAGTTTTCTTCCTCAACACTCTCCTTTTAACATTGACAAAAGAAAAAACATAAATTAAATGTCATCAGATTATCGTAAAGTGAAAATAGCCTTAAACATTTTCCTGAAGAGAAGTCATACAAAAGCTAGTCTCTTAGACTTTAGTTCAAATAAATTATTATTATCATTATAAATATTTTCTTAGACAGAGTCATGTATATGTAAATAGCTTGTCTCATATCTAAATGAGAAGCATAAAATGACACAATTCATAAGTATTTAGTTAATTAAACTGTACATTAAAGGACATTCGTGAATTGTTTTGTTTATTTGCTCCAAGAAAGTAGAAGAAAGTTGTTGACCTATTTTTAGGTAAATTAATTAATGCTGTATCTAGTTCCTCACATCGAATTTAAAATTTATTTTGTAAATTTTTCCTCCCTTAATCAAATGAATGAGAAAAATAAAAAGTTCAAAAGCCAAAACTAATTAATTAAATAAAAAAATCTATTATGGAATTTTGAAAACTTTTTCGATGATTTCGTTTGTGCACAAATTTGTTCCTCAGGGATATTGTAATATTTTGAAACTCACTGGTGAAAAATAAATAGAAGTTTCAAATTTTATAGATGAAATGATTGAATTTTCATTTGCTTTAGCTTTTAATGTTGAAAGTTTAAGTTTGTGAAAACAAATTTATATTCTTGATTTTAACGGTTTTTTAAATTTTAAATCAAGCTTTTCAAAAGCTCAGAAAAAAGCTTTCCAACTGTGGCATTGAAATGATTGCTTATTAATTGCAGTGTCACATTCTTACGATTTATAATGTTAAACTCGGCCTGTCAAGGAAAGTCAATGGTATTCGCTCTGTTCTTTTACTTATAATTCTTTTACATGCATGATGAGCTGATTGACCAAGTGTGTAACAAAACCGAAGGTTTCAAAACTCCCACACTTGAAACGTTTTAAATTAGTTAATACTTGAAATAAAAAAGATGAGCCAAGAATACATTCATAACGAAAAAATAAGTTAGCTACAAATTTTAGTAATCTAAGCTTATTGCAGAAGCTTTTGATCATGTGTTGTTGACTTTCTTCCAAAGTTTTTAATGAGAAGAAATGCACTAACACATTTGATCAACATAACCAACTTTATTCAACTCTCCACTCTCATTAAAGCTCAACTGATGATGTTTAAATAATATATTACGGGATAGGAGAAATTCATAAGAAATATTTTCTTTTGTTAACCATTGATTTGCAATGTAACAATAGTAAAAAATTCAAACAAACATCATCGGCGCAGCGATCGCGAAGAGCGCATTTATGAGTCTACCACTCTCAAATACAACAACAAAATGCCACTCAACTCTTATTTTTCTTTTATTTCAACATTTCTTTTATGAATCGACTTCAGTTTACGAGAGACTTCAAAACGGTACGGTTGGTAAATTGTTGTGGTAAGCAAAGAAGTAAGTGGCAGTGAAAAAAAATTTCTTTCTGTCATTACATCTCAAGTAACAATTTCTCTTTTAATAATTCATTAATTGCCTTCTTTTTTCACTTGTAATTTGACCGTGGACAACTTTAATGCTGTGAATTAATTAATGATTGTTTTTTGAGGAACTTTAAATGGATTTGGTTTAATGAAAAGAAAAATCTGATGAAGTAGTGACGTAGAACAAATGTTGAAATATGAAAATAAAATGAACAAGAAAGAAACTGTGTTGTGATAATCATTTTTTCGGTTAGATCTTTCAACCAACAAACGGAGAAAAGTGTAACACATGAATCTGTTGATTTAAAGTGATTTTTTTTTTGTATTCCTGTTTCTTATTTCATTCTTTTTTCTATCGAGTGGACCAGAGATATATTAAGAAAACATAAGAATAAGAAGGAAGAATTTGGAATATACATCTACTCTGTGTGTAAAGAAAACTTGATTCTTTCATTTAAACACCCAAAAAGAGAATACCAAAATTAAAAACAAGAAAAAAAAACGATTGGAAAAGAGAAGAAAAAACGAGTTATGGATTTATTTAATTTATTGACTGCTTTTGAATGTATCGCCGGAGTATTTTTCTTTGGGCTTTAAAGAGGGCCATGAAGAAGTTTTAATGTCAAAAATTGGATAATTGTGTCAAACTTGTTCCGTCATTTTAACTTGCTCTTACTTACCTTGACAAATTATTACTTTGACTTACATTTTGGGGATACTTTTTCTTGTTATATCAGGTTATCGTTTAGTTGTTGTCCCATTATTCAACGTGTTACTCATTCTACGACAAATGGATGCATTGAATAATAGCTTGAAGGCATTTTTCCATAAATTAACATTTCATTATTATCAAGCTGCATCAAAATGCGCATTCTTGTGTGTAAGATGAACGAATATCTAATTTTATCACTCTTACAGCCATATAAGAAATGGTACGAGAAAAGCTTTGAAAATTAAAATTAAACTGTGAATGATATTAAAATATATCTTTTAAGTTAGTTTGATGCGTTTGAGTTAATGCGGTCGCTTCAGTTTACAACAAAGATTCATGTTCAATAATACCTTTTAAAAAACTTTTATGTTACGGATTAGTAGATGAATGAAGTTATTAAGTTGTAGTGAAATTTTAAAAGCATAAAAAAATATTTTCCAGAACTTAACGCATAATAAACGCACCGAAGAGCTTCTTGGAATAAATTAATATTCATTAATTACATTCAAATCAGGTAAGAAATCTTAACACATATAAATATATAACTTTTGATGAATATTTGCTTGAAATATGATCTCGTTATGGTTTCGTTTTATTAACTGAAACATTGTAAATCTGTTCATATGTAATATGCATAATCTAAACTTCAACTCTGTCATTTAGAAAACTATATCTATATGTTTAATGTAAACATGTAATAAATCTGTCTGTAAAGTTCATTATAATTTATGCTATTTAAAATAAAAATGTAAAGTTGATATATATTAACAGAGAACGGTTTCCAACAATTTCTTGCACGACTTTCAATGTTTGTGCGTAGATTTTATGCAATATCGCCTTGCTTCCAAACGACATGCAACTCAAAAATGAAAGAAGTATGTGCGAAGCATGCATGAATAGAAGGCAATATGTAGATCAAATTATTCTTTTGATAAAAAAATATTCTTCCGTTTCACACGATACCATTTCGAATGAAAAAAGAGTTAAAGAAGAAATGCAATTGAAATTGCTCTGCTCAACTTATACAGCAAATAAACGTCAATGTAGGATTTATTGCTCATTATACTTAGTAAATGGCAAAATTTATTCGTCTCACGCTGAAATGTTCGAACGGAATGTCGCTAGACTTAAACGCCCGATCAAGAAGTTTTCATCTGTCAATGATAAAATATATTTTTGTACTTAAAAGACTTTCAGAAAATTTATGGCTCCAGTCATAACTTTAAAGAAAATCTAATGTTTGATGAATATGTATGATGATTAGATTCAAATCATGGTAGGAAAGAATTCACCTGAAGGATGTTATTTCTTTTCAGCTATAAATACCTAAAAATAATTACATTGTATTATTTAAATAACTTCATTGGCTATAACTGTTAAAGCAGAATTTGTAATAATATATGCATTCTTAAATAATCACAAAGTTGTAGCTATTAATTATATGAAAAAAAATGGGTAGGATTAATGAAACAGTTGAATAAACAACTCACGTTTCTCAATTAATTTCATATTTTTTATTACAGTCAACTTTCAATGAAGGAAAACTCTCACTAAATCCAAAGGTTTTTAAGTAGTTAAACGATTTTCTTTCGATAAAATGAAAGTTTATTTAAAGATTTTTTTCTATCTATTCAAATTATGTTTTTATGAAGAGTTCACTGTAAAAGTGTTCAAGTCGTTTTCAAATAAAAATCATTTTTATGTGATGACGGAGCTTTCAGTTAATAATACTCTCAATCATCATCAATACATATCACCTCTGGTGAATAAAAATTATATCCATTCATGCATACACAAATATTCTTTTCGTCATCGACTTCTGATGCCAAGATAATTCTCTTAAGTTTGCCTTCATCGCACCAGCCGTCTTCTGGTGCAGTATCGCCTAGAAGCTTATAATTCCTTATTAAGTTTTCTTCAATTGTTTCTTCGACAGCTGCTGCCAAGTGATCAGGGCATTTTGGACCTTCTCCACGCTTTATATCTGACAATTAAAATAAAGACTCATTAAAACAATTATTAAGAGAACAAAATAAATTAATGAAAAACCTTCTCCCATTGGATAAGTTAAGCAAATACACTTTGGAGGCAAATTCAATTGAGTTCCATTAACTATCCATCTCTCTTTTCCATCTAAACAAACACCATCTGAAGGTCCAGCCCTGTACAGATTTTCTAAGATAACTTCAATGAGTGGTTTATGAAAATTCAAATCAACAATATCAGGACAAATGACAGAACATTTTTGATTTGTCGAAGAAGTTAAAATAAAAAGTGATAAAATGAAAGCGAATTTGAATAACCTTTTCATGACAATTTCAATTTGACGACTAACTGAATTGATATAAAAGAGTTCAATATGAGTCAATTTCTCGCAGAAGAGTAAAAATATATTTTTTGTAGAAACAGGTGTAAGTTATAGAAAAACAAGGTTAAATAGGAATGAGTTGCAAGAGTCGATGAAATAAATATAAACAACTGAATTGAACTCTCTTACAAGGTGATGGAAATAAATGACTTTACATTCCAAACTTCTTAACTGATCAAGTCATTAAAAGCGAATCATAAAATTTAAAATTCCTTAAAAATCTGAAATTTTACTTTGACAGAAACATGCCAAACTCGAATCAATATTTGCATTCCCAAGTCTTAAGTTTTTAATGAAATCAATTCACTTTTACACTTAGGTACATACATAGGCACGATTCGTGACAAAAACTTTTAAAATTCGTTAAGCGTCAAGCTTAAGCACCGCTACATGCAACTAAGTTAGAACCAAGAAAATAAATTTGCATAAACAAAGCGAATAATTAACCTACGTTTTAGATTTTACTGATTAGGAACATAGAAACAGTAGGCAAGATTTCACAGAGCTGTTTAAAATGGAAAACAGAATCAACTGTTAGCGTCATTGAAACAACTCCAACGCGTTGACTGAGTTCTTGCACACTTGAGTGATTTTTCTCGTATTCGAAATCAAAAACAAATGTGTAATAATCAGTTAGACGACCTTCACTTGATTTATTCTAAATTCGATCGAAAACCAATAGCTTTAAATGAAATCCAATTAAGACATTGACTTCAATGGCATTTAAAAACAGAACATAACAAGCTCACTGCTTACTTTGAAAATATAATCTCTCTACATTGATCGCCAGTTAAAATATTAACTTAAAATGCAATCAATTAATGTTTATTGATGTTTGAATATTTAAGAGTTGTCTTCATGTAGTTATTCAACTTTCTACAAAAACTATCTCTAACTTTAAAAATTATTACTACACACGTCGATTAAAGCTTTTTTTGTTTCTCGCTGTTCAAAAGAGACAAACAAGAAATGACATCGCATCGTGAAGATGTTCGTGGAGAGTTATGAAAATGATTACATGATATTCAAATCAACTAGCTTTCCTAATGGGAAACACGACTCAATAAGCAATTTCATGAGGCGTGAAGTCAATTCATATTCGTCTTTATGACAGCAAACCAAAGTCACACAAAAGTGTGAGACAGTAAATGAAAATATTCATTCCACAAAAATGCAACGATGAAAAGAAACCACCAAGAAATGTGTGTTAGTTGAAGAGTTAAGAACCTATTTTGATGTAAGTAAATAATCTGCAGAAAGAAACTGCTCAAATATTAAGAATGTTTGACCTACGCAACCCTCGACCAACTTCCAACCTTCCACTACAAACAAATCAATCCACGATGTTTGAAAATCATCTTCTGATTTAAATACTGCACAACAGAAACGTTTTTTATACTCTTCACTCGCACATCCATGCACAATGCAAGACTTTCAAACCAGAAAATGCTAATTTACGGTTAGATCTTGGATTGAAGGTTCAAATGGCAGCAAAAACAGAATGTAAACCAAAAGAGTCTCAGCTGCAATTGTTAAACTGCTGCTTTGGTCGATCTGCAGTTAAAGACGTGAAATGAGTCGCATTTAAAATTATCTTCGCAGATTGTTCCCGTCCGTTTCACATAATGTCGACAAATGGCTAATTAATTCATGGTCAACTCTTGTCTATTAAATAAACTACAAATTCAGACGCATTACAAAACACAGCAGACGGTCAGTTTTTGTTTTATTTAAATTTCTGCGACCGAATATTTGCTTTATTCTCACCTGCTGATGTTCAATTCAATTGAACGTGAAGCAATTAAAATGAAATAAAGAAAACTTGCTTTCAAATTTTCACAACATCACACAAAACATCTTCAAAAGTTTTCGTGATATAAATCGAGCTGAAATCTCATTTTCAAGATCATAAAATCTGCTTTCTGAGTCGATTTTAGGAGCGTGAGACAACGAATTCAATGAATGACGTCGTAGATCATAAAATAAAAGAATACAAAAGACAATTTTTTTGTGGAATTCCATAATTTAGTTGCAGTTCACACAGCTGCTAGATTTGTTAATGATTTCATTAAATATTTAAAGCTAACGAATTTGGAAGCAAAAGATTAAAAATTATCCAATTATTTTATGAACGGATCAATTTGCATTATTTTATCGTTTCTGACACTGATAAAATCGTGGATTTATCTTCTGATCTTTCTTAGCTTGATGCGACAAACAACAACCAAACCCATCTGTGAAGATTCTCGTTTCAAAATTTTATTCCGTTATTCTTCCCTCAGACGTAACTTTGCGAATATTTATTTGTGTTTGAATTTATATTTTCGGAAACTTGAAAATTTCATAACGGAGATGCGTTCATCGACACAATGATCTTGCTTTTGAAGGTCTGACTTAGCCAGTTGACGTCAAACGAAGCTTTGAGTTTACTTATAGATTGATGGCTTATTTTATATTGAGACAACATCGATCAATCTTTCCTAAAAGAAAGTTTTTATGATTATTTCTCATGCTACCGCATAGTGAACAAACCAATCATTAGTTAGCTAATGAAATATTGAATAAAAAATTCACAAATAAAGCTCGACAAAAGCAAGAATATTCTAAAAGTCAATAGTAGAATAGTAAAATGTTTTCCTGCGGTCTGCATAAATAAATATATAAAAAAATGTTTATAGAGTCAGAATCACCGCAAGTTGGATTAAAAGGCGACCACAGAGAACGTGATCACAAACAAAAACAAAAATATTAAAAAATTCTAAGAATGTTCTTAACCTTCTTTCGTTAAATTCCTTTTCCTTCTCTCTCCTTCTACACAACTCGGCAGAGTTTTCTTCTCTCTCACTCTTTATTTACAGTTATTTTTCTTCTTCTTTGAGAAGTCACAAAGCCAAAACAAGAATGAGAGATGGAAAAAAAATTGACGATTAAATATGTATGAAAAACGTGTCAATTAATCATAAGAGAAGAAGCTGCACACACATGAAGAACGAAACGCAAAAATGTGAATGGCAAACTTAATTTTCTACTGAAATATTCCATCAATGGTAATCACCATCAACTGTTGAGTGTCAATGAATACGGAGAGAAATCAATAGAATTGAAAGTTGTGAACTGATCTAGTTTAGTACAACAAGTGACAATGAATTGGGCTTTGAGATTTGTCGGTGATTGATTGAAATAGTTTCCAGATCATAACATGCCTTAAGGAAGCTCAAAGCTTCAATTCATGTCTAAAACTTCCAATAACTGAACTCACTTTTGATGATGTTTTTATTATTCGAAGAGTTCAACGTCGTGACACACGATGGCCATCGAATCAATTAGTAGCTTTTGATCATACATGATTATACATTATGTGACCATATTAGCATGAAAATATTTTCGCGTGTCTTATGCAATCAAGTTCCGCATTTACACATTAATTATTATTCCTTTTAACTCACGAGTGCGTACATATCACATAATATGTTTCTATTTAGACATTCATAATTTCGACAATAGTCAAATAAAATTGAAATTCATGATAAGTAGAAAAAGTTTTGTGTTGTGAAAGTTTTTGATATCGCGCATGGTATAAAGGAATGTAAGAAAAAAAAGGTTCTCTAAGCAATTTTCAAGTAATTTAGATTTTGTGGCTTTGTAAGTGGAATATCTGAAACAATAAGATTTGATAGCTCTCAGGCAATTACGACAATTAACCTGCATTAGTTACACTATAAACTCTCTTCTCAAAATTGTGAGCTGTTGCTACTTCTTTTGACAAAGACAAAGTTTATTAAAAAACACATTGTGTAAATTGAATAGCTTCAATTTCATATTTTCTAGGCAAGCAATAACCTCATGTGCTCGCACTTGCTAACTCCATTATAATATTAAACAATGACGCGAAATGAGATAGAAAACTTTCTAAATTTACGAACAACTGCACAGTCAAATTACTTATGACGGTGATCGTTACTTTGACTAATAGTTTATAACAATTATTAAGCAAAAAATAAAAACTACATCAACAGGTGTAAAGAATTGATCCGATTTATGTTACTTAGCTCAACCCATTTTACATTAAATATTTACAAGAATTAAATATGCATATTAAAAATTTTAATGAATAAAAAATTTCACTTCAACTCGCCGTGAAATTAAGTGACGAGCTCAGGAGAACTGGCATTTCAGGTTTCTTAATAGTCTGCGCGTTAAATATCCGAAAACGAGGAGACCTTAACATTTACTTGTTACTTTTCTTAATTATCACTAAAGACAGACGCCTTGCCTACATATTCTACAAAAAACTTATCTTACATTGTAAATATTGAACGAAATAAGTAGAAAAGTTCCTGTATCGGTTCATAAATGTTAACTTAAGACTAAAAAATTTAATTTACTTAAAGTCACAGTTTTGTTTCTTCCGTCCACTTTTTCTGTTTATCTTAAGTATCTCTGATCAGTTCAATTTATGAACGTTTCTTTGATGACTTTTGGCTGCTAACTCGTTGTCGCTTTACTTCTTGCTGTTTATACACAAAAAGAGGTCTGAACATAAATACAAACTACATTGTTAGACTTTTAACAGAATAGGGTTACAGCAATTTGCTAACTCACCTAAACACAATAACTCTTTTTCTTCTTATATGATCACCTAACGGACCTTCCGAAATAACTTCTCTTCTAACCCTTGACTTTGCATCATCAAGTCGATATAAATGACTTAGGAAGTCGTTATAATTTTTATCTCTATTGACCGGTTTCACAATCTTATACTCATCCGGAGTTTTTTCAAAGGAAACTTTCTGTGGAGCAAAGTTTTGGGTATGATAATAATTTACGGCTGTTTCATCTGAAAAGCTTCGTGGTGATTCACTAAAGTCACCATATCTGACATTTCCTTGGCCAAAAGTCCGATGAAGGCGAAGCAATGTCAAAACAGCAAACTGGAATGAAAATAAGGATGACATTAAAAGTTATTCTCAAAAACTAAAACTTGGCATTTCGAATAATAAAAAAAAACTCAAAATGAGTCAAAAAACCAAAAGCGCCAGCGACAGTTTCTACGTCACGTTACATAATGAAACTCTCTTCAATCAATTGTGAAAGTTGGCGATTAGTTTTCCTTTCTTCTTTCTGGTACTCACAAGTATGAAAGAATTTGTCTTCATCTGCAATTATTTGTTTTCTTTTTCTTTATTATTCGACCAAAAAAAAATGTTTTGATTTAATTTTTTATAACACAAATTTGAAAATCTCTTCACGACTGTCTTTAGTCAAAGATGCAAGCGATACTGTTGAAAAAAAATAGCTGAATTCAACTTCATATACGAACAAATACGAACAAGGTTCTCGGATATTTATAGAAGCCATTCAGATGAGTATATCCAGCTGATATCACGAATTGTTTGTTTGTGTATCAATTATCATATTGGTTCATTAGTTTTCGTTTTTTAACACTCGTTTTTAGCGGCGTATATCATTTTAAACAACATTTTTAGAATCTCAAAATATTTCTTTATTTATTCACACTGACTAATGTCAATTAATTTAAAGCTTGTGCCGTGAGATTTATCTGACAGCTCTCACAGATAACTCAAATATTCACACAGAAAATAAAATCTTGAACTTGAATTATTTGTTAATATTATTATGAGGTAAATTTGGTGGTTCGAAATATATGGAAAGAAAATTTTTTCTTGGAAAATATCAATCATGAACTTAACTGCAAACAAGTCATTGACACATTTCTCTTGGTAAAATTCAACAGCAAAGTCGCATGCTAATTGAAGCAAACATTTTAAAATGACAAATTCTCAAAAAGATTCGCCCATCAATTTCATGATTCATTTCATGAATGTTGTCAGAACTATTTTGCAAAATTTATTTGCAAATTTCTCGGTGTTTTTCCATCGCTGTGCTGCTCAGCATTCTCTTCCATTAATAATATCAAATGGAAGTCTTGCATTTGATCGATGAAAGAAAAGTTAAACAGTTTGAAGTTGATTTACTTACTGAATTTATGTTTACCATTTCTTTTCTTGAACTGTCTGCATTGAAGCATTTTGTTGCCATTATACAAACAAATGAATTTGTTGAATCATTAATTATGTATAGCAAATTCATTAACAGATGCTAAACCAAATGTAGATCTAAAAGAGACAGAAGAAAAGTAATGGCAGAAACATTCATTAAAACTGTACGCCCGATAAAATAAATTGAAGGAAAATAAAATATTTTCCACTTTGTGAACAAAATAAAACTTAAATTAGAATGGAATTGAACAAAATTTCTGAATGTAGTTAAATGTAAAAACAGAATTTTGTTACAAATCGTGATAAAGCGAAATTCAAACTTAATGCTAATTCTTTGTTGAGCTAGTAGAAATCTAGTTAAAGTTATGTGCAAACATAAATAATAGCAATTAGAATGTCTTATCTCATCACTTGGATATGTCGATGTTGTGTGAAGGAAAACCGTATTATATTGCGCAGTGTTCATGAGCACGATAAGTTATCAATTTCTAAGTTACTTTGCCTTCAAGCTTTTCTCACGACTTGAAATCTTGATGAATCATCCATCTGCTGAGAGTTTGAAATGGTAATGAGATTTCTTCCACTTGTCTTCCGATGATTACGTTGCAACTTTTTATCTGACATGAGTGTAAATTGAAGTTGAAGTAAGTTTTTATACTTATCTAAAGAACAGATAGATATTTATGAGTTTTATAATAATCTTTTCACAACAATCATCATTCGCCACCTGCAAAGTCTTTCAAAGTTATGGTAATAAGTAAAACATCTAAGAAGAAAGAAAAATTTGTAAACAGAAATTTATAGTTTGATAAGCAATGCAACCATGCAAAATCGAAAGTCGTTGGATAAATTGCAAAATATCCGTAGATTATAAAATGCTTTCAATGAAGCATTGAAAGCAAAAGGAAAATTATAAAATTCAAAGTCGTTAAACGCAGACCGAAAATGTCTTCAATATTACGTTAACCGAATTAATTCGATTATCAAAACGGTGCACCGCGGTGTTAAGTTTTCACTCTTCTTTCAAACAAGTTTCAAGTATTTTTTTGCCTTCTTTAAAGTTGTTTCTGTGTAGAAAACTTTTTAATTTTGATGGTCGAATTTTCTAAACCTGATTAAAACAAGTTCAAATAAATCATGAAGAAGAAATAAACGCCGGCTAACCGAAAAGAAGAAGCAACATCGTGGATTGACGAATTGATTCGTTGGTGTTTGAAATTTCATCAACGTGAACGAAACATAAAAATGAAATTGAAAACGTAATCAAACAAAGAAACATAATTAGTTGAACGAAAACAATACGAAAATTTTCTTTTCTCTTTAATGAATGAATGATGAGACTTCAAACGAAAAAAATTTATTTGAAAATTATCTTAGAAATTAAACTGCAGAGATACAGTAAACCATCCAACCTCATGAGTTTATAATGCCAGAAATTTAATCAATTATGAAATTAAACCACAAGGTTTCGGTATCTAAAGTCAATGTTTTGTCCATATGCGGGAAACAATTTATCAATAAAACAAAATTCAACCAAAAATCTGTTCATTTTACAAATAAAGACACAACACTCGATCCATCAACACGAAATGATTTTCTTTGAGGAATTAATCAAAGTTTCGCTATGTAAACTGACATTGTCGCATAGACTAGCGATAACTTATAGTTCATTGCGTTTTCTTCTTATTCTTGCATTCTCTACTGTTAGACACAAACCGTGGAATTTTTTTTTTTATTTTACGCAATTCATTAAGAAGCATCGTTGAAAATTTTCGACGCTTCATGCGCTTATAAACAAGTAGAACGTCAGCATCATGTAAAACTTTGTTTTTTTTTGCTATTTATTTATGAATGTTATTCTCACAATTTTCACTATCTAGGTATCTTAATTTTATTAAAAAGTTAGGTGTTCACATAACATTCTTCTATTTGTAACAGAAACTCTATCATTAATAAAAGAGAAAAGAATGAAATGATAATGAAGACTTCTTCATATGGCATCTGTGGGATCTACTGAAGAGTGTTTGCAGGAAGGGACTTTAGAGGGCGCTTGATTAGTTTTTCTCAGTTTAAGCAGACGACTTCCTAAATTCCATCTTAAATACATTTTTCTTGTATTTTCTTGTTCTAAAGACAACAAGAATGAAGTTAAGGTGTAAGCTAGCAACTAACTCTTTACTATTTCACCGAAACCTGCTACAGAAGGCAATAAATGGACGAAGAAAAGTTATAAAAAAGACGCGCCTTGGAAACAAAAAATGATTCATTGATGAAGCACATTAAATGTGAAAGAAATCAGAGCAGAGTGTAGGTCACCTAGCCATTACTTCTCGTTTTCTTTATTTTTTTTTTCGACAAGAACAGTTAGAGAGTTCGCGATGTGGTCTTGAGTGAAACTTAATGTGCCTTCAATATTTTACGTTTCGACAAGTGGAGATTAAAAGATTGCAGATAACGCTTTGAATGTTAAACGATGACACGGCCATAAAATATCGAAAGAGTTTCTTGATTTCGATTTATTCATTTACGATTTCAATCACTTAATTTTTGTTATTTCAACAATTTTATGACTAATTTAACTGCATTTGTATCGCCCCATTCGAATGAAACAAGCAAACGTTAAACATCGTGATTACATCCAAACGAGAATGTCCATAATCATTAAACGCCGATTAAATTGATGGCACGAGACATTTCATTCTATAAATCTAACTCAATAATTTTCATTTTTTATTTACAGAATGAACAAGCAGCAGCTTCAGCTTTCAGCGATGTTTTTCTACCTTATCGCGTTTGTTAATGCATCAGGATGGATGGCATGTCCCGAGTTAAGTCCAGCATTACGATTACCCTGTAAATGTCAAATCGAGCAAAATGGATTGGACGAGCAATTAAAAGCAGTTGGCATGAATTGCGATCATATCGTCTTTACGTCAGATACGCCGCAGATTCCTTTCGGTGCTCCAATCACGACTTTCTCGCAGCGATATTCTGGACAACAAACGCTGCCAACACAGGTAGATTGGAAATGTTTATGATGACTTAACGAGGAAATTGACTCTTGCTTTGAAATTTAAGACATTTCAATCTTTAATGCGTTTTACAATCTACATTCATTCAAATCTCATAAGCCTTTCTTTTCATAAAATATAATCAGAATTTTAATCGCCAGAGGAAGCCGTAAAATTTCTTTCAAACGATGATGATATCCATGTTATTGCTTTTGATATCAAATTTATTTGATATTCTATGAGAAAAAAATCGAACGTGCTTCACTTGTTCGAAGAACTTCGATAAAAGTGTGTCAGTCAGCATCATTTGATGATTGGTCAAGATACTTTTCATTGCTTCACTCTCCCAAAAATTCCTTCACGATTATGATGAGAAAGCGCAAAAAATATTTCTTTAATTCCCATTCGAATCTTCTCCAGACTCAAATGTAATAATAACGTTGGAAATATCTCATCGCTTAATACATTTCTCAACCTGGCGATGCTGTAATTTTGCTTTCAAACATTTGACACGTTCGTAGAATAAAGAAATCTGTTCTTTTGTCCAAATAGGAAACACTCTCAAAGACTTTATTCATTGATGCTCGAATACAATGTTTCATAACTCATTAGACGACCACAATGCTTTCTGTAATTATTTCTTTCCTTTCATCTTTCTTTTACTATGATCATTGTCTATGAACTTGACTTCAGTCAGTCAGTGCTCGCTTTACTCTTTATTCCTCTTCACCAGCTAACTTCTACAACATTTTTTTATTTGCAAAACAATTAACAGCAACTTATTATATGAGAAATGCCATTAATAGTTCTGACTAACCGTTTAACCCAGAGAATTATTTATTGTGTACTTTAAACGTCTGATCTTTCTTTAAAATGTGTGCTTTATGTGTTCAACTGACCCAGTTTAAATTTATTTCCTCTTCTACCGTTGTCGAGAGTTGTAATAAACCAAAGAAAAAATGCAAATTGAGTGTATACTAAATGTCATGCAGGCCTCTAAATAATAACATTTCAAAAGCGATGTTAATGTAAGAACCGCCATTTGATTTGATGAAATAATTTTATGAGATTTTTTGTTCTCTAATTGTTTTCGTGACTTTGAAGTTTGTCTGCTGAAGTTTATTTTAGATTGAAATTGTTTTTAACTGTAAACTTTTAGCAAAAAAAAAACTATTTTTGAATGCTTTAATAATGCTCAAGAAGCTATTGAAGATGATGGAAACTCATACGATGCAAAACACATTCGGGAAAAGTTTAAATAATTAAACTGAAAACAACTTCCCGTTCATCCAAATATTTATTATTAAAACATTTACTCACTGCCTAGAGTAGTTTAGCAAAGATAAAATTCATCTTTTACTTTCAACTTTCACAATTGCAAAAAAATTGAGTAAAATTGTAAAAGGTGAGAAAATGATGGAAGAAAAAATTCCGATCGAGAAAATTGTTTTTCATCTTGAGTGTAGGTTTTGTAACTTTTTTTTTAATTTAATTTATTCAACAACGGTTGATGACGACGATATGTATTAAGTAACGGTCGAATGGAAAATTCTTCCAACATATTCAATTTATGACATCATTTAAACTTCTTTGTTCAATCACTATCTTAATACCTTAATAGAATTTTCTTTTGATAAACTGGAAACATTCGCTTGAAGATCACCATTGAAAATAAATAAAAGTCAGAGAAACTTGTTACATGTTTTTAATGTAATTTTTTTATTCAATTTCTCTCTTTTCTTCTTTACTTTTTTCCCATATGATTCATCGACATCATCTGTAATGGACAATGAATGACCACAAAAAGACTTTTGCAACATCGAATCTACCGATAAAGAAACTTGATTTCTCGCACAATGCTATACGAAGATTGGCTGATAAAGCGTTCAATGGAATACAGGTAATGATGCATTCCAACATTCTCAATTCATTTCTTCATCATGAACCGATGATATGAACGGAAAATTAATAATTTATTACAAATTAAACCTATTTCCTTATTGTTTGTCACATTTATTTCATAGGATACGTTAATTGAGTTGAGATTAACTGATAATTTATTCGGCGACTCTTTGAATCCGATTTTCTCAACGATTGAGTTCCAGACACTGACCAACTTACTGATACTGGATTTGTCCGGAAATAAGATTAAAGCGATCGAAGAAGGAATCTTAAAAGGATGTGAGAAACTCGATGTAAGTCTTACAGAATTGAAATTAAAATGTTCGTTAATGGGAAAGTATTTAAAAACGATTTCATGAGACGATTTATCGGTATTTTACGTTCGCGATTTTACTTGTTTCACGCCTTTTTAATTTCAACAATCTGGCATACAAAAAAAGGCACTAATTAAAGAAGGAAAGGGTGGCAATCATCTTACGTTATGTTTTACAATAATCATGGCTCCAATTAAATTTTTGCCAAGCAACATTTAATTAAGTTGCAGTCAACGACCACTTTGGTTTACGCAAAGTGAATGTCGTTTATTTTAGTTGAAACTTACTCATAAGTAGTTTCCGCATGTTAAATTTATTATCTTTAACAACATATTACTCAAAGTATAACCGATTGAAGTTCTCAAGTAATTTTCTTGAGTCTCGACGCAACTTCCTAAGGAAAATGTTTAAAACTATTAAATGTCTTTAATAAGTAAGCATGCGAGGAAAGTAAAACTCATTTGTAGATTTTTACGATGCATTATCATGCAAGACGTAATGAAAGATCGTTTAGAAGTGTGTATTTAGATTTAAATACAATACTTACAGATGATTTCTTCAAAATGCCTTCTCAATCTTAACTAAACAACTCAAATGCACGAAAAGTAAGTGAAGCATGAGAATTTCAATTAAGAAATCAAATTGACGAGAATGTGATTAGAAGAAAGTGGAAATTTTAGGCATCTTTCAATCTGCAATGAAAGTTTTCTTCAACATTTGTTTGTTGGAAAACAACATCAAATAGATATCGGAGAGTTTGATTTAATTATGATTTTCGTGATGCTTGCAGCTAAATATTAAAATAAGAGAAAGAAAAAGAAATTTTCCTCTCAACATGAATTTGCAAATAATTAAACATTTCGTTTCTTATCTAAATATTTACTGAAAAAAAAAGTCAATCTCACTTACGACCATATCTTCGCTTTACTTGTTGTAATTTAACAACCAATTAAGAAATTGCATAAAAAGTTGCGAGAAACTTTCAACGACGTGTAAATATTTGCAGCGTAGTGTAAGTTCAGATGATGACGACCGGTTAAGCATTTCACTTTCATGAAATCTGCGAATGTTATTCAACTAATTAACAACATTTTCTTTCTTGTTAGGAATTTCAAATGAATCACAATAGTTTATCAGCTGTTCCAACAAACTCTTTGAATGGTCCATTATCGCTTCGGATTTTGTCTTTGCGTAATAATCACATTTCAGTTGTAAGATCAGAAGCTTTCGCCGCCCAACCAGGCCTTGAGAAGATTGATTTGCGTTACAACCGAATCAATCAATTAGAGAGCGACGCTTTCGGTCAACTAACGAAAGTGAAGGAAATTCTCTTAGCTGGCAATCGTCTTACTCGAATGAACAGCGACGTCTTCGAGGGCATTGATACTTTGCAAAAGCTCGATTTATCAGAAAATTTCATCACAAGTTTTCCTGTTGTGGCATTGAGGGAAATTGAAAATGTAAAAGTACTCAACCTGTCATCCAACATGATCAAAAAGATGGACGCAACTTATCTTCAATCACTGAAATCATTACAAATATTGGATTTGAGTAGAAATGGAATAACATCAATTCCACCGGGAACTTTTCGAGAGCAGAAGAATTTGAGATTCCTTGATTTAAGTTTGAATTCTCTGAGAACAGTGAGTAAACTTTTGATTTCTAATTCAATTTTTAATTACTTTCTGTCAACAGATTGAAGATGATGCCTTGGAAGGTCTCAATTCACTTCAAACTTTGATTATTCGTGACAACAACATTCTTCTAATTCCTGGCAGCGCTCTTGGTCGTTTACCAAAGCTTTCGAATCTTTATCTAGACTATAATCGTGTCGCTGCTTTATCATTTGAAATTCTTGGTTCAATTCAAGCTGAAGATATTCGCTACATGTCGCTTAGTCGCAATGTCATCAGAGAACTTCCTGGCGGAAGTTTTCAAATGTTCAAGAATCTTTTATTCTTGGACCTTTCTGGAAATTCTCTTGCAATTCTTAATTCTGAGATGTTTGTTGGTTTGGAAAATTCTTTAATGGAGTTGAAATTGGGACAAAACAAAATCACAAATATTGGAAATATTCCATTGAAGCTTTCACAGTTGAGACGATTGGATTTGAGTTATAATAACATCGTTGACATCCCGAAAAATGCTTTCGAAGGAATTGAGAATTTGATGTACTTAAATATGAGTAATAATCATCATTTAGCTCCAATGCCGATAAATCTTCTCAGTCCATTATCAAAACTTCAGACATTTGACATTTCCAACATTGGATTGAGAATGATTCAACCTGAACTCTTCGCAAAGTCACCAAATTTGAGAACAATTGTCATTAAAAGTAACAAAGTCAGTGAACTTTCTGAAGGAACTTTCAGCAATCTAAGAAACTTAACAACCGTTGATTTATCATTCAATAACATTGTAACAATAAAGCCAAGTGCTTTCATCAACGCCATGAACATTCGACAATTATCATTAAAAGGAAATCAATTGAGTGCTTTCAAAGGTGAAATATTCAACACTGGAACTGGTCTTGAAGAGCTCGACATCTCCGAAAATCAATTAAGTTATCTCTTTCCAACATCATTCAGAATTCATCCAAGATTGCGACGATTAGTTGCATCGAATAACAAATTCAATTTCTTCCCAGCTGCAATCATTGCTGGTCTTCAATTCTTGGAGCACATCGATTTATCTAACAATGAATTGAAAACTGTTGAAGAATTGGACTTCGCGAGACTCCCACGATTAAGACAATTAATCTTGTCACGAAATAATCTCGAATCAATCAGTGAAATGGCATTTCACAACTCATCCCAACTTCAATATCTCGATTTGAGCATGAATAAACTCGAGAGACTTGGTGAGAGAACTTTTGAAGGCTTAGCGAGAATTGAATTCATGAATTTGGATGGCAATCAATTATCAGAACTTCCTGAAACACTTTTCGAACGATCGCGATTACAAATGTTGGAGAATATCATTTTATCGAACAATAAATTTGAAACAGCGCCATTGAAGTCACTTCAGCGACAATATTACTTCGTGAGTTTTGTTGATTTGAGTAACAATAAAATCAGTGAAATTCCAGCTGATGACAGCATCATGGTTAACATCAAACGACTCGACTTATCCTACAACCCTCTCAATGAAGATTCCGTCAAAAACATTTTAAGTGAACCTAAAACAGTTCGTGAATTGAATTTAGCGGGAACGGGCATCAAACACATTACGTCGCTTGAAACTCCTTTCCTTCAGAACCTTAACTTATCGAACAACGATTTAAGAACATTGGATGACAAGATTTTCGAGCGAGCAACACTTCTCGAGAGTTTGGATCTGTCAAATAATCATTTGAAGAACTTAAAGCCACTTTCAATGATTTGGCCGAAACTTCCAAGCTTGCAAGTTCTTGATCTGTCAAATAACTCATTTGAAATTATTGCACAAGGTGATTTTGATAATCTTGAGATGCTTCGATTATTGTCGATTCATAGTTTGGAGAAATGTTCGAGAATTGAAAAAAATGCTTTCAAAAATCTTCCAAATCTTTCCGAATTGAAAGCTTATGACTATCCGATACTTGGTTACATGGATGTCCAAGGAATTCTCGCTGAACTTCCAGGTTTAGAGAAATTGGACATTGAATTGAAAGATGCAGCAGTTGGCAGTGATCAACTACAACCAGCTAACCATCCAAGATTGAAAGAATTGGGCATTAGAGGATACAGATTAAGATCGATCTCAAGTAGTTCGTTGGCGGGTTTGAAAAGCAAAGATTTATTCATAAAATTACGCAACACATCATTAAGCAACATTCAGCCAGCATTGTAAGTAGAAACAGCCGAAACTGTGTCGAAATAATATTTTCATATCATTTTCTTGTGTAGACTTTTCCCTGTTCCAAGATCGGCGAATTTGCATTTGGATATTTCCGGTTCAATGATTACAGTTCTCACGCCACAATTGTTGAATACATTAGAAGACAGAAGAAACAGTTTACAACTGAGTGGATTGGGTTCAAATCCCATTCATTGCGATTGTAATGCTCGAGCACTTCGTAGGTGGCTTCCAAGTTCACATATGACAGATTTGAAATGTGTTACACCGGATGGTGAGTGAATGTCGTCATTCAAAATATCATTTTAACAATTTTTTGTTTCTTTTATTTCACCCATTTTGAAGATTTGAACGGAAAACTTTTGATTGAAGTTGGTGATGATGAATTAACTTGTAATCCGAGAAAGTCAACAACATATTCCCAAGAAGAATCTTCAACATTTCCGTCGTTACCACCAAAACCATCATCAAGAATTCTCACGCGTCCAACAACACAAGAACCTGACATAATTTGGAGTGTTCCAATCACGCAATCAGCAAAGATCAAAACGAAATTACCTCAAATTAAGCAGCCAATGACTAATGACGATACTTTGATCATTGGAATTGTTGGAGGTGTTGTTGCATTCATTGCGATTCTCATTATTGTCATTTGTATTGTTCGGCTGAGAATGAGTGGGCCAAACTATCCCAGTACGCATTTGATGCCAATGCCAATGGGGCCTGGCAGTGTTCAACTGAGTTACAAAGCCGCTCCAACAATCTACGCAGTTCCCCCATACGCTACTCAAAGCTACGCAACGCTTCCTCATAAAATGTCTTCATCGTCTCAACCCTCGCTGAGACAAAACTTCTCAACCATGGGACGAATGCAAGCGAATGGTCAGCAACAACAGCCTTACTACATCTACCAAGATGACAAGGCTTATAGATAGTAAAATAAAAATTTAATTAATTTAATTGTGTAACATTTACACAGCAGAGATTTTGCGTGAATGATGATGAATGAATGCGAAAGATTTTTTAACTTTTTGTTTTTCTTTTAATCTTCTTCACACGCACGACTGAAGGTGATTAATATTGTTTATCGTTGTTTAAAAATAACATTTCATTAAAAGTATTTAACACCTTCCTGGCACGTGTGAGACTTGTGGATGATGATGATACGAATTTTTTCCTTTTTTAAATAAAAAAATCTGTAAATATTGTTTGAAAAGAAAGAAACAATGGACATGCAAGAAAAAAAAATTATGTTGTAGTTTAATTGACCTTCAGGTGTAACTTTGTATGTTGACAAAATGACGAAATAAATTTATTGAAATTCATAAATATTTTTGTTTCTTAACATTGAAATGTCGTGTTGTTATTCGTCTACTTTTTCCTCGTTTTCTTCATTCGATGCATGCTTTTTCTTAGCTTTCAGGAATTCGTCGAACGTCGAGTTTATTTCAGGACTGCTTTCGGCTTGCTTAGTAACATCCAAATTTTTGATTTTGATTTGGCGGCAAATATGCTTCTTAGCTTCTTCTATAGTTGGAGTTCCAACATGAACAGAAGCATTGGTCTCTGTTGAAGTTGTAATGACTTCAGTCTCATCTCTTTTTTCAACTTGCATTTGCTTTTTAATCTTTATCTCCTTTGATTTTTCTTGCAGAGTTTCTTTGAAAGATTCGCTCAAGAAATCGTCATCGCTACTGTAACTTTCAAAATATTCGTCGTCGCTTTTTGTACTCTCTGGTATTGAACGTTTTGATGATTTCTTCAAACTTTCATTTGTAATAATATCGCCTAAGAAATAATCCTTAATCTCTTGTTTGGTTGGTGGTGTAATTTTCACTAAATTTTCCATTTTTAGAAGCCTAAGAAAAGTTCTAAGCAGTTATTATTTTATTTGATAAAAGTGAATCTCAATTCGTTCTTAATCACTTCGAATATGAATGAAATTTTAATTAGGGGTAATTATAGAAAATTTCTATTTTTTTAAAATCTAAACAATTGTGCATCTATGTCTACTTTAATATCTACCTTAAAATATTGCAGTAGACCTAATTATTTATTATCACCCTTCCACAATCGTATTTATTTAATAGTCTCTAACGAATAGCTTTTGGTAGAATTAGAGACGTTAGCAAACATGGGAATTAGAATAAATATTAGAAAAAAAGATTTTAATTGAATAAAATATTGCGTAAATTAAAAAAGAATGTCTTTTTGCTGTAGCTTACACCCTGTGCATTTCCGTTATGTCACGTGATTTCCAAGAATTCAATTCCAACATTTTCAATTTGAAACTACATAGCAAATGAAAGATTGACGCATTTAATAAAAAATTGTAACGAAAGGAATAAATCAAAGCTGTTTTTCTTCAATCATTTTCAATTAAGTGTGGCCACAAAAGTAATAATGAAGAGGGCCACATAGCGTCAAAATAAACAAGAAAGACGCGCTAGTTGCATGAAAAATAGACCGACAATAAAAAAATCATCAAAATTATGTCTGTAACTTTGTTTCTATGCTGGCTTAATATCGTAACAATGCTGTCAACAGTTGTGCTTGTCACAGGTAAATTGACATAATGTAATAATTGTATTTGAAAAAAAAAGAAGAATTTAATTATTTCAGACTCTTGTTCAAGCACTTTTGGAAGTCGAAAAACAAAGCGAATTATTGAAGCTTCCTCTCCAGCATTGACGACTAAGACAGTAACCATTCCATCGACAACTTTATTAAGAGATACCACCAAATTGACAGAGCCAAAGGAGACGATTGTAGCACAAGAAACTGACAAAACGTTCAAATTCGAGGGATATAGACACGAGATCGCTTGTGGTGGTCAGTATCAAATGGACTTCTGTTTGAACGGCGGCACGTGTTATATTCACAAATATCGAGACGCCAGCCTTTATTTCTGCAAGTGTCCTTCGTACTTCCATGGACATAGATGTCAAGAGAAACAATTGGAAGGTAGTTATGGGGGCGGAAAAGTGGGAATCCGTAGAAGTCGGATCCGTCGCCAGATTTCACGTATGTTCCACTTCATGTCAAGTTTTTTTTAAATTGTTGTTTGTTGCTGTTACCGACAGTGAGTAATTCTAAAATTTGTATTTTCCTCTTGTTTTGACTGTTGTCAGATGTTCAATATTATAGAAGTACATTTTGTAATCGCCTATTGTCATTAATTTATGTTTCCCCTTCTTACAGAATCTGAAAAGAAACTTCGAACTGGACATAGAGGTCATCATCTTCATCAAAGAACGCATAAAAATGTGACAACTACAAGAATTCCTTAAATATCATATTTCGTATTTAACTTCTAATATCGACAATAATTAAACGGCTCCATAACAACAACAAAAAAATAAGAAGAAAAGTATTGATACTTAATGCAAAATCTTAAACAATTTTCCTTCAACGATTCTTTGCACAAGAAATATGAAATACTTTCTTATCTTAGTAATGTTCATTAGATTTTCAAGGTTTTGATAACTTTGATTTTTTTTTGTAATGATATTTGTGCTTGATATATTTGAGCAATAATAATAGGGGTGTCATTACAAAATTTATAGAAAATATTATCAATAAATAAAATCATTGATCAGAGAATATTAATTTTAAATAATTAGTAAACATTTTGTTTGAAATTAATGCAACAAGAATTTTAACGTATTTTCAATTTTTGAAATCGATTTATCAAAGACACAAATTACATCAAAGACACTTTTGACGTAAAGCGAAAGAAGAAACTTCAAGTAAAAGAGGTGTATAGACGTAAAGTTACAAATATTTAGTTTAATAATATAAAATTGGAATAATTAAAAGTAATTATTTAGTGCTGTATGTAATTAAAGTGTCAATGAACAAGCTCCTCATGATTTTACGGTACTCACAGAAAAGTCTGTTGAATTAAATCAAAAATTTTATTTCGACTCCTCGAAGCTACGCGGCTGACGATAAAAAAATGTCGGCAGGTACGTAAACTAACATAACGTAACGAACACTTACGTTTAATAAATAAAAATTAATTTTTGTAGAATTAATTTTCGCAAACTATAAATGCACGAACTGTCAGGAAACAATATCTGGCGTGAGAGTACAATGTCATGTATGTCAGGAAGTTGAATTATGTCTGCAATGTTTTGCTGCTGGAGCTGAAATGGGGGGACATAAAAACACTCATTCCTATCAGTTTCATGTAATATACAAAAGTTAAAATGCCATTTTATAGCTTTTCTTGAATGAAAATAATATTTTCAGGATCCTGGGGCGATAACAATATTTCGTGGTAAAGGAAGTTGGTCAGCTTTAGAAGAACTTCGCTTATTAAAAGCCGTAGAACATTATGGCTTCGGAAATTGGGATGATATATCGAAAGACATAGAAACAAAGAGTGCTGAAGATGCTAAAGAAGAATATATTAATAAATTTCTCAATGGAACAATCGGTCGGCACACCTGGCAGTTAGAAAATGATCAAAGACCGATTCTTGTTGATCACACTGCAGGAGATGATCTCACATTAGATGAACTTCAGGTTGAGAAGTTCTCAGAAGCGAGTCTTGAAATATCATCAGAACAAGCAGCTCAATTAGGATACATGCCAAATCGTGATGACTTTGAGCGTGAATACGATCCAACGGCGGAACAATTAGTTTCAAACTTAGCATTAACGCCGGAAGATGATGAAATTGAGATTGCTCTGAAACTCGCACAAGTCGATATCTACAACAGAAGACTGAAGGAACGTACAAGAAAGAAAAGACTTGTGCGCGACTATAAACTTATTCACGAATTTTTCCGTAAATTTGAGAATGGAAAAGCCAAAAATGTGAATCAAACAAAAGATGAGCGAGGATTGCGATTAAGTTTGAAAAACTTTCGTCAGTTCTATTCAAATGAAGCATTTGAGAGACTCATCCATTCTCTTGAACGTGAACGTATCCTGCGAATAAGACTAACCGAATTATGCCGATATCGGTGGAATGGACTGACAAAGATTGACGAATGTGATCATTTTGAGAAGCATGCAGCCGCAAATCAGCATCGAAGCACGGGACCATTCGGTCATGGAAAAACGGTGAGTAAACTTCCAACAATTTCATATATTTTTCATTCAACTTTTCGCCTTAACTTAATCAATCACACGCACACAAAAATCCATCCAATTTGCATCACACGTTATCCCTCTGCTTCAAAGTCTGTTTTTATTATTTAGAGTATTAATTAACTTTCAAAATATTAAGCAAATATTGTTCAAATTCCGATGAAAGATGAATTTTCTATGAAATTTAATTTTTCCAACATTGACATTTGAATATTTTCAAAGTATTCAAGTTGCTTAATTGAATAGAAAATTCATTTGAACTTCTGCTTCGAGTTTAGGAACAAATTTTGAAGTGTTTTGAATCAAATTGTACTCTGAATGTTTTTTCCTTGTTTGAATTATCTACAAAAATTGAAGAACAATGAAAAATATATCTTTCAAAGAAGAAATTGAGACGAAAGAATTAACTTCATTCGAATCCAAAAAACTTCTTTTTTTGTCTTTTCGGTTTTGTTTCGTTGAATTAAAAAGTAAAATTAGAACACTCTGACATGCAAGCTGGGGCCAAATCGCACACCATTAAAACTCTTATCATAATTTTATGTTTCTTGGCAATAATTTTCTTTTTCTTATTTTCCTTTCAAAAAAAGAATCTTCAAGAAAGAAAATTGAAAATTGAAAAACGAAACCTTCAATGGAAAAGTTGAAATGAAAAATAAAAATTATATTTGTGATTTCATTTGTATTTATTATTGATGGCACATTGAGTTGTTAATTGCAAATGCAAATATTTGTAGTTGAAACAGATTGAAAAATGATTTTTTTTTATTTTCATCAACTCTTCTTCACTTTCCCCGCTACTGAAACTTCCCCCTTTAAAATGGCTTCACTGATAAAATTCGATAAAAAAATTATCAAATCAGCTTGCATGTCTGAGTGGCTCAAATGGGCAACAAAAAGCACAAGGTGGTTACGTTCGTCATATTTTAGCCGGCTCACCAAAGCGAAGTCACTTTTCCTCATCACGAAGACAAATTGGGAACGGGCATGTCAGCGAGATATCATCAGCAACGTCTGGAACTAATGGAACCACCAAAAAGAGAGTAAGTTTGAACTTTTATATTTTGTCTTTGAATTATGTGAATAATAATTTTTATAATTTATTATCAACAGAGACGGCGAAAGGGAAACAAACTCAAATTTCACAGGCCAAAGATTCATGCACCACACCGTCGCCCCTGCCTTCTTCGACGGATCATCCAGCAGCAAAAACTCCTTGGATAATCAATCCACGGTTGATCCGATGCAGCTTGGCGCACATTTATTATCGTTTAACGAATCTCAACTATGTTCAACATTGAATCTGCCGCCAACGCGTTATTTGACCATTAAAACTGTTCTTTTGAGCAACCCGAAGCTCTCAGAAATTGAGCCACCGGAGAAAGTGATTTTGAAGCATTTGAGCAATTCTGGTTGGGTCAGAAAAACGTCAAAAGATTAAGACAACTTGTCATTCGTTTTGACATTTGACTTAGCAAAAATTGTCACTTATTCCTGGCCTGTAACTTTCTCGAGATAAAAGCTCTGTTGAGGAGTCAAAATAGATCCTCGATCATTTTTTTACCAATTTAGTTCAATTTCAAACAAAAATCAGAAAAGAAATAAAAATTTAAAAGTGCTAGAAAAGTGAATTTTGTTCGTTCTTTTTTTAATTCAAGTAGATATATTAATAAAAAGAAAAACTTAAATAAGAATCACCAAAATTACATAGTGGGTTGTGTTTGAATAATAATTTTCCATATTTTCAGTGTGATTTTCTTTACTATTTTACTTAAATTTTCTCTCTGCAATAACAAGGACATCTTATTCTGTCATGTTATGAACTAAAAAAAAATAAATGTCGCCAATTTCTATACTAAATGCAACTTGCTGTGCAACATGAAAATCGTTACCAATCAACGATATTTTGAAATAAAATTTTGTATGGAGGAGGGCGGACATAAATAAATCATCATTTCAACTTCTTTAATGTGACATCTTCTGCTACTAGATGTGTCTTAGATAATTCAAATTGCAATTAAAGCCGCTACAAAACAATGTTTTTCCTTGATGGTTATTAAAATATCTTAGATAAAAAAAATTTATAAAATAAAGTAGAATTGACTGTTAATAATAAATCATGGAGAATTTATATTTATTTTCCATTCCTTTATTTGAATAACAACAACTTGAATAACTCGCAGTAAAGAATAAACTTCTTATAAGTTACTTCATGATTTAAGTCCACAACGGATGATTGCAGCAGCATCGATCACCATCATGATATGTGACAAAGAAATCATCACCAGAACAACATGGATATGGTGGACATGGATAATCTCTTTCATCAGGATGTCTTTCACATGTGTCAATATAAGTGCATGTTAGTTCTTCACAAACTTGTGTTGCATAAGCTTTACAAAATAATTCAATATTTGAAAATATGGTCAAAGTTTAACTGAATCTGTACTCACCATAGCCTAATACAAAAAGGAAGCAAATGAAAAGTAACTTCATAACTATTTTATAATTTCTTGCGAAAGCCACGTTTGAAACTGCTAAGAGGTGTAGGCTAAATGAAACGTGTTCGAACCTGACTTGAAAATTACTTGCTATCAATTATAGATACAGGTGTTTTAATCGTGAATTGTGTGCTCGATTCCATATGAATACATATTATACCAATAAAGGTAAAAGAAAACATTTTTGTTTTGCTTAACAAGATGACAGAGCTGAATAACTGAAGCTTTTGCAAGTCTTAGTTTCAGAACGTAATTAAAATAATTTTATTCTGAAGTCTTAATGTGTACTACATAGTACAAATGCTTGACGATCTGAAAATTTCTTGGAAATTACTTGATTAATCTTTTTCACTGCATCAATGAACAATTCAAAATTGCTGTAAGTTTTTCATTTACAACCACTAAGACGAACTGAAAGTGACATGCAAGTCTTCAAATGGAAGTCAATGATGTAGGAAAATAATTGTGCAGTCAAGTGGCATATAAACTACTATTAGTAAAAATGAAATTTGCATTTTGTTTTCGTTGTGTGTCAGGAATGTTGGATGATGTTTCGTGTAAAAGAAAAATGACTTTTATTTCAACAAATGTTTGTCACAACATTTTCTCTGTTAATTTTGGCATTCTATTTGAAAGTTACATAAGAACAATTTAAACAAGTTAGTGAAGCAGACAAAGTTCTGCAGCATCGTTCCAAATCATATTACATTCTGGGTAACGATAAATAATGTTTTGAATCATAAATCACTCGAAAGGCGTGAAAGTCTATGTCAACTCATTTTTCACTTTAGGAAGATTTCAATATAACAAACTTGACACAGATTTAAGTTCCAATTTCTTTGTAATGGTAGTTCTGGCCATGGAACAACATTTCATTGAAAGTAATTTATAGTAGAAATCTATTCAGTTTGATTGTCTCGTAAAGAAATCAATTTTTCTAAACGAAATGTGATAAAATATATTTTAATATAATCATTCTATCGTTTCCTAGGGTTCAAGCTTGGCAAACATAAATATATTAATGATTATTTGTCAACCTCAAACCAAGCGTTGAAATAAGCACATGACAAACATGAGTAAGTCAAATATTCATGATAATGCAATAATGTGGTACAAACTTCCGTGTTTCTAATAATTTTCCCTATAAAAATATTTCCAATCACTGTAAGTCACAACTTGTGACAATCTATAAATTAATTATGGTTGAATAAAATCAGATTCACTGTCTGAAATTTTGGTAAGATGAAAAATATACTCAAGAGAGAAAGTGTCATATTATCACGCTCAAATTGTTTCAATACTCTGCTGCTCTATGAGGAAATCAGCTTTCTGTTCACACTTGGGAACAGTTAAATAAGATTACAGCTTTGTCTTGATGAATGACCAAATCAAAGTGAAACGCCTGCAAAACAAAAAATACATATAAAAGCAAAAACAAAATTAAGAACATTTAGGTAGTCATTTTGCTGACTGATAAGAAAAGGAAATTTAAATGGTCACGCTTAAAGCTGAAATTGAGAACTGAAACAAAAAAGGGACAACCCTAAGCTTGTGTAGCTTGAAATCTGTGTTTACGACAGTATGATTGATTCATTTAAATATTTTTTCTTGCTGAGATGAAACATAATATGTCTAAAAGTGATTTCTAATTAGTTAAGTCCGCAAGAAACGTCTGTGGAAAGCTTTTTTCTTGAACGGTTTAATTTTAAAATGTTTCATGTGTAAAAAACAGCAAATGATGAGGGGTAATGAAAAATTATAATATTTCTTTCAGATAAAGCTGAGTAGGGTCAATAAAAGGTGTAAATAATCTTATTTCCCAAAGAAAATTAGCAAAGGCGTGTAAATAACAATTTTCTTTGCTTTTTAAACAGAAATTATTTGTTTAACCCTGGTTTAAGTAAGCAGAGTCGTGAAGACAGAAAAATAAGTTAAATTATTAAAAGGAACTTTTAGAGATAAAATGGGTAGAAAATTTTTGTAAACACTGCTGTTGAAGTTAATAGTAAAAAACTGAGGTCATTAGTCAAAACTCAAAAGAAGTCTTGAAATATATAAAAGTTTGTTTCTTTCTCAACATTTCAATCAGTAGAATTTACATAATCAAACACTTCGTGATGATGACGACAATGATGACGACGATGATGACGACGATGATGACGATAAGATGATTATGAAAATGGTGACATGTATGAACGCAGAGTTTTTCCATCATGATAATAGCTTAGATTCCAATTAGAAATGAAAAGGGTTAAAATCAAATTAGGCGGAGAAAATGTAATTAGAATTCATTACCATAATCAGCTTTCGACTTAATTTCACTCTCGCTTTTCAAATTTTATTTATAAAATATGTGTAGAGATAGGGAAAAGAAAAACACTGAGATTTTTTAGTCTTCGATCACTTAATTTGGGGTTGAATTAAGAAGGATTTCAAATGAACCGCAAATAGCCGAGAAGGATGAATTTTTCAATCTTTGTTATTTAATTCAGTTTGAAAGTAGACTCAAGAACTCAGCCGTAATTGTCGCTTTCAGAAAGATAAAAGTTTCAAGTAATTATCTGAACGTAAAAAAAAATTCTTCGTTCATATTGACATTCTTAAATAGCCAAATCGAGCATGCAACTCAAAACATTTTTGGGCAAATATTTACGAGTTTTTGTTTCAATGACCAGGTCATCAAATTTACAGTTTATGTTTCACTTCAACCTTTTAGAATAAATTGAAAAACTTCTCGTACTCGTTTCTTCTTCATCAATTAATCAATGAAAGGTGATTTAATGGAATTGTTCGTGCTCGACGGGCGTCCATCCGTAAAAAGGACTGAAAAACTCATTTGAAAGCTTTCATCGATTTTAATTTTCAATTAAGAGGCTTTCAAGTTCAACTTTCCTTTTCGACACGAACTCAATCACGTTTTTCTGGGGCCATAAATTTTTAACCATGAACAACTTTGTAATTTATTTGGATTGCAATTCAAGCGTTCTTATCTTTTCACGATGCTTAATAATTTATTGAATGAAATGTATCCTCATCAATAATACTTGCAAATGGTAGAAACTTCTTGTAGACAGTGAAGTGAAGGTTTGACTAAATCTTTCATTGAGTGGAATTTCTAAAATGTAAAGCAGAAGATTATTTATGTCATTCCATGATGAACTTTTTATCTTCTAAAGCATTTTCAATAAGATATTTGTAAAAGGATTCAGGAACTCAAGGAGAAGAAATATTGAAAAGGCGATAATAGCGGAAGTACGAAAGAAATTTATTCATGAAGCTTTCAACGGAGCACGTTCGAACTCACTTGCTTATCTCATACGAAGGTCGTTTTCGAGATTCTTAACTTCTTCAATTTTTATCAACATTGTAAATAAATTTATTTATGTCTGAGCAGGTTGTTTTTAATTCCATTCAAATTTATTATCAATGTAAGGCTTTAAGTCTAAGAATCATAAATAAAATTATCATAATGCAGATATTTCTTGTACAACTCTTACACGACAAAAGTCCTTGAAAATGCTTTTTAGAATTATTCAATTAAATAATGAAATATAGAGTTTAATCCAATTATTATGCAATGAAGTTACTAACAAAGATGCATAAATATTTATTCAAGAACATGATTAATGTTTGTGTTTGCATTGAACTTTAATTACATAAATGTAGATAAATCAAACGAAAAAGGGTAGAAATTTATACATGAGTTAATATTTGAAATAATTTTCTTGCTTTTGAAAAGACAAAATGTTTAATCACACATCTCCCGACTTTTCTTACACAAACAAATCTTATAAAACATTCTGTTTCATCTCAATTATAATTTGTTCTGTATATCAGATTATGGATATTTACGCTTTACTACCTTACATGATGCTGTACGTATCAAGCCTAAAATGACTGCAAAAAAGGAACCCCTAACTGGTGTTCATTAATTTGGAAGAAATTTCTATTTTCCTTTTCTAGGTTTTGCTGAATTGTGTAAATTCAAGATGGATATGACTGATAAAACCCTATGAAATGGAAAAACGTGTCATCTTGCAAAAACTGAATACAAATTGAGGGATAAATGTTTGTTTAAGTAATGATTCTCTCGTTTGAAATCCATTTCACCACACATTGTTTGTGAATATCATGTGAGAACAAAAATTTCATGTTTATTTAAGTATAATCATGACGCGTTGTTTGTGTTTGAACTGTTCTATGTTGAAGTGAAAATACATAAATCAAAAAATTTAGACCACAGCTATTAAACATGCAACTATAACTCACGCTTTATTTTTTATTCAGTGAATTACTTTTTCAAAAAAAATTATCAACACAGAAATTGTTATGCATAAACGACATCAAATTTCCAAAAATTAATTAGTGCAGTTGTTACATTGACCTCTTTAATAAAGCTGGTGATGGGGTTAATTATGCGTGAACGATTTGACAGGATATTACATTTAATTAGAGTTTTTTTCTTGATGGAAACATATTGGTGTTAACATGCAAACTCGAAAACATGCTTCAAAGAGAGAAAGAGAAAAAAGCAATATTTATGTTATGGAAGTATAAATAAACGTTGACTGCTTACACCCACAGATTTCATTTAATGTGTAGTTCTATTCATGACATCAATTACACGAATTAAAATAATCAAAAAAAAATTATTTCCTCATTTTTCACGTCCCGGGATATTTTTTTAGAAATTTCATTAAGCTTAGTTATTCTTATGTTCACAGTAACGTGAAGACATGAAGAAGTGAAGAATTGTTCCCGCATTGGAAAGCTTCATAAAAGCTTTTGAGTAATGAGAGAGAATTGAGAGAAAAACTATGACATGAAGTTCTCTCTTTCTCTCTCAGACTTTTATTTCTTTTAAAACTTTCACAAATGTGCTAGTCCTTTTAAAAGTATCAAACATGAAAGACGATATTTTATTTGACTCCCTAAAATAGAAATAGAGTAGATATTTCCACAAATATTTTTAAAACAAAAAATCTTTAAAAAAACTTTGTTATTAAGAACATCAAAAAAGTTTTTAAGAGAAAAATAGTCTTGATGGAAGTCCCGTGTATAATAAAATATTTAAGTAATATAGATAAAGAAAAGTTTTTCAATGCTAGCAAGATATTTTACCTTTGCTCTCCACCTCCATCATAATGAAACCTTACGGCAATTCCGCATTTAGAAAATTTATGAACATTATCCGAGAAAAAAAGTTAAAACTCGACTGGGTATTTTTGTTCACAATAAAAACTTTATCAGATGTTTTCATAATGAGAAAGTCAATGAAAACTCTACTCCTACCTATTAGATAATTTAAAAAAGAAGAGCTTTTTAAATGTACAAACACATTAGCATTATTTATAACATTTTCAACTATGGAACAAGTTTCTATACATGACTGTACAGAACATTTATTAAATATCTATAAATATGCGAAGAATTTATTACAAAAAACCACATATATGACATGCATAAAAAATATCCAGTTTACGAAGAAATTTATAGAATGTTCCTGGATAATTTTACATAATCACATGTGATGTTATTTTGTTATGCATATTCAAGCGTATAAAAGTATCGACAAATATTTAAATAGAAATTAATCAATTCTGTCAAGCATTTTATGGAACTGAAAGAAATGAAAATTCCATAAAATGTACAAAAAAATTGTACGATCATTTTTCCATTCAATTATTCTACAATTTTTGGTTTACAGGTATCCAAAGGGAATATTCAAATTTCAACATCGCTTGTTTGAAAATTCAAATGGTAACTTTATAGTTGTTATCCCTATAACTCCATGGATTCCTTAATTTCATGCTTCACATCGCTATTGTTTTTATGCGAGTTATCAGAGGTTTTCATTAACAGACGTTTCCAGGCGATATTCGCTTTTTTTCTGTTAAGGCTTCTCTTTATTTTCAGTGACATGCCGAGAACATTTTAATTTCATATCATGAATTGTATATGCGATATGAATTACATTGCCAGTCCATTCAAGCGAATAAACAGGCAACTGTACAGGTAATAAATAATATCTTCCCACAATACACAATTTTTAAGTGGCATTATCTGAATAAATTTTCAAGTAAATTTTCCAGGAAAAGCTTTGGAGAGATTTTGAAATTAATGTGGTTAAGATAAGAATGCTTGAGCTCAAACAAGAGAACTCTTGAATAAATTTAATTTTTGCCTAATTGATTATTAAATATTGAATTGAAATGTTAAGTGTTTCTTCACCTCTTCATTGTCTAATTAACTTTCTGTTTGAAACTTCCCCTTCATATTTCCTTTCATTGATGACTAAAATAAATGTTTAAAGTTTCTTCCTTTCTCACAGTAAATTCCATTTAAGATCAATTATTAACTTTTGAATATTGAAATGGTAAATATATGAGGCAAACAGTATAATAAATTTCTAAAAGAAAACTTTTTAAAATATGAAAGAATACTTTTGAAACGTATCGGAAATGAAGAAGGAAAAGATTTAAAAGTAATTTTGATATTTGAATAATCGATACATCATTTTATCATCAAACGTCTCATAATTTAATCCAACCCTCCTAAATCGATGTCAACCAAGAACAAATTACTTTTGAACAAAAGTTAAATTGGAAAAAAGTTTACCACAGAAACCGCAACAACCCTTTTCCATTTCCTGAGAGATTAACTTTAATTTAGTGTGCTGCAGATGAGTTATCCTTCACATAAATGAAGAGAAATGAGAATATTCTTAATTGGATAGTATTAAATTTTGAGTTTTTAATATGCTACCTGAAAGGAAGAAGCTTGGGAAGCTACTCATAATCTGTTTAGTATTATCTTCCTCATCTTGTTCGCAATTGGAGCAAAAGGTTTAGGATGTTCTAATAATACATGTTTTTGTTGGTATTTGATACAAGAGAGAGTCTAAGGCTTATTTTTTTTATTATCCTAAGGCAAACATATTTCCCTAATTAGCCTTTCCTTCTGAAACATCAGAAAGTATAAGTAGATGTACATATGTACAGTCTATAAGTGTATTTATATAAATAAAAATTAGGAAATTAAGCTCAAGATCTTTATGTCATATCCGCACATCAACATTGAAACGCCTATCTGTCTAACGTTTTAGCAAGTTTCTTATTCCCACCAACTAACTCACCATACTTAGCTCTTTTATTGTCATAACAAATTTGTAACTTCTGATAAAGCATTTGTGAAACATGGGGAAGTAAGAGTTGGGATAAGATAAGCCATTCCCAAAACATTCTATAATGTGTCAATTGTAACTGTTTTCTAAAGGTCGACAGATTATGTTATTTATTCTACCCAAAAGTTTTTGCTAATGTAATGAAGGTGTAGTGATGCTGAACAAACTAGAAAGTTACGATGTGATTCAATATACAATCAACTATAGAAAGCATAAGTAAAAATATAGTGAAATGTTGAAAGATTCAGTGGTGCCTAAAATGTGTGAAGTAAATTTAATGAAAAAGTTTTGTCCCATTTAGTCAAACCCTTGAACTGTAAAACTTTCATAGAAAACTTTCTTTTTTCGCACTGTTTGAAGTAGAGAAGAGAGAAGATCGATAATTTCTGTGGAGCTCGTTTTACGTCGGAAATAAAAATAATTTCCAAGTTATAAATCATTTCAAGAGTTTAACACTAAAGTGGATGAAAAGTTAATTCCATTTTCAATCAATCTCTCTGCTGATTATGTTTGGGATATCGAATAAATTCATCATATAAAGTTCATTTAAACTAATCTATTTGCATAAAGTTCGTAACAAGAATTGAGACGAAATGAAACCCTTGAAATCACGGTTGACATCTAATCACTCGTTTGGGACTTTCACAAACGAGGTTTAACGTATCATGAAATTAATTTCCTTGAAAGCTCTGTGGCAGGGAAATATTTACTTCAATTACGAATGTTCACGTGATGTTATTCATGTTTGTAGCACATCTAGCACAATATTTTTACATTATTCTTGTTTTCGTTTCAAGTATTTATGCTGAAGCTGTTTTGGTTAGCAATGTTTATTTTCTTAAGAGATTTGCTGAGCTTTTTAGCTTTTCTTAGGATTTGTAGCAAACAAAATGTTGTTTTCGCACATATTTTACTTATAACCCACCTTTGAATAATACTCATTGAAAAGCAGCACAAAATGTTTTTATTCCTTCTTAGCGTTTTTCATTTCAATAACAAAAGCGTTTTTCATTGCTATCTGCTTCGTGTAAGTTTTCGAATTTTCCGTTCATTTTATTTCTTGCTCTTTTTTTTTGCTTTTGTTATCACGAGTTGAAGAGGAAAAAAGTTTTAACCCAGTTAGAGTCAACTCATCCAACTTTAATTGTTTTCCTGCTAAATTTTTTTTGCCATTTTTCTCATTTTTCATTTGTTGCGAGTTTTTTTGTTTTATTTTTGTCGTCTGCAACTGGTTAGAATAGCACAAAGCAGTGCGTGTTAACAGTGATAAGCTTTTTTGCGTGTGAATCAAAATACTTTCAGAGGTTTGGCTTAACTGGCCCTAACTTCGGATGAAATATTTGCAAGTTTTTAAGGTTTTAAAGCTTGAATAATGTGAAGGTTAAGAATTCTGTCAGCATTTGGGTTGATGGTAAAAAAATGCGTATTAGAAATCCATTTTAGATATAAATCCTTTTTTCAAACAAAGGATTTGAGAATAAAAAAATTTGCTTGGTAAAAGGTTTGTAATCCTTAATTCTCTTTAATCTGAATTTTAAAACATTTCGTGAAACATAATTTTTGTTTTCTTTTTCTTTAACATTGAAATTTGTTTCTACATTTACAGACTTGAAATGTATTAGAAAGCTTTTGAACAGAAATTCATTTTTCACCCTCATTGATCAGAAGTAGCTGTGAAGATGATTCGACAAGTCGTTTAAATTTTACTTAGTGAAGTAATTTGATGTCATCGTTGACATTTGACGTTCGCATTTAAATGAAAATTATTTCAATTTCAATTGTTTCGTTATCAAAACCCTTTAAGAAGTGATTCTAGTACCCTTGTGTAGATTTTGTTCTCTCATGCTTATACATTTTGCGAAAATAAATGAACATCATCTTATTTGTTCTTCAACCCTTCAATGTTAATTAAAAAAGGAAACTTTGAAATAATAAAGCTAAAGTTTACATTGAGAAAGTCTACCTTTTCAACCCGATGTATGTTACGTCAAATTGTTTGAATAACACAACTGACCTTTTTTATACCGTGAACATATTAAACATGGGTGGAAAAGAAAAAAAAAGAAACATTTAACATGATCCCAAATCTGAACCCAAATCGTAAAAAATAAATCTTTTCTTGAACCCTTGTAGGCTTCGATCGAAGGCTCTCAATTTTATTATCTCAATCACTATAGAATTTTCTGTTCTTCATGTGATTGATACAAAGCGACAGTATTTTATCTGATGAAGAGAACTCTTCAACAAATTTCTTTCGACTCTTTGTCCGATTTGTGGAGAAAAGAAGAAAATTTGTCAGGTTGCCATTACATGTAGGTAATCAAATTATTTTACGCTTGAAACTCATCCAACGTTTGGCATGGTCAATTTAATTTCTATTTTAAGATTGAAATGCCAACATATTACACGTTCATATTTGTTTTAGACCATTAATGTCTTACCGCTTACTTTTCTTATGCTGAGAACATAAATAACGAATCATGTACATTAATATCACTTCTGTGGTGCTTCTGCATTTGTATGTAGGTTTGTAAATGAAATAAATGAATAATCTTCTTGGGAAATATGTATGAATAATAAATGATGCAAAAAAGAAAAATTATTTGTTGGAATCAGTCTTGCTCTTTTGCAGCAACAGACGACGGTATATTCATTTGAAATTCCGGAAACTCGATTAGCTGACTGACATGAAGAATGATCACTTTTCCGACCATAATTCATCTTCAAAAAATTTGCCCCAGATTAGTTTTTGGCCAAGATTTAACAAATCGAAAGACACAAAATCTCGGTTCTTGATAAAAAATAAATTATATTTAAATTCCATGCCAAAAGTCATTGAACCTTTTAAATTTGTGCAAGAGTAGACAAATGAAATTTCATTCTTCCATTCACTGGCATATTTGCTAGACACAAAAATGCTTTTAACTTGAGCTCACCGCAATATAAATCTCAACTCCTGATCATCCATTTGTAAAACATTTCTTATTCAAACCTAGAAAATGTAAATCATTTTCGTCTTTAGAAAAGATTATTTGATATGATACAGCATACAAGTTTTATGAAATCCCTACGGATTTTCAAATAAAAAAAGATATCTAAATATTTTTTATTCTTAGATCAAAGTTCAAAGCTCTTTCAACCTTTCTAGACATGGCAAGCTACAATTATAAGCTACAACAACCCCGCAACAGACGAAGCAATTTTGTTTATAATTGCTTTGTTAAAAGAATTATGAAGAGCTTAATTAAATATTAATTGTAGGTGGGATAAAGTAATCGCGAGAATTTGAATAGTTTAAATATTTCGGGCTTCCTTTTGTCCCAAGTACTTTTATCATAAGCATTTTAATGTGAGCAATTAGTTTATTACCAAAAACTACCCACATTTGTCTTTTCATTAAACATAAAAGTTTTATCCAATAAATTTTATCCTACAATAAATTTGAAAATGTTGACTTGCCCTTGACTTAAATTGAATGTGTGAAAGTCCTTGAACTTGCTCATGTAGAGCGTTTATTTTCCTCTTGGCGATTGTCGTGGGTGTTATTCCGATAGCAGAACAGATTTTCGAAATTTAAGGTTTTCTCTTCTGTTCTCAAAACAATTCCTTTTTATATTTAGCAAAACACTCTCAAGAGTTTTCCGCAAGCATGCGCAAAATTTTCTTTTACACGAAAAATTGGCTGTTTGTTTTCACTTCAGTGTAATTTTTTTTGCAGAACATTCTGGCACGTAACTTGTTTAAAATACCTTAGGAATTCGTAAAACTTTTGTACCAACAACAATAAGTACACTCATCTTGAGAAACTTTAGATGTAAAATAATATATGAAGAATTCTAATGTTAACTCATATTTTAAAACTCACCCTTTATATTGTGCTAATGTAAAACAATTTTATCCTCATGTTCACGTAAGAAGAGAAAGTTTAATAAATCGTTTTCATCACTTACAGGATTAAACATTTCTCTTCAAAAGAAACTTCTTTTTAACTAGTTACCAACATTGAATTAAATTTCGAAAAGAAATTGATGCTTATTGCTGTCTGGAAATTGCTTTTTCTTTCTTCTTAAATCTTTTTCTTTGAAACTTTATAAGTCAATTGAGTGTCTTGATAGTATTTGATTGTCAAAAACTCAATGGACAGTAATTTTTTAGCACAGATTTAATTACAAGATTAATTTGTTCAACATTCATTAAAAGTTTTTTTTCAATAAAGAAATGAAAGTAACTGATGGAATTGTTGTCTGGAAGATTATACAGGAAGAAGGAAATTACTTTCAAAGGGATTTTAACATTAATGTTGAAGCAGAACTAATGTTCAGTGAATGTCATGAATTTCAAATTCTATAAACATTTTTTCTTCATATTTCAAAACGAATGATTCGCATTTTTTAAGTTCACAATTTCAGCATTCTATATTTTGAGAAATATGTGGATCGTCGTTTTAAAAGCATTCACTCGACACAAGTAAAATGAACGGCAATGTTTCATTTATAATTTATATGCTGGATGTACCAAAAAATGATCGATCAGCTACACCCTTTTTAAAAATGGTTTAATATATTCATGATACATACATCCTATGTACAACTCTTACATATATATTAATCATCCTCAGCTGCTTTTTGAATTTCATCAGAACTCCTTGTGGGATTATAATTTTCGTTACAAATTTCTGATTCCTGTCATTTGATAAATCAAGAATATCTTGTAATAATTTTCCCTCGAGCATTTCCTTTTCGTTTCAAGTAGGATAGAAAAATAAATTTTCAGCTCTTGTAAAAAAAATTGATTTCAAAAATATATTTTCATACTTCAACGAATTTCAAGAAACAAAGTAGGGAAGAAAATAAAATTCTTATTTTAGATAATAACACAATATAAATGCAAAGTTCTAAAAAATATGAATTAATAAATACCTCATTGACTAGCAACTTAAGAATATTTTCATTATCTAAATAATCGATTTTAATATCCATTGATAAAAAGCAATTTACAATTATTTCCCTAAATATCTTCAGAAAATGTTCCGAAATAAATTAGATAACATTTGTATCCATGAATATTTATTAGTCTCCCAAATTTGCAAATTTGAACCACGACTTGATGAACCTTTTCAACAATCATGCTTAAAGACGACTTCAAAATTTTCATTAAACTTTTATAATAGCTAACATTTTGTCAGAAAATAAATTTCCACTCAAAAATTAGGAAATAATTTCAAGTCGTTAAGAAAGTGAGAAATTTTTGCAATTAAAAGGTCTAAAGAACATTTTCGTACCAAAAACTTTTTGGTATCTGATAAGTATCTGATGTCAAAGCATTTCTGTAAGCCGAGAGTTGAGTTGTGAGTTTGAGTGGTGTCGTCTCATTGTGAACACATCAAGTTCACGCAACCCAAAAGTTGTCTGATAAACTTCAGACTTCAGATTATTGAATACCAATTTTTAAAAGAACAAAATGAAATTCAAAAACGTTGAAAGGAGAGGCAGAAAATATTTGTGACTTCATTCCTTTCAAAATAACGTTTCATAATCTCATGTTTCAATGTTTCAAAAATGTTTTAATTCCCAGAAAAATCTCAAGTTATGTAGGTTTTCAAATTGTTTAATTTTCCCTATTTTCTTTACCATCCTATTTCAGTCTTCCAACACCTGAGTATTGTAATTAATAAAGTGATTCGTATTTGTTTCTACTTCTACAAAATGTCTCAAGGTAAAATGAAGATCCTACAGTCAATTAGGAAATCAAATGGCATAAAATTTGTCAAACTGTTTCTTATTCGTAAAGTTTTAACAGCATCTGTTTATCTGTTATTTGATTTATTATCTTTTGGGACCCGTTTCAATCAAGAAAGCGACATAAATATGTATGACGTCATACTATTTTACATATTACTGCTTGCTGCTTATGATTTATAGAATTAGTTTCCATTTCCGCTCAGAAAATTGGAAAATTAACTAAAATAACACTAATAAGGAATGAATACCAAGGAATGCAATTTTAAATCTCGTGTTTCTAATTTGCATTCGTGCAGCTTATTTGATATCATTATAAAGAGTCAACATAAACACTGAATTCAAAGTTTTGCATTTCTAATTAAAAATGTTTACTTTTCAGATTTAATCACTACATTGCAACATTAATGTTCGAAAGCAATTTTGCTAGAGTTATTATGTTAATTATATTTATTTTTATTACTTAGCTTGGAATATATTTGGAAAATTCCAATTTCCTTCGAGTTGCGCATCAAAATTCCCTTCTAAGTTGAGAACACAATTTTTATTTAATTTACTGTATTTCATTTCAATTCTAATTTTATTACTCATATGTATGGAATTCCTTTCAGTTAATAAAGAAGAATAATAAAACTGTGAGTATATTCTATCAATCACGTAGTCACAACCAGATAACGAATGAATTTCGTTATCTAATTGAAAAGAAATGAATAAATATTTAGCTTTGTGTAAGCAATTCATGTGGAGATAATTTATCAAATATTGCCAAAGTTTATGCATCTGTAAAAATATGGTTTTTGATAAGCATTCGAGAAGGCTGAAAGATGAACAGAAAAGAAAATCATTGAAGTCATGGTTTGGTAAGCTTTCTAAAAGCTTGTAAAGCTTGTAAAGCTTTTGAAGAGAGGAGAGAGAGAAAATTTTAAGATTTTACAACTCTCTCAATTTCTCGTTACAGAAGGAAAAAGATTTTATTTTAATATGTTATGCTACAAACTAGTCCTTCAACAGCCACGGAGCTAGTTAGTTCATTCTATTTTTATCTCCTAAAAATTTTAAAGAACAAATGTGTTAAGATTGTAAAAGATAATTATGAAAAATTAGAAACACTTTTCAGGGTTCTATGGAAACAAAGAATACCCTTTTGAAGAAAAAAAAAATTTCGTCTGTTTAATGAATTTCTCAGCGAAATGAACGTGAATAGAAAGTTAAACAAAAGAAGTGAAATAATTTACCTTCATAATCATAACAACCGACAGCCATTTCCCTTGGATAAATTATGAAAATGTATCCTGCACGAGCTAAAGAATAGTATAAAAGCGTGTGAATAAGAAAAATTATGATAATGAAATAATTTATGTATTTATGTATGTCGAGCTTTGTGACAAGGAGAGAAAAGAAAATTTGGAAAAAGAAATAATTGGTTGAGCTCATTTTTTAAACAAACGTGAGTGTTGAGGACCTCGTTGTGTGAACAGTTTTCGAGGAAGGCACCAGTAAACACTTAGTTTTGTTAGGCGACAAAGATATTCATTCTACGACAATTTGAATAAACCAAAAAACATATTTCAGTTAAATTTATTATGATGAATTGCTTTATATCATAGGGATGTGTTAAAAAATGAAATAACTACAAAAGCGGGGCTTCAAATGTGTTGAGTGTGGTATGCTTATGAGCGGTTGTGAGAACATAATAAAAAAGCACAAACAAAAAAAAGGCAACATCAAATATCATGTGAAAAATTTATTGCCATCAACTCCTCGCCTCAAAGTCGAGTGAATGGAATGGAAAAATTCCAATTAACTAAAAAGTGGGAAATTACCAAAAAATAGATGAAATTTTGAATGAAGTAAACAACAACGACAAAGGAAAAAAATTCCTTTCTTTACAAGAAAATATTGAGGATGAAAATGTTTATCGATTGGAAAATTCAGAGTTTCCATTGTAATCCAGCGATAAAATATCAATGTAATCATCATTAAAACACAACTTCTTTTCAAAGAAAAAGGAAACTAGAAGTGAAAGAAAGAAAAACCTGAAAAGCACTTTCAAAGCTTCCGATGAAAATGTGATAAAAAAAGGAAAATAGTGACAATTTTCAACATGTTTTGGCTATGCAAATAATAGTAGACATAAGCACATCGAGATAATAAAAGTGTACTGTCATGAATGAACTCGGATTAAAACCTGTTTTTTGGATTTACACGTTCGTTTGCCTCTTCAACTTTTTAGGTAACGTTTGAACATGAAAATGCGGTGTTTTATCGATAACCCTTTTGAAAACATTTCCCTAGTTTTTATTTCTTCATGTAAGATTGTTTTTTAAATTATTGACCATTTAATAGGTCATGCGATGAATGAATGATTATTAATTAAATATTCAAAAAGAGACATAAAACATTTTACAAATTCCCGTCTGAAAAAGCGTAAAAATGATTATAATGTAGTATGAAACTGCTTGCCTCAAATCCTGAATATTTTATTGACAGACGAACAGTAATTAGCTGAAAGGTTCACTTTGTATAATTTCTTTTTTCGCATCTCTGAATTTTTTATCACCATTCGTAATTGATGCCGAAAACATGTGAGAAGCTTTTCATGGTAGGATGTCTGTGCTGTTTCACAAAAATTTTATTCAATTAAGCGCGAATTGTGCAAACATCATGACACCATGAACCTTTTGTGAAATATTTAATTTAGCTCACAAATGTTACCTTTTGGTTTAAAAAAAACTTCCGAAAACCATTTGCCTTCATTATAATTTATTTAAACAACGCAACAAGTTCCATTCACTTTACTTTACGCATTTTATTACATTGGGCTCATGAGCTGAAAAGCAGGAAACCTGATGTCAGCTTATTCTTTTCAACTCCGAAATATTTTTGTTTGCAAAGCAAATTCAAACGACTTTCTCATACTTTACATTTTTAAAAGAGCAATCATGCGGAATTTTTCTTTTAATTCTCTTTTAAAACAACACATCTTGTAAACTGCTATAAAAACTTTACAGAGATAAACGAAAATAAGAAAGAACCCTCATATTTTATATAAAACCGTACGCGGATGTCTTCTGTTCAGCATCCCATTTCTCTTTTCCGTTTTTCGAAACTCCGCTCGTTTATCTGGTATTAGCAATTTTTAAAATTTCTACTTATTCTTGTGGTATTAAAATGAGACGAAATCTTTTTTTATTATCAAGAAAGAAATGAATAACAAACATTTTGTCAAAACATTTGATCCTGGGGAGTTGAAATGCAATGTTTTGTTACTGACAAAAGACCTTGTTAACATTTTATTGCGCAATACACAAAAAAAGCAATTTGAAGTAATCTCACTTCGTTGATCGTAAATTTAAGTAACAAATTTAAGGGACTGCAAAATTTATAACCATCCTATTTGCAAACTGATTGTTATCTAGGCAAGGCATTGGTTGCGACACACATTTTCCCAAATTTTCATACAAGTTTTCTTCAAAACCGACACCATAAGTACCAGCATTGGAATAATGGTGTCATTAGACCACAACTGGCAACACCAAGAAAACTTTATAAAACTTAAGGAAACTGTTTTAAATTTCAAGCATAAAAATTGAAAGAAATTATTAAATTGAATTTACATCTCATTAGTAGTGTCGTTAACTAATAATTTAGAAAAGAAATTAAAGTTGTCACTTGTTTTAAATCCTTAATTGCGAAATGTCTAAAACAAGAGCATTAATGTACCAGCCACAAACTTAAACTTGCAATAAAACTTGCCTGGAACAAATAACAAGGAAAACCTACATTTGAATTCATGTTTAGTCTTCGTAACACTCTCCTAGAAAGATGTTGGTGGTGGTTGAGGTTTTCAAAATTTCACGAAGACACCATTCAGGATTCCTGATGAAGCGAAGAACTTTAATAGCATATTAAAATACAAACATCCCACAAACTTAATTAGTTTACTTGTTAAACTCTTCTCTCGTTACCACTTCAACCTTAACAGAAGTTTGTTTGAAACTTCATATTAGAAGTTTAATAACTTTTGTGAAGCTTCATTCTCTTTGTTTATTTATTGTTTTCTATCATGGTAAAAACGTGTTTCAAAGTGCGAGCAAAAATCAATAATATCATTTTGTATCTTCCACACTGAATGAAGTTTTTAGCCAATCTTTCACCGGATTTTTCGTTGATTTTTGAGTGAGGCAAGAAGCAGCACATGTACATGTAGCTCTGGGAAAATCTAAAATCTATTTCCACTGTGTTGAAGAGAGATTTAATGTAATGTTTTTTCTTCGCTTCTTTGATTTTCAATTTTCTGTGGAGCGAAGAAAGAGAGAAGAAAACTGTTAACAAACTTTATCAACAAACCAAATCTCTTATGCTAAGCTCATTCTATTTTTTTTCTTATTGCGTTTCTTGATCGAGATAAATTTGTTTTAATATTAGTTCTTCAACTTTTTTTGAATGTAAATAATGTGTAATCTCTGTTGGATAAAAATGCTTAGACTTTCTCGAGAAACTTTCCAAGATGAGTTCATAAGGGCAACTTGAAGAAACTTGCCTTTAGTTATGGTTCACGCTCACTAGAAAAAAAAGCACTTCGCAACCTTTTTTCAAATTATTCGACACGTGGGTGTCTTCAGTCATAATTTAGTATGTTGGGAAGTTTTATAAATAAACAAAAAGTATGTTAAAATCATCAGTGGTGCATCGCGGTGAAAAAGCACATAAAATAATTTTATGTTAAATTTGAACTGTGAACGGATCCTATTTATCATCATATTTCAGTTATTTGCAAATGTTTCCAGTCGGAAATTGATAAATGATTAAAATATTTTCAATTAGATAAATACAAAAATGAATTCAAGCAGTACCAGAACGTTCCAATGATTTTGATTTCATCATTTTCAATTCCATTTTGTGAGCTGATAAGCATTTCCATTAAATAATGATGTTCTGATGTTCTAATCAATCAAAGATGTTTTCGTTTGTTTTGTGGAAAATCATGTTTGAGTAATTTGGGTTGAATTTGACGATAAAATAGCCACTTAACTTACAGTACACATTTAGTAAAAAAATATTAAAAGTCATACGCGGTTCAACTTTGAAAATTGATGCTTTGACATCAAGAGGAATTTTAGAGAAGTTATAAAAATTTTGATGAGCTTATTTATGAGAATCCTTGATTTCAAAACACTTGTTGGCTCATTCATTGAAATTTTCTCAAAAAAGTCATAAAGTTGGGGAGAAACATGCTTAATCTTTCAATATGTTACAAATTTAACTAACTAAGGCTTTACAAATTTTCATCATCATTTTCACAAGAAGAAGCTTAGAGAATTGATTGAACTTTTTTTCCATAAAAAGTTTGTCTAGCATTAACTAGAGCTTGTCGAGACTTACAGCGGAGATAAGAAAATCAATATTTTTTCACATCATAAATCATTTTTAAGGCGGAAATTTTTGTGTCATCCTTCAGAAAAGATTTTTCCATACACGGCTGATTAATGTTGACAAAGACTTCATAACGCTTCATACGTAGGTTTCAGCTGTCGTCTCTGATGCCTGAAGGTTTTGAGTGCTATTGTATGATATTGTATGAAGACGTTAAAGGGTTGCAGAATCTTTCACAAATAAGAATTGTCATCAAGAATTCATATGCGAAATATATTCATAAATATTCCTAAGTACACATGTAAAGTGTTTAAACTTTCATAAATTATTTTCATGACGTTAGATTTTTATTTACTATCTAATTAGTTAATAGCTAAACTTTCAGAGATTCATCGGATAATTTAAATGTTATCTACATATTTATGAAAGTAATAAAGTTCCCCTGAAGTTTCTTTCATTCAGTGAAGTTCAAAATTAATTGAAGTTTTAATTGAAGTTTTATGAACTCAACAATTTTCTTACAATTTTCAAAGGGGAAGTCTGAAAAGCTGTTTGATGAAAATTTAATCTGTTCCCAAACAGTTTTGCAGCTTAAAAGTTTTGAAATATTCTTGAAAAGTTAAAATATTGCTCCATAAAGTTTTATATTTGTTAACTTTTTTTTCCTTTTCTTTCAAAAGCTTTGTAACTTTCTTATCGTAACCTTGAAAAATAAAAGACAAACACTTTAATAAGTATGTTGTTATTCGAGGAAAAACGCTTTTCTTTGCTTCTGAGGATCTTTTCTTTTCCTTTGTAAAATATAAATGGAACTTTTGAATAAGTAAACCTTTTGATGTCAGTGTAACCTTTTTTTATTTTTTTGGTATCCGGTTTCCTTTCTCAATACTAAGTCAAACCTTTTCAAAGGGCACTTGAATTAAACCAATAATACTTTAAAGTGAGAAAATCTCTTCGTTATTCACTTCACAAAACATAATCGAAGTGTATTGAATAAATATCCACCAGTTTAAATTCTTAGATAAGGATCCGAAAAATTCTATTCAAAGATGTGAATCAATTCGAGACGAAAAACAGCATTAAAAGCGCATTAAGAGATCAAACTAAGTCTCTTTGAGAATTCTCCTAGATACTGAAAAAGAAAAAATGAAAATCAAATAAATATAAATATTAGACGTGCATTTATCTAAATATCGGAAGAAAAATCTGCTTTCAAATTTCCTTCAATATAATTTCCTTCAACCGGGAGCATTTTAGTTGCTGCGTAATGCTATTTAATCTGAATTTAAATAACACGTCTAATCCATTTTCTTTTCCATTTCCTTCGTAGATTTATCACTCGGCAGTTTTCGAAATAGCAAGGAGAAAATTCATCGAGGAAATCACAATAATCTTCACGACATTACCACCACTAATCCATTTCATTTTTATACGAATCCTAAGTGGTATGAATCATATTTTGATCCCATAATCCCAAGAAATGTAAGATGCAATGATTCATAAAAGAAAAAGAAAATCTGTTAAAAAATTGAAATTTATTGTTATTTCTAGGTCACAGCGTTAGTCGGGAAATCAGCGTATTTAAGTTGTAGAGTAAAAAATTTAGGAAATAAAACCGTAAGTGATATTCTGCTTTTCTGATGCTTTAGGTGATTAGAAGAACAAAGAAGGAAACAATGAGTGATGATGACAAAACATTATTCATTTTTTTACATTGCTTTCTTGCTTCATAATTCTATTAAATAAAATTTATCTTCTTCGCCTCATTGTCAGAGACGCAATGGGTTAGTCATGATAAATGCTTCTAATCAACAATCCCATGTTTTTCATATCTTTTCTCTTGTTATACATTAAGTCGCAAGATTTTTATAAATCGTTCTTCCCTTCGAAATCGATTTTCATTCTATACCTTTGAACATCAAATGATATTGCAAGGTCACAATGTAGGATCGTTTCGCTTTTGTTTTCATCAAATGTGAAATTGAATTACTTCCACATAATTAACTTGCACATCGGATTCGAATTATTCAATTCTGTCATTTGTGTGAAAAATTCTTCTTCCGTTATGTGTACTTCGGTCATTGATATACCAAAGCACATTTCCCAATTTTCTATTGCATTAAATTGTAGAAGATAACGAAAATTTCTTGTAAATGGGAAACGGTAATCGAAATTTGATTTGCAAACTTTTCTCTTTTGCATCGTTCGATGCGCTTCCGATTGGATGATTAGGTATCATGGATACGACATCGAGATTTACATATTTTAACCGTTGGAACATATACCTATACGACTGACCAACGTTTCACAACGACACATCATAAAGAGACCGACGAATGGACGTTGCAAATCAAATTTGCTCAAAAACGAGATGCTGGTCTCTATGACTGCCAAATCTCAACTCAACCCATCAAAAGCTATTCAGTACGATTAAATCTGGTTGGTAAGTGTTAAATCGAATCAAAAACATGCCATTTTTCCACTCTATAGCAAGTTATGCAATGAGATCTCATTCTCTGAAAGCTCTCAGTTTTATTTCGGAAGAAAAAGTTTCTTCATTTCCCTCTTACTTGTATGAAGCAAATTCCGGAGTGAAACTGAAAATCTGTTAGACAATTTTCCTTATACATGGAGAATATGAAGAGAATTTTCAATTTAGAAAAATTAAAGTTAAGCAAAACATCAGATGTGCAGTCAAAAGGAAGCAAGTTATAAAATAAAAAAAATCAATTTCCATGAAAACATTGCTGCAGAATGAGCGATGGCTACGAAAGAAAGGAAAAAAAGCATAAATTTAATTATTTCCCTTTCCTTATTTTCAACACGAACAGCGCCAACAGCAAGTATTCTCGGTGGACCGGACTTTTACGTTCAGAAAGGATCTACAATCAACCTAACATGCACGATTCGGTTAGGTCCCGATGAATCGCCTGCTTTCATTTTCTGGTATCATGAAGATGAGGTAAAATAATGCAGATTAATTGAACTAGTTTTCAGTTTGTTCGGAATTGTTCATTTTATCGAATACTGCAACCAATTGAATAGTCGAACTTGATATTTATTTATACAAAAATATTGAATAAATATTTGTGAAATGTATTTGCAATCATTTTCAATAAAACGAATAATTTATGATTTGCCACATACAAAAGTAGCATGTTCAGAGCTGTCGAAATGTGAGTTATGATCAACGCCACTTAGCTAAATTATAATATTGCGCTTTTGGCTCATATTTGACTGACGTTTCCATAGATGGTTGCTTAGTTTACCGCAAATATTTGTAGAGATATATGAATGTGATATCGAAGGTGAATTTGGAAAATTAATCTTCATAAATAACCTGTCGCGGTAAATTCATGGCAGAAACTTTCAATTTGAAAGCGTAATTTTTTCTTCATACTTAAATATTGATTGGCAAGTGAAATTTGTATTCTAATTAACCAGATGTGAATAATTTGAAACTCAATTAATTTAGTGAAATTTCATTATTCTATATTTAAGTTATTATTAATTACCATTAATTTTCGGTTTTATATGACACAACTGTGATAATTAAAAAAATTAATATATCGACACTCATTCATTATATTTTTGTTCTAATTTTAATTGATCCATTAGGTGATTAATTATGACTCGTTGCGTGGTGGCATTTCAATAGAGACTCGAAAAGGAGACATTACAACATCACATCTTCTTATTCAAAATGCTGATGAAACTAACTCTGGCAAATATAGCTGCTCACCATCAAATGCAATCATCGCCAGTATACGTGTGCATGTTCTTAACGGTGAGTAAATATTTATTCACGCTTTTATTGGAATGAACGAAACTTCATGTTCTCATCAAACTTTTACTCTTTTTACACAGGTGAACATCCTGAAGCAATGCACAGCAATAGTTCATCAATAGCACAACAACAACATTCATACGTAAAACTTTTATTGATAGTTTTTCTTGTATTATCGACTGCAAGAAACATAAATTTGCTAACGTTCTCTGATAATAAATTGAATCGATAGGAGAAGACGAGCTAGAAGGAAAATAATTTATGTTTAACCTGATTCTATTGTACATAAGATATGTACATAATTTGGAATTATATTGAAGCACATAATAAATGTAAAATGTTGAAGAACTTAAACTTTTGAAATTTTTATTTTTATTATTTAATGGAACTAAGATGGTGAAAATTGGGCCAAGTTTCATAAACTTTTAGATAAATGAAATTGTACTTTAGACTGCCAGATAAAGTTTCTTTAAAATTCTCGAAAATGAAACACCTTTTAGATATTTTTCTCCTACGTCTGTCTCATCTGCTTCTGCAAAGAAAAGTTGGCACTTAAGCTTGACTTATACAATCGAAAGCTTATGGCTGCTTTACATTCAGAATGAAAAACAAAAAAGTTCCTTTGAAGCGCCTTAACAAATATTTCTGGCTTATCAAGGATGACGAAAAAACATTTCAGCTTGAAGCAGTTTAATTTTTCTTCTATAATTAACAATTATGTTAATTACTTTGAAAACTTCCGAAAATTTGATGCGGAATTTCTCATAAATTTATCATGTTTAGACGAGTTTTGTTTAATAAGATGAAATTGATTTTTTAATTAATCTTATGCCGTTATTTAATTTTGTAAAATGAAAGAGAATATTAAATTTATATTTTTCTTTCGCTTTCATTAAAATAAGAAAATATAATTTGAGTGAAATGATTAAATCAACGAACTTGAAGCTTTAAGTAAAGGAAACAGATTTCATTTTACCTTCTCGGCAATTTTTCTTTCACAACTTAATTCTGACTAATTTGTATTCGCCGGGAAGTTTTTTACTCGTTTTCAGGTCATTAAAAAAATGTGTTTCAAGAATAATTGGAAGGCTTGCAAAAGAATCAGCTATGATCACGTACATCCATGACTGTTCACGTTCAAGTGTATGCAATCATTGCATAAAGAATATAAAGGATTTAATTAAGATATGGAGGATTCGTTGAGAACAATTGGATTGACTTTTCAATGTATAAATGTAGCAACATCAAAAATAAACAAACTCGCTAAGGTATAATATTTAATAACCAAGCATTTGTTCATCTTCAAAATCTATTGAGATTCATTTGCTTGGGGAAGTATTATCATGAATAAACGAGTGAAATCTCTTGAGTTTTAATTACGAAAGTACTTGAACTCGTCTCTGTATGAAAAAAATTTCTAAAATGCTTTCAAAAGGGACGTTTGAACAAACATAAAATGAAATTCTTTAAATGCGCATTCATTATTAATTACATTTCGAATTCGAAACTTTCAAAATGCCAACAAAAGCAGTAATAATGAAAAGTTTCTTGCTAAGTAATAGAGCACAATAAATTACAAATATTTGATATCAAATAATGCCGTCATCACACGAAATCACATTTAATGCATAATTTATGATGACGGCTTCTAGCTTGAGGTTTATTTTTAGATCATGAATGTCACTTTTGTGTAATTTTGAATGCCAAAGCAAATTCTCAAACCATATTCTTAATATCTAGTGGCAGTCGCTTTATCGAAGTAAATTTATGATGTGGCTCTATTACATTGATTCGAAGACGTTGAATAGCTTAGCGCTTGAAGCAACAAAATATTTATGCGAGGGGGGAAATCTTTCCCCATTTCATAAAAAAAATCCGTCAAAGTCATTGAAACAAAACAATCAAAGCGGCTTCGTGCTCAGTTTACATAGAAGAGAATTATGAGTTTCCGAAGCCTGAATCTTTTTCGCAATAAAGCGAATATATGTATGAATATTGTTACGTCTATGGTTTAATGTTTCTATCAAAGTAGCTTTCACCATTATAGAAGTTATGGGCGAAGCAATTTATGAAATTTTTGTCAAATTTTTATATCAGAAGCTGTTTCCTTGGTGTTAGGAAAATTATGTAACTGTAACACAAAGAAGTCGTAAAGAAACTTTTTTTATAGCTCATCAAACGTTGGAAATCTATAAAGAGAATAAATCAAAGAAACACCCACTAGAATCAAGATTATAGTAAAATCGTAACGATAGATTTTCACGATTATTGCAATAGTACGAGAGAGATGCAATCACATGAAATAGCTTTCTTGTTAGGGTTTTGAGTGTCGTCAAACTTTGCTTTTTCTCTTAACGTTAACCTTATCAGACGCGACGAATCTACAAATATTTGCTTTCAATGATTTTCGCTATTTGCTGAAAATTTTGAACGAAATTAGAGATCGAAAATCGCTACCGAAGATTAATTCTAAAGCAGCGCATTTGAAGTCAAGTGTAAACTCAATTGGGGAAAATTGATTCGCATTTTATCGCATTTCGTAAAGCAAACACCGTATTATATTTTGGGGATTTTGTGTGTGTTCACTTCAACTCAATTTAAATTACATTCGATCGAGGCTTTAATATGTGATCGGAATAAATTTCACATTAAAGAATTCAAACGTGATGTAAAGGAATACGCCAATGTTTAGATAATATAAATATTTTTTTCCTTGAACTGTTTTGAGTGAATCTCTAAAAGCTCTCATATAATAATTTAAATGTCATTTATGTATATTGGAACATTGTATATGTTTATGCTATTTAAATTCAAATTGAATTTGGAAATAATTTAAGACGTTCAACGTTCATTTGGATTTGCTTAGTCTCAACCCTCATTCATTACAAAGCTTGCCAAAATAAATGGAAATCTAAGAATTTTATCTAAATAGATACTTAATTAGAGATATTTTGAGTTATGCCTAAAGGTGAAACGACTTCAGAACTGTATGCAACAAAAAAAAAAGAGTTTTTTACTTAACCTTTTGAAGAGCAACTTGTAGGAAAATAATTTTTCTCTAGTGGGTAAAACAATTGTCTTAAAATTTACTTAGAAAAAATATTGGACTTATAAAAGGGCATTTATAGAAATGAATCGGCTTATATCATGCCATTGCAGGAGTAATGATTAGGACGTTTTGGAAATCATAAGCCTTGAGTGGAAGCCGATTTGTGTATTTAGGAAAATTGGTTGAGAACCTTTTCTCAACTCTTGCCAAATGGAAACAACTCGACCTTTTCAAGACTTAGGAAAGAAAATAAGAAATCAAGTGGATCAGAAGAGTTAAATAGAAATAACTAAGCGCATGACATGAAATTTGAATAATAAAAAAATTGCATCGTAGATAAATTATGAATCCATTTGCTTGAATAAAAGTTAATATTTTACTTAGTAATTGAATTTAAATACATATTAAAAGAAGGTTTATTCTACAAACCTCACATGAAAGTGTGAAGCAGCAAGGAAAATGAAAAGCTTTTCATTCCGATTAATTTTATGATTAATTTATTAACTATACATACCGACATAAGATAATTGACGATAATGCAATAGTTCAAAGTTGTTCGTTTTAACGATAATAACAATTTGTTTACAAGACGATGACAAAGTTTTTCACTTAGTTCGAAGTTATAGAAAGTACATTTGCTGTCTACGGCATCGTTTAAAAGTTTAAAATTTTTGAACAAGGAACTTGCATTAGGATTGCTACAAAATTTATTCTATTACCTTCCAGCAATGTTATTCTAAATATTTCTTCTTATTCCATCTCGAATTGAAAATTTTTTTCATAATATTTGTCTTGTTATATTTCATGTATCCATGTAACAAGTAAGTGAAAGACTGGCATAAAATGAAAGCTTATTTTGATAAAAATGAATCAGGAATGGAGTAAAAGTTTCTTCTAAGCTTATTTATTCAACCTGAATTCCGAGAAAGCAAATATAAAGCTTTTCGAAGCATACTTAAAGTACATCAAAGATCATAAATTTAAATCGCTCGGCTTTAAGAGCCAGTAATGCGCTGAAGCATTATTAACATTGCATTATTCACATTTCAATTATTTGCATAAGCACGAAAAGCTTACCAAGCACATAAAAAATCATAAATACTCTCAGAATCTCATTTCCATTGACACAAATACGGGGGTGTTAATCTTTGTTTCGTTAAAAGATTTGACATAAAATATTCGCTTTGCAAACTTTTTCAAATAATTCTTATGTCGAACATTTCTTTTCTACCATTTCTGTTTTTATAATTAACATTCATAGATGACGATGAAAGCACAGAGGTTCGAGCAAAGCAATAAACAATGATAACATGTTATAGTGTTAGTTTGTTGGATGAAGGATTTTGTAGCACAATTTAACTTTCAGCTTAGGGATTCAATAGGAATAGACGCTTCTTAACCAACAAATAGACGATACGTGTGATGTTGTTAAATACTCTTTATGTAAGTTTGGTGGTTTCACCGGTAGTAAAATAACTTTTATGTGCACGATTTAAAAGATAAATTTTTGGTAAAAGCACTCTTGAACATTAAACAATTATTGTACTACATTTCAGTAGTCAACGATTGAAAAAAGACAAACTGTAATTAAAAATAAATAAATCTTTTTATGATGTCAGTGTTTATTAATAACTAAAAAGTTAAATTTATGAACATTGTCATTCCTTCTACCATTAATGAAATCACAATTTATAAAAGAATGTTCGCAGTTTGTTTTGTTTTTAAAATAAAAATATTGAATATCAGTGAAACGATATTATTGCTTCGACAATTGTTCTCGAAGTGGAATTGAGAAAATGGATTGGATGTACAAAAGCTTTTAGAAAGCACGATTTGAATTGAATGATAAATACACAGTCATGTCTTTGTCATTTGTCGATATTTCTTACAAAATAAAAGAAATGCTTTTAATACTTAAAACGAACACAAAGTGCAAGTTTTGAGCGACCATGTTTTACCGTACATCAAAGTCGTACCTCGAATTCATGACTGAAAAAAAATTTCATGCTGAGTAAGTTTTAACTTTCCTTTTGTGTTCTTTGATCCCATAAATTTTATTTTTCACTTATTCCCACTCCACTTTCCCTTCCGATTGTTTGAGTTGCTGAAAGCGATTTGGCGCATTTGAGAAATTCCGTAGCAAAAAAGTAAAAAAAGAAATAAGGATTCGAAAGACTTGCAAATAATTCAACTCTAAGGAATCCCAACCCACAACAATTTTTTCCGAAACTGCTTAGAGCAACATTTTCAAACCAGTTGCTGTGAAAGAAGCGAAGAAAGGGAAAAAGTTTTATAAGAATGAATGACTGCATTATGCAATTGAATCCGGTGAACAAATCGTAAACATTGTAAAGGAACACCGAGAAAACATTTTGAAGCCATCAAAACAAAAGTTGTTTTTATATACATTTGTAGCATAAAATAAGCGAAGAACTTCAAGTTAGCGAATTCTTAAATTTCATTTAAGTTTCTAAGAATTTCTTAGTCCATTATCGCTGTTGAAACGGAACAAGAAACGATGTGGAGGAAACATTAAAGAAGCAAAATAATATATCGAGACAAAAGAAACTTTGATAATAAAAATGAATTGCCAGTGATTTACATTTATCCTTCATAATCCTTGCTTTCTTACTCAACGGAAATGTGGGTCGTTATATTTCATATATGATGTTAAAAGGATATGACAAATCATAAAAACTCACGTTTAGAAGTTTGAATTCTATCTTTAACTTAAGAACACGAGATCTCTACGTAATTATGACAATTTCTTTGTTTGTCTTAGCACCCGAAACATTTTAATGATCGCCAAAGTTTGAATCAAAAGGATTTAAATCCAGACAAGAGAATATGAACACATTGTGTGGCTTTCAGATTATATGAAAATTATCCTGAAAAAGCATAACACGAAGAAATTTTCTTTATTGTCATCTTTCGTTGTAGAAAGCTTTTCGAAACTAAGCAAACATAATAATCTAAGATTCATCACAGTTATTTGTTACCATCATTCATTGCATTATTTAATGTCTGTTATTGTAAGTTTTCAAAAGCACGAATTAAAACAAAACTTCATGGGTGTAAAGAAGGATTTAATTTAAGAAGCAATTGCAATTACGAAAAACTTTACAAATTTAAATTATACACCAGAAAGTTTTAAGTTTATTTCGTTCTTTTGATGATTATACATTTTGCTTTTACAAACTGAAACCGAAACCTCTACTCTTGATGTTTTTCATTATGCAAACAAGCATGACATGTTGATAAACCACGTGAAAAGTATAAAAAAATTAAAGCATGAAGTTTACAGTTTTTCTTGTTGGTTTACTGGATCTCAAAACATGAAAAATGTATGCTTCATGGATACTTTGTGGCAAGTCTACATTTTGAATTCATTTTACATGAAAAGTCGATAACAATGAAGAACTACAACTTTAATAAATCTCGTACCTAGATTAAGAATCTTTGGTATGCGGAGAATGTTTAGAAAAATTTCCTTTCATTAATTTCATTTGATCAAAATTTATGATAACTTATTTCAATATTGTACATTAAAGTCTAGCTGGCGTTTATTGCGATCTTAATGTGTTGTGAAAGAAAAACTTTCTCTTGTTTTTATCTTAATTTGAAATCCACGTAAAATAAATTGATAAACAAAGAAACACGAAAAAAGGAATCACTCCAATTACTTTCTTCTTGTCTTGCTTGGAATGTTGCAAAATTATATTAAATTGTATAAATTATATATTAACGTCTTTTCAGCAACATTCCATTGATATTATCTTCTTGTTTCTTGTTAAATTTTCATCCGACATTAGGAATATTTTCAAACAATAAACATTCCCTGGAATTCCACTGGCGGATGAAACTAATTTATGAAAATTTTCAACATAACAATAAGAATATCTCGACCATAAATTGTTGTTCTTCTTACCTTTTCCTGTGGCTTTCAAGATAAAAATACCAGAAGCAGGATGTCATTTAATTATAAAAGCCTAAGCAACATAGGTAGAAATTTATTTTGTATTTGAGCGTATTCTTGATTTCAAAAGTAAGCGAGATTAAGACGACATTTATGAGCATGCCTTGTACCGTGAAATTTTCTTCAAGGAATTATTTTTATTGTTTGAAATTTTTCTAAAGGAAATCGTGGAAGAAAATTACAAGTTTCGCATTCTTAATTTTCCTGAATTCAATTTGACGAATCAGAAAGTTGTGAACATAAAAATCTTATTTTTAAATTTTAATTCAATGTGTGAAACGAATAATTTATTAATATAGAAAGTTCAAATATTCTTTCTCGCTTTTCCAAATTATGTGGAAAAGTCAGCATGACGCATGTAGTAACAACATCTATACAAGAAATAAGTACATATTTATGATGCTTTAATATTTTTTCTCTTCCACAGCAGCCTGCAGATAGATGAAACATGCTTCGTTAGAGACAACAAAAGTTTCTCAGTATTAATCCAACAATTTATTAGTGGAATTTTTATCATGTCAATCAATAGTCTTTAAGCTGTTAGTAAGCTTGTGCAGTAATTTATGATATTATTATATGTGCCTAGTGCTAGTTATAACATTAGCTCCCAAATGACTTTTTGATTTCTTTTTCAACAAACGTATCTAGCAGTTATTGCCAGCATGTGAATATTCTTCAAGCAGTTAAACCGTACTTTAGAAATGAAATGATTGCTTTGAACCATCGATAAGGTCATTAACGTACTTTCATGCTACAGTTTACTCCCTAAAGAAAATATATTTATTAACAAGAATGCTTTTGATAACATTCCTTAGATTTTTTTTCGGGCTATTTATTTGTATATATAAAACATTCATTCTCTGAAACAATATTTCTTCAAGATTGGCGTGAAATTTAGTTTTAATAGAAAAGGAAACGATTAAAAGTTATGCAGCTTAATTCAATTTGCTTGGAATTTGCTGATAACAAAGGTAAAGTCTTAATCATTGACCTTTTGCCTTCTGGCTTTTGAAGAAATCTGTTGGTTTTATTTCTCATAATGTTGCGTGAAGAAAAGCAATTTGATAAAAGATTATGCAATACTGAGATATCGTAGTTGTTTATTTTTTATATATATGTTTGCGAACATACAACAAACATGACCTAATTAAAGAGTTCACTATGCTTTCATTGTAAGCGAACAATAACTCAATCAAGACAGTAGTATGATGAATTGCAAGCGCGATTGCGTTTTTCTTTTGGTTTTTTAGTAATTTATTTACTTTTCTTTATTATGTTTTTAATTCATGCGCCATTTGCTTTCAGCGATATCACTGCAAAGCTCAAAAGTTAACATTTCTGTGTTTTGCTTATTAAATTTAATTACTGCAAAGTTCAACATGTTCTAATTACATGCAACAATCAACAGACGTGTGAACAATACAAAATTTGTTGATTTCAATTAATTCGATTTGACTTTTAATAAATAATTTTTGATTGCTGTATCGAATTATGTAAATCATAAAAATTTCTATTTATAAAAATGAAATCAATATCAGACTGATGTTATCTTGTTTATTTGACTTTATTCATGGCGTTTTATGTGTGTCTGAAATTTGAAATTGTTCGAGTTTTCCAATAATTTATTTTTATTCGAGTTGCAAGGATTTGTAAAGCAAAGTTAGGTCGTAAAAAGTTTTACATAAAAGATAAATCGAAATATTCACCTGTTAATTTCAAAACTCATCTTTAAAATATTTTACAACATGAACCTTGCAAGGCTTTAAGATTTGTTGTAATATTTAGGGCAAAATATTTCATTAGGAAAGTTGAATTTACTTTAAGTTTATGAATCATAATAAAATGTTAAAGGCGGTCATCCCAGAATCCTTTCAGAATTTTATGCAAATGGTTTTAATGTTTAAACCACATAAAGATATTTTACAACTTTAAGCTTCAACACTTTGCTAAATTATTGTTCAAAGTTAAATTTTAAAGTGATTACTGTCACGAAAATAAATCTTTTCTCTTTAAACTTCGTCTGTATGAAAACTATTTATGGTTTATTTTTATCTCTATAAGAAAAAGGTCGTCGACAGTTCCTTTAATCTTTTTATAAAAAATTTAAAATATTTCAGGGTATCTGAGAAGATATTTTAAAAGTAAATTTGTGCAACAAAGAGATTCATTAAATTTATTTTTAATTAAAAGGCAGTGAAATCTGAATGAGATTCCATTTGAGTGAGCTTTGGGTTATGGTAAGTCATCTGTGAAAATAAAAATTCTCAATGTGGGGATAGTCTAAAGGAGAACTTTATAAAGTTGATTCATTGAACTTCTTATTCACCACAAGTCAGTACATAAATTTTATCGCGTTCCACACAGGAGATTTACTTTTAAGGTTGCGTTAACTTTTCAGTGTATGTATACATAATCAAAAGATCTTTTATGTTGAGCTTGAAGGCGTAATCCAGTTAAAAAAGGCGTTTTTGCCTCATGTGCGCTAAATTGGATTACTGAGGTAGCAGAGCCTTCAGGTATTTTTTAAAGAATTTCAGATCATTACGGATGATAGGGTAAACAAATTTTGTTAGCATTTGGGAGGTTTTAATGCCTCTTTTTTTGATATATTCGTACTATAAAAATCACGATAAAAAGTCTCAACCCAAACGATTGCCTTTTTCCTAAAATCAATTCTGAAAAAGGATTTTTTTCATGTATTTTGTAAGCACATGGATCATTTCGTATCTTAATGTATTTCTAATACACAATATTTTATTTGAATTGACCTCAGAGAGTCCCCAATGCCTCCTTGAAAAGGCTCAAAAAAAGGACTTCGAATTCAAATTTATTCCCACAGAAGTGTTCGATTTATCAAAGCACATAGAAAGAAGATTCATTCCTATCTTAAATACTGGATATGAGAAATCCAAGGTATTCCATCTAAAGTCGTAATAAATTTGCACATTTTTACCAACTTGTGGAATTAATTCATTGAACCAAACACAGCACAAAAACCGAACGAAATAACAACAGGAAAGCAATTAAAATCGAAGAAAACAAACAAAAACAAAACGTTTATTCATCATCATTATTTTTTATTTATTCTTTGTGACAAATGAGAAATAAAGATAAAATTTATTCCACAAAAAAGCACAAAACCAAACTCACATGTACAAACTCCAGAAGCATCTTTTCCGTCATTTATCACAAATATCCATTTGTCCCAACTTAGTTGAGCTTCCCAACAAACAATCGATAAATATCAGTTTTATTGAACACTGTTAGACATATCTTTTATCGAGAGGTTTATCAATAAGATCACTGGATTATCCCACAATTGCTATACATTAAAATCATTTGTTTCAAAATCCTGGTCATCTCATCAATCCTGTCAACAATTGAAGCTTTATCCACAGACTTTTCTGCACCGAAATAAAAAGCTTTGTCATCACTTTGGGAAGAGTTTGTTTGTGTTGGTTAAAACTATTTGTCAGCAAGAACTTCCTTTTGAAGAATTTTAAAACAATTTTCCCACAGAAAAATTTTCAAGCCAACTTTTCGTCTTTTTTTTCGATATACTTTGTGATTGCTAAATGATTTTCAGTTTTCCTTTTATAAAAGTCTCAAAAACATTGCAAGTCATTTATTACAAGTCTTTGACTGTAGCAAAGGCGAAGTCATTTCTCACGTTTTACGGTCGAAAGAGGAAAATCGATTGCAAAAGCGTAAGAAAAGTTTTTCGTTGTTTTTGCCAAACGATAGAAGAAAAATATCGCAAATTTTGAAGTATTTTTTACAGCTGAACTTTTTTAGAGCGGTAACTTTAACAGACTTTTGCGAAAGCATCGAAAAACCTGCTGGAACCAGAAGTAATGTATTTCAATTTGAACTAGAGCCAACAAGAAAATTCTTCAGAAATAAGTTTCCGTCGTTTCGTTACATTAGACAATGAGAGGACAAAGTTTCCGACTTTAGAGACAGATATTCATTTTTGTCAGAGCTTCCCAATCGAAATGCCAACTCTGAGATTTTAAATTAAATGTATCATCATAGTTGCAATAATGGATAAATGAAATGACTGAAAAGTTAACGAAGGTATTTGAAAGCTTCCCACAACTGTTAAAGCAAGACTTCGAAACGAAATCAGTTTATGTTTGTATTTCCCCCCAAAGCATATCATTGATTGAATCTTCCAAATTGAAATGGAACTTCAATTTCATGTTTCACTTCCTTTATGTATCCAAAGTATTATTCCAATTGAGTGCATTTTTCGGTAACGTTTGATTCGATATAAACACATGTCAGTTTTCTCTGAGACGTTGAAAATATGATCAAAGTTCAATAGAAGTCTTGCTTCTCAGTAAAAAGGAAATTGACATGCATTACAAACAATTTATGTTGACTATAAATCATAAGAAAATTTCAAATTTTAAGATGTTTGGAAGACAACTTTGATCTCGTTTACGAAGTCATCGAATTTTAATAAATAAAAACTTTTTTCTTTAAATCTCACAATAATGAAATTAATCAATTCAGCAATTGCAATAAAAACATTTAACCAAAACTTGTAAAAGATCTTTTTAAAGAATTTATTGGACTTCAGACACTCATAAATTGAATTCATGAAGCTGAGATAATGCATTTTAAAAGTTTCTTTTTTTCTTCTTGCGTTGAAAAACATTTCTCGAAGCTTTATAGCGTGGATTTTTTTCTAATAAATTTTCCTTTCATCTACTCTCACAGGAAAGCATTAAAGAGGTAAAATTGCTCGTGAAAGCGAAAGAAATTACTCAACGGTGGAAACGGAACATGAGAATAAATTCAATTTGAAGAGCTCAAAGAAAATGGAGCATTTCAGAAAGTTTACGATTGCATGTTAAGCTCAAACTTCTTTTCAAAAATGCATTCGAGGACACTTCTAAATGTCAAAAAGATTTCCTGCTCAGATAAATATGGAAATCATGTCCTTACATGTCACAACTTATGGCAGCTTCCCATGATGTTAAAAGATTCCTTAAACCACTGAAATGAATTTCAAATCATTCACGACATCATGATTTTATGAATATTTTATTACATAATTTTCGTATGTATTTAATACAACGTGGAAATCTTTTTTCATCTTGTGCAATGAATAATTTAAAACACTTTAAATTTTACCTGAATCTTATGGATCATAAAATCTGTTTTAATGTTTCAATTTACCTACGACAGAAAAATAATGAAATTTTACAAAGGATTATTTAAGAATTATTGGAGAAAGGCTTTTCAAATTATTTATTTTTGTATAATCGTTCGTAGTAGTAAAATTTTTTCTATGCAAATATTAAAGTCATAAACATGCTGTGGGGTGGACTGAAACAACTATAAATTATGATTATTTGATACTAACTTTCGGATATCAAAAAATTTTATGCAGCATAAGTAGCTCATATGAAAATGCTAAACAATTTAAAAGAGTATAATTTGGTTGTTTAGTAAAGTTAAAAATAATATTTTTACTACATATTTTGAAATCCTAAGCGCACACGTTACTTCCACATGAATAATTCAAAGTTGCGTTAACTATTCTCTTCCTCTGCAATAAACGCAAAATTCTTGTGACAAAGCTGCGAATATGTTCTGCTCAGCTGCGTGCACGCACATGTTGTGAATGTAAAAATGCCGAAATTAGCCACGCATGGCTTGAGTTATAAAAGCTCTCAACAAGAGTTGGAAATTTTTCGAAAGGAAACTAGGAAAAGCAAAAGGAATTTTCATTCCATTTGCAACAACAATAAATCGTGAATAATTTATGGCACGAGTTCCATTAGAAAATTGAAATAAATTCTTTGAATATTTCATCTGCGATGAAGTAAAAGCTTTGTTCGTTCGCTCGGTCTTTTTCACCTTCGCTTCATTTGTGCCATCTGATAAAATTCTACGGCTTATTTAATGAATTTGATGTAAACGGCGATATATTTATAGTTGTAGGCAGACTTCATGTCATTTTGTTAAGTCATTTCAAATTTCAAATGATTACAAATCTTTTTTTTATTTCCTTCGATTTCTCAACCCGATAAGTTGAACACGAAAATAATAATAAGAAAACAAGGATGTTTAGTATCTGATGACGATTGAATTAGGAAGATTTTAATCGTACTCCTTTCTCTAATTTGGATCGAATACTAATTTAAAATTCAGTTAACGAAAAGTAATCAGTTTCATGATTAAGAAAACTCTCAATTTCATTCTTGTCGCGTAGTGAAATCTTCTTTAAAAAAATGGGGGATTTCGATTCCATTTCAGGTCCATCTAGGATGCGCTATGCATAACTTAAAAGCATAAAAAATGCCCATCTAATATTGCAGGATTAATTCTAATCACATTTGAACAACGATAAATTTCTGTCCTTTCTGTCCCACCAAAGAAGCTTTTTGAGAACGTCACGTAAACGGCCTGGAAAAAATTTCGTGGCGAGTTGCCTGCGTTCTCTATCTAATTTTCAAAATTTATCTCACGACCGAAGAGATCCGCAATGAAAATTGACTTAATCTTAATCAAAGAACTGAGCAGATTGTGCATGAATAATGTTTGTGATTCTCTCATTTTCTATTAGAAGATTCTCAGCACGCTTTATTAACAAGTGATGCTTTTGTGCGTTGTTTTTGTTACAACATCTAAATTAGAGGCCATCGTTCAACATCAAAGATTTCATGAAGGCTCTCTTATTGAGATAAGATTTGCAGTTTCAGCAAAGTCTAACAAATTGCGACTTGAGTGGAAACTTCTTTTCTTTTCTTTTTTTGACGTAATTCTAAACTCATTACTGCGACAGATATTTTCATCTTTAAGACGCTTTAAAGGTCGTTAAGGCCATAAAGAAAGATTTGCTCTGCTTCCTTATTTTCCCATAAGGATTTTGCTTCAAATTACTTTCCTTTCTGTAAAGTGGACTTGAAAGGCCATTTAAACGACCAAGTTGAACGAAATTTAATTAAATTTCCTTCTTTTCAGTGATTCGAGTTTTGTTGATCGTGTTAAGGTTGTGTCAATAAAAGATGCTTCAAGAAAAAATAAGCAGATTTAAAATCATGGAAAAGAATTTTCTCATGCTCTGTGATATTTTATACGACATGAAAAGATTTTTTTGTTCTGTTTTTCTTTGAAATTTGCATAATTTCAAATTGAGTTTTTTCTCTTCTCGATTTTCTCTGTCGATCTTTTGAAACTTAGTTAAATTGCTTCGTTTGTTATCCAAATGAGAAATAAAATTATTAAATAATTTTTTATAGATAAAAATCTTCGTTCTTTCTGTTATTTGTAGGAATTTTGTGGAATTTTAAGAGATTTGAAAAGGTGTCGCCAATAATCAGTATAAATTGCTATCATAATATTTACAAAGGAGTAAGGAAAGCACATTGATTATAAAAGTTGGTTTGTATAGGAAATATTCTTTTGACATGAAAGCCTTTTAGTGTAAGTCATAGAACGTCCATTAGAACGAAACGATGCGGTAGGTCATTAAGTTGCGTGATTGAGAAAAATATAATATTTAAAGGCCGCTTAAAGTTATCACGTTCATTTTTTTATTATTGATTTTGTTTCCTATCCGTTAAGTCTAAGCTTAAAAGCTTAAGGCGTGACTTCCAAAATATATAAAAAAATAATCTTCATTTTTCAAGGATATTGTTGATTTTGAATCATTTACCGATCTTAAGACCGCAACGAAAAATATTACAAAATTTATATTCCAATGAAAAAGAACAGAAAAACTTCGAAAATCCAAACCAAAAGAATTCTCAAGAGGTAAAACCACTTTATGGCTGAAAACAAAACCAAGACGGGAAAACAACACTTGAGGTGAAAACAACAATTTATTGGAAAGACTTCCCAGTATTGACAAAGGTCAGTAGCAGTTGTAAAGTTACTGACATTCTATCGAAGGATTTTGAGATTGTTTATGTTTTCTTAAAAAACAAAGTTTGCCACTGAATGAAATATGGGATGACACAGATTTTCACGCCTTTCAAATGATTTATGACTCGAAGCATTATTTGTTATTGAGCAAAATGTGATAAGATTAGAGGCGCTCTTCACAAACAACGCCATTCGTCGATTCGAACGCAAAAATATTTATGATTTCAACTGGAAAATGGGATGAAAAACTTTCCATTATAGAAGTGAATGTAGAAGTTTGTAAAACAAAAACAAAATAACAAACACGACCTAACAGAGTGACATTTCTCTGAAATGTGTTGACATTAAGAGATTGGAAAATGCAAATTCAATTTCAGAATGAAATTTGAAAAGTTTCAATTCTGAAGAATTTCATTTGATTCACTTAACTTGAATATTGAATCGAAGCTCTCTTGGTCGTAAGTCACAGATCGTGACTAAGTTGCCAGTACAAATGTAGATTAATTTGTAAATATATGGCAGCGTTTTCAATTTACTAGTTTCGACTTTCAATCCTATTTCCATAGAAAAATGGAAAATTCTTGGCTCAAACTCAATTTTTTTTTGCTTTTTCCTCGAATCAACTTGAGAGAGGAAATTTAATGACTCATGTTCTTGTGATATTAAACAGAATCATTAAACATGCTTCCTCGACTTAATTGTATTTTAATGATCTTTTAGAACGAATGAGTATGCTGTTTATGATAGAATTCAAAGCTATAAATTATAAATGTTGAATGAAGTGCCACAGCAGGGTTCAATCATTGCAAAGATTTAGGATCAACGAGTTTTCATTAAAAAAATGTTTTGAGTAGATAACAAATAAAATTTGAACGTCCAGAGAAATTGAAAATTTATTAATGTTTCATTTGAAAGAAGAAAAATGTAAATAAATCCAACATTAACATTTGAATTGTACATGCAAGATCATGTTCCATGCTTTTAGATGAAATGGAAAAAGAAATCAAATTAGAAAAATCTTCGAGACAATGGAAATACAATTTTGGCACAATTAGACAGCAAGCATTTCCCTTTCGGATGAAACTACGACGAGTATAGAAATGAAAGCATTGAAAGAAGAATTTCAGCAATATCTAATTTAAGTTCTTCTATGTTTGTTTTCTTGCCTTTTTCTCGCTTATAAACGATGAAACAAATACAAATGAAAATCATTGTCATTCAACTAGATAATTTGAAAAAGATGAGAAGACAGAAAAAATAAATTGACGTAAATTACTACTTCAAATGTCTCATGCAAATTGGATTAAAACTTTGTCTGTCGCCACAAGCTCCATAAGCAAATTTCACGACTATGTGCGTCTATTGATTTCACAGCCATCATTAATTTTGATGGCTGTATGTCAACTTTGCTTCCATAGGAAATTTGAGTTTGCAACATTTTTTTTGATAAATTGTTTGCTCGCTGATTTTCGACATTTTAAGAAAAACAAGAAGAAAAATTTATTTTGATTTATATCTTCTCAATATCCAATTAATTCAATACCATGGAGACTTAATTAGCGATTGAGTTTTTTATATGAAGGCAAAAAAAAATAGGCAAATAAGCAATCGAAATACTCCCACACAACGTAACGCTTTTCTTTGTGTAACAAAAATTTGTTCATCAAGAATCTGCAGAAGGTACTTTTAATATCCCCTTTTCCTTTATTCGGAAATCGGAAATTGTTTTGTATCTAATGGCAACCATATAAAGAATCACTCAGCCATTTATGAGTGAATAAAAATGTGGAAATTGTAGTTATATTTTATATAAAAGTAAAACTTCCTCATTGACCTTCAGCCAACAACCTTTGGATACTCAACATCGATAAATTTTTCATCAAGTCATGACAAATGACAAATCATGAAAAAAGAGAAAGTTGCTCATTAATTTTTAGATTTTGATTAATGTTTACATTTTTAACATCTAATGCCACTTCATCTTTTGCTCGCTGGCACGTTACTTCAAAGTTTATTCAAGAATAAAACATAATTGAAAAAAAAGTTGAGAAAGAATCTTTTATTCTTTCACTTTTTTTTCGTTTGAAAGCATCACGAAGCAGATGCCAGGTATTTTCCGGAAGATATTTATTTCAATTTTCGCAGGCCTTCGGGCATCCAAACAGCTTTATTCAGATTCGTTAGGATAAAGATAAATGATTTTTACGTTTTTGAGCCCCAAGGACATAAAAATTCTTGAAAAAATTCTTTATGTCGTGTTTGAGATACATTCTTACGCGAAATGTTCGCAATATTAAGTATTTACATAAATAAAAGAATCTGTGGTTGCTTGAGTGAATATTTTTTATTCATAACGTAACCAACATAGCGAGCTAAAGGTTGTGAAATCACCCACAGCTAAGTGCTTCCTGTCTGTACATTTTCTTTTATATGGAAGTTGAAATCGCTTTTAGCCACAGTCATGAAGCGTGATATTTAGGTTTGAAACGAATGTTTAAAGCTCGTCGGTAAATATGATTTCAATAGCATGCAATGTGATATAAGCTGATAATTAAGTTAATTTAGTTTTTCCGTCATATATGATAAGTATCTCTGTTGTGCATACGATCAAGCATAAAAATATGTTAATTTAAGGTCACATCAATGTTACATGGAATTTCACATTTAAATCATCGAATTTTGATTCACACTCGCGCATACATTTATTCTATTACTCTTCTTATTATATTCAAAGGCATATTATCACATTCACATCTCATCTAAAAATATCTCCCCAATGGATTATTATTTCAGATAGTTTCTAGGCCAAAATAAGATTTATAGGGTCGTAAAATTTTCTATTTGTTCTCGTCCTGATTTCGAGATAATATGCCAGAGAAAATATTTTGTCCGCTTTATTTGGTATGTTAGATGATTCCATAAGCATTTGTCATTGAATTGGACAAACACATTAAATCAAATCAAAGCCTGCATTGAACAAAACCAAAACCGTATTCAGAGTTCTTGCAATCTCTCAAGTCTTTGATTATAATATTACACAATGTATGATACCAAAAGCGTATTCTCGATAAACCATGAGAACATTGAAGTTTACATTGCTAAGAGCTGAAAACAGCTTCAGATTCGAACATTTGAAACCATAAATTGTGGAATTTTCATAAAAATATTTCAAGTAGCTCACTTGAAGTTTGCAACAATGGCATTAAATCCGATGGCAACAGAATAAATTTCTTTCAATCTTCTCTAGTGTTGAAGCAATCTTTTGTCTATAAATTCCTAGAGAAAGCATTTGATAATTATGTTCTTAACGATAAAGCTCAATGTAAAATTATGTAGAGATGTGAAAGATGAAGCAGCATCAACCAAGAAAATAAATAAATGAATTTATTTATTTATTTATTTATTTACATAAGTATAAATGATAATATCAGTTAAAAGCAAGTTACAATGTGGAGATAATTGGATAATTCATTTGTGGATAATGAAATTAAATATTTATGCTTATTTGAGCTTATGAAAATGTAATTTGGGGAATAATTATGAATATCTGAGTATACATTTATTAAACATGTAAATCTATAAATCAAAAGTTATAATCAGAAGTTTCAGGAATGAATCAACTAAGATTAAACATTAGCCATGATACTTGAAAAAATAAACAGCACAAAGTTGAAGTTAAGTGAATAAATTAAGATATTAAAAGTGATTTCAAAAAACCTTCTGATAAAAATTTCAATGGAGAAAACCTCAGGTGAAATAACAGCACACAAATGGCAAACATTCAGTGTAAACGATTTTAATTATTTCGCCTAAGCGCACAAAGCAACAAAAAATTCCTTAATTCATGCAAAAAACAAAATAGCACAAGAAATCGTTCCCAAATGTTTTTATTTCCACGAAGACGCAAAATTTATTTTCAAACTCAGCAAGACATCATTCGTACTGTTTTTTTCTTGTTGAACATAAGTAATATTATTTCAGTAAATGAAATAAAAACGGAATTGGCATACAAATTCTAATTGAATGTATAAAACTTAAAACTCAGAATGAGAAGACCTTCAAGGGTTTTGCTGGGAAAGTTATTTTTATTCTTCTGGGATCGCAAGTAAATGTGTATCCTTCAGGCCTTTTTTTTATGTTGTCATTTCAAAATCAATGTTGCTCCATTTGTCATGCGGACGGAAAAAACGGAAGACAAAATGTGTTAGGAGGCAAACAGGCAAACGGGTCTGATGCCAATGTCCAAAATGTGTGTAAATATTACTGAGGTGTCAGCGGCAAAACGGAAGAAATTCGAAATTGATCATCATCATTAAAAGCAATTGAAAATCATAAAAAATACGCCTGACCCAAACGATAACTTAACAAATTTGTGTTGCTATTTATTTGCTGATTTTATCTGTTCTCTCAAGAGTATTTTCATCAAGTGTTGGAAAATAAGAAACAAATTGATACACACAACACACGATCCTAAACCATCAACATCAAATAATTCTCATGTGGTTCACATTTTTCACAAAATTTTCTTCTTTTACTGATCCCATTTTGAGAATGAAACTTAACTTGAGATTATTCTAAATCAGTCAATGATCTTCAGTAATAAATGTCTAATCAATAACAAGAAATTCAATTCTTCCACTAAGCTATTCATTTATCTTTCTCTGCATAATCTGCTCAGATAAATGAAAACTTTTATCTGCATAGGTAGAAATATTATCGACATTTGATTTTCACAGGTGCTACGAATATAAATTCAATGGCTTGGAGACAGAGATAAAAAGCTTCTGTGAAATATTTGTTCGAAACATGAATACATATCAAGAATACGCAAGCGATTACGCATTTTCTTATTCTCTAACCAGAGTTAATATATGGCGTCATGTTAACAATTGATCAACTAGTAAATAGATGAATTATCTGGAAAAACACGATATTTGTTTATGGTCTCAAACAAATTTCTGTCTGGCGTAAGAATTTAACGTACAAAGCAACAACAGCTTTGAGAAAACGACAATGAAAAAGCTTTACATTTAAATTTATTGGTCTCGAAAGACATCTTAGGAAAGAGTATTCAAGTCGGCATATGGCGTAATGCTATCAAAAACATCGAAATACCAAACGGAAAATGAAATTCTCGTGTTGTACATGTTGTTCCTGTTTTATGGTTGAGTCATTTTTCTTCTCGTTTCTTCATTTAAAGATTTTTTCTCTTGCCACATTTTTTATGTGACTCGAAAAGCTGACTTATCATTTTTCAAGAGGGAAGTTTTATCGTATGAAAAATATAGAAATGGGATCTGTTTTGACTACTTGACAGTGTGGTTGTAAATATTCCAAAAAGTGTTGACAATTCTCTTGACGATTTAAAAGTGTAGAGAAGCACTTTACCTTCACACTCCTTTCATTATTCTTTCGAGGATATGAAACAATTTTGATTAGTTCATTGCGGGATTTCATTGTAGGTGGTTTCAGTTTACATCTGATAACATTAACAAATATACTGTCCTCGGACAACATGAAGTGAAGTGGACTAAAATGTTCCATGAGGATATGTATGACTTGCAAAGATAAGAACAATAAATATTTGAGCAGTTCAGATTAATGAGTGCTTTGTAAGTTGATGTTGATTTTGTCAGGTATCACTTCAAGCATCTCTAATTTTTCTAAGTCTAAGATAAATTGAATTAGTCAACGAGGTTATTGATAAATTGATAAATGAAGTGAACATAAATTATGTTGCAGGTTAATGTTGTCTCTTAAAAGATCAACATCAAATGGGAATATCATGTAAATTTAACATTTTTTTCATGGGAATGTAAATTATTCAAAAAGAAAAAAGAAATTTTGTATATCTGGCATTAAATTTTATCGCTTTGAAACTAGGCTTGTGTGACAAGGAATCACATTAACATTTACCTAGATTCTTATAATGTAACAAGCTGAATGGCAATTCTTACGTGACAACCTGTTAAAAAGTAATAACACTTACATGTAGCTGCTTTTTAGAGATTCTGAAGCTCCATTTTTTAAGCACCTATATATGAAGGCTTTATAAAATAATCTAATTTTACGGTACAACTAATACCAAGATTTTCTTGCTTCTGATCAGCATTTACGGCAAAGGATATTAAGAATTTATGTTGCTCATAAAATTTCACATATTTTTCCATTGATTTTTATCAGTTATTTAGAAGAAACGCTGTGAAAATAATTACATTTTTCCATTCGAAGAAGTAAATGTTCACTCAATTGAAAAACATGATAATAAAGTGCAATGTACATATCCGATTAAATTTTAATCGAACAAAATGAATTTTACGCTTTGTTATGCTTTATGACTTCAATTTTATGTTTCTAGGTTTAAACCTTGTCTTGGTAGAGGTTGTTGGAGACATTTTACAACGTTTACGCTGTCACATGGAAATATTTACGAGAAAAAAAAATTAAACTTTGAAAAATTGTCATAAATATTATAAACAATTTTATTGCGCTGAAAAATGATTTGTTTAGATAATCCGATATCTCCAAAATAAATTCATGAAATTTCTTAACAAAGATGTGAAAAAAGGAACAAAATTACTTGACGAGTGCTTCAATTTGTTGTCTTTTCCTTATCTTTTTTTGCGTCATAAAATTTGTGGTCTTCTTCCAATAAAACGAGCTGGATAGAAATCTTTATTCTCTTTTCATGGCTTCCGTTGACTGGCGTCACAAAACATTTACGGCTGAGAGAAACATTCCAATTACTGACATTTTCGTTCTGGAAGTTAAAAAGAAAACTAAATTTTCTAGAATGTTGTTGCTTCTCAATGTAGACATCCAACATTTTATAAATTAAATTAATCTTCGTCACATTAGTTATTGCTGAAAGCTCATGAAAACATTCATCCTTGGCAGATTCAATCATTTTTAAACCAATAACCAAATTTTGATTATTACTTGAATTTTACACACAAATAATTACTGTCACTTTTAATTAGAGTTATTATAAGAAAACATGTTTATTTTAAAGGGAAATTCAGAAGTTAAATTTTCTCAATATGTTTATGGACTTTTTATTCCACTTTTTGTTTTTGTCGAGAACCACTAAAAGCTTGTTTGAAAAGCGACTTCAAATCAATCTTCCATGTGACAGAATTCTAATTAGTTAATGAAAAATTTTCAATAAAAATTCGAATAACTTTTTTTGCATTGAAAATTTAAAACAAATTTCAATAAATCTTTGCCAAAACATGTTTTGTGATTCACATGAAAATTATTAAATAATTTATTCAACCGATTGATCAATTCATTTCTTTGTTTTGTTCAGTGAAATTCCAAGAAAACAAACTCACAAATTCGACTTTGTAGACAAAACATCATAATTTAATGTTGGTATGGCTAATAAAGTTGAAAATTTAACCTGACATCCTTTCAACATTAACATTGAAACTTTCTGCCGTATAAATACAAGTTGAAATTTCTTGCTGTCATTGTAAATTTCAATAAAGCTTCATAAAATTGTTTTTTCATGTTTTCCATTATCAAGGAGAGAAAAAAAAATTAAACGAATTTTCATTTTTGTTTGTGTAAAGCTTTCGAAGGAATTAAATAAATTGTGAAAATTGTTGTGAGATTATTAACGATTTTTGATGATTAAAATCCAATTTCCTTAACTGCTCTGTTTAATCGAAATTAAAACTGTTTAATTTCAACTTCTGAATTTATCATCAATCCTGGAAAAAATGTTTATTTTAATGTGCAGCAATGGTGTAAGTAAATTAAATTGAAAACTAAAATCTCTGCATTTATCTTAATTCCTTAAAATGCTTATTAAGTAAAGTTTCTTTTGAGATCTTACATGGCTACTTAAGTATCACAGAATTCATGAAATATTGCACGACATTTTCCTTCCTCTTCCCTAAAGCTTATATTCATGAATAAAGCTAGCAAAAGAAATTAAATAAAAGCAAGTTGACAATAAACAGAATAATGATTCGATGTAAACAGACAATTTACAAATTTATTGGAAGCCCTTAGAATATGGTACGATCGAAAATTTTATAAGAAGACAGTTTAAGTCATCTCATGCCTATAAAATTCCAAATTTTGCGACAAAAATTGAGAAACATAAATCTTGGCTTTTGGCAATGTTTTCTTTCGCTCTCATAAACATTAATTTGTCCAAAAATTACAATTTATAAAATTTGTAGATTGAATTGTTAAGAATCGATTTTGAGAGCAACAAAATTATGGAATTTTCTATTTTGTTTATGTGTTTCTATACGTGTCAATCCATCAAATCACCGCTTTTATTTTCTATTTCATAAAATTAAATGACAGATTTGTTGTTTAACGACCGCTCAATGAAAGTCTTGGTGATAGTTAGATACATAGTTCCAACAAAATCGCTGAAAGGGTGGACAAATTAACGGTCGGGTGTCATGCTTGTTATTTTAAAGAACACGCTACAAAGCCGAGGACAAAGTTTCCCGCATAATAGCACAGAAATTTAATTTAGAGAAAATTGTATATAATTTTAGTATGAATATATACATAAACTATTTCGTGACAAAACTTTGTGCGCTAAAAATATTTCTCCATTTCAATTGTTCTGTGTCTATTATTTCACATATATGAACATTGCATGGCATATAAAAGGATAATCTCCAAAAAATGTTCATTTAGGGTTCATTTAAACAAAATAAATACATGACCAAATATATATAAAACATGCAAGTTCTATGAAAATCACAAAATGATATTAACATTCTTGAAGCTCTTTTCATCGTGCCAAGTTGGCATTTTCAACGTCCGATGATTTTTTTTATGTTGACCAGAACTCGACTATCAAATGAAATGTGGCAAATAACAGTAAAGTAACCAAATTCGTTACTAAAACTGCAAAGTGAACATTTTAATGGTTATTAATGGAATGACACGAACGAATCAACCAGTTTTTACAATTATTTAAAAATAATGACCAAGAAAAAGTTATGACTAAAGGCTTTCTCATGATTTCTAAATAATTAATAAATTTAATAATAAATATTAAAGAAATCTCTGACAGAATCACGGATAAGCTTGTAAAATTTTACTAAAGGAAGAATGTCGTATAAATATAAGTCTTACAATTTATGTTTTGCAATACATTTTTATTTCTTGTATTTTTTTGCTTCATAAACTTTATGAACTTTGACTGACAAAAGGAAAAAAAAGCCTTATCTCTATAAAATCTTTATATCTAGATTTGCGATGCTTTTCGTTATGGTGTTCGACCTTAAGAAAGAAGAATGGATGGATTGGCCGTTTCTGCTAGTCGTTTAAAGGACTTGAAATTTGCTAACAAAACATAAGGTAAACGAGTCGTAACTCAAGCTTGAATATCTTCTTTCCTTCTGATTTCAACATTTATTATGCTAACAAATGTTTTCATTATAATCTTCAATTTACTCTTGGGTTAACGATTCTGAGAAGAGAAGGCTGACTTCTTTTATGCAAACAAGAATTGTGAAAGAAAAAAGAATAAAAGTATGATAAAATTTAATTAAGATATTTCAACAGTCATTGCTTTCATTTCAAGAAGCATTGTTGATGCCTGAAATCATAAATTTGATTACAAATCTCTTAACCTGAAGAAGAAATGAATTTTGAATATAAATTCACTGAAGGAAGTAAAGTATGCTCAACATCAAACAATGTCTTTGTCTTCTTATGTGTGTATAAATATTAAGTCATTTGGAAATTGTATTGATTGGCTGATTTCTTCAATATAAAAGCTTCATTCACTTCATTTATTTCTTTCTTTGGAAATGACTACTCCGCTTCATTGAGTACTTCCAAACATCAATCATCACATTTAAGATTCTGAAAGCTCAGCTGCTTTAAACTTACTGATTCTATTATGCTTACAAGAGAGGAAGTAGAAAAAACTAATTTCAATGTAACGATAACATAAGGAAGTTGATGAAATCAGGCATTTTTCTTATAAAAACAAAGAATGTTTTTCTAATGAATACAAAGAATGATTCTACAATTAATTCTATTCAAATATATGCAATGTAATGCTTGAATTTCCTACATAAAGTAAAAATATAAAATGAACTTTGAAAATAACATAATGGAGATTAAATTCGACAGCAAAATCAATAGATACATTTTTATAAAAAGATTTAAATGAGAAAATATTCTAAGAGCCTGTTGTGTTGTGACACTTTAAATTGACAAAGGTCACAGTTAAAACAGGCTGCTCCAATACCAACCAACTGTTTCAACTGCTTTATTGAAATGAAATCAAATCCCACAAGAAAGAAAACCGAATAATAAATGAAATAAAGACTCTATGAAATGGGTGGACTTTTCGATGGAAAATGATTCATGACTAGTCTCAAGTTTATGTGACTTAAATATTAAAATCATAAATAAAAGTATAGTTAAGAATAGAGACTTATATAAAGTGAAAAGGAAATGAGAAATATGAAATCTATATGAATACGTGATAACATAAAAAAACTCCAACATAATTAAGCATTAAACTCTTTTTAATTTTGTAAACTGTTTTCACCACAAAAATTTCAAAAGGGATTTTAATTTAATTGAAATGGTTTTTCTTTCACTATTTTTTCTCATTAATTATAATTTTCTGTGATTTTTATCAAGAGAATTTTCCGGGATATGCAAATTTTTTCATGTTGCTAAAGCTTGGAACATTTCTGTACTACATTTTCTTTGGATGAAAGGTTACCCTTCACATAAAGCAGATTATTTAAAGCTTTTTGCATGTGATGTGAATATTTCAACAACAAATATTTTGTTTCACGAACTAATTAATCATTTAAAATTGTTCTCCACTTTAAAGTAAATCTCGACCTTTTAAATAATCATTTTTGTAATAAATTCATCAAAATGTCGTTTGCAGAAATTATTTAATTAGAAACTAAGAATTAAAGTTAATAATCTTTAGCTTTTCATGTTCATGTAATGGAAGGTTTTCAAGTTTCCGTGTTTGTAATTAATTAAGTTTGAGAAGTTTTCTATTAACATGAAGCCGAAGTTTTCTGACTGTATGTGATTGAGGAAAATATTTTAAATTTCCATTAAAATTGTTTCGGGAAAGTTCTTTAATTTTCCGCATTTTCATTTGTATTGATTTCATGAGAAATGAAAAACTTTTTCTATTTCATAGTTGCCCCAAAAATTTCAAAGGAAATCGTTGATGACAGCTGGTTACAGCAGGATGTCAACCACTAGATTGGCAAACATCAATTGAAAAAGTGCATTGGGATCAGTTATTGAAATGGAAAATATATTCAATACAAATTGATTGGCTGATTGATTTACAATTTAATTTTTCAAACGAACGTCAACTCACTATCATTCCCATGAAACCATTTGATTGAATTGAAGGTTAACTTGAAACTAGATAAAAATTTGTAAAAGGAATGTTATTTTTTTCAATCATCTCTCCACTCTTTATCAAAATAACATTTTCATTCTCAGAATCCTCAATTTCACGTCTCATTTCATGCCATCATCCTTTCAATCATTTTTCGAATGAATGCATTTTTAGGTTTCATGACGCTGTCATCTGAACAGAGTAAATCTTTCTCCGTGAGGAAATTTAGTCAAAATAATTTTATTTCATAAAGTTTCATGAGAAATCTCTCAAGTTCGGGTCAAACAAAAGACTTTTTCATAACTTTGTGTTCTTTAAGACATTTTGAAGTTTCTTCTTTAAGAACAACTCAGTAAATAATTCCTTCAAATGTCGTCTTCATTTTGTGTCTCCTCATCTGAAAGTTTACATTTAAAACGCATGATAAATTTGCGGAAGATAAAATTTAAATTCTTATAAAAATTATTCTTGTAAATTCCTTTTCCTTACGAATACTTTTCATCCCTAACATAATTGTTCTTATGAAAATTTCCTAAAGTGGTCCTCGAAGAATTTCCGTTTCTTTAGCTTAGGCGAAGAAATTACGTTTCAAATGAATATATCTTGTAATTCCATACTTATTCCAAACAACGGCAAGTGTTTTCATGTCTAAGAAGCTTTTCGGTCGTTAAGCAAAATGAAGCGTAATTTTCTAGCTAAGAAATTCCTTAGAATTCCCACGACTAAGGTGAACATGGATATAAAGTGAAACGAGCGAACAAACTGGACGAGATTTAATTAAAATCCTAAGTTACTTTCAAGAGAGTCACCATTTCTATTTGCGATATGCTAGTAACTAAAAGATGTTCTTTGAAAATTAAATAGATTTAAATTCATGAAAGATGCAAACTTTCTTGAGTAACTAGAAAACAATGACTTTTCCCTGAGATAAAAGATTTCTTCTTCATTCTGCCTTGGTTTAGGCTTTTGTTCTGATATCTATTTGCATAATTTCAAATTGATTTCTAAAGATTCGCATAAGAAGAATGTTTGATTCATTTTCCAACATCAAAAGTTCTTTAAAGAGACTTAAAGTTTGTGAGTGAAAATGCTGATTATAAATAATTTCGGACCAAGCATGATGATCAGGCATTACTTTGAGCTTTTTTACTGTTGGCATTTTAGTTATCAGCAAATATATTGCCCTATAAGGAAATTACATCGCTTACAAAGTTCATTTTACATAATTTTCAAACGTCACGGAAGTTTTGTAATAATTCTTTGGAACGTAAATTTTAACTTTTTCTTTTGTTTTTAATATTTCCAAGTATGCGTGTTGCGTCACAATTTTTTCCTAGCTTTTGCTAAGTTGAAGTAAGAACAATAAATTGTATATAATCATACATAAGTTGTTTTATATTCTTAGCATATTATTATCTTCATTCATCCATAAAATATTTAAAACGATTATTCATGAAGGAATATTTAAGAATCCGTTTAAAGAACCTTCAAAAAGTGAACATAAGTTGATATTTGGAAATTAATTATTAATTTAAGTCTATTTGTTGGCGTATATTAAATCTTAAAATAAATTCATGAATGAATGAACATTTAAAGCTCAACTTCTTTCATGAATACTGAAGAGTTGAAAACCTTAAAGTAAATTCAAAACCGATTAGATAGTTAGACATACTTAGGAAACACATTAAGTGAGGTCGATTAAATATGCGAAGCCATCCATAAAATTTACATAAAGTCTTTGCATTGATCAAAAATTCTGAATCCTTCAAACACCATAGATAATATTGTCGTCAACAAGCATGAAATCAATTTGAATGATAATATGATTCTGCATTTAAATAGCAATTTGCATATGTTTAAGTAGAACAACAACGATTACTTATCTAAATATTTATTACTCTACAGCGTTGAGTTGAATTTGACTCGTTTTAAATTAAATTGTAATGTTGTTAGTGTAAACTTTCATCTCTTCCAGCAAGATTTACATTGACAACAACATACAAATGCAATGTTTACATTGAATTCAAATGATAAGTAGAGGTTGGTCGTTCCAACAATTTCGTTTTCATTTATGCTAATGATAAAACTTCGTACTCTGATTAAGTTACTTAAACAAAAAAAGTTTTTTTTTTCCTTTTTTGTAAAGAAAACATTTTATTTAGGTCAACTCCTTTAACAGGCTGTAAGATATCTTTTGTTTTACTACAAGTAATTTTAGAAGGAAAAAAGTATTATGAATCCAGAATGGAATCAAATTTTCTAAGATTCGTTGTTTATGTCAGCATTTTGGCCCTTGATCTCGTCGTCCCTTTTCTAACGCTAAGAGCTGAAGGAAGAATGAATGAAACTCGTTGTCATTCAACGAGATAATTTGTAAGAGATGAGGGAGGCACAAAATTTAAATGGACGCAAATTACGCTTTTGTCTCATGCAAATTGGATTCAAGAGTGTCTGTTGCCGCTTCAGCAAAAATGTCTACATCATCATTATCGTCTTTCGACTCAATTTCCATCTTACGTCTACTCAGAAAAGGTGACAGATTATTAAAATAATTATTAAACATTGTCTTTCGTCTTTCGAGAAATATGAAAAGAGTCTTTGTCAGTTCTCCTTGTTATCTTGATGAATATCTCTTACGCAAACTACTTTCGCTTCACTCACTTCATTATCAAGATCAGAAAACTTTTTGTACAAAAAAATACTAAAGTTTCCTCAAAAAAGAAAAAGAATCAATTGGATAAATTATAACATTCCAAAGGTTTTGTGAATGTGAAATTGCAAATATTGTGGCGTTGTGACTTCCTTGAAACATTTTTCATGTTACGTTGTTTTTCAATCTCTCCCATTGTGTGAATACATAATAAGTATGAAATTGCCATTATTATGATGATGGAGACAAAGTTCTTGGCAAAAAATAGTATTGACGTAAATAGACGTAGTAAAATTGTTATGTGGGCTGAATTAAGAGACGAAATTTGTTTTCTCATGGCGAAGAAATGTATAAAAAATATACAAGGTGATGATGAATTGAATGTGGAAACTACAAAGTATTCATGAAACATTTCCTGATGTTTTCTTTGCACATAAAAATGTGACATAATAAAGAAAAAGGAAAGACATAGAGAATGACGGCTCGACATATTTATTTGATTTTTCTATGCTTCATGTTACGGGTATCTGTCCAATGTGTCTTATTATTAGGTCACTCGTATATTTAAAAAGGATTGCACGATAGTAAGCTTTCTTCCGAGATGAAGAGGAGGAATAGAGAGAAATTGAACATAAACTTTGTCTACTAAATTAAATACAAGAGACAAGGAAAATTTGCAGATAAACTGGACATCATGCTTTTCTATTATTTTATGTTCATTTTCATGTGTAAATATTCACATACCTTGCAGAAGTGAAGTATGAAACAATGAACAAATTTAGTGTCTACGGTTGAAAGAAATTGGAACATCTCTTAATTAAGTTATTTGATTTGGAACCAAAAAGTGAATCAAGGAATTAGTTCAGCAGATAATCAACATTTTTATTTTATTTCTTCTCTTTCAAAACAAGAAAGACGACATTTTATTGTCAATCTGGGGATTGGGAAGTAAAATTTAACAACAATGAAGCTTAATTAAGAGAAAAACTTTGAGTTTTGTTGTTGAATGAGGATTTGAAACTTTTGAGATTGTTCGAACACTGCTCAATATTTCATTTCCGTTGTCTGAACATAATTTTAAAGACTTAAATTAACTTCAACATTGAGACGTCAGCGATGTTGAAACTTTTCAAAGAAAAATATTTATGAGTTTTGATACAAGCACAAAAGTGAAAATCTAGGTAAACGTCGCTAAAAAGTTTTTGCAAAATTTATGCATAAAACAGATGAAGATTTATCTCTTTGACTCTAAGCAATTAGTTCATTAAAAGAGTAAATCAGGTTCATTAAAACTCTCTCGAAACTTTTCCATTAAATAATTTTTCTTTGATGGAAAAAAAATTCAATGAAAATTAAATAAAAATATTTTTAATATGCATGAATAAGAAATTTTAAGTAGATCACTAGTTCACCTTGTTACAGTCTTCAAGCGCATCCAATTTCTCTGAATAATGAAATTTCACTCAATCATTGATTCCAGAAAAAGTTAGCAAATATCATGTATGTGCTAGCATTAATCAATGAAGAATGAAACCGAATGAAAATAAACTGGAAAATATATTAGAGTTGCAGATACTTAAACTGAAAACGAGAACGTTATTAAATGAAAAAAAAGCTCGAAAACTGTAGTTGTGCAGCTGTAAAAAAGTAAACCCATCGCCCAAATTGAAAACTTTTCAATATTTTGAATTAATGAAACAGTTTCAAACATCTACGTTGCTAATGGTTAGCAACGTATTCAAAATGAATGAAGTTTTGAACTAGCGAGCTGTCGATTCTAATTTAATATTTCAGTGAGTGATATTGTTGAAGTAGACTGGGTAAACTGAGAAACAGAAATAAGGAGAATCGGTCAGAGATGAAAGGTCAAGGCGTGCAAAAATATTATCTAAGGAGATGTTGTGAGATCAGTTGTGGAATTTTCTCCATAAGCAATTTCTCATCAATCTATTTATGAACAGAAGCTTAATAAAAAGTCATTGTTATCGTATTAAAAACACAAAGATTATTTTCAAATTACTTCCAGTCGTTGCTTATCGTGATATAAATTCTCCCATTTTCAGACTTTGACGTTATATTTGGTCTTAATTTAGTCTCAGCACCCATCTCAGCGTGATATATTTTTGATAACATTTCATTCGTCTTAATTGAATTATAAGTTAACTTAAGTGAAAACATTTTAAATCTGACCCTGAAAAACACCTGAACGGAAATTAATCTCAACGTGAAACTCGAGGGAAGAAAAATTGAAAATTTTCCACGTTGCTTGTTCTCAGTTGTCGATAAGATGCAATTTGCTTTCGTAACTCGTGAAATCTCATAATTTTTTTCTTTTTTTAGGAAATTTATGACGATGTATAAAGATAATCTGAGATTAAGGGGCTGTGAGTTTCCAAGGATTTGTTGAAAAATAACATTTTGATGAACATCTTAATAATTTATTTGTTCAAACCTCTAATCCCCAAATTCACTTTCTTTTTTCGGTTTTATGATTAGGAAACTACATGGTGAATAACAGAATATAAATAAAATATTGCAGGAATCATCATGGTTTAGACTTTGGTAAAACAACAAGCTAACAATTGGAAAAGAAAACTGTTCACTCCTTTTAGCATTTATTTTCGTTCGAGAAATTTAACGACTAGTTAGTCTTGCATTACTTGACTTATAAATGCGGTCACTAGAGAGGAAAGGCGCCATAAATCATTCAAAGTTAAACCAAATGACGAGACTTAGGCAAACAATAAAACAATATTGCGGTAGGTCAAATGGGTGTGCAAATAGAATCTTGTTCTTCTATCAGCTACATAAAACGTTTTGCGAAGTTGAGATCCGTCTGGTATAAATCTACAGGGAATTAAGTTCTTGTTTGACGTCAGCGCGAACTTTTATGTGAGTTTAGCAAGTTCGAAAAGCACTAAATGGGCCATGTTCGTTATTTTATTAACGTTTTACCTTCACAAAGAAAATAGGAAAATGTTCATCATGCAGCAGTTCGTAATAAGGAAACTCTTGTGTAGATAAAGTCTGCACTTTCAGATTTTGTTGATTTTATGTTTCATGAAAAACAACACGATGTTCACAGCTACGGAAAAACCTAAAACTATTAAGCACTGATTACAAAGTGTTTGAACTCAACCACATTAAACTTTATCCTACAATAACTGCCATTAAATGAATACAATTCCAGCCAAGCTATCTCCTTTATGGTGAAGATGGTTTTAAGTCATGCGGAAGCATTGTGCTACCAAATAGAATCCTAAATAAACTCAAAAATTCCATCACTCTGCAAAGAAAGCCTCAGTTTGTGCACACATAAATTTACAATTATACATAAATCTCCAACTGAATCGTTTGTGCTTTTTTATATCAAACAAAAAATAAATGTTTACCGGGGGTCAAACGTTTATTTTATGTATAAATAACATGCTTTTTATTGAAAGGAAATTACTTTATCAAAATCGATCATTTCAAACCGAATTATGCTCGAGGGAATTTAAAAAAACAAAATCGATTTCATAAATTTTTCATAAATATTTAAATTGACACGATAAACATCAACTTGACTACAATTTTCAGTGCTCGTAGTTTGTTTCATTGTTCTCTTTCCGCTCAGAGGAAGTAGTTGCACAAAAACATTAAAGATTGATGTAAAACAACAGCAGTTGACCTCTCATTCACTGCATTTTTTAATCAAATAATTTGGTTTTAGTATCAGCAAACTAAGAATATTTGAGCACAATTTCATTTATTTTTAACAGCACTATTATTCACAATATTCTTGTTTCCATACGGGGAAACATAAAAGCACAGTCACTTAACATGTTCTCCTTCATGTAATTACATTTTAATGACTTTCCGTACAAATTCAAGGAGCTTCTGTGAGTGAAGGAAACACAAATTGTAGAAAATTAATTGTCGTTATTTCAAGTGATTGCGATATTATTCAGCATTATACAAAAGCTAAGTAGATTAGCTCCGAAGCTGGTTAATTTTACATTCAGAAGGTAACTTTGATATTTATTCCGCCTTCACTTTCATAAATGAATTTGTGATAGAGAATAAACACTCAATTTGAATGATGAAGGATTTAGATTCGCCTATTTTAAAGTTAAACTACTGAAATTTAGCATAAAGACGTTAATGATTTATTCATCATAATGTGAGGTGTACCTTTCAGGTTTACTTTACACTTTACATGCTTTTAATATATTGAATTAGATGTTACAATTCTATTTACTACTTTTCAATAAAAGAAGAAGAAAGTTTTATTGAGTTGTGATACAAATATTTGATCACTCTTTCTTAAACTTGTACAACAATAAATAGATTTGTTGACATTTCGAATTCAATTGAACTTCTTGGTTTGCTTTAAGAGTAATCCAGAAGTTATAAACGTCTTATCACTTTACGGACTTTTTCTTTTGTTGAAAGAAAACTTACTTATATATCTATCATATAAAATGTAGGTCAGTTTTTCAATTAAGAAAGAACTGGGAAGAGAATGAAATGGAATGAAAAGCTTCGTTATTGTTGCACTTATCCTTGTACGTTAAAAGCATTCTAAAGTAGTCATTTCTTTAATATATTTCTATAAAATTAAGTATCTAAAAGAAATTTTAAAGTTGTTTTTGCCTACACATTCAAGAATTTTGTATGAAAAAATAATTATGAGATCACTCGTAAACTGTCTCGTAAGATTGATTGAAGCATTTTAAGATAAACTTTGACGTACTAGATTTCTGTTCAATTTCTTTCTTGTCTATTGAAGAAAGAACAAAATTAGGAGAAGATAATTTCACTTCAAAGAAGATTTTCTCTCACGCTCTTTTCAAAACTTTCCTCTCAAAAAATAATCGCACAAGATTTTTGAAAAGCTCGCACCATCAGAAGCTTAAATTTAACATAAAAAATCAAAATTCAAACAAATTTATATCTAGTAGAAAATTTCTAAATTGTTTTTAATCACTCCTTTGTGAAGCTTAAAACAATCCATTCACTTTTTGATCCGACAAGGTTATTCTGAAACAAGGTGCAAACAATTTTAATGAAAGTTTTTTGCTTTGAAAAATTCATTTAAAAATTTCGAATAATCCATTGAGACGTGTTGTAATAAAACATAGTTTATACACTTTTCAACGAACCTTCATAAAATTTATGCGATGCTACAGAGAATATCATATTCATCCAACGTTCGCGTCGCACTAAAAACGTGTTTATGTTTTTATGAGAGTTTCATAAAAAAAATTTACTGTTTACACCAGTCGACGTTGAATGTGCATCACCTGTTATTTATGCTTTTAACTTACTCTTCCGTCATACAAATTGCCTTTTTTTTTTTGATACCGTGAACCACAATCAAGTTTAGGGAATAAAATGATATGAGAAGTGAATATCAAAGTTATCAGCTTAAGTAGGTCAATTTTTAACAATTTCAACAACATATCCGGTTCATAGAAAATTGTATTTTCAATATTAATAGAATTTTCTATTATCTCTGATTTATGATCCTGAAAAAATATTTTAAATTTAGAGGATTTCTCATATGCATGATTTCTAATGTTATTAAATATCAAATATCGGAAACTTAATCTCTTTATATGAACGTGTCTGAAGCAAAACAAATTACCAAGCATAAAGATGTTTGGATACAATAAATGTACATACGTTCTAACATAAGATGATTTCCGATAAAAATATGATTTTTCTAATTAGTGCAGACATGTTTTCTCTACCATAATATATTCACTTATAATATATGAGAAATTGAATTTTCTTGCTTATTTGGAGAAGCTTACTTACTATTTACTTATGAAAAACAAAAACTAAAAGCTCAACTATATGAATCGAGAAAGCTTTCTGTATACTCAACTATGAGCACAAAGTATTAAATTTTCTTTATTTATCAACATTTACAAATATTAGCGTAAGCTGTTTACTTTGTTTCAATCTATTTTCGTATCTGTGAAGTTGAAGGCACATGTGTTACTTACAAATATCTTTTACCTTTATATAATGAAAATTTAACTAATTAAAAGTGAAGTCTAACTAACAAGACTCTTCTCATAAAATCTTAAAGTTTTCAAATCTTTTAAATCTTCAATTTTACACAAGTTGTTGTAATTTAAACTTTTAATTTAAGTTTCAAATTGAAAAAGGTGACTTTGTAGCAGTAGATTGGTTTGTAAATATCCGAAAAATCTTTGAACAGCTAACATGTTATTTATATTGTGAACTCGACTCAACATCGAAACATTGGACAACGGAAGTAATCTATTTTCATACAAGCAGAATCGATGGTTTAATGTAAGCCAGAAATTTATTTTAACATTGGAGGCAACATCTGAGCAAATCATCAAAAAAATTTGAAGGATCTTCACATAAAAATTTATGAAGCGTTCCTGAAACGAGTGTTTTATTATCAACGCGACATACCATAAACTTTTTTCCCTACACATGTGCATCATAAAATACGAACGTTGCTTTGCACTTAAAAAGTTTAGTCAACGAGTGGCTTGAGTTTCTGTTAGACAAAAAGTTAATTAAGAAAAGGATTTCAACATCATGTGTTGTTGAAAGTGTCAATAACAAGGCGACATTATCATTTTTTATAGAACTCTTTTGATTTTATGTTGAATCTATGTTGTAGAAGAAACTATGTATGAACAAAAATACTGATACATGAAGGCGTACACAAAAAATCAATTCTGCTTATCGAACGACTTCTGTTTATTATGTCGTGTTCATTATTGTTATTTATATACGCTTTAAGCAATGAAAAATGGGTTCGACATTAATTGACTAGTTGAAGTTTCATTGTACTTAATGCACTTAAGCTTTTTTCATAAATAAACATAAAAGTTTGTTCACTCAAAAGTTTTAAATTAATGAAAAGGAAAACTTTTGTGGCGTGTATTTGGAAATTCTTGATTATTAATTTTTATACATACATATTCAGTCGTTTTATTTTATAATTAAATTAAAACTAAATTATTGTGAACACAAAGAAAATTCCATTTTCTCTTTAAACAAGAATATCTAATTAAGTTATTAGATATTCTTATATAAAACCAAGGTAGATAAACTTAAAGCTTTATATTTTTAAAAAGCTTAAACTCGAATAAAACTTTCAACTGAATCCCCAAGGTTGATGGTTTCAATTCAATTTCAACCAACACACATTTTTATCAAACGACAGCAATAATATTTTTCCTTTGTTACAATTAAATTAAAAATATTGTGGGTTGTGCTGCTACATTTTTACACAGGAAATGTGTCATATTAACAAGTGCTTTACTGAGTGTAAATTACAAAAAATAATAATTTTCATTTTTCCAATTTTATCGTCAAAACATTTTATGATGTCAAGATATCACATTTGTTAGCATTTGATATTTATGTTTTCGACATGAGTGTCCATTAAATGTGTTTGCTTTGATTTCAGAATTAAATCGTTTAGTTATCAAGAAGTGCTATTGAGTAAAATTTTCGTCTTGAGAAATATTTCTAATAAAATTATTTCCAATATTGTGCTGAAGTTATTTAATGCATGCATATTCAGCAAAATGCGTAAAGCAATTAAATAAATTGATCTGATGCCATCAATCTGGATGTATAAATTAACAGATTAGAATTATTTATTATTCATTAAGTGAGAGACTTCGAAATAAACTTTAAATCCATTTTTAATTCGAGTGGAACAAGATGAGTAGTAGATACCGTCATGTTCCTAACTTTACACATTAAAGTTGATGTTATGCACAGTTTGCTCTATTTAACCCTCGTTGGTTATTCCTCCCTTAGAAAATCTTTGTCAGAAGACTTTTTAATGAGCGGCAGAGATTAATTCAAAGGAATTTTTATCTTTTTTTTTTAACATAGAAGGGGAGACTGAATGTTTTTAGCTCATAACTAAATACGCCGCAAGAAAGAAAAATGTAATGCTTTTGTCGTTATTCTCCTCTTTGAATTATTTATTCTGAAAGAATATAAAATCAACTTTTATTCCAGTAATCTTGAGTGGCGTATTTAAGAGAAATGCCCAACTAAAACTTTTTAAACGATAATTATGTTCTTAATGAATGAAGACGTTCTTTAATTTAAATTGTAATTGGAAAGTTTCTCTGTTTCTAGCAATTATAAATAACACAACTTTTCTTTCCACCATTAATTATGAATTTCAGTTTAGAAACTGTTTCATTTAGCAATTTTAATTACAAATCTTTTTATTTACTAATTTGATTAGAAATCGTATTTGTCTCATCAAGTTATTTTCCTTGAAAATTAGAGTATGCAATAAATTATTTAGAGGAACAATCTAAAGTTCAAAAGCTTGTTTCAGAGAAGTTATTTGAGTTTAAATTTAATAGAAGAACATTTCCATTATTTATCATCTCTGAACATTTCTATCCTCGTCTTACGATAGATTTAAAAGCAACATCAATCACTTAGTAGAAATCGTTCAACATTATCTGTCTTCATGGAATTGAAATCAGAAGGGAAGAAATCAAAAATTATTCCGTTTTACGATGAATTCGATGACGATGATAAAATTGATCTGACAAAGCTCAAGAATTTGATAACCGATGAGAAGATTTCGAAGAAAAAAATTTCGTTTATTCGTGTCTTATCAAAATTGACAGAAAGCCTGTGATCAGACTCTTCTGCAAATTTACTTATGCCATCAGCGTATTTCAAAGAAATCAAATGAAACGTAAGAAGAAACAATATCATGAATAGATGAATAACTCAGTAGATCCTTTTAACTTTTGACATGATTAAAACATGCACAAAGAAGATTTTTTTTAAGCTGTCAATAGCAGATTGTCTCTTACTGAAAGTAGAGAAATTGGACAGATTGCGATTGGAAGAAATCGAATTCATGGTTTTGAATGTGATTTCAAAATTTCACTCGTTATAAGAACAAAAATGCATTGAGCAGAAATCAGTATGATTTCTTTCAATAAATGCTTCATTACTAACCTTTCATCATCTTTCCAAATAATGATTTAATTCAAAGCTTATTTCTGCTTCAACTTTATTGCTTTCAGCTGGAAACTTTCAGATGAATTGCAAAATAAAATAAATTTTTTGTCTACACAGCAAAAAGCACTACATATGATTGCATGAGTGCTCTGATAAATCGGAAATTTATAAAATATTAAGCTTTCAATACTCACACGAGCTTGGGACAAAAGAAAATGCTTGAAAACTTTTTGAATGCTTCTCACGTATGAAAATTCTTTTTCATGAATGTGCAATGTTGTGTGAAGCTTCTCTTGATATTATTTTTTCTTTTGGAATGAAAAAGATTCCATTTTTCCATATTTTAATTAATTGGATCGTTTTTTTTGCCCAATGAGAGCTGTTCGATTTATTTTCAGAATATTCAAATTTATGGAAAAATTTAATAATTTCAGTAAATAAACTCTGAGAGGAACTCATTTGCGTTTTGGAAAGTTTATTAATTACAAAACTAATAATAGAATGCTCGTGAATAGACAATACTTTAAATAGACCATTATGTTTGGTATAGAAAATAGTTTAATAACAATTTTTCATTTGATATTTGCGCAGTTATGAGAGCGTTCACTGTTCTCATTCAATTGTTTTACTCGTTATCTTTTCAAATTTTAACTATAGAGACATCAAGCTTAATGGCACTAAAGCAGTGGAAGTGTTAAAATAAATAACGTTATCAGAATACAGTGCAAGGAAAAACAATTAATAGTTTTTCATCTGTCCTTGTTTTCTAGATGTTCTCACTGTATGTAGCATTATGGAGTTTGATGGTTGAATATGGGAGGAAACCTTAGATAGCGAAAACAAAAGAAAAGCATTCATTTCCTCGTTTAAGTGTTTTTCTGTGTAATTGATTTCACCCTTTTTTCCTTCTCTTAACATTTGTTGAATCGTTCGTTCGTGGAGAAGTTTTTTTTTCTGTTTTTTAAAAGGAAATCCAACCCGATACGACTACGACTCAACATTAGTATTCCTTGTGAGGAAAGGAAAAAGGATTTTCCACTCAATAAAGTATTTCTCAACATTAAACATTCTATTCCTGAATTTAAAAGATAGCTTAGTCTTTTAAATTTTCTTTTCAATTGTCGACCAAACTCGGACAAGAAAAACGAAAATATAAAAATGGGCATATTGTAAAGCTCATAACTTATTCATTTTAATGTAATTTGGTTTTATTTTAAAGTTGCAGAAGCTGAAAGGGACTTTGTTTGACAACGGGAGAACAGAGATCTTAATTCGTGAATTCGATGAAAGGAAAGAAAAATAATGTCGCTATGATTACAAGTTGTTGGGGATATATTGTGTTGCCTTATTATGAAATAAAATTAATTTTTCAAACCGCAGACGAGGGTTGAATTTATTATTAAAAAAGAAAAACAACCCATGATGAAGAACGTAACGAGGAAGTGAAATAAAAAGTAAGAAATTTAATATCAATAAAAGAGTTTGTGGCCCTTGATAGCATTCACGAGTAAACATACGTTTTATGTTCAGCAGAATATCATGCTCGAAATTATTGTCCCACGTCATCCATAATAATGACAATTTGATAACGAGAATTAAAATTAAAATATTGGCATTCTGAATAAAATGAAAGCGTTTTAAAGAAACATTCATCAGAAGAAATATTAAAGCAGATTGAACTTTACAATATGCCAGACAATAAAAGAAAAGTGTGAAAACCCCAATGACGTTCAATATTAAACACATCGTTTTCCAAAGACAATATGATGGTGAAAATTTGGAAAATAAAAGCCATCTACAAACACTGCTTCCTTCTTATTTATTATTTTCTTACTGTTAAAGAATGTTAGCACGTTTCGGGCATCTTTCTGCAGATGCCACTTATGGCCACTACATTATCAAAATTGCTACTTATTGATACACTTAAGCAGCTTTTGAAGAAATTACTGACTATAGAGTGTATCATTGTATGATTATTGAGTTTTCCTTTTACATATAAATTATGATGTCTGGGGAAACATGAAATTGATATAAATTTTGTTTAGAATTTGTTGTAATGCTTCATCAAGTTACATCAATAAAAGATTTGATTTCACATTACAAAGTTATAAATTTTCCAACATTTCTGTTGTTTCAATCTCCTTAAATATTTATACGAGAAAGTTGCAATCAGAAGTTGTCAAGGGAGAACCATTTAAGGACCAACTTTATGGCATTCAATATGGAGAATTTGTATAAAGCAACATTTTGTTACTTGCATA